CCTGCTGGCGGCACTGGATCTGCACAATCGCCCGCAGGCCCAACAGGAGTTATTGCTAGTGGTCAAGCTCGATTATTCGCCGTGTGCACAGCATTTCAATGACAGATTCCTCACGACGAAGGTCTTGGTCACGAGTTGGCAGAAAGTGAAGGAGACCAAGGTTGCGTGGATAAGGCAACACCTCGCCAAGATCGCTGCCAGCCGTGCGTGCCTGGAGGAAGAAGTTATGTCGCTACCCCAATTGGTCGTGTATGGAGTCGGGGCGGTCGTGCTCATCGCCGACTTCAGCGATCAGACGGCGTGGGAAGGCAGCACGGTGATCCTCGAGCTTCCGTATCGGATCCAAAATCTCGACTTATTGGCAAGACCTGTGTTCAGCCAGGCTGGCTGGCAACACGAACTGATGGGAGAATTAAATAAAACGTGCAACATCCGTCATGACATTTCGTAACCAGTCTGCAATACATGTATTTATACGCCAAATTTTCTAGGGTCGGTAGTAGCGACCACCAGGCACACCCTCGAATTCTGCCTCAGATTTTCCACGACCTAATTGCCATGCGGCGGCATGCCGGGCGGCCTCTCTGGCCACGTTTCCCGCGCCATACATGCATGTGGTAGCGTAGATTTGAAGGTAGATAGTGTTATATATGCGAAGGCAATAAATTTGGACATATTGTACTTCGGTATTTTCTTCAAGACGGCGCGCATGTCGGTGATGGGATAGCATATCTCCAGCCGAATGTGTAGGACATGGTAAATGCTCTCTGAAATATATACGGTATGGATGGCCTCAATCATCGCACCGTCAGGAGCTCGAGGCGGCATTAAGCCAAATGTATCGGCAAATACGGGGGACGCTAATGCAAGGATAATTCAATGGATGCGAATTTACACTTTGTCGGACGATGTAGGATACCATCGACGTCCATCTCATCGTCAGGTGGAGGGAGAGGCTTCAAATCGACCCCGCTTTCTCCATAAATTCAGGTTCAATTTGATTTGATAAAAGAGACTTCTGCGCGCGGAATTGAGCTCACGAATTTAAGGGATGACTGCAGGAGGTCGCTGTGTGCGGTGGGAGAAACTGGCTAGGATGATTTGTCAACGCAGCAGCCAGAGCGGAGAATCCGACCAGTGGATTGACGTCACAGACTTTCTTGAGTCAAGTCCCTGTCGTCGATCAGTCGACTGAATGCGTGTCGGATACAACACATTGCGTATGAGTTCATAATCACTGTCATCCCGCATATCAACTTCAACGTTGCACATAGACAATTACGCAATACCATTCCGGGTGACATCAAGAAAATACAAAAAATGGCTACATGAACAAGTTGAATAGACAGACCTAGGGACACATACTCTTGCGGCTACACTGTTGGCCAATCACGGGACGATAATCTGCTCCGCCCAGTCCTCTTCCTCCCGAACAAAACGCGTCCTCTGATTCGGATGGACACCTAGCTGAAGCCAGTCCACCTCGACGGCTTCTATGAGGATGAGTGAAAAGTTTCGCAAAGCTTGCTCCTGATTGCGTTTATCCTCGTCGCTTTCCGCCTCGCCGAGTTTGGGTACTGTCTGCGGCCACTTCTTGGCATCATCGTAGGATTCCATAACGCTTCCCGGCGGTGGGCGACACCAGCTTGCCTTCATATGAGCGCTCATACTGTCGAACACCTCTAGACGCTTCTTTTCCCAGTCGAATCCTTGTTCATCAAATCGGTCAAGGGCGAGTGATGGGATGTGTGGTGCACGGATCTCCGCCCTTGCGTTCGGAGAGCGGATAACACGAACGGGCCCATAAATCCGGAACTGGTCCTGGGAGCCCGCCATCCACCAACAGATCTCAGTGCGCCCGTAAGCAAGCAATTGCCAGACCTTGGGCGTGCGAATATCTGTAGTGGTGATGATGACGGGTAAGTGAGGGCAGTCTGAAGGTTGGATGATGTCGCGATGCACGACAGTGCGGGCGCGAGGTGAATCGTTTGGGTCTATCGTCGCAAGTTGATAGACTGATATCCCGTTCATTTAGCTGTTTATTCTGAATTATCAACCGCAATGGCTTACCATTCTGCCCTTTGTTGTCAGGTAGACTGAGCGCCTTAGTCAAGGCAGTTCGCCATCGAGGTGTAGAGGCCATTCTTGTCACAGAGTATAAGGTTGAAGCCTGAGGAATCGACGGCCAATGTCTATGGTTGTGGTAGGTTGTGTGCGGTAGATTCGGTAGATGCCGAGCTAAGGCCGTGATGCCTCTCAGGCTGCTCTTCTAAAGGTTGCTTACACAGGTTCGCTCCCGACTCCGCGATGCCTCCGAGTCGCTCCGCCAAACGACGTGCCAGTGGATAAGATTGCTTCCTCGGTTGTTGCTTTTACACCACACATTGAAGTAGGCTTGTACATGTTTTCAACCTTCCGATTGTTTATACCGACGGTCGTTGCCGTTGGTATGAACAGTCAAGTTATATACCTCTGATCTGGAGCTGGTAGTATGCAGCGCTTGTGCCCGGCGACTGCCTCATTCGTCAGGCTCCTGAAGCCAGTGTCAGGACTTGTACGTGTCCTCGTACGCATCATGGTGAGTAGCCAGGCCGGTCCATCAAGTTCAGCGGGGACATTGTCATAATGATAAGTCATGTAGAACCCTTTGCTCGTTAGCATTGAGCGGAAGCATTATGTTCTGGAAGAGGCTTCGAGCAGCTTTGCCGACTTTAGTTGGCGATGACGATGATAGGGCCGGAAGATTGTGTCCTATTACTCAATGTGTTATCTACGGAGCAACGGCGGCGATTCTGTAGTTCTGCGGCGGCGGTCCGCACAGCTTGTAATGGAACACGTCATCCTGCTCCGACCGATCCCGCAAGGCATTAGTCTTCTTCATGTGTGCTACGATCGAAATGAAATAGGTACCTGTCGACGTTGGGGTTGGTGTCTGACCCTTATTGACAGGCGACGGGAGTCACATAGGCAGCAAGGCGACGGCGGGCGAATATATTGGCCATTTGGTGGCATTGTCATTAATAGGATCAGCAAATCTCGCAGATTCGGATGATACTTATGGTACACAATCCGCATTCTCACGCAGTGTCACACCACTTATTCCTGTCGCCCTCAGTACGCAAGAAGACGTTGTCCCACCATCATCCAATTTCCGGATACCAAGATGCGGGCATGGGATAGTTGTCATGAAGCTACGGCTTAAGAAGAAGAAGATTGTCGTAATAAAAACTTCGGCGGAGATGCGGAAGGCGAACACGAAGTTCTCTGCGTCGTCCAGTATACTGACATTCTTCATGAGAGCAGGCTGCGGGGATGTTGGAGATCTATTCCGGCGTTTGATAGAACAAGCGCAGGATACGCATGCGCTAGAACTCACCGGCAGATTCACGGCATGTCGTCGGTTTGGTGAAGTGTGTCTGAGCGACTATCACGCTGGGCATCACTCTTCATTCTCGGTCTGCACATACGGCGGAGGTCATCGAGCTCTTTTTGTCGTTCAGATGTCCGTCCCCACGCACTGAGTGCTCATCACTGACCACTCCACACACACAAACTCCACTTTTGTTGACGCCAGTGTTGAAGGTCCGCACACTCGAGATTCTGCTGGCAACGAGCACCCTACGCGTTCTAGGAACCCTTGTACTCACCTACGCCGCCTGATCGGTCTGGCGTTCCGCTTGACACATTAGTCGCCCATTACTCAGAGCGATGCTGAGATAGACGCTGTCTCGAGATCGTTTGTCGTAGTTTGTGATCTTCGAAGACCACAGCTCTCAGCTTTCGGCTGGTATCCGGTGAGTTCATTGCGACCGCAGGCTCTCCGCGTGGGGTCCCATGATGCTCAAGTATAGCACCCGAATGATAACACCATACGGCATCCAGGCTCGTGTAAAGTACATTTGCAGGGGCGGTATGACGCTCCACCAGCGCTTTGATGACACAGTGCAGTTATGGGAAATCAAGACGTACTTCGATGCTTGCGATCACTCTGACGCCTTATTAACATATATATAAGGTGGAATAGGTATGTGTAACATACCGTACACCGTCCTGGGGTACTAGTCTATCACACCTGTAGCCTTGATACGTCGTCGTCGCCGCCGTTTGCGTACGATCTGTATAGGTGCTGAAACGGGCATCCCAGCACACCAAAACATCGATAATAGACCGAGGCGGAATGACTCTGGTAAGTGGCGCTCATTACCGGCTGTTCAACGTCTCAAGAAGATATTAATAGGTAGAGATTGCGAGAGCCGGTGTCCAAGACTTCTTGGACCAGATGCGGTTCCTGAACTTCAAAAGGCGTTGGGATGGCGAACTTCGTCGTCGTGTGGCCGAGATCACCGATGCTTGGGACTTCAAGGAACCTGCGCGCCCTCACATCAATACTGCGCTTGTGATCACAGAGTCTGCTTATGACCATCTCACCGACCTAAATGCAAAGGTCGCTATCACCATCTTCACTGCGCTCGCCACTTCCCTCGACGACCCGAATGTACTTGATGGCCTTGCATTCGACCAATTCCATCGCCAGCACTCAAATTGCTCGGTCTACGGAGACAACAGTCCCCTTGGCTTGTTCGCTGAAGTCACTCGCCGAATGGGTGAATGCTACCCGAACTTCGCAGCTGGCACAATCTTAGTGTCGGCCTTGCAATTCGTGAACGTCTCCGTCTTGGAGAACGTCACAAAGGGGATAACATTGCATCCGAAAGCCTTGCCCTTTGTGGAGTACAGGCGAATGCTAAGCGGCGTTCCGGAGGCGTATGGCTGTTTTATCTGGGAGAAGGCCCGTTTCCCCACTGTAGACTGCTATATACAGGCTATTCCGTAAGTCACATTGGTCCACAAGAGCGTCGAGGTCGGTATTCACAGGATCCAACAGCGATGCCTGCTTAGTGATCGACTACTTGAAGTGAAGTATCGCTGCTTACCTCTCAAATGCAGCAATTTGCTTACATTGATTTTAGCGATATCCTCTCTTTCTACAAGGAGGAGCTCGCCAACGAGCTAGTCAACTACATCCACGATCGTGCGCTTGTGACTGGGGCATCCGCCTCAAGTACACTCCGTAATGTCATATGCGAGACGGTCGCTGCATCGGAGCGGGTGCGTGCCATCTTAGGGGAAGGGGATGCGAGAGATGCGTGGGATGCCTTCGTGAAGGGCTACATCAAATTCCATGTTGACGACCCTAGATATCGGCTGCGCGAGGTTCTTGGCGACGAGTTCTTTGTAGAAGAGTGAAGCATTCAGTTGTATCAATGATGAACTTACCTATTAATAGAGTGTTCGAGTGTTCTCGAATAAGGTTTCAGTACACGGTGGATGCATGGGTGGAAGGTCGGAGGACACGCAGATAACAACGCCTCCTCGATAATCATCTCAACGGCTATCACTCACAGCGTCGCGGGCAGAACTGTACCCTATACCTCTAGGCTTGAATCAAACCCATTAAACACAATTAGGACACATTTTTCCCAACCTGCTGCGACCCAGCCAGCCTCGACGTGAGCTCAGACCTTCATATTCACATGAGATGGCTCGGCCTACGCTAGCTGTAGAGTACGCGAGTTCTTTGGTTGTCGACCTGGACGCTGACGAGATACGCTACAGCGCAGGATGCTACCACCCTCCCGCGAATGATAATCTGCAGGATACTTCAACATACATCGTCGATGGTACTGATATCGTGAGTGAGACTCACCCATTTTGTATCAACCACTTACACTATGATCTAAGCAGGCGAGGATAGCAGCAGACGCACTGACGGGCATTCACACTTTAATGAAAGACATAGGTTATTCGCACAAACCTTGCGTCCGGGACCCTGAGCTGGAGAGTCGCGTTAAGGAGATAACTCAAACTTGGCCTTTCGAAGAACAAGTTAAGCCTCACATCATCACATCAATCGTGATCGTGCAGACCGCATACCGCCACATTCCAAGTGTCGAAACGAAGACACTCATAACGATACACACAGCCCTCGCTATCGCCATAGATGATTTTGCCATCTCGGATGTGATATCCCATCGCAATGTCTTTGCCGGACTCTGTAACAGTACAGCAAAGAGCGAGACAGGGATCCTTGGACAACTCGCTCGCAGCCTGGCAATGATGCAGGACCATTTCTTGGCTTTTGGTGCCGCTACCATCCGCATCTCTACCCTGCAATTCATAAATATGTGTATGCTAGAGGAGATGACTCACGACGTAGAGCTGCACCGTGCAGGGCTAGGATTCGTTGAATATCGGCGCTTTTTAGGGGGCCTTCCGGAGGCCTATGCCGTCTTCATTTGGGATAAGGCCCGGTTCCCTGATGACAAGCAATATCTCCATGCCATCCCGTCAGTACTTTTTGTCTGCTCTTATAGCACGTGCTTAGCTTAAGCTCGTAGCGATGTCAGCATCTATATCAACTATACCAAGTAATCTCTACCGTATCATTGTAGATTATCAAAGCTTACGCACAGTGCAGTGACATTCTTAGCTTTTATAAGGAAGAACTATACCTACCTTCACGCTCGCGCCCAAATCACAAGAAGATCGTTGTTGGAGACCTTCCGGGATGTCATTGAAGAAACAACGGCGGCCGTGCGGCGCATCCGCAGCATCCTAGGAGAAGGGGATGTGAGAGAGGCGTGAGAGAGCTTCGCCGAAGGATATATTGAGTTCCACCTTGCGTCTCCTCGGTACCGTTTGCGCGAAATTTTGAACGGTGAAGAGTACCTCTTGAACGAATTCTGACGACATGTGGCGTAATAATATAGTTTCAAAACCTTCGATCGATCGGCATCGAGATCGGCAATTACCATTTTGGTCGTGTGTTTGTTTTCTCTTGCTCGTCTTGTCTGTGGCATGAACGCTCTGCTCGTATCGCTTGGCAGAAACAAGCTCCTCGCACAAGTCCTACCGGCCATGTCTCGACGTTCCTCCTCTCCTCCATTGTCTCCTAGACTCGCAAAACGTCCAAGACTCGACTTCGAACCCCTGACCCCGGAAGATTACAAGAATGGCGTGGTACTCGCGCCCATGGTCCGATCAGGCGCATGTGCGTTTACGTCGTCCTGGACTATATACTGACATTTACAATCTTTTGTGAGAAGTACCCACCCGACTCTATGCTTTGAAGCACGGTGCATCATTAGTCTGGGGTCCGGAGACGGTAGACAAAGCGATTCTACACACGGAGAGGGTGGTGGATCGTGAGTTCTCTCGTTTCCCAATCGGTACGGTGCATAAATAGGTGTCTAGCTACCACAGGTGTCATAAGCTATGTCGGGAAGACGAAGGCTCTTTTCACCACCCATCCTGTTGAGAAACCCTACCTCATTTACCAGATCGGCTCTGCGGACCCCGAGCTTGCTGTGCAAGCGGCCAGAACTGTCCTGCAAGATGTAGCGGGCTTCGATCTCAATTGCGGCTGTCCAAAACCCTTCTCCACTCATTCCGGAATGGGCGCGGCCCTACTCTCGAACCCTGACTTACTGTGCTCCATTCTCACTGCTCTGCGGGAGGCCATGCCACCTGAGATATCCATCTCGGCTAAGATCCGTTTGCTTTCATCTCAAGAGGATACATTAAAGCTTGTAGAGCGGATCGTCAATACAGGCGTGAACGCGCTGACGGTCCACTGTCGCACTCGCAATATGCGAAAACGAGAGAAGGCACACATCGACCGACTACGAGAGATTGTAGACTTTGTGCGGGGGTTGGGGCGAGATGTCGCGCTTATAGAGAATGGTGACTGTGAGGACTACCAGGATGCAATACGAATACGAGAGATTACGGGTGCGTGATACGTTGCACTAGCGGTGCTCAAGACTCTTCCGCTGACTCGAGTATGTAGGCGCCGATTCAGTCATGATTGCGACAGCGGCAGAAGCAAACCCGACATGCTTTTCGCCGAATCCCCTTACTGATGTTGAAATGACATTTATACCGCAATATATGCGCCTGGTGAGCAGTTATCGGCAATACCCGCCCTTTGCGCGCCTCACGAACCGCGGCGACGATCTTCTAGTGCAGGTATCTCAACAATCACTGGTCGTCAACAAAATTTTGCACTGCCCAGTTCAAGGGTTCCCACGTAAACGCGCGCAGAGCAGACCTCAAGGGCCTGCGGGACGCCATCCAGAAAGCGAAGTCGTACGAGGACATGGACGCGCTAGTAGCGCCCTGGACGGGCGAAGATGAGTTCAAGGCCATTGTGGACGTGATTGAGAAGCGCGATGGCCGCCGCGGACAAGCGCACAAACTCCCGCCGCCCGTGGTGTCTGCGAAGCAGAAGGCTTTATCCGATGTTGAGATCAAGCGCCAGGAGGCCGAACAGCCTGTGACTCCCGAACAAGAGATCAACCTTCAGACACCCCCTGCAGCGTCTCCAGATCCTTCAGTTCTGAACGCACCACTAGCGCCCGCGAATAAGCTGCGAATGCCCCTTCCTGCTATGCTCACTGGGGACCTCCCAACGCCAACTCCTTCCGCTACTGGGTCGGCTTCATCGCTCAGATGAAATATGATACTTGTATATATCTCACAATCTATTTTGATACGCACCTCCCATTTGTGATTCACTCAATTCACTCCAACGCAGAAGCGTCGGAAATCCGCGCGACCATTTAAAAAAATAAAGGATAAATTACGAGTGTTATTGAGGCCAGAACATGAGTCGTGAAATATGCCCAATGCAGTCATGAAGGTCGTAAACATCATCCCATCGTCGCACAATTTTCTTTACAGCACAACGAACGCGCCAGCGAAGAGACTGCCAAGGACAGTCACAGCACTCAAGATCATCGGCTTGGACAGCGTCAGGCTCTGAATGCTGACGGCAGCATTGTGAGTTGCACTGTGCAAGGAGTCTATTAGCGTCACGCTTCGTCCAACTTACAGAGTACCAACCTGACAGAGGGGACGAGGAAGGTGTGACCCGCAAAGGTAGTCGTCATAACCCTGGCAGTACTGGTGCCGGAGTGCGCACCGGATGTCGCAAGGGTAATGGCAGCGCCGCCAACCGACGTCACCTCCACAACGGGGGCTCCGCTGATGGCTACAGAAACCCATGAGTGAGAGAGTAAGAGGACATAAATTGAGAATACGTACTGGTGACGGTCGCGTAAACCTTGGAGGTGGACGTGCCAAGTTCAGAGGTCGCGGAGTCGTAGATCTGCGTAGCCGTGCCAGCAACCTCGCCCTCATGGACTAGAAATTGCATGCATCAGACACAATGCCTACAGGTGTAAAAAAGTTGTACTCACAAGCAGAGGTAACACCGTGCCATGCAGACTCGGCTGCAAATAGAGAGTTGAGATTTGATGACCAAGCTTACAAGGGTGATAGACACATACCAGCAGAGGTAGCCTCGCCAAAAGCCGACGTCACATCGTCAATGACTGCGGAAAAAAATGAGCATTCGCAAACAAGCCGTTCAACGGTTGTACTCACTTCCACGCCTCGCGGGAGCAGCGTTCACAACAGCAAGGGGCAGAAGAGCATACACGAAGAATTTGGCCAACATCTCGTAATTTAGCGATTAAAGAGGCAGCACCAGGCTGTTGAAGAAAGCGAAAGAAAGCAAAGAGGGACTGGACTAAACCCGGTGAACGTGAAAGGGCGTAATCAAGTTGTCTCTGCGATCTTCCTGGGTTTATATACGCAATTCGCAGTGCCTCATGTCGCATCGGGCGCCTTCGGTAACGGTCGTAGCCAGGAGAGGAATGATGCGTTTGCGATCAAACACCACTGCCTCTGAGATCATGATCAACACGCGTGATTATAACAGATGCGTCTATGTGCGCCAAGGTCACCTACTCGAGGGAGGAGCTCAGTATTCAACAGGCGAGGGAAGGTAAACGAATACTTACAGTCGTTGTACATAGACCGAACACCAGCGGGATATGCCTCGTTGGACACCCGCTCGTGGCCGGTCCCTTGGCAAGCCTGACTGCAGGTGGCACTGGCATCATCGAAATGCGGTGCAGCCTGGCAGACGAATTGCATATGACGCGTCGCATCGCCCGTTCGCTTCTTCAATTTCGTAAATGATAAACTCCGGCCTCCAACGGCGCCGGAGGACCTCCCCGAGACCTGACCAATTGTACAGAAGCATGCGTATGCGTGTCGTGGAAGCACTGGAGGTTGCGTCGACTCGCATTAGGTATATCTGTGAACTTAGCAGACTTGCCATCTGACTGGAGGTCATTCGGACCAGAGTAGAGGTGCCTTTACCAAAGTCCTGAGCTCCGCCTCATGGATGGAAACGCGTGATGGTGAGGGTGTTGGTGACAGGCGTCCTCTAACCGCAGCGCGTACGCGTGGGTGATGCCCATCTTCAAGGCCCCACAGACTAGCGCAGGCTGCGCACGGCGCAGCTAAGCCCATGGCTCCATACATAGTACTCTTGAAAACAATGATGCCCGGCGAATGACATGAGAGCTCGAGTCCAAGAGAGTCCAAGAGCCGCTGGCTCAATGCCCGCCTGACGACTCGCCATAATGACCCCGACAAGGAGAGAATGAGTACTACTTGCAAACTTTCCTCACGATGGCTCAAGGTATACGCATTCACACACAGCCCCCAATACCTTGTATCCAAAAAGTCAAATTTTGCATTACTGTACGAATGCACCCCCGCCGACGATGACGTTAGGGCTTAATGTAATGGAGACGAATAGGTGTACGTATCTAAGGTGATTGCAAGAAAATCATATACAGGCTGCACTTTCCTCCAGATCCCCTACCCACGCTCCCCAGGCTTCATTCCCGCGATGCAGATTAACCTATTACGAAAAGAGACGAGCGACAGTCGACATATATGCAGCCGAACAAAGAGACGTGAGGGAGGTGAAAGTGGATGAATAATCAATGACAGTAGGCTAGAGATGGTGGTCGTTGTTGTGATGACGATGACGTGAATGCGATGCGATGCGGATTCGAGCGGGAGATGTGAACAGAATAGAAGAACAGGAGTCTATACACAGAACAAGGAGTCTGGCATGAGTTGGTCGTCAATTTTTTTCGTGGCTGGAGTCGGAAAGAAGCGATGGATACATGTCGAGCGATGGTCGACAGCATATGACACAACAATATGCATTAGCTGTGAGTAAGGTCGGTCGTACTCGCACGTAAAGGCATGATGTGATGCGTTTCAGGGCGCAGGAGGTGGAAGTCAAAGATGTTTGACATGTGGCAGGGAGGACCGATGATCGAGGCGATCAGTAGATGACTCCGGCGACGGATGTGGAAGAATGGATGACATCCCGCTGGTCGGAGGCGAACACCATCAGCTTTTCCCGACGTGCGAGCAGCGAAGCGTACTCACAGCAATGGAACGGAACTCCCGAACGTCTGTTGTCGACATGAGCTCGACACCCTGGCGTGCGCAGGCAATTTTGAGCGCGTTCAGCTGCGGGTGGCTCTCGCCGCCGTGCCAGATGTGGACCGTCACCGCCTTCAGCGTCTCGCTCCGCTTGATCATCTGGAGTATGGGCGGCAGCGGCGTAGCCATGTCCACACCGAACGCGATGTGCTCCATAGTCTCCGGTAGCGCCTTGCAGAGCGTTGGTGGCGTCCACGGGCTCTCGATTCGAAGCTCGCGCAGGGCACGACACTGCCGAATGGCGGCAGTGCCCTCATGCCCGCCACAGGTCGGCATCGCGAGGGACTGCAATGCACCTGCATGATGGGCCAAGAGGTACTTGAGCATGTCAGGCGTGGGTTCGCGCTCGAGCTCAAGGGTACGCAGGCTGTCGGTGGAATTGTGCAGAAGCCATCTCATGAAGTCGATGCAAGGCGGCGTCTGGAAGTTCATACGGAGACTATCGAGCGCGCACGGGAACGGCTGAGGAGCCTCGTTGGGCAGCTGTGGTGGCACGCCGCTGATGGCAAGCGACTTCAGCGCCGGCCAAACGTCGAGGAGCTGGAACAATGTCGACGAGTTGTCCGACCAGTTGCTGAACTGTAGGGACGCGATCGAGGGGCCTGTACGAAGGAGCGCGAGTGTCCGCTCGTCAAATGAAGGAGCTGCACGCTTCATGCGGTTGACATCGGGTGCGCCGACAACATCGTGGCCCGGAGAACCCTGGCCGTACATAGCGAGACGGAGATCTTGCATGTTGGGGCAGAGCGTGACGGCACGCGCAAAGGACCGCTGACTGAGATAGTACGGCTGGTTGTGGTCCAACGTCACACGCATAGACCGAACAGCGTCTCCGAGCATGCGGCCGCGGGCGGTCGAACGGTCAACTGCCTGCTGGAACGCGATGTAGTCCGTCTGACTACGCAGCGTGACACGGCGGAAGAGGAGCTTCTGGGCAATGGCAGACCAGTCCTTGCAGACCAAGGCGCAGTTGGTGAAGAGCTGGACATTGGACTCGGGCTCATCGTCATAGTAGGCTGAGTCGAGGACGTTCATAACAAGCTCGAGAGGCACCCGGACTTGGTTCGTGGAGAGGCTCATGGTGAGGTCGCGAGGAGGGTAGAGTGTCGTTAGATCTATGGTACGCTGCGGCTTATATTCCTGCTGTCAGGGTGAGTGATCGGCCTTGGTGCGCAAGACAATAAGACATACTTTGGCTTCACGAGCCTGGTAAAGGAAGTTGAAGAAGCCCATCGCTCTGCTCCAAAAGAGGCCTGATGGTTGTGAAGAGCTCGGACACCGCGACGGGAGGAGAAGAGGGGGCAAGAGAGCATGGTGGGCGGGCGAGGAGGTATATATGCGCTGCAAAGGACTGGCAACGGGACCGCTGGACGGGAGATAGATCGTGGAACTTGACGCAAAACCGCGCGCTTCGGACCTGTTTCACACCGTCTCGGTGTCTTCCGGGCGTCCCGTTTGCCTTTTCCGCCACCGCCGCCGGCCGAATATGGGCAAGAAATCATTTCGGCTAACAAGTGGCGGCTTCTTCTGACTCTGACGTCCTCCTTTTGGGGCACTTGGGAAGGTCCACGGCTGCTTTCGACGACAAGAAACACCTCTTCGGCAGTACCAGCTTCAAGCGCATCATCCGGTTCAGACGGACAGGCATTACGCCCACGCAGCCCGGTGAGAAATTTCATATATGGCATCTGACACTGGTGCGAAACACAAAGGCTACCTGCACATTTCAATTTCGTCGCGCGCCCCGACGCGTTGCTACTGTGTCGGAAAGTATGGTCGCCGACGGCAGGTGCAGGGTGAGCCGGCGGCGGACATACTACGCGTAGGCTGTGTGCTGCATCCCTGCGCTCATGACTTATCGACACAACTTCGACGAGTCAAAAGACACATATCCCGTCAGCCGGATTCTGGAAACAATAACATGGACCACATAGTACCCCATTTGTAGGTCCGTTGAACAATAACGGGCTCCATCAACCTCGTGGAACGCGCAGCTTGCCGTAATCGCTTCAGCGCTTTCCGCTGTTCGGCTACCGTCCTCGGGATGGCTGAAGGTGGCTGGCCAATAGGCTTTCTTGTGTCTTTCTGCTCGATGGCGGTTTCCATCGTCTCATTCGGTGCGGCAAGCGGTCCTGACAGCGACGATGCGGCGCCCTCAGGTCAACAAGCGTCTCTCGTCCATCCAGATTGGGCGCGGCGTACCGCCGTGTACGTACTCGAGGCACCTGCCCAACACGTTGCAGCGCGTGCTCAAGACACACTGTTCGTACCCGCGACCAACGAACGTCGTGTCAATGTCACTGTCGTTCCGATATCAGATGTACCTCTCCTGGGCCTGAGTTATAGAGCGATGGAATGGATCATGGCATCCCTTAGACAGTCCCAATGAGGGTCGAGGACTGGTCCTGCCGTCATCCCATCGTCCCGGTCTTCAGTCTTCTATGTTCGTGCCTCGGTGCAATGTCCTTTCTGGCCCGGGTTTCAACTTCCACCCGAAGTTCATCTCACTGGCGTGTTCGGCACCACTCGCACACCGACTGTTCCCGTCACGATCTGCTCAGCATTATACCAGAAGAAGTGAATTGATATCCGCGGAGATCAGAAATTCATGGATATCCTCATATCGACTCACTGTGTACGGACTGCGAAACAGCAGCGGATCGCTTCGCAAATCCTATTCGGGCCACACGGTGTACAGTCCTATTGGTTGCAATTTTCAACGAAGAGAGTCATTGTCCCTGAGCGGCTTTTGGTCGAAAAGCGTGTGCATTGAGCGTTTCACTGTCACTGGCCACCGGCATGGTTCCACAGCTGGTGTGCGGCTGTCTACGACTATTCAATTGCCTTCGGCCCGCCAACACCTCCGCTTTACGAACACCCCTCGTGTATAGCGCTCGATCCGCCGCTTCGTGTGGTATATGGGTGTTGGCTATACGCGTCAGCATCGGTGGCTATAGCTGAGTGGAGCGTATTCAGTCCGACTCGACATCGGGCTCGCGGGTCTCGCACCGAGCACGGTTGCACGAGGTGGAGCACGACATGTACTTGACACCGGCGTCATAATGTACAAGCGAAGTCTTCTTTGTAAGTAAGCACCGTTGTGGCTGTCGGGCTCTGATCAGTTTCTTGTCAAACAATGCCAGGCTAGTCAATTCATACGTCACGGTGGCTGTTGCCTTGCCTTGAACGCTGCTATGATCACTAATTGCACTCAACACATCTGCACATGACCATATCAAGCGTTCGAAGTACGCCTTCTCAGAAACGCAGTGCTAAGCATCGCTGCAATCAGTTCATTCATATTCCAGTATCCCGACTGCGTGTTCCCTCCCAGCATACGTCATCCCATTCTGAGTTGACGTGTGACATTCCCATGTTGCATGTCCCATTGGATCTTTGGAAGATTAATCGAGTCATGGATATCTACTTCTGCTCTACATGTCCCCCGTCCATGAGATGATGCGGATTTTGTTACATCGATGAGGTGAGTTGCCGCCCGAGTTAAACATGTCCATCATTTCATCCGCGCTTCATGGTTAGGACACAATCAGCGCACTTCGAAGAAGGCCCGCGCAGATCTACTTGTCCCGAGCCAGTGCTAGGCCCTCGGTCTGGACGCCCGCTCAGTCCAGGTGCCGCCGATGTGACCAATGGTAAGCTCTGTGCACTGCGTTTCAGAAAAGCGCATCGACATCGGCATTTCCATGCTTCCCTGCCCTGACGTCGATACTCCGCTTTCGAGTCTAATGGTGTCCCGACTAGCTCTGGTAGAGCAAATAGTGCGCGCTTCTCCATGTAGTCCGCGGCGGACTCTGAGTCAGCATTCTGAGGTGTGGACTGACCCAACGTACGCACAATGTTGTTCCTATCTGAGCAGGTCTCGGCCGTCCTATTTTTCCGCTGCAAGGACCTATATAAGCATTGGAGGCTCCACCATCCATGAACCAATCCTCTCCCAACTCGATTTGCACATCAATCGCAGGAACGCATAGCAAAATGTCTCCTACCAGTGATTTCGTGAAGTGAGCATCGCCATCCATTACATTGCTTGCTGAATGTAATGTAACGATGTCGATAGCACCACTTCCACCGCCAAAGGTCAGAAAATCACCGCGGGGCTAGTCGCCAAGCCCGTCAAAGGGGTCAGTCGCATTTACTTTGCTTTAATCACGTCCAACTTGCCGCTTACATCAGTCACAGTCTACGATCACGCTTTGCAAGGACATCATACGCGAGTTTTTCGATAAGGTCCAGGTTCCATTGCCGAACTTCACGCGCGACCCGCAGCTTGAAGCTCGCGTTGCTGATATTGTTCGGACGTGGGGTAACGAGGAGCACCTACGGCCATACGTTGTCACCAGCCTCATCCTCACAGTCACCGCGTACAGTCACATCGCCAACTTCGAGACGCGGGTGCAGATTACGCTGTTCACCATCATCATCATCGCCATGGACGACCCTGTCGTCTTCGACTCGCTCGCAACCCGCGAGTTCCACCAGCGCATGTGCACCGGCGTGATTCAAGACGAGGCCGGCATGCTCGGGGCGTTCACGAAGATCCTGGAGTCAATGTGGGACCATTACTCTGGCTTCTCGGCAAACACCATTTATGCGTCCGCCTTGCGCTTTGTGAACGCATCCATCATTGAGAACGAGACTGACGTGACGACGCTGCGCTCTCATGCTCTTCCATTTGTGGAGTACAAACGGAGCATGACCGCCACCACCGAAGCGTATGCGTGTTTCATCTGGGACAAGGCCCGCTTTCCCGATGTCAAGGTGTATATGCAGGCAATCCCGTATGTGTTCTTCATAAGAGTGTCCTGAAACGGCTTTCATGCTAATGTCCGTTGGTTTGATAGCGATGCTATGCTATACGTCAGCTATGTGAAGTAAGCGCATCCCTAGAAGTTATTGAGTTATAGACTCATGGCTCTTGCAGCGACATCTTGTCATTCTACAAAGAGGAGCTTGCAGGAGAGACTGCAAACTACATCCATGAGCGCGCGTATGTGACTGGAAAATCTATCCCTGACACCCTTCGCAACCTCATCAACGAGACGGCCCGTGCTGTAGAGCGGGTTCGCGACATTCTCGGCGAAGGCGAGGCACGAGCTGCGTTCGAGAATTTCGCCGCGGGCTACATCAGAGTCCATACAGGCAATCCTCGCTACCGTTTGAAGGACGTTATCGGGGGTGACTATATTATTGATAGAGTTTGATGTAGTATTGGATGCCTTCCCACAGAGATCTGGACGCGATTGCAGAATACTATGGGGGGCAGGGAGTTGCTCAAACCACCTTGTACAGCCTTCCACATCTTTACTTCAAATCCCAAAAGGTATGTGAGAGTGTATATAGTCCCTGTGAATGCCCCCATGGCACCGAAATGATAAAATCATGAATGTAGAAAATGTACGTTCATTGTGGCACAGCGCTTCGGGACTGATGTATCAGCAAGCTTTGCGCGCGCGCCTAAGTTAAGCAAAGCGCGAACTCCGTCGCCGAACAGGCTCTAACGGAACGCCTTGTGGGCAAGACGCGCTGCAGGCGCGTCAAGCGCCGGGGTGGGACGGATACCCCCTCAAGGGTATCCCGCTCCCCCCTTACTTAACGTCTGGTTACGAGACTAGCCTCTTACATGCATCTAGCCCTTTAAAAAAATCGACGGGTTTATACTCCACACAACGTAGGTACAAGTAGAGTGTAGACGAGCCTCCGATAGCTCTCAACAATGGGCTCCGCGCCCTCGGACGGAAGCACTCAAGACTAGTCCAGCGCTAGGTGTCAATGCCTTACAGTTCTCAGGCGGACAATGCACGCGCCCCTAGGTAGGGGAGATGCATCTAGCCCTTGCACTCCGTAATTATGTTTGATGGATCTTCCCTATATATCAATTTCATCACATTGTTCACAAATGCCACTGACTATCCGAAGCACACTGCAATCGATAAAAACTGGTTGATACGACGGCATGTACTTGTCTCTACGAGGATCATAAATGCAAATATTGATATTGTGAGCGATGGTATGACGTTGTTCGTAATGAGAAGTCTCCATGCACTGACTCAGGCTATTGCTAGTACCAGGTAGAGCTCATACCGCCCTTGAAGCATCATGTCTGCCCAACACTGCTACGCCACTGGCTCCTCGGTTCTGGACGCGGCTGTGACCTGTTATACAATGACCGATATCAAGGATCGGCAACTGATAGTCTCCGAGGTGTAGTGTGCGGCAATACGATGGCTATCCTGTCTGCGAGACAACATATGGCAGTCCGGGATCATCGGGAGAACGATATGGTCACAAGGGCGACGCGAGCGTTTGAATCCCTAGCCGTTGGTACAAAAGGCACGAAAGGGAGTTACTCTGCAAACATTCCATACCGATGTCTCAAATCATCCTCGACCCAGCTGGGCACGTATTAGCTCGTCTGGCAAGTCACGTACATCCTAATGACAAAGCCCGTTGCCCACAGCCAGGAGAAGGTTCATGCCGCTCTGTATCTATACGCCGATAGACCGGACTCGCTTGGAGAGGTGAGATTTGTTATTCATTATTAGACTGGGCTTTCAATGACTTGTCGAACATTGGATCGTGTCATTTCCGAAAGCAGGCGGCAACGCATGACATTCGAGCCGTCATCGCGGAGTTTCTAGATGAGATCCACGCATCGTTCCCCACGGTACATGAACGAGACCATGAGCTGGAAGCGTGTGTACACGAAACCATTGCCTCGTGGGGTCTCGGTCAGTATGTCGGCATTCAACACATTGAAACAGCTATTACGGGGACTACCAGTGCATACGGGCATATTTCTTCAATCGAGACCAAGATTCAAATTGTACTGTTCACAACCTTGGTCTTGGCACTGGATGATCCCGTCGTCTTCGAGTCACTATCATTCCACGAGCTCCTTCAAAAGATCTCTGTAGGCTCTTCTCAGGATGAACGTGGGTTTCTTGGGGAATTCACTAAAATTCTTACCGGCATGTGGGTCCACTATCCCGTCTCTTCAGCGAACACCATCTTCGTTTCCGCCCTCCGCTACGTCAATGCATCAGTACTCGAACGCGAAAGCGTACATAGCGCATCAAGGACGCTTTCGTACGTTGAGTACAAGCGGAGCATGTCAGCGACCACGGAAGCGTACGCTTGCTTTATCTGGGATAAGCAGCAATTCCCAGATGTCAAGGCATACATACAAGCAATACCGTAAGTCACATAAGCTGCGTCCGCACAGACATCGCTAACTCCCTCTACATGTCGGGTAGCGATGTGATGCTCTACGTGAGCTACGTGAAGTAAGTGCTGGTCACCATAAATAGCATCATGATAAATCTGAGGCTAACCGGTCTATATTTCCAGTGACATATTATCCTTCTACAAAGAAGAACTCTCCGGGGAGACGGACAACTACATTCACGAGCGCGCTTGCGTAACGCGAAAGAGAGAAATTGATACTCTGCGAGAGGTTGTTAGCGACACACTCGCCGCAGTGGAGCGAATCCGCGGAGTACTAGGCGAAGGCGAAGCTAGAGATGCGTTTGAGAGCTTTGCTGCAGGTTATGTCAGAGTTCATATGATCAATCCTCGATACCGCTTGGACGAGATCATGGGGAAGCCTCATAGTACGTAGTCGTTCTAGATGATACTAGTAGCATGTGGAATGAAAGTATAGTCTGGACAAGATACGAGAGCATGAGACTCGCACACTGTTACTCGCATGAGATCGTGACAGCCTGTGAAGACATGAAGCAGAGGCAGTGAAGACTGCAGGAGCAAATTGTGGCTTGAGGGCCACAGTGCAGTTGAGTCTTGACAGCGTTCAAGCACCGAGTTAGCCAACCAGAAACAGCAAGGGGTCGAACAGCGTAACAGCCATCGGGCGGCAATATTCTCGGAGACCCGGAAAAGCATCATTGCCAATATGGCACACCGTGGGGTACGCTGTGTAAATTAGCAAATCGTTCCACCGTTACGGTTCAGCCCGCCGAGGACAAACATCTCCGCCGAGGACAGACACCTCATGCGCGTTCAACTTCAACTTGTCAACTTGAAGACGCGAGAACCGAATGTAGAAACTCACTTCATAAATATCCAAAGAGCATCTTCAACTGGTCCTACCAAACACTTAGCGAGGTTGGTCCACTCAGAGATCATCGCATACTTTTGCAATTGTAATTAACGGGTAGTGGATGTCGGGTTCGGGAGGGGTGTCATGTACAGGTGACGCGGGAGGACAGACATGCCCAGAATCTAATTCAATCTACTAGGGGGATTCGACCAAAACCAGACATTCTGACATTTACAAGCATCTCAAGGCTGCTCAGGGTAAACTTGTGGACTCGCAATTTGAAATGGGAATTATATCAGGCTCTCGTAACAGCTAATTCTTTCTTATCTGTCGATTGCGTTCTGACGCCTTCAACAAACAAATTAAGAACAGACTCGATCATGAGGTCTCGACACAGGTACAACGTGAAGGTGAATACCATAAACAATGGACCAATCAGAATATGGCCTTACTCCACCTTCGATTGCCGTTTACGGAAGAGTACCTTCGTGTTTGCCGGGATGATGTCGTGCCAGACCCATACATCTTCTGGCCTGGAAGCACCGTCCTCGAGCTTCACATCGTAGTGCAGGATAATGTATGCCATCATTGCTTTGAGCTCGTGAGCGACAAAGAAGCGGCCAGGACTGTTGAGGAGACTGATAAGGGGAAGAGTAAGTGAGCAGGACAACGACCACTCACCAGGCATGCTTCCCGTGACCGAAGGCAGGGTAGTCTTTGGAAGTATTGACAAACTGCATGCCAAGCGTACCATTCTCGGCGCGCATGTCGTAAAACCTGAATGGTACGAACGCCTCAGCATTCTCGTAGTACGTCTTGTCGGTATGAGTCGCGAAGGCCGCAGCAACGATGAGAGTTCCTTTAGGTATATATGTGCCATCGGACAGAGTGATGTCCAGCAGAGCCTTGCGGATCAGGGAGACTGTGAGGACCAATGTCAGCAACAGAATGTCAGATTGGTGGTTGCCAGCGGAGTAAATAACGTGTGCACGTACCGCCGGAATTAACGCCCAGACGCTGCGATTCTCTCATGAAGCTGTCTAACTTCCACATCTCGTTGATGGCATTATACGTCCAGCCATGTTCCTTGATTATATCCTCGACCTCTTCGCGAAGTGGCTGCATGTATTGGGTATGCGCAGCGAGGTTAAATAGCGCGTGTGTGATGCTCTGATCGGAACACCCAGCATAAGAAATCCTTCATTGGTAGCCACAATCAATGGCCTACTCACATTGCTCGCTGTGTGAACGGCAGAGGATTCGACGCCAAGATTCCCTGGACTACGAAGTCGGGGCTCAGCTTCGCCTTCTGTGTCTCCTCGATAAGCCATGTAAGGTAGTCGTGCTATGAGCGACACACGAACAAATGGATCACGAAGACGAATCAACAGCATGAAGCTGAGCGTACCGGCTTGTCTCCATGACCGTCACCGGCGTTCTGCAATCTCTGGAGGCGTTCTTGAGCCATTGGCTGAATACATACGGAGGCATGCCGGGTCGCGCGCTTTACCCAAGGCAGGACGTTCCCTACAATCCTACAGATAATGTAAATTTGCGGGGAGAGATAGATCTAAGAGACGCATATATGGCGAAGTACTCACCCTCTCACCCGGCCTGGCATGACATTCAGAATGTCTCTCGCTTTCGAAACGGAGAGTGCATATTCGACGAGAGTGTCCAAGAACTTTGGGTCACGGCCTTGAAATGACATGTGAGTACGACGCAGCAGCACAGGTAGCGACCTTACATAGTGGAAGGCCGACAAAAACACGGTTGCTAACCCGGGAAACGATGTACGCCATGGTGTTACGAACTGAAATGGCTACCCATTCTGGCGAACACACGATGAACATCCCACCCGCAAGGAATGCATTCGTCCGCCGTGACACTTACCGCCATCATGGGTGGGTAATGGCATAACCTCTGGGAAGGCGGTCTTCATTTCGTCCACGACGTCGGGGAACAGCAAGTTCAAGTTGCGGGTGAGAGGCCCACGAATCACCGCCGTATGTATGGGATGGTCAGTAATATCAGGCGCAACGGTGTACTTAGAGTGAATAAACTATGACATTGCGTAAACACATAGTCAGCGAAGGCCCGTAGTAGAACAAAAACATGACGACCCGAGGCGTGGGAGTTACCTCATTCACAGCTTGGGCAAGGGAGACATGTGTGTCAGGCAATTTGCGGAGCTCCTCGTTCATGTCGGCACCGCTTACAACGACCACCCACCGGTCGAGCATGGGGACTCGAAAGACCTTGTACTGCGAGAGTCCAAGACCCAAAAACATGAGCTCTCATCGTCAAGTGCAATGATATATCGTGCCTTACCTTGCGGTAGCCCTCTCGGAGGACCTGCCGGCCATGATAGTAGTACCTATAAGCGCCTAGGTATGACAAGATAGGTGCTGACGGGCCGATTGCTGGGATATTGTACAGCTGAACCACAAAGTGAGCATGCAGTGCGGACGATATTTGTATCAGAACTGACCGGGTCAGCTTTCCAATATATGAAGTAGAGCGAAGCCAAGAGGCCCAAGAGTGCGAAGATATACTGTGTTTTGTCTTCCATTCTACACAGATGATGCGCATCCACGTATTGCGGGGTTGGCGTGGCCAACGTCTCGATAACATCGTCAATTTATAGCAAGCGATCAAGTGAAGGAGGTTTGCAGATATGACAATATGTGTGCCAGAGCTCGCGTTGTGGCGTAGCAACAGCGATGCCATTCACACGATGTGGTGCCCAAATTGTGTAGTATTAGGCTATGTAATTTCCTCAATCACATCGGTTGAAGAATCGAAGGCCAATTGTCAATGAATAGAGAAAGACTGAATACGCCCCCGGGAGGGAGATATCTCCGACACCGGAAAAGGCACTTCGAGGGGTAGTGACACTTCCCTAATTCCTGCTACGAGAGTACTCTGGGTACCAGTAGTAGACGTATACAGGAAATTTGCAATGTCCGTCTTCGGATGACCTATGGCATACAACGGCAAGAAGGCACGTGTGTGGCGCCCGTTCCGTGCGCTGTTCATCCTTGCGTGACCCACACTGCTGCAAGTGTGTGACAGGGATTCGCAATGGTGCCAGAAGGGTTCGATGACAGAGGTCGCGATAAGCTTGGTGCCGTCTTCCACGGAAAGGTCAGGCATAGAAGCAGGCACATAAACCGGATACAGAAGTTGAATCCAGTACAAGAGGCCTAGAGGATGAGCAAATGTTCGCGATTCGAGGAAGCAAACAGAAGCAAACGCGGATGAATGTGCGCTTGTCAGCGCGGTCACGTAGTGGTCACGCACGCGACAAAGTGACCAGGCACGATCGTCCCTGCTATCTCAGCACTTTCCCACTTCCAGCCTTCTCCGAGACAGTACTGCGATCCCACCTAGATGAGTCACCGCTCACTTGTGGGTATCCCTCCCTCAGCAATTATGACACTCACAAGAAACTGTCGCTAAGTGTTGGGACGTACAACTTCTTTGACTCAGTATATCTCCGGTGTCAGAAGAACGAATCTGACGGGCACTAGATGGTTTCACTCATACAGATGGCGGATACTGTAGTACTTGCGTGATGGAACTCGGGACTGAACGTAGCTAACATTTGGTAGCTATGCGACCTTTCCCCAAGATGTGCGCAGCGATCGACGGCTCGTTCATCCCTTGTACCGCAGCACTCAGTAGTTGCTCCCAGGAAACTACTTCCAAGTCCATCAGTCAAGCCTGTAAATCGCGCTCTCATTGTTGGCATGGTGGACAATGCCGCTGATTACCTATGTGGAATATAACTGACTTGGTACGACTCGGACAGCACGCACTGCTTCCCAAGCTGCCAAATGTGGTGAGCAATGTTGTTGAATGCGGCCGATAAGAACAATCCGTGCTGACCGCGCGATTTGCGATCAGTATTTATAAAGGCGATGTTCGCATCCCTCGGGTTACATTACATCTGCGTGACACTGTCTTACCACTGGTTCTCACTTTTAGCCACACCAGCTTCACAAGCGGTGATTCATGAGACCATGGCTTGTTCTTCAATCTGGTTAAGGTCCAATGGACAGTCACTTGTCTCCGAGCCACAGTATAGAGTAATACAACGGCTTAGCTCAGGTTATCGACACGTAGACATCACATAGGTCGCGTAGAGCATCGCGTCGTCAGTTATTAGTTCGAGTCAGCAAAGTGCTAGGCGAACCCAGAGATCTTGCTGCAGGTTATGTCAGAGCCTACCACATAGCCGAACCTCGATACCGCTTGAATGATATCATGGGAACACGCCGTAGGACACGACCATTCTAGATATGAAGTACACCGAAAACTGCATGAATTAATGCTGATAAATTCCACTGACATACCTGCGATGGTCATTATGAAGTTTTCCAAGAATTCCAAGTCGTTCATGCAGTATGTAGATTATAAATATAGACCGGATGACATACATCAAGAACATGTGACAACATAATTTGTATGAATTTATGACGGCGTCGTGAAGACGTGAAACAGAGGCGGCGGTGACTGCGGGGCAACTCAAGGCCAGAAAGAATGCCGATTAAAACCAGTTGAGAACTGCAGCGAATGATGGACAAATGAGGATCACAGCGCTAATAGCAGCGACCGAACCAGCCAGCCAACCAGAAACAGGACAAGGTTGAATAGCGCAACAGCCATTAAAAATGTTCTGCCATTTGACGGCGAGCCACGAGTGAGGTCGCAGGCCTTGGTGTCCGATTGAGGCGATAAGGCTTGCAATGACAATCCGATGGGTGGGACAATAGAAGGATCGTGAGCATCGGAAGGCGAAGGGGCTGGCGTCGACAGAGTAGCGGGCGCATCATTAGGAGGCGGTTCGACATTGGGGGCCTGAGCAACAGCAGGATGAATTACGTTCCCACTCCTATAGAAGAAGCACCCCAGTTCGATGAGATACATTGCTTCGTCTAAGGTGGAGGATTTGACAAAGAGGGGCACAGGAAAGATCTCTATTTGCCGTTGGTGGGCCCTGGCATACAGAGTAATCTTCCACTCTCTTCCTCCGGATGTTTGATCAAGATCGTATACAGCCTTCAAGTATGTGATTGGTGGCAAGCAAGATGTAGTCCCGACGATCTTGTGGACGCGTAACATGTCTACAAGCTGATGCTGAATTCGATCAAAGGCCACGGACAGTCTCTTATCCCAGCGGGACGCTGCCTTCATACTGCAGAGTGTTTTGATCCTCGACTGCATACATTCGGGTCACTTAGCAGCGAAAGTCTCTAGCTTATGGGCGAGATAAGCAGTTCCTCACCAGGCGCTTCGTAGGAGTCAAGATTCCAGCGATGTGAGCCCGATCTTCGAGTTGTTTGACAGCTGCGACCAGGCTTAACTCATTCGCCGAGTGTTGCTTTGCATGTCCGACTAGGCTGGCTCGCCAATGTTGAGGAGGGAAAGATTGAGAAGGCAGGTCAGATTCGAGGGTGGGTTCGCCCATGTATTCTAGCACCAGCCGGGTCGGTGATATTCCAATACTTCGTTGAACAAGCGACTCTAGATGCTCGGCGTCGATGATGGTATGACTGAACCTGCAGCGTTGGTTTCTCGAACATTGCCCTGTGTTAGAAAGTTCTTTGCAAGCTGTTCGAGATGCGGCATCGTCATGCAGGGCAGGTATTCTACGGGGAGCGCGAGGAAGATACGGCAGGTAGTCCATTTTTTGAGAAATACACGTACTTAGCGAGAAAGGCGCGAAGACAGCTGAACAAGGTAAACAAACAAAGTAAACATCGAGTCCGGACGCGCATCACGTGCACAGGATCTGTGACATTGCGATTGTGACGCAACGCGTATTTTGACGCGTCGAAACGTCACAGTGACAACGTTTCTCCTCTCACCTCTTCGCGCATCACAATGTCCTTGGATGAAATCACACAATGCCTCGAGGCAACTCTCTCTTCTAACCCCACAACACGTATTTCTGCAGAACTGAAGCTTAGCGACCTACTCACCACGCCAGGCTCGTTCATATCCTCCAACCGCCTTTCGCTGTCTGACTTCGCATTTGTGGCAACGCATGATTGACGCGTATTAGATACGGGTTTGAAGCTAGCACAGGTCTTGCTCATCCAAGATTTGAATACTGGGCTGCGACAGATAAGTTTACCCCCTTCCGACGTTCCACAGTGACTTGATGACAGCCCATGTTACTCCAGCACTCAGCATGCATCACGTTACGGAGATACGTGAATGAACGATGGTCTCCAGCTCTGCCGCAGTGGAAAGGGCCAGGTGCCACAGCCGAGGTGTGTTTTCATACTAATACGCTGTCTTCACCACATCTTCGGTCGGAAACAACGACGATGCGATGAGACATCCGATTGCCTTCGATCGCACGCTGTCTACCTCCTCGTGGTGATTGCACGCGTTACCTGGATTCCTACAGTTGTGAATTCTTGGTCTCGACTCAACATTTCCGTTGTGATTCAGTCCGGGCCGCCATGTTGTGTTCAGTCTACTGGTCGTTGCGCTTACTCACTTATGGTCACAGGTCAAAGTACAAATCCGTCAAGCAGTTTTTCACGGTCTATCGGATCCAGAGAATAAAATTAGGTCCCTCTGTGTAAGTTCCGAAATTCGTGTTGTTTTGCAGACTACTGAGATTCGTCGGAATGTCACAGGCTCAAATCGTGTCGAAAGTGGCCAACAGTGACTGGCCTGACGATTGGCCAGATCTTTTAGACTCTGTGATCGCTCTTCTTTCCTCCAATTCGCCTCCATCTGTGCATGGTGCTATGCAGGTTTTGCTGGAGATCATCAGGACAGATTTGACAGAAGACCAAATCCTTCCTGTACTTCGACAGCTGATGCCTCTGTTACTCAACATCCTTGGAGCTGCTGAGGTAATACCATTACTCACATGAATGATCCCAACGCAGGCTGACTGAATCGTCCAGCAACATTCGTTGTTAACGCGCGCGCGCGCTGTTGGGGTGTTCCGTAGTTGTGTGGAGACGTTGTACATGGTCAAGAGTCAGTATCCTGCGGCCGTGAAAGAAGCCGTCGAGTCTATCTTGCCTCCATGGCTGGACGCTTTCAAAATTATTCTAAGCACGGATCCAAGGCAAGACGTCCAGAACTCATCAAATTGGGATGGTATTGCTCTACGTTTCCAGATCTACAAGGTGCAGATTTCCCTTTCACCGTTACGCTGGCGATTGAACTAAGTGGGACGCGTGATGTCAGGCCCTCGATGCAGTGCAAGCTCCGTTCCATCGTGTCTTGATACCGTATAACGGCGACCTCCTAACTGCGTCCCTCAATCATCTCAATGCGCTCTACTCTACCTTTGTACATTATTATCTCCTTGCTGAGGACTCAATTCCTGCTCCGTCCGAAAGTGAGTCTACTGGGCTCCCACAGCTCTTCTGCGCCATTGTCGATTTCTTGTCGGGTATCACGAGACATGCCAGAGGAAAGGAATGGTTCGTCAGCGAAAATACCAAAGGCCTATTGGCCGCAGTAATCAATTGGATACAAGTCACGCAGGATGATGTAAGTCCTACGTTTGGTGCATCGCGGGGATTCTGCCGTACTCATTGATGTTGAAGGAAGAAGAATGGCTTAGCAACGCCAACGCATTCGTTGCTCAGGAAGCAGAAGATACGCTCGCGTTCAGCGTTCGATTAGCGGGACTGGACATGCTTGCGGTATAGCCTATTCTTATGATGTCGACGATCAGGCTCATGCCTCTATTAGTCATTGGTCGAAGGCTACCGCCCGGTAGCGATGATTGCCATGCATCAAGTAATCCAGGAAATCACGACGCAATCAGATGGTGCTCGGAGTGCTGGTAATACAAATTGGTAAGCTAAGTAATTGATATGATTACATGATGTTAACTAGTAACGTTCAGGTGGCGACCCTTGGAGGCCATGTTAGCTGCAATAGGTTCGCAAGCCGATGAAATCCTTGAGTACATCGACGACGAGGTGGACATGGGGAACCCGAAGCCAACCGATGTCGAAACTCTCCTAGTTAACGTTATCCCGAATCTTCTCGGACTCTCAGGTAAGAGTTAGCTCAGCCTATACGACGCACCATTGAGGATACAACATACGGCGGCGTAGATTGTCCGTTCTTGCAGGGTCGAGCATTTGTTTTCGCCAGCCAGTACACCAAAGTACTGCCCGAACAATTGGCTGGCCAATACCTGCATGCTACTGTGCAAGTTCTAGAAGCTGGCGAGGCCAACATCCCCATCAAGGTTTCTGCCGTGAAAGCGATCCACAAGTACGTCTATGCACAAGCTGCTCATTCTACATTGCATCTCACACGCGGACAGCTTCTGTCAGGGCATAGATGACGCCTTGCTCGTACCCGTTATACCGCGCATCGCAAAGGCTGTTGGACCTTTCTTAACAGTCACTTCCGAGGATACCTTGTCCCTGGTCCTTGAGAGTCTGTCCGTGATTGTGGAGATAGATGGGGGAAAATGGATGACTCCTGACCTCGCAAATTCGCTTGTAGTCGCTTGCCTCGACGTGTGGATGAAGAACAACAAAGGTGCGATACACGTAGGCCTGCTCGACTGTGCTCTCACCGTACCATAGATCCTCTCATCATCTCTGTTCTAACGGAGATCCTGGCCTCCGTGACTGCTTCTCCTGCCCAGGGAGTCTATGAGACTGCTATAAAGCAGGCGCTGCCCCCACTTTGTAATGCTATCATGGCGTCAACTGAGGCGGAACATTGGATCACAGGTGCCGCCATTGATCTGGCGTGCAGCCTTGTTCGGGGCGCACCAGATACTGGTCTCGGTGAAGGGTTCTTGGGTATGCTTGCACCTAGTCTATTCTTTGCGATGAAGACTGTCGAAGATCGTGAGGTGATTCAAGTGAGTTACCCAAACACCCCGCACGCAATCGTGTATTTATGTCGATATAGAACGGCATTACCTGCCTCACGCTTATCATCCGGAAAGACTTTACACAGCTGCGGACATGGTCAGACCCAACCACCGGCCAATCGGGTCTCGACTCTGTGCTTGCTGTCATCGCTAAGCAAATGCAAAGTCAGGACGAATCTGGAGGACTGGTGATTGGTGATCTGATCATCCACCTCCTGCGTAGAGCGGGAGAGGCCGTGCTCCCGATACTACCTGAGTTGCTGCAAGCCATGATCAATCGCATGAAGTCCGCCAAGACGGCTACGTTTATTCAGGTACGCTACCAATTTGCGTGATTGTGATCATTCGGGCTTACAATGCTACCCTAACAGAGTCTGGTCATCCCGTTTGCGTTCCTCATTAATAATCAACGCGACACAGTACTCTCTCTTCTCGAATCCATGAATGGCGAGGGCCGTTCCGGGCTCGATATCCTAATCCAAACCTGGTGTGAGAATGAGGAGACCTTCCAAGGTTTCTGGGCCCAGCGTGTCAGCACTCTGGCATTATGCTCCTTGTATGCTTCAGAACGCCCCAGTCTGCAAAGCATCACCGTAAAGGGCGATTTGATTATCAAACCAGAAACAAGGAATGGTGAGTGATATCCAGCGCGTATGTCATCCTGGAGGTGAGCAGGACTGATCGTCAAATCCAGTCATCATGACGAGGTCGAAAACGAAGAGCAGTATGCCGTGCGCTACGAAAGCTTATGCACTTAGCTCACATATATCCCCTTTTGCAGTGCCCACAGAGTTTACTATTGTTCCGTTCCCCGTCAAAGCTCTCAAGTTGCTCCTCCATGATCTGCAAGCAGACGGGGAAGCGGCATCAAAGGGGTTGGGTAAGGTTGCATCGGACGTCGGTTCGGATGACGGGGTACGTAACCTCATCATCCATGGAGGCCGAAAAATGCTGACCTTCGGCCTGCAGGACAGCGAATGGGCCGAGGACCCTGATGAAATAAACGGTGGCCTGCGTCCGAATGAGATGGCCTTTCTCTCAGACATGCTGGGAGCCCCTAGCGGCTTGCCCTTTGACAACGATGATATGCTGGACGCGCCCGATGACGAAGACCTCAAAAATGACCAAGTATCTCAAATGGATATGAGGGTTCGTGACACCATGTACTTCTTGAGGCTATGGCTGACCCCGTTGCTTAGGAGCATCTGTTATCCTTCTTCCGTCAATGTGCTGCTCGCAACACCAATAACTTCTCTGCTGCAGTCTCTCAACTGAACGTAGATGAAACTTTGGTTGTACGTCGGATTGTTGGCCAGTGATAAAATCGGATGTACATGATCATGTTGTACTGGTCTTGATATAGATTAGTTTGGCGACTGCGTGTATAGCTACAGGATGTATGATTTATGATGACGCGAACTACAAAAAATAGAATATGTGGGCAGGAGTTTGCATCGTATCTACCTTCGCCGTCATGTGATGGTCATATAGCACGTCGCGTTCGTGTAATGTGATATTGATATCGTGAGCCGAAGTGCAAGATGATTCACAGATGTGTTCTGAACAAAAAGGCGGCTAGCAATGACAATTATAGGAAATGGTACATACTGTACATAAGGGATTCAAGTACCAATAGGACACGGGTATAGTTGTTGCTCTACAGTCCATCCTTCCCGAGATCCCACTCTCGCACAGAACCCCTCTTCTTGTACTGAATCTCCATGAGGCTGTCCTGGGACCAGCGTGTTGCAGCATCATCGTCGCCCTTCTTGACCTTCTTGTCCTTACTCTTGTCCTTGCCGATGCCCCACCGCTCAAGTACCTTCTTCTCCGCTTTGTCCTCGCGGCGCTGCCGGATTATCTCCAGCATTGCGTCCCAGCCCGCAAATTCATCATCACTGATGAGGCCTGTCGCAGGCACAGATGGAACAGCAAGGGGAGCGACATCGAGACGAGGGTCGTACGAATCCTTGAAATACTTGTCCATCTTTGACGGGAGAGGCGGTGGAGGCGGTAGTGGTGGAGGGGAGGATACGGGAGGTGGGGGCGATCGAGACGAGCCTGCCGAGGACCGAGTAGTGTGAACTGAGGGCTCCGCCTGCGGTGTCGGGCGGCGCGATGGCAAGTCGTCGGCGGCTAGCTCGTGGTCCTTCGGCTTCGAGGATGCTCGGGACGGCGCGGACTGCGTGTCATGTAGTTCGACGGTCGCGCTCGCCTTCTGCTTCCCCTTGCGTCGGGAATGCTCGTCGTGTCGGTCAGACTGCTTCCCATTGCGATGGGAATGCTCGTCGTGTCGGTCAGATTTGCCATCCCTACGGGGGTCCGATCTCGACGTGTGGCGGTGCCGGTGCTCTCGCTCGCGCCTCTCCGACCTCCTTCTATGTCTCCTGTGCTCGTCATCGTCCTCGTCGTAGTCAGACCGCCGCTCCCAGCTCCTCTCACGTCGTTTGCGATCTGCCCTCTCACCTCGATCCCAATTGTGTGCCCAGTCTGTCCGTCCACTGGTGCCCATGAGCCGACGAAGTCGTTCAGCGGCAGCCGCCTCCTCTGCACGAGCCCGCCGCTCACGCCGCTCTTGTTCCTCCCGCTCTGCTCTGACCTCTTGTGCAGCGAGAGCTTGCGCTCGGAGGATTGTCTTGTTGTGGTCATCGGTGCTCCGAATAATTGATGACAGGAAACGTTTGTTCGCCTTAGGCGCATTACTCTCTGAGCTGGCGGGGCCTATCAATAGGCTTGCGGATAGAGTGTATGAACCATGCCACTCACTATCCACTGGGGAGATATGCGCGAATCCCATCCTTCCCATACTGCTCCGCTTTCTGCTTTGCCTCCTTGAGAATGAGTTCTGCTACATGTCGGTCAAGATCCTCATCGGTGACTGTACCGGACACAGAGGTCCCCATTTGTGCCCGCATGAGATTTGATACGACTGATGATAGCGAGGACATTGCTAGTCAAGCAGCCTGAGTGGTGGCGGAGTGGTGGCGAAATGGTGTTTGTGCAGGCAAGCGCCCGCGATCGCTACTATTCGGCAGGTACCGAAAGTTACCTTTTCCAGCACATATGCTCTCCAACGTCTTAGCACTCGACTGTACTGATACACACTGTCGACCTCTTGCTCATAGTCGCTACGGTAGTTGCTCACAATGGCTGACGTCGCTGCACCGCCCGCTATCCCCGATGCCATGCAGGGTGTCATCGCCGCCCCTGCACCGATGCCCGGCACTGCGTCTGTCGCTGCTCCTGCAGAGCCCGCCGAGCCAGAATTCATCTCAGAGACACTCTACATCCAGAACCTGAATGAGAAAATTAAGATACCAGGTACGTGCTTCTGCGATTGTGCGCAGAGGAGCGCTGACTGTATATGCGTGGACAGTGCTCAAGGCCTCCCTGCGTGGGCTCTTCAAGGCGTACGGCGAGGTACTCGACGTGGTCGCACATAGTAACCTGCGCATGCGCGGCCAGGCGTTCGTATCATTCGAGTCTGCGGACGTCGCGAAGAAGGCGCTGAAGGAGGTCAAGGGCTTCCCGCTCTACTCGAAGCCGATGGTGAGTCTGCGTGCTCTCTGCGTAAAGTGCGGATGCCAATGTGGGGTCCGGCAGCAAATCTCGTTCGCAAGGACTCGTTCGGACGCAGTTGTGAAAAAATTGGATGCGGCGCGCTTTGAGGAACACAAGGCGCATAGAATAGAACAAAAAAGTGGGTGGATGGTTTTCTGTGTCCCATTTGCTGGTTCTAACCCCCTGACAGAATCGACGCGGTATACGAACCCAATCAAGCGGAAGTATCGCGCGAGAAAAATGGCTGCAGAGTGTGAGCCCTTCCCGCTATATCTTAGCGAAAGTAGGTGATCCTGATGGAGTACTTATTGTTGCAGTGGACGGGCCTGGGGCAGTACCAGTATCGAAGCGGCCAAACGTCCAGATGCCGGACGAATATCTCCCACCAAACAAGATTCTCTTTCTGCAAAACCTTCCCGACAGCGTCAGCAAGGATCAGCTCATGGCACTGTTCTCACAGTGCGTACCATCGCCCGGGGTCCATGTATGGTTGTATGCTAATACTTGCTGACATGCAGATACCCCAACCTCTACGAGGTCCGTCTCATTCCGACGAAGAAAGACATCGCGTTCGTGGAGTACATGGACGAGGGGAGCGCGACCGTCGCGAAGGACGCGCTGCACAACTACAAACTCGACGGCGAAAACAAGATCAAGGCATGTCTCCGCCTCACTATATGCGCATATACATCGCTGACACACCGCCCTAGATCACTTTCGCAAGGAAATAAACGCCCGCGAGCGAGTCCGACTCTGTTGTCTCGTGCGCTGTTGTCCGCCGCTTCGCGCCCTTGCTACCACCTATCGGAGTTGAAGACGTTCGACCAAGATCGCTGATGAGTGTATTCTTGCCTGTATCATAGTCTATGCTACCTGTTGTACACGCGGTCGCAACATCCCTGTGCCGTAATGCATTTTCTCTCTTCAATGCTGGATCTTGAAGTGAATTGACCCGTCTAGTTGTTCGAATCAGTGGGATTCGTACGACAGACAAACCAAACCAAATGCCATTGCTAACTCGGCAGATCTCAGAACCATCAGCAAGCTGAAGAGGAGCACTTGCCCGAACCGGGAGTGGCCATGACAAACAGATCTCAGAGTATTGTCGCGGGTCTTAATACTTACGTCAAAACATCTTCTTGTGGACTTCGGGATCGCCATGCATGCTGGCCAGCTTCGCTTCACTCTGACTGGTCGCTGTAGTGCTACGCTGTCGTGCATCCCTGGCAACGCACCAGAATAGCCATAAACATGTCCTTGAATTACTTGATCCCGGAAGAGAACCTAGACAGAGCATTCGAGTATTTTCTTGTGCGTTTCCGGACCTTGATGACGGGGGAGCAAGGCAGCCTACGGTGAATCATCACGGTGTCAGCAAGCATGAGTATAACCAAAAATGACAATGGCTAATATACAGTTGTGTTCCAGGATAGCGATGTCAAACCAAGAAACGAAAGCGAAGAAAACGAAACAATCTCGAGAATGGTTCAATCATGTTTGGGATAGAACCTTCACTGCGGCCGACGGCACCGTCATCACCTCCGCGAAAGTGCGCGACAGTGCCGCGGAGCCGGAAGCTTCCGCCTTGATCTTGCAGAGGCTACGGAAAGCGACACTAAAGGCGAATTTTGGGTTTTCTTGGTAGGCACAGGATGCCAAGATGGCGTCTAGGCGTACAGGGAACTCCGCAAAGTGAGGGACATTGTGCAAATCGCGCATAAAGCTGATCGCGAGGTCCTTGTAGGGTTTCCCCTTCTCCGCCTTCGCCTTCGCGTCCACACGTGACTTGGATGGCGAAGCTTTGGCAGGGGATTGCGGGGATTTACTGGACAAGGACCGCCAAGCCTGAAGACCGCGATGGACGTGCTCCAGGATAGAGGTCGTTTCACTTTGCAGGCTGCGAAGGCCCTGAGTCGCTATAGTAGTCGCTAAACGACTTGCTTGTTGGTAAGGTCTAAGTAGATCGTTATCAGGTTGTTGGGCGAGGTCTGCGCGCATTCCATCGTATTTAGCTAATAGTTCGCTTTGTAATGTCCTCCCAGCGTCCAGGAGTGTCTCCAGTACGAAGCGTCGCCTGATTTGTCGCCGAAGCCTTGACTTATAAGGGCCGTTGAGCACTGTTGATGCCGTGCTGCTTTTCGTCATGCAGTCGGGCTTCTCCTTATCATATTGCTGCTTGTCTTTCTTGAAGACCCCGTCCTTGACCCTCAAACCTGTCTTTCGTGAGTCAAGGACAGTGCAGAACCTCCACGGAAAGTGAGTATAAGGCGCAAAGCATGAGTCGTCGAGAACCTACATGAACGCAATACGCAAAGTAGTTTGATCAGCGTACCCGAACGCATAAGCCGTGTTCTCGTGCATGGTCGAGTATAGGCCGATGGGAACTTCCGAGAGTCCAGATAGTAAGACCTTGCTTAGCTCTATCTGCTGAGAAGGGTTGCCGAGTTCAGCCAGCCTTTGTTTGAGGCCGAAGACCTGCTCAATTGACCCTTCCGCTTCGAAGAATGTTTCCTTGAATCCGGGTGGAGGATCATTGATTGGCGAATTCTCGAAACTGTCGACCAGATCCGGATCGAAGATGCAGGTACAGACGTCTAGACAGGATCAATGTAGTTACTGATTACATCCTACGAGATCGTCTTACCTCCGTCCACATCTGCGGTAATGGATGAGATTTAGTAAGGCTGAGAATAGCAACCCTTACTCACCACCGCCAGCCAGTATGTTCGCTAGCGACCGACTGCCTTTCACGGGCAGTACTATCACATTGACGTACTTGTCCAGCTTAGGATGGCTCACGGCCTTCACCTGATATTAGGACGCTCAGTAGCGCCAATTTGGCTGCACTGCGCGAACGAACCTTCCGGACGTCTGACGGCACCCTCGTTGGGTTGCGGTATATCTACCGAAATAAGTCTTAAGACTCGCGTTAGATCGCAACCGATACGTACTAGAACGTCACCAGTAACGATCGTTGGATTTGATTCCTCAAGTGGGTCTTTCAAGTTCTGCGTTGACTTGAAATGGATCTGACCCTCCTCCAGGACACCATAAGGATCTATAACATACATCACAGTCACGGGAAAATGTGGGCCAAATCGATACCAACCTGGAATTATGAACGCCTCGGCGGAACGAGGAACTGTTATCTTGTAGTTCCTGATATAGTCTTCAATTCGGTCAGCCACGACCTTCCTCAGCTTCTCGTACAAGAGCGGAAGCTTCAGCGGCTGGAAGCCGGCTTGCAACAACTCCAGGACTGCCGCGGACACTGACGTGGGCTCGCCCTCATATTCAAGGCTTCCAACCTCGAGCGTCTCGTCCTCCAGGCCATCGTCGACGTCGTCATCTTCCCAATCATCGCGATCTTGAGCTCTCCCGAATCCAAGAATTCGCGCACCGCCAGCTGCCTGCTGACGGAGCTTGGATAGCGTAACGTGGCCCACCTGATTGACCGCGTGCCATAACAGTACCATAGCGTGTGGACCATCCCAAGTGGTCAGTGCCTCGACCTCCTTCTTGAGCCCGTCCTGCATAAGCTTGATGAAGGTCTCATCAGGGACGCCGTTGTGCGACAGATTCATAATGGTGTACATAGAGAGTCGCGCGGGAATGGTTATACGTGGTGGGGCGACCAGGTCGAAGGTTAGTTGCGCGGGCCCAAGCTTTTCGTCGTGGTGCTTGATTTTTTGCTGTGAAGAGCGGATCCACATCCTGGGTAGCGCATTGGGCTCCTGGTCCTCGGGATGTAGTGCCCACAGGCCCTTGGACCCGGCAAAGCGACCCTGCACCACAGTCGGACGCTCTGAATAGCCGATGAGGCGCCCAATTGCTGTCAGCGCGGCACCGTTCATGTATCCACACCCATCCGTGAAAATATTCTCGGTGGGTGCCTTCTTCAAAGACGAATGATATGGTGCAACTGCCAGATTTGTTTAGCAACCATTACACGGACCACGAGGAATGAAGGCCGCTAACCCAGATCATCGATATACTCGATGTCGATGCCAACGCCACGGAAGCGCAGAACTGGCATCGACGTCGAGAGCCCTAGCTCGAACCGGGTAATCCATTTCGATGTTGGCTTCATGAACATCATTTCAATCTCTGAGGAGAAAGAACCGAAAACGGTGAACGTTGCTCACCTGCCACGCGTTGAGAGCGAGCGGATTGTGCCAATCGACAAACTGCTCAAGCGAGATCCTATGCTGGTCGCCTCGACTATCAGCGACGCGTTCGAAATCCTCGTTGGTCTCCATCATGAAGACCTTGTGCTCTTTTGTCGCGAACGACACGAAGACCCTTCCGCAGAGCACGAACCGCTGTGCGAGGAAGTCACGCACGCATGAGACTTCGGCGCCGCGCATTAGCTCCTGCGGAATGCTAACTTGCAGTACGCGGCGCGAGCCGAGGAACCGGGCGAAGCGCGTCGACTTGCGCTTGAGCATCTTCTCGAGGACAACCGTGTATGGTGTCGGTGCGCCCTTGTCCTGCTTGACGAGCCGCGCAACCTGCTGGATGCGCCCGCCGTACCAGTTGGCCTCACCTTGCCACTCGCCCTGCAGGCCGAGTCCGCGAGTTGGGTCGTCTGCGAGCGCGGCTTGCTCTCGATCAAGCTCTATCCTGTGAGGGAATCAGCGCATTACCCCTGCGTATTGCATAGTGTACCAACCAAAGCGGCATGTCAGTCACCGGCGTCCTGTCCGAGGCTCGCGAGAGCATAACCGCGTGAACACGAGGGGCTGCCATTTGGTTCGGTCCTCTCAGTCGTTCCAATTTCTCCATGGTGACATCCTGCCAAGTCCACAAGCCAGAGCAGATACCGCGGGCGATCTCGTACTGCACCCCCCAAGACACCTGTTCTGCATCCAACATCGCCTGGACGTTGCGCGAATGCGCGATAATTACCGGGTCAGCTGCGCTGGCGCGTATAGCAGAGGTGGATGACTTCGATGCAGACTGCAACGCGATGGTGATGGACTGGCGAAGCCTGTCGGTGCGAGAAATTTGAGCAGAAGCATTTAATGGGGCCGCCTTTGACGGTGTTTGCGGGTCATCTCCCTTCATGGTGGTAGCGGCGGAATTGACAGATTCTGGGCGACCTGCACCACTGGCCGTCCTATATACTTGTCTGACGCCCGGGATAGCCGCCGACTTACTTGGCGAGGGCGTGATTTGAGGGAGAGGGACCATTTCTGAATGGCATGCAGGCGGCGGAAATCGGAGTGGCGCAGGTACGTGAAGCGTTGACGTCGAATCTCTGGGTATTGACGATGTTGAAGAGCTGTCCATCTGCCGCGTCTTCTTGCGTGCCTTGATACTGACGCGTGGCCCCGGCGAAGAAGGGCCTGCAAATACATCAGCGTAATCGAGCGTACGCTTTTTACTAGATGCAGACGAGAGAGAAGACACCGTGGACACCGATGTCATCGACGTCGCACGCGAAGGAAATTGGGTCGAGAAGGCGAAAGAGGATTCTTGTGTTTGAGGGGGAGTAGGATCCACGTCCGTATCCACTACTATGGTGAGGGTTAGTGGGTTATTTCGTAGATGTTTGTGTATACACTGACGATCCTCAACTTTAAAATTCGTGAGTAGAACCTAGATGACGACGTGAACGAACATCTCACCTTCCTTCTCATCTGCATCGCTGCCTTCGGCTGTGTAGTACCGTTCTTCTTCTGACTTCGGAATATAGTTAAGTTTCATGTCGATGTAATATATGACGCTCATACCTGAGACGTCGAGGATGTCTGCGTCATTGTACCATACGACGTGATATTCTTGCGCTTGCGTTTGAACACTAGGTAGCAAGATGCATGGCCCGACGTTTCGAAATTATACGTTCGTGCACGTACCGCCACTCGCGACATCGGTGGCCACACCCTTTTCGGCCATCCGCTTTGGCTTCGAACGCTTCTTCGAGGGGGACTTTGGCTTGGGTGAGCTCATCGGAGTACAGAGTAATCTCGCTCGGTGTAGCACCCCGTCCTCAACATCTGCGGGTGAGTCAGTTCTCATCTAGTATACAGAAGCATAGTTGTTTGTACGGTAGCTTCCCCTCGCATCGCATGCCACACCCGATAGACCCATGAAACATATACTCTTGGTGATGTTAAAATGAAGTCCGAATTGAACGCAAGCAGCAGCTCATTCCAATATCTAGGGCAGCTATTCTCATTCGTGACCGTGCATAGTCACGATGTCGTAGATTGGCATTTCGGCTCGAGGCAGGGCTTGGCGTTCGCACAAACATCAGGAATGACATTGATGAACAACAACGCACCCGCTTGATGAAGGGCCTGCTTCCAAAAGTCCCTCTCTCCGGAATTTTCTTCCTGCCAAAATTCTTCCTCTGATTCTTCCTGGGTCATAACATTTTAACTGTGCCTTCTCAGTCCGACCGCCGTACGACTTACCATTGGCCCGGGGGCCATGACAGCGGTTTCTCGTGTAAGTGGTGGATGCTGGGGGAAGGAGGATGCCTACGAGTGAGCGCGACTTATCTACTCGGGATCACAGTACTGTCTCGGAGAAGGCTGGAAGTGGGAGACCACAGCAGGGACGATCGCGATGCCGACAAGCCCGGCGCGTCGATTTGGCGCCCATTTACCATTGTCGCGTGACTCGTCCGTGACCGCGCTTCCAGACGCCCATTCGTCCCCGCCGCGTTGCTTCCGCGAACATTTGTATGATCTAGGCTGTACCAACATATTGCTCTATGCAACGCAAGTCCACAATATCCTCGCAATTCTGTATCGGATTCAGCTCTTGCATCCGAAATATGTGCCTCCTTCTATGGCTGGTCTGTCCGTGGAAAAGGACATCAAGCTTATCGCGACTTCTGCCATCGAATCCTTCTGTCGCCATTTCGAATACCTGTCACACACATGCAGCAGTCTGAGTCGCGCAAGGATCAGCAGCGCATGGATCGAGCACTACACATGTGCAGTTCTTGCTTTCATTTCAAGGACGCACGCCCGATAATGTCCCGTGCGGATTGGGTCCTCGGATATGCACTCGGTGCAAATATTCCTTTCCAGTAGGAGCGCGTTTCCCGCGGATCGATGGACATCGATCGTATGCCATGGGACATCCGGAGTGGCCTCGTTTCCAGATGCTGGGCGGACATTGCAAATTGTATATAAATACTCACAGCTAAAGGGTCTGATCTCGGCACTACCACTACGTTCATAGCAGAAATAGAGGCCACTTGGAATGTTGGAGGTAACACTAAGTATCCTTCAAAGTGCCTTTCCTGGCATCGGAAATGTCTTTCTAGGACGAAGATAGTTCAGTCTGCCCCCAGGGGCGTATTCGGTCCCCCTCTATTCCCTGGCGACTGACTCTGGACTCCTCAACTGATGTGATTGAGGAAATTACATAGCCTAATACTACACAATTTGGGCACCACATCGTGTGAATGGCATCGCTGTTGCTACGCCACAACGCGAGCTCTGGCACACATATTGTCATATCTGCAAACCTCCTTCACTTGATCGCTTGCTATAAATTGACGATGATATCGAGATGTTGGCCACACCAATCCCGCAATACGTGGATGCGCGACATCTGTGTAGAATGGAAGACAAAACACAGTATATCTTCGCACTCTTGGGCCTCTTGGCTTCGCTCTACTTCATATATTGGAAAGCTGACCCGGTCAGTTCTGATACAAATATCGTCCGCACTGCATGCTCACTTTGTGGTTCAGCTGTACAATATCCCAGCAATCGGCCCGTCAGCACCTATCTTGTCATACCTAGGCGCTTATAGGTACTACTATCATGGCCGGCAGGTCCTCCGAGAGGGCTACCGCAAGGTAAGGCACGAGATATCATTGCACTCGACGGTGAGAGCTCATGTTTTTGGGTCTTGGACTCTCGCAGTACAAGGTCTTTCGAGTCCCCATGCTCGACCGGTGGGTGGTCGTTGTAAGCGGTGCCGACATGAACGAGGAGCTCCGCAAATTGCCTGACACACATGTCTCCCTTGCCCAAGCTGTGAATGAGGTAACTCCCACGCCTCGGGTCGTCATGTTTTTGTTCTACTACGGGCCTTCGCTGACTATGTGTTTACGCAATGTCATAGTTTATTCACTCTAAGTACACCGTTGCGCGTGATATTACTGACCATCCCATACATACGGCGGTGATTCGTGGGCCTCTCACCCGCAACTTGAACTTGCTGTTCCCCGACGTCGTGGACGAAATGAAGACCGCCTTCCCAGAGGTTATGCCATTACCCACCCATGATGGCGGTAAGTGTCACGGCGGACGAATGCATTCCTTGCGGGTGGGATGTTCATTGTGTGTTCGCCAGAATGGGTAGCCATTTCAGTTCGTAACACCATGGCGTGCATCGTTTCCCGGGCTAGCAACCGTGTTTTTGTCGGCCTTCCACTATGTAAGGTCGCTACCTGTGCTGCTGCACCGTACTCACATGTCATTTCAAGGCCGTGACCCAAAGTTCTTGGACACTCTCGTCGAATATGCACTCTCCGTTTCGAAAGCGAGAGACATTCTGAATGTCATGCCAGGCCGGGTGAGAGGGTGAGTACTTCGCCATATATGCGTCTCTTAGATCTATCTCTCCCCGCAAATTTACATTATCTGTAGGATTGTAGGGAACGTCCTGCCTTGGGTAAAGCGCGCAACCCGGCATGCCTCGGTATGTATTCAGCCAATGGTTCAAGAACGTCTCCAGAGATTGCAGAACACCGATGACGATCATGGAGACAAGCCGGTGCGCTCAGCTTCGTGCTCTTGAATTGTCTTCGTGATCCATTTGTTCGTGTGTCGCTCATAGCACGACTACCTTACATGGCTTATCGAGGAGACACAGAAGGTGAAGCTGAGCCCCGACTTCGTAGTCCAGGGAATCTTGGCGTCGAATTTCTCTGCCGTTCACACGGCGAGCAATGTGAGTAGGCCTTCGAATGTGACTACCAATGAAGGATTTCTTATGCTGGGTGTTCCGATCAGAGCATCACACACGCGCTATTTAACCTCGCTGCGCATACCCAATACATGCAGCCACTTCGCGAAGAGGTCGAGGATATAATCAAGGAACATGGCTGGACGTATAATGCCATCAAAGAGATGTGGAAGTTAGACAGCTTCATGAGAGAATCGCAGCGCCTGTGTGGTGTCACCGGCGGTACGTGCACCCGTCATTTACTCCACTGGCAACCACCCATCTGACATTCTTTTTCCCCATCGCCCCTCACAGTCTCCCTGATGCGCAAGGTTCTGCTGGATATCACTTTGTCCGATGGCACATATATACCGAAAGGAACTCTCGTTGTCGCTGCGTCCTCCGCGACTCACACCGACAAGACGTACTACGAGAATGCTGAGGCGTTCGTACCATTCAGATTTTACGATATGTGCACCGAGAATGGTACGCTTGGCACACAGTTTGTCAATACTTCCAAAGACTACCTTGCCTTCGGTCACGGGAAGCATGCCTGGTGAGTAGTCGTTGTCCTGCTCGCTTACTTTTCCCTTATCAGTCTCCTCAACAGCCCTGGCCGTTTCTTTGTCGCTCACGAGCTCAAAGCAATGATGGCGTATATCATTCTTCACTATGATGTGAAACTCGAGGACGGTGCTTTGTGGGTCTGGCACGACATCCCTCCGCCAAGTGCGAAGATACTCTTCCGCAAACGCCAATCGGAGGTGGAGTAGGCCATACTTTCTACTTGGCCCAGTGTTCGTGGTATTCACCTTCACGTTGTACATGTGTCGAGGCCTCACGATCGAGTTTGTTCCGAATTTGTTTGTCGATGGCGTCAGACAGCAATCGCGAGATAAGAGAGAATCAACTGTTTTGAGAGTCTGAGATCCCATTACCCATTGCGAGTCTACAAGTCCATCCTGAGCCGCCTTGGAGCGCTTGTAGGTTTCACGACATGCAAGTCGAGAAGAGTACATTCGGCAGACAGTATGTCAAAATTTATCACCTTGGGTCACGGGAAGCTTGCCTGGTGAGCGGTCATTGTCTGTTCAATTGCTGTCTCCCTGATCGGTCCCTCCGACAGTCCTGGCCGCTTCTTTGCTGTCAACAAGCTCAAAGAAATGATGGCATACATTATTCTGCACTAAGATGTGAAGCTCGAGGAGCCGCCCGTCACACTTTTTGACGCATATAATCTACTGAGGGATCTTCTCGGAGGACGTGCTTTTTTACAATGCATTTTCAACGTGATTTTTCCTCATTGACGCGCCATCTTGTTGGCATCAAGCCAGAGCTCTTCCGGTGTGGCAATGGCGCATATCGGTAGGTCGTGTATACTGTTATGCAGCTGGGCCTGACGATGCGTGTATAGCCTGTCCTTAGACGTTTGGTGACTCGCTGCTTGGCCTGATCCCCTCGCTCATTGTCTCAGTCAGCCTCGGGAAGGGCGAGATCAGTGCTCTCCTCGTCATATCGCAAGTTGTGGTGTCGATCGTTCTGCCTTTGATCGTGTTCCCCCTCATCTACATCACGTCCTCGAAGCGCTACATGAGCATAAAGGAGCCGGTTATGCGTGTCGACTCGAAGCAGCGGGAGCAGAGCGCCCCAGAGCAACCTCACTCTTCCGCAGAAGGCGACCCTTCTGATACTGCGGATGCACCAGTTGCATCTGCGGTAGGAAAAAACAGTGCGACCAATGTAGACATAGAGGTGGTCGAACAGATGGTAAACTTCTCGAACGGTAAGATCATGACAGTGTTAGGGTGGATCATGTGGATCGTGATCGTCCTGGCAAACGCACATGCGATCGTAACACTCGCAATGGGCGGGACCAGAGCGCAGGATCTTGTCATACTCATATGTACAACCTACACACCCCAGATACACCCATGGACGGACACTAGCATCTGCATGATCTTGATTCCATATAATTGCTGATGACTCGCTCAATATATTGGATATCCCTGTGATAGGATGACAGAAAACAAAACAGTGCATGCGACGATATTGGATGTGAATATGCAAGACAGGACATATGCAGTTTTGACGAAATAAATTACATATGGGTTGTGTTGTGGGTTTCATGTGAGCTTCTCCAAGGGTGAGATGATCATTCCTGGCTTTTTGACGATCTTCGGCAACGTCGCGCGCTGGAATCCGACACGAGTGTTCCACTCCGTCCCAATGGGAGTGTCGAGACTGCGCTCGTATTGCGCCTTGCTCGTGTACGGGAACGGCAGATCCTTAACGAGATACTTGGCCGCCTTTTTGTCGCGCTTTTCCGAAATAATGACATGCGCTTTCTTGTAGTCTGCTCGTGTAGTGGGGTCAACGCCGGCGACCTTCTTGACGAGGAATGGTTTAGGAGGCGCTTTCCTGGCGCCCTTGCCGCCCCATGAGCCCTACAACGAATGAGTGTCAGAGAGGTTGTCGGGATAAGCTGATTTGCACATACCCATCCAGGTAGGGTGGTGTCGACCTCTTTCGGAGCGTCTTCCTGTATCTCACGGCGTTTTTGCTCAGCGAAATCCTATTGGGCTTGCATCAGATTAGTCCTCCCCGTGATAGCCACAAGAGGGGTACCTGAACAACGTTGTCCCCTGCGAAAGCGAGAGCGACTAAGTCTCGTTGCTCGAAAGCCTTCACACCGTTCGCCTTCTGTTTGCCTTTGCGGTCAAGCTGTCGTTCCTGCTCTTCTACCTCGCTGTTTTCTGAGTCGCTGTCCTCTCCCGCATGGCCCCCTGAACGGACTTTTGACTTGCTGACAGCGGCTTGAGTCTGTTTCTTGCTTGGCTTCTTGGAAGGGCCAGGTGCAGCGTTGATATTGGTACTCGTACTTGCTGCAATAGCGGTGCTGCTGCTAGCGGCACCCAGAGTCATCACGTTGGTCATCTCGATATCCACTGTCGCGTCCTGATTGGCCTTTTCTTTCTCCTCTTCCCGCTTTCTGTCGCGCTTGCGCAGTTTGTTCTTGGACTTCTCCGCGCTCCCGCTGTCTTTGCTAACCGCAACCTCGTGTCGTTTCTGCATTGGACGACTGAGATTTTCAGTACGCGCTAGCCATGGGTTCACTTTCACTTCTTCTGCGTGAGGCGGCGGGTCTGCGCGTTCGATGATGGGAGAGGTAGGGATTGATTCGGGCTGAGCGACACCACCAAGCAGATCGGTCGACTTGAGGGTGACGCTGGATGTATCCGATGCGACTGATGCAAGAGGACGGGAAGACTCAGGCTAATATACATCGTCAGCATAAAGATGGCACTGTAGAAGAAGAAATACTCACGATTGCACCGGGACGATATATAACACGCCCACCAACGCGTTCGACTGCAGTTCCGTACGGCCGCTCTTCCTCGTCTACATCTGCAGAGCCTTCCCGGTCTTCATCCGGGATAGAACCACCCATCTCCTTAACGAAGTCGTCCATCATCTCATTGACCCTTCGCTGGTCCCGCGCCATAGCGTCCTTCATGAACTTCATCTCGAATATGCTCTTCCCCTTCTTTTCGCTCGCCTCCAGTTGCGCACCAGCGTCTTCGTCCAGACCTGCAAGCTCCTCAAACGCACTCGCCTTGATGCGCTGCGCCGCCACCTCCCCGTCCTCATCCTCGTCACTTTCGTCATCATCGCTGCTCTCCTCATCGCTGCCTTTCCCGCTGATCTTCTTCCTCAGCCTTTCCCCGCGATCTAGCATCTCATTGATCTCCTTCCGCTGGTCCTCGTCCAGCTCCCCTCGTGCCTTCATCGACTTCGCCCACTTGCCTGTGTTCTTGTGCCGCAGCGTCGCCCGCTCTCGTGCGCGCTCGACCTCCCGCTTCATCTGCACCTCCTCGTCGTCCTCGTCTTCTGCGTCTCCGCCCTCGCCCAGCTTGGCGACTAGGCGCGCCTTCTCTTTCTTCTTGAGCCGACGGTACGTCTTGCTCTTGATCTTTGCAACACGCTTCGCCTTAGCGTCGGCGCGGAACATCAATTCGCGCATCTTCGCAAGCTCAGCACGCCGTGCAGCAACCTCTTCGACGGAGAGATGATTGAGTTTGAGCGACTCAGTCTGTGCAATGTCTTCGTCACGCATCTTGGCGGACTTGAGTAGCTTGTCAACGGCGCTCTCGAGCTCGGTCGTAGGCTGCACATATTTATTGTTATTAGATGTTCTGGTACCATAAACGTTATTGCCTTACCTTGAACTTTGCTGCAAGTTCCAGGTTTGATGTCTTTCCCGTAGGTTGCGCTTGCAGCGGGAAACTGAGATGTTCAGCCTGTGGGAGGTTGTGAGAGGGGTCTCGTTGCCTAAACACGCAAATATCGAACACACCTCCTTGATCCGCTGCATGGTCGCTTTCCATTTGTCAACTTCTTCTTTTGTCTGCTCATAGGCCGCTTCACGGTCCAATCGCTCCGCCGTCCTTTGTGGCAGAGGTGCAGCGAGTGTCTTGGCAGAACCTGATTGCGACGTGAGAACCTTCGCCGACTTCTTGAGCGAGAGCAGATTTGACGACTGGGCCGTCAATGGTGCGAGTAGGTCATCAATGTTGAGCTTTCTCCCGCCTAGATGATCATAGTTAACAGACATACACCACGACAAGGTAGGCAGGATGAACACACCAATATGAGCTGCAAACTCGTTTTCCTCCCCCGCCTCCGTCCTCTCCTTCAGAAGCCGTCGTTTTCTCACTCGCGCAGCATCTCCGCCGCCCTCCTTCTCACCTTCCTCGCCATTAGATGCCTTGCGTTTCTGCCCTGCACCTAGGCTTGTCACGAACTGCCCCAGGTTTTGTAGCGCAAGCTCATCCTGCTCTTGCTCTTCTTCAGAGGCTGATATCTGCCCCTCGGGCCCCTGCTCCTCATTCTCTTCCTCGTCGTCCTCATCCTCATCACCTTCTGAACTGGACCCAAATCGTTCTGCTTCGTCGTCGTCGTCCATGTCCACGTCCCCGTCTCTACCCATCGCTTGACTCGCCATCTTGTCCTGTTTCTGCTTGCTTCCTGCTTCCCGCTCGATGTCACCCATGTCTTCCTCACTGTCAAGGTGCGCTCTGCCGTCGAGGACATCCAGGACGTCAAGGAAGTCGCCAGGCTCACCCTCCTCCTCTTCCTCTTCCTCCTCGTCATCCGAAGCCGCGCCCTCGGAGTTCCCGTCGCTTTGTTCATCACTATGTCCATCCGCCTCGTTGTCGTCGTCTTCGTTCAGATCGACCTCCGCGAAGCGCACACTTCTTGCGCTGGTAGCACCTGATGAGTTCTGTGATGGCTTGTTTTTCGACGCCGTCTGCTTCTGTTTGTTGGTGTGAACGGATGATAACACTGAGACCCTAATGACCAACGCACCTTGTGCGAGAAGCTGAACCCAGCGTATCTCTCCTCGTCGCTCTCGTCAAAGGCAGCATCACTATCAATGTCCTCGTCCTCATCCTCATCGATCTGCTCGTTCTCTTCACCCTCTCCTATCAACCTGGGCTGATTCTGTCGACGTACATCCCCACCGTCCTCGTCTTCGCTCTCGCTGCCACGAGCTCCCGCGCCAAGTAGTTCATCTCGCTCATACTGGAGCTTCACCTTGGATCGCCGGACCTTCTCTTGCTGGAATTCGTAGACATCCGTAACAGAAGTACTTGACGATTCCTTTGTCTTACGCGACTGGCGTTTCGCGTACCCGAGTGCATTCGCCGCCTTGTGTGATGGCTTTTTGGCGAATTTAGCCGGCTTCTGTGAGCGCGCCATGGCAGAGCAGAATCAAGTTAAGGGAGCCCAGGAGACAAAGATGTAAGCAAGGAATAATCTAGGAGGAATACCGACCCGGGTCCTGTATGCGGAAGGATCTGTCCTCATTTTTCGCCGACATAGATTCACTGAACCACGTGGGTTCGATCATTCGATCACTTTCCCCGAGCAAACAAGTGCCGGCGCTAGTCTCAAAACGAACTGCGGGTGTTCCGTGTTTAAGGCGCAGCATTGGGCCATAGTTGCGGAGGAGATGCATGTCATAAGCTGCATATCGAGTGTGGTACATGTAGAATAGCCTCCCCCAAGGCTGTCCTCGCTACCGTCGCATACAACAAAGAAATGAGCCCGAACGGAGAAGCGAAAACCACTACTTCAGCTTCTTCTTACTGGAAAGCACGAGCAGCTTGTCAGTGTCCAGATGCAAGAAGACTTCGGTTGAATCACTCACGGGCGGAGCTGCGAAGAGTGACCGCATCCCCGCTTCCGGCAGTTGGTTGCACGGGGCGGGAGACGAGCGTAGCACTTGCGGCAGATCTGCTTGTCGCAGTTGTACTTTGCCGCGAGCACCTTCAGAGAGGGCTCGATGATACCACCACGGAGACTGCATTTCCAGACGGTTAGACTATCCAACTTCGCACCAGAATCTGCGAACGTACCGGAGGACCAAGTGAAGTGTCGACTCCTTCTGGATGTTGTAGTCGCTGAGGGTGCGGCCATCCTCGAGCTGCTTACCAGCGAAGATCAATCGCTGCTGGTCCGGGGGGATGCTACACGTGCAAGATCAGCCTGACGTTGCTTAGCGCGAATTGGGCATAACTCACCCCTCCTTGTCTTGAATTTTGGCCTTGACATTGTCGATGGTGTCGGAAGACTCCACCTCAAGGGTGATGGTCTTCCCCGTAAGGGTCTTGACGAAGATCTGCATCTTCGAGTTGCTGCTTGCCTGAGCTGTTGGAGAGGATGTAGTCACTGACGAAGGGCGGGGGGAGCCTGGGAAATGACTGTACAGTCCCGAATAGCGTGGCTGACTTGAGGGCAGGTCGAAACACGAGCACGTGATCTTTGAGACGCCTCAAATTCCGACACGTCGTCGATTCTCGGCCACCTCTCTCTTTCGCTGTCTTTTCTGGGTGCTGGCTGTTCGCTTTTCTCGTGTCTGTGTCGTCTGAGTGGCACAGAGTATTATCCAGTCTTTATGCTGGAAATGATCTCGTCTGACTGATTCCGGAGTGGCTTCTACAATGCCGACATATCAACGCGATTGCATTGAACTCACTATTTGGCTACCATTATATCAGTCTCGCTGAGCCGCCTAGTCGACGGGTTTGGTGTTTATAGCTCCTGAAAGCTTAATGCTCGATGCAGGTGAGACTCATGATTCATGCTCATATGTAGTCTTTGCACTTTCCTTGATGAGAAATCTTCGTAACTCAGCTCACTTCGAACTCCTTTTTGGTGTTTTGAGAAGAATGCGAAACATTTACTGATATTACTCGTATGCAAAGTCAAGTACAGTGCTGACTCCATTTCTTAGCCCCTTGAACTTGATACCTCAACTGTCGTCAGGCTTCGGCTGCCATGTTTTGCTTGATATGAGAAATCCAATTGACAGGGGTGAGTATCCTTAGCCTTTCACTCCTACTTGATGAAAATCTTCTGCAAAACATTCACGAGTGCTTCGGCATGATGGGTGCGATTCCTTTTGGAACCATTCAAGTCTCTGATACGCCTCTATTTCCGTTTGATTCCAAACTCATCACAATTCTTTGCCAGGGGTGACTCACACTAAAGATGTGTATGTTTGATGTTTGAAGCATGAGGCCTTCCATGAGTGGGTGTGTTGTTGGAGGCGATTCCGGAGTCTGCTCTACACGGTGTATAATAGGACCCTTTTAGAATGATATTTTCACAATCAAGAAATGCTATTGTGCGTGCTGTTCACTTCGACGAGCTCAGAGATTTGAGTGATAAGAGCGGCGAGATAGTTTGTTGCCGGCCGGCATACGTTGTGCCCGTATGCAAACCAGCGGGTCAATACGTACTAGCACTGTTCTGTTCGCGGCCGATGATCCAAAGGCCACGCTGATGGTGCGTTCCGAGAAATTTGTGGCCTTGCAGCCAGCTGCGCTGTTCGACGTCTTCGCCGTGCCCGCTCCCCGCTCAGCGCAACCGTCCCAGCTTTCCGCCGAGTCGGGAAGTTTCGCAGAACGTACTGCTGGATAGGAAGAGCTGCGGGGGTCACCGTGGACCAGGCTCGGCGAATAACCTACTAATTGTGCTCTTACCGCATCAGGGAAATGTCTGATTTCACGTTGGTCGATCCTCGGGATTGGAATTATGATCTCCAATCGGTACGCCAACGGCCATGTTGGACACGATGGCATAGAGATTGACCGATGGAAACAATGATGCAGGTGTACTCTGCCTACATTGATCACTTCCAGCTTCATGGTATCCAGTGGTGCGTGGATATGTGTTTGAGATGTGCCGCATGTCAGGTCATAAGTTCACCAATATATCATGTGTGGCAGGCTCGATAGGTCGTGGAAGCTCTTCTTCGAGACGTTCGACCATTTTCTCAGGTTTGAATGGTCCGTCATAACCGTCACAGACTCGACAACGGGGAGAGCGCATGTTGTCACTCAGCTGTCTTCTCTGCGAGCATTTATTAAAATGATAAAGACCAGGCAGGTCCCTCGCTGACCTAAAGCGCCATCACCGGCTGACCATTCGCGCACAGGTTCGGGGAAACATTCCCTGTACTAGATGGGTTCACACATGTCATACCGTTCGAGATCGGGCAGCGGCACGTCCGTAAAGTTTCAGATGCAAACACATACAGGAAAGTACACGCCACTCTTCCTGCAGCCTACTTGGCTGCGCTGAAGATGCGTGTATGGAACGGCGAGCCGGATGCCATCAGGCGACTCTGGACGGGCCGAACGAAGTCCTTTCTCGCCATTGATTTTGAATGGTCCGAGCGAAACGAGTCGTCTTGTCTGGAGTGGGGATATGCTGCAGTGCGGTGTGGTCACCTGGATGGGTGAGCCGCATGTTGATCGTGAAGTTTCTTCCCGCTTCACAGCGTGATCACGTTTGCATCTCAGAGGTAGGAACCGGGCCTGGCCTCCTGACCCAGCATCAAACTATAGGTAATGCTAGGACCTTTGCAATTAGATTTTTGCTGAGTAGCGCGCCCCTAGACGTGGCCACTACATTGTCTCCGAGTACGTGGACAAAGTACAGAACAAGCGCTGCCCAAACTTTCCTTGGGACGTGCGTTGAATATAGCGTCTACCTAATTGAATAGTTCGCTGACACTCCACACAGTATGCGGTACGGATACCCGCGTCTTGTTGAATGGTAAAACCTCGGATATTGATATCGGATTTAACTCAGTGGGGTGAGAGTCAAGTCATTTCGAAAGCAAAGCTTCCACAAATCATACAGGCTGTGATTAGGTGCGCTTCTATAGCTCACTTCCTCGCTTGTGTGGTGCCGGACATGAGGCTTCGTTGAATAGTAGCTTGGCAAGTCCCGAATCCGAAACGACCATCAATGACCTCGTACTCGTCGGACATGGACTGTCTGGTGACCTCGCTCGATTCAAGGAAATGAAAATTAGTATGCCATTCAATTGATCACCATCAGCATTTTACGTTTCACGCTTATTACTCTATTTTCAAGAATTGCCCTCCAACGTCCTTCTGATTGACACTGCATCGTTCGAGAGGCAACTCTTCGTCTCCGGACAGCGCGGCGCCATGCAGGATCCGTCCGGAAAGCCTCGATCGAATGGCTCCACCCTCTCCCTCGCCAACATGCTTCGGTCCCTCGGCATCGACGTGAGATGCACGATGCACAACTCGGGAAACGACGCCTTCCTGTGCCTGCTCGCATTCCAACTCTTGTTCGAGCGGCAGAAGACCAAGGTCCCCGCTCCGAGGGTGCCCAAGTCCAGGCCAGGCTTGCCCATGGGATATTCGGGCTATGCGAATCTGAGCATAGCCAGTCGGCGCCCTTCCGCTGTCCCCCCTATTGCCCTTACCCCCTCACCGCCCGCTGGGTTCTCGAGCAATGCACAGTCCTCGGGCTCCGGATCGTCTGGGCTCTCGGCAAGAACCCCCCACGAGTACTTCAACGAAGACTTCTCGTCTGGCGGACGGTCGCCCAGTCGATCACCAGCCCGCGTTTCTGGGCGTTCGCCTGGTCTCACCAGCAGCCAAAGCATGCCGCGTCTAAGCGCGATGCACTCACACGAAATCAACGGCGAAACCAGACTCGAGACCCAGTCCGGTGGACATGTGGGCGGGGTTTCGCGGAATATGCATTTGTGCGACTGCTGACATTGCGTGATAGACTCCATCACAGGTCGTTCGGATGACGAGCTTGTGGATATCTCAAGACAACTAATAGAGCAGCATGAGGAACACTAAAGCGGGATTTCCATTCTGTCTTGGGCATATCTTGGACTCCCACCACACGATCTCGGTAGAGTACATAAATAATCGTCCATACAAGCTCTCTAGACCACGGTATAATTTTCGACGTGCACAGCGGCGTCTTCAGAGTAAACGACTTCTTCTCCGTTGTCCACCCGCGTGATAGATGCGAGATGAACACCCGCCACATTACCTTCACTGATGAAATATACTTTCACAGGGAAGAAGGCCCCCGGGTCGTCTCCACCCACCGAGAATTCCAGTGAACCCGATCGATCCTCAGCGTTGACCAAGGGAATTGACCAATCGAGCGAGTGGCTGGAGGGGTTCAGCGCCCAATCCCCAGTGTGGGAGGACACAGTCGGGTAAGAGCCGTCCCTAGTGCGACATAGCCATCAATGAGTACCGCCCATGCACCACTGCATGACGCGTAGGGCACTTACGGTAGGGGAATCGATATGACCACATCGTGTAGAGTGAGACCCTCGTTCTCCAGCTCATATTCGATATTCACTTCACACGTTCCATCATTGGAAGGGGTCGGCCAGCAGTTGACTGGAGACCGCACTCCATAAGCGACTATCGGCTAGACTTTCATCAACACCGACTTACTGGAAAGAGGGACGTAGGTCTCGTCCTTGCCCGAGTATCTCCACTTCAGGACAGCCAATGCCTGGCCAACTGGGAAGCTGCGAGAAGGGTCCTTCAACGCAACAACACGATCACGGTTTGCAGCGAATTTGGCCACGTTGGGGTGCTGTTTGAACTGCAGCTCGGGCCCGAATGCCGTTGAGGGTGGTGCGAGAGTCAGCTTGAGGCGGGCAAGGGCCGGGTCGCTAATGTGCAGGTTCATGTCGCCCTTGAGCTCCATGTTATTGAGACCGCCGTCCCGAACTATCTCGGCGTTGATTGTTTCGCGAATCACAACGTGTACACTGGATGCCGTGTAAGAATAGCACTCTCGAATTATATGAATATACAAACCTCTCAGCATTGACGGGAGGCAAACTTCCCCTGTCATTTTTAGGAGCCGACGCTACCACTGGCAGCTCAGGCGTATGTGATGCGGCTGGCGTGCCAGGCGTTGACATATCCTCCGAGAGTAGCGCTTCGCTGCCCAGGGCATCTAGTAGCTCTGACTGCCGCGTCTTCTTGCTGCCCAACTTCATGCCGCTGCCCTTGAACGCGGGACCACGCAGTGATGATGGCGCAGGAGACGCGGTGCGCACCGGCGAGGGCGCTGCGTCGAAGCGCTGCGGGACGGGGGCGTAGCCTGTCACACCGCCGCCAAGATAGCTGCCGCCTGATGGTCCGCCTGACGCAGTGCGCCGCTGCTGTTCACGGCGCTGCATCTCGAGCTGCTTCGCGCGCCGCTTGAGCTCCTCCTTTGCCTCCGCTTCCTTGTTCTGTCCACCGTCGCCAGTTCAGCCGGAATTACAGAAGACGACCCGAGCAGTATGAGCCTCACCCTGGCGATGATATCCTGGATCTTCTCTTCGTGACTTTCCATCTCCAGCACGCTGCGCACCTGCATAAGATTGACGGCCTCGCGGTAGCCGAGGCTGACGATCTCATCGAACGCGCCCAGCAGCTCGAACGCGTTCTTCTGTATCTCGCGTTGCTCTGCGCTCCTGCACATGTCTGAGACGACGCGCGCGAAAAGGTGGAGGGTCTCGATGTCCTGCAGGATGTTCGATGCCTTGTTCGTGATGAGAAGAATATAGAGCTCTTCAAGCGGCTGGTAGACATAGCGGACGTCCGTAGTTTCGACTGAGGTGTGCTGTGTGCCGGTGGGTATCAACTTGGGGAATGAAGCCAGGAGCGACTCGATGCGCGCCCTTGACATGTCGCGGAACTGTCGCGAGATGACCGCTGTTCCCGTCCTCAGTCAACTCGGAAACATAGGCAAGATTACGCGTGCATTACCTTTCCCGCCCTTCGTGCATATTGATGCTGCGAGAACAACCTGGTTTTGTGCCCTCGACTTCAGAACCGCTTATTGAATAGCGAAAGGTCTTGCGTACCATGATGATCGTTCCCCCACGTACGCTACCGCTGATGCTCCTTGACGACTAGATTGTGCAATCAAAGAACACGCTGCGCTACTTAAGTGCGTGGTCACCGGCTTGAAGACTGAAGAAATAGCGGGGGGCGGGTTCCGATCGAAGTGAAGACGGGCAAGCTGTACGTACGAATACGCAGACGTGTCCTGGCGCCCATGACACAAATATGTAAGCGCCCAGTACTGTATACTGCCATGGGCGTGTCAGCATACACACGATTATCGCAAAATATGTACATTCGCGAAGCGAAAAGCACACAAGAGATCAAACGTGAGACTACGTTATTGCCAAGGCTGCTGGAATACAAGTCGCATTACAGGAAACAGGGCCTGTCTAACAATACTCAGTCGCTTAGGGACGAGTGTCGCGCCAGCAAATCCGCCAATAGCCCATGCATCCACTGTCAGAACAATTCATCAGCACCAAGGACATAAATAACACCTCGCGGGACACGCACCGCACATCTGCCCCAGCACGAGCACAAAAAACGACTTCCACAACCATCCTACAACACCACCCACTCGTCTGCCCGTTACTCTTACCCAAGCAACCTCTGCGAGGATTCCAACGGCTTGCATAACGAAGAACAATATAACGCGGTGATCATGAATATTGAGCGCCAGCGCGTGGAACACACCAGACGCTAGGAACGCGCCGAAGACCATCCCAGCGCGCCCGCCCAACCAATACCCCGGATAACCACCGTAAATAAGGAACATATGTCGGAGAAGCTGGTGCCAGCTCTCCCCCCAGAGCTCCCGTAGCGATGTGGCACGCCAAGGACCGCCGAATAGTGGTGGCCAGTTAGGAGGAGAGTGCCCCAACAGACCGACTGCAATGAGCGTAGCAAGGTCATAACACGCCTCGAGGCCACAGACGACCATGGTTCCTCCGGCGATGTGGATGGTTGTAGACAGGGTGTAGCGGGGATAGGTTGGGAGTTCGGGCTTGAATATAGAGCCTCCCTTTACTGAGCCTACTCCTGGCACAAGTTTGAGTAACGAATCGCTGAGATCAGTGATGAAGACGTTCTTGAAGAAAGACAAGGCGGTTGCTTGGAGGAAGGTCCGACGCTCCATTGAGCGGGAGTCTGGGGGCGCATGTACACCCTTACCAAAGTCCCAACCGAACCCTCGAACGACAAAAGTCACTTCCAAGGCATCGGCGAGCCATGTAGGAAGCAGTGATTGCTTTCCGCCGCGAGGCTGGTGTTCTGTTTCGCTAATGTCTAGCAATCGCTTCTCGCCAATCTTGAACCGACCTCCTGGCGTCAAACCGAAGTTCAGGGACTTTGAGATGATGTAATAGGCCATCATGCCTTAACGTAACAGTGAGCAATGATGCGCTATAAATATAGCAAGAAGGAACGCACATCTGAGCCAATCCAGCATCACGCATGACGGATCGTCCACTCTAAAGTGGTATGTAGAATATATCGTGCTTGTGATCAACGTTGGCAGCAGCAGCAAACGGATGGGATACGTGTGAGCCCTGCGCACGAGGTATGCCATGAACAGGAATGGAATGAAGTAGACGAAGGCACGGTGGAAGTTGTTCCATCTCAGGGGTTCACGCTGCTGGGGAGGCGGTATGAGCGTTCGTATCGCAAGCCTCGTTCCAACAGAGAGTCTGCACCCAGGAAGGTCGTCAGCAATGGCATGAGGTCAATTTACAGCGTAGTGCCATATACACACTCCTCGTAAAGTGTAGCTCGCCTCGGCATGATGCTTTGTTTTTGTGTGCTCAAAATCGCTTTTCCCACTTCAGTGCCTGCCAGTTAATCCGATGTCTGTGCACAGTCGACTGCCAGTGCTACCCACATTGACTCTTCTCAGCCCGCTCCACTTGCCGTTTGAAGGATTAAGTATAGCGATTACGTTTTCAGAATTTTTATGCTTTTCGTAATGGTGTTTCTCGCATGACGGAGGTGGAGGGACAGGCTCGAAGATGAACTAGCTGCAGATTGGACATCGCGCTGCGCTGTGCCGGTCGATGACGACTATGGCGGCCCGATCAAGGAAATGTACCTGCCATTTTGGGACTGGTGGCTGCACCACCAAGAAGCTCGATGGGTCCCAACTCTCGATAACTCCAACACACAGAAGGGTCAAGGTGCACAATAAAGTGCAAGAAAACAAGACACTCAATAACTAAGTCTGACGTTTTCTGAACATAACCTTCGCTCCTGGAGCGGGAAGAACTGTCGTCGCGAACCACACGTTCGCAGGACGCTTGCCTTCGTCTTCAAACTTTACGTCATAGTTGAGAACAATGGATGCCAGCATGATCTTGAGCTCGTTCGCGGCGAAGAAACGTCCAGGACTAGGGATTATTTCATGTGGGCGAGTAAGAACACGTCGTCATCTCAGAGAAGATTCTTGGATCTCACCAAGCGTGCTTGCCGTGGCCAAAGCCAATGTATTCCGCCGAGGTGCTGACATAGTGGTGTTTATTTTTTTCGGACTCTGACGCGCGCATGTCCGAAAAGCGGAATGGCTTGAATACGGTCGCGTCGCTGTAGTTCTCTTCATCATGGTGCGTGGATGTGGCTGCGGCCGCGACAAAGGTGCCTGCTGGAATGAATGTTCCATCCGAGAAAGTGACGTCCTTCAATGCTAAACGCATAACGGAGACTGTGAATGTCGTCATCGTCAGTAAGGTCAACAAAAAGAACACACAAGAACATCCTCACTTCCGCTAATCCCGTTCACCCTGTGCGATTCCTTCAGGAAGCTGTCCAACTTCCACATACTCCCCATTGATACCTTTGTCCAGCCATCTGTCCGAATTACTTCCTCGATTTCCTCACGGAGAGATTGGATATACTCCGGATTCGCAGCAAGATGATACAAGGCGTGCGTGAAGGTCTGGGGGCATTCGCATGTATCAGGGGTTGTGCTTATAACGCTGCATACACCTTTCAGAACGCACCAGAGAGGATGTGTGTATGGCGGTGAAATTAGAAGCCATGATGCCCTGTACCATGAGATCTGTGGAGTCCTCTCTTCCGACACGCCGAGCTTCCTCTATAATCCACATCAATAAATCGTTCTGTGAAGGACGTTAAGGGAATGTGTTAAGTAATGTTACATAACTCAAAATGTCATACTGACAGGTTTATCCTCCCAATCTCTGCCGTACTCCTTGAGCAATCGCCGCCGTTCCGTGATTATAGGAAGTAAGAATGGAGCCGCACGACGTAGAGCTCTTCGAGACCAAGGCAGTAAAGGACCTACGATGCTATTTGTAACAGTCATTGTTCCGGTAATGAACTATAGAGCTTACGAATTTACTCACTGTTTGAGGAAATCTGGCAGGACGCTCATGATCATGGCTCCTTTCATGACCTCCGCGGAGTATGTTGTGGCGATCCTCAGATACTCTGCATTCTGACCTGTTATCAAATCGCGTTCACTATGTGCGTGCCCCTTGCGGATCGAGTTACTTTTACGTACAGAGGGGAAAGCCGACAAACACACGACTGCTTGCTCGTGTTATTATCTGGGTCACAGTCGAGTATCCGTCGACTTCGATCCAGTCTGTGATGTTGATGTGAGCATTCATTGTTCTCACAAATGTCGTAAGACAAATCACCATCCCCCTTTGCTGGTATCAATTCTTGCATGGCAGCCTCCACCTCCTTCACAACCTCATGGAAGAGAGGTGCCAGGTTTCGGGTGAGTTGTTCTTTTATGACAGTGATGTGTATCGGATGTATTAGCACGTCAGGCGCGATGGTGTACTTCGTTTGAACGAGCTGGTGCCACGACAGACAGACGGTCAAGGTGAACATGCGTGAAGGTTCGTGTAGACTCGCACCTCGTCGGCAGCATCCATAAATGACATTTGATCATCCGGAATGCTTCGGAGCTCTTCATTCATTTTGGCCCCGCTCACGACGACCGCCCACCTATCTATCATCGCAACCTTGAAGACATTGTACTGTTGGAACAGCAAGTGTGAGATGATAATATGTGAGATGATAATACCAACACCGCATCGCGAGTATTACCTTGTCATAGCCCTCTTGAAGCACGCCTGATGCATCTTTGAAAAACCTAATTGCGCCCAGATATGACAACAGAGGCGCAGAGGGTCCAATTGTCGGTATTGCGCGCAACTTTCTCAATCATCATAAGCGAGGTCCAATGATGTTCAATGCAGAAATCGCACGTACTGGGTCGGACTGCCACTTATAGAATAGCAGGGCGGCTACAACTCCTGCAAATGCGTAGTAGACCGGCACCAAGTCGGTCATGGTGCAGGAGGCGACGATGGTTAGATACACGATGATGACACATGGGAAATTCGAAGGGCGCGAACCGCAAGCATTATGGCAGTGCCGAGACTTGTCCGAGGCCTGCCGTAAATGTTATTTATGCAGAGCGCCCGGATGGGGCCAATTTCTACTGCAGTACTGATATGTCTACAGGGTTGAGTGAGGTTCAGCAGTCCTAACATCGGTAGACTTCCTCTTGGAGATTGTGCTTTACGGCGTTCGTGGGGCAGAAACTACTATTGCCGCACCGGCTCCTAACCTAACGCCGAGCCCCTGCAGTGATCTCGCGCCATCACATACGTGTAGTTTCGCAACGTAGCTTATCGACACGCTCTCCTTTGCCTTGTAGAGCCCGTGACGCACCTTGGAGAGACCGGCCTTCGCTCCCCCACCTCAGCCTGTTTGTAATGTACATTGGGATTGCTGTGTGTATTCGAGTTCTTGCTCGTTGCAGTGCAGTGCAGTGTTCCCTCGCCATCGAATATGCATGTTCATAGGAGGCGCAATAGTAGGAACAGGAGCAGGTGTTACAGGTTCATTCCCGGCTTATGTCCCAATCAGGGACACCGGTATCCCAAAGTGATATCGCAGCTTCCACGGCGATCGCGATTCGCGGGCGCCTGAAACAGACAGGCAGGTGGTACTCGTTAAGTCCCAAGTTTGTTGAAAGACAGTCGATACCTACGGTAGTAGATCACATGACCGCGTATGGTACTCGCACCGTTCGTTCTGTATTTGGTTCCTTACGTGTTTGCTGGCTACAAGCTAGGTCAAACACCGTGTACTTCCAACAAAGTTCATATATACTCGCATCCTACGGGGTAGAGGGTCTATGCACCTCATGCGATGGCAGTATAATGCCACACCGTTTCAAGGTGAAGGACCTGTGTTTCAGAAAACCTGCCAGTGGCGGCCAACAACTTACCTTGCGCTAGGACGCAGGGAACAGGTTACAGTATTTCATGGGCTGTAATGTTCATGAAGAGGAACCTCAGAGTTAATTCATGATAGAATACACTGTCCGCTATATTTCTGTATCTCAGGCCTTCAAAAGAGTCGGGCGTCATGATGTCTCCTATGTACAGAGGAACATGAGTAATATGTCTTCAAGGTCAGTCTTGTAATCTTGACTGTCCGCCTCTACCGCTAATCCGGCCCGAATGATATACCAGTCTCGCAAGAAGCTGCCCTGATACTCACAGACTCCGACGATTGTAGCAACCGGAGTCATTAGTGCATGACGGATATGCTACCGGGGCCGATGACCACTATCACCGTGAGGTAAAAATGACAGGCTTCGCGCCCCATCCCTTGAACTGGAGGCCAATGACAAGCAGGATGATATATGGATGGTGGATAAGTTGAGAGGACCTTTGTTCTCTTGTCAGGGACTGTTCGTCAAACGCACAGTCGACGACAGACACCGGCTTCTAGTGTGCGGCTGCGGCACTCCTTTCCGCCTGGAGGTACGGTGGTTCGCCCTTGTTCATTAAATTGTCTCTACTTATGGTCTAGCGTAGAAGCCTCAGCTCGGATCAAGTACCGGATAATAGAGTTCAAATCCACATACTCATGACTCTTGTATTGGGTACACCGACTGCCTGTCGTGGCAAGTCAGGATATAAGAGTACCACCGGCACAAGTTCGTCAGGAAATTTGCCTCATCCGAGGGCAGACACGACGTTGAGCGTGGCGGTCAGCTCCCACTTATCGAGAAGAGATCCCCTGCTGTCAGATTGAGTTGTGTAGGGAAAGTCAACCCTGGCGCAGTGACGTTGCTGAGGTTCCGTGAGAGAAAGGTGTCCCAATATCCTCATATACCTAAGCCCCGTTTCTCCGAATGCCTCAAGAACGCTAGCGAAAGAGATGCCGCAGCCGTTTTGATGACAGTCGGATGATAGTCCTCCCAATCCTGACAAGCCCTTGTCCAAGATAAGGCTAGCAATGAATGCAGTTGGGCTATTGCCTTCCGTAGGGTATCGGCCTCGGGCGTGAACGTCGTACTTGACTATATTCGCTACGCGCGGATGTTCATGGAAAAAATGGCCTGCTTCTGCGGGCCGCTACAATCGCTATCAGTCAGTAAAATATAGTCTGAAACACTCATCATATTTGGTTACTTGGGGACGACGACCACCGTGGTGTCTTATGATGATCGCGGATAACTTCGACAACTGAACGTGCCAACAGATTCCCTAGGGCGCCATAGTCTACGACAGCCCAAATCTGTTTTCATGCCGTTCCAGATAGTGCTGCGAACAATTAGACTTATTCGGGCCAGGACAGGGTCTGACAGCAAGTCACCCCGGGCCATCGTACACGTCGACATGGTCAATCAGTCCGTTGAACAGCAGTAACCATACTGCCACGAATATTATATGGGTGGATCACTCACGATCAGTCTAACTTCAAAATTTGCATACACGGTAAGAAACACACGTCGCTCATAGTATACTTCTTGCTACATAATCCCGCAGCGCGCCTCACAGTCTGCCGAACTTGTCCAGTGCCGGTCGGCCAAAGGTGGGCTATCATAACTAGGTCTCAGCGCTCATGTCCACACTCAACCTTCGCACAGCGAACGCACCAGGTCAGCGGGCTTGTTGTCTAGAATCGCCTCAATCTTCGCCAGCACCTCGGGCGTGAGCTTCGGCAAGACCTCGATCGCCTTTAGGTTCTCCACGACCTGCTCCGGCTTGGACGCGCCGAGAATCACGGTACTCGTGTTCGGGTTGACCGCAACCCACGCGAGCGCCAACTGCGCTGTTGTGCAGCCCAGCTCTGCAAGTATAACATCAGCACAGGCCCACTGGTTTGTAACAAGGGATGGGTTGCACCCTTCTCGGCGAGCTCTGTCAGGGCTCGGACCTTCTCGAGCTTCTTCATGCCCTCTTCCTCGTTCAACGACTGAATGGTGTTCTTGAAGAAGTCTTTGTGGTTGTCATAACGGGATCCTTCTGGGATGCCGTTGTTGTACTAGCAGTGTCACGGCCGAAGTTAGTCGTGTTTCGGAGCAGAGACACAATTACTATCACCTTCCCGGTCAACAGCCCGCTGGCCAGGGCCGACCAGACGGTCGTACCGATCTGGTATTTCTTGTAGATAGGTCTAGACGTCCGGAGGGTGTCAGCGTTACGCACTTCAAGGGGCTCTGTCTGTCACTTACGCGTACTCGCTCTCGGGGCGCTCACGGTGGAACATGCTACGGGAACTCAGCATGTACCCGAATACCATCGAAGCAAAGGTGCGTACTGGTGCTGGCATTGTTCGGCAATAGGAGGGATCAAGCCGAGCTTGTCAGCCACATCTAAAACCCGGAAATTAAGAGACATGCGTTCATGCGTGACAGATGCAAGAACATACGGTAGGCTTCTTCGATCTCACGAGCGGACCATTCTGATGTCGCCCAGTAGAAAGCCTGCCGTGCGATCCGTCAAGAACTCCGTAAATAGGTAAAGGAGACCAAATTTACCCAGCCCTTCTCAATCACGAAATTGAAAGCACGGACAGTTTCTTCCATCGGGACTGAGACGTGGAACCGTTACCGAGTCGCATACAACCAAAGTCGGCGCGTTTGTTACTCACCACTGATGTCTGGGCGGTGCGCAAAAAGTACATCAACATAATCAAGACCGAGCCGTTCGAGTGACGCCTTGGTCCCCTCGATGATGCTGCATCGAGAGTTCGTCACTGCTCGAAGTGAGGAGACGTGACTCTTACTGCTTCCTCGACAATCCTGTGCCGTTCGGGTTTTGACGATGTCCCCAATACAATTTGGTGGTGATAATCAGGTCTGTTCGTCTGAAGCCCAACTCTTTGATGACTCGACCCCTAAATGCATACAAAACATGACGGTGTTAGTCGAACGCGAAGGTGTTTCGGATTCTCGCGCAGGCCAAGGTGAAACACGCACATCTCCTTCTCAGAATTGCCATCCGCATATACTTCCGCCGTGTCAAACCTGATGAACAGCTCGCAAAAGCATCAGAAAACGGTATCTTTCCATGTGCAACGTGCATGGACATTTACATGTTGATACCATGGTCGAAGGCAGTCTTGATGATTTCCTGTATCCGGTACAATCGATGACCAATACGCAGGCGTCAGGAGGCTTCTCTGACGCTGATATCAAATACAAAATGAAGTCTTGCACTTACCTTGACAGGGTCACCAATGACGGTCCCACCGAGTGTCAACCCTGCAGCAATGCGTCACATTCAATGCTGAACAGGACCAATAATGCCCAAAACCGAAGTTGAGATAGTGGCTCACATCCGCCGAGGGAAAACACAGGCACACGAAGACCACTTGGGCCCAGCCTTCTGAAGGGCATGCCCTTCGGGTCGAACTCAATTTTCACTTCGGACATGGGTTGCGTTGCTCAGAGGTCTTCGAGGAGAAGTCGTTGGGCGTCGAGACTACAAGGGCGGAATACGGTATCTGATCCGACTTTATATACCTCACGGTCGACGGACTCCCGGCAAGGGGAAATAATCGCCATAAGGTAATCATAATCGCGGGCGGGACTGGTTACATCGGTATGTGTGTGGGTCAGTATCGGTCAGCGAGGTACATCTATTCTCACCGCGAGGGCAGTAAAGAACTCCAATTGGAGTCATCGATAACATGGTACACTGATAACGCTGTCCAGTCGATGCTCCTTTAATTCTTGTACAGGCTATTACACAGATGCCATACAAGTGTAGTGTGGACCTGTAAATGATGCATCACGTCAGGCTTGAGGTATACCATGTGCCGAAAATAAGTACGGGGATTAGTCGCAGAAATTGACCACGAGCGTAGGCGAAGTGGCTCATGGGAATAGGGAAGATTGTTCAAGATAAGAGCAAGTTACTATATCGTGTAGAGACTTCAGAGTTGCGTCGAAAGTTATTACGCGTGGGAGGTTTCCTCTTTATTGCCGTTATCACTCAACCTGTCAGTCGGGCCAAACACACATAAATTTCGCGCCTCGCGTCGCTCTGAGCACCTCGAACAGAGAACACGGATATCTCTTGAAATACTCATCGTATAACCTTGATTCTTGCTGCGTTCGACTCTGCTCGTCGCCCCGGAGGGCCTGATACCAATAATATTGCAATCTATCCATGCGTGACTGTTGTCAGCTCCGCCACTCCCTTCTGGACGCAGGATTGTTTTCGCCCGCGAATGCAAGCATCTGTTCGTGTCGGAATGACTGCGTTGGGTCAAAGTGGATACTAGGGAGGGCCTGGTATGGGTTGAGTGTGTCCCCCAGTAAGACTATCTTCACTATATGCTATTGTCGCCATACTGCTAGCACTCCTCCATGCCATCAGTACAGATTGCTCGGGATCTATTTTCCAGTATCCCCAACCCATGTAATATATCATATAAAGCCATGAGAGCTATCTTATGGTGTGAACCTGTTCCCCTCATCTGTCATTGGCATTCAATCACAAAGAGGCTCTCGCGCCATCTAGGACAGCTTCTACTGCATACTTGATGGACTAATAGTTGCGCTGCCCTCTAGTTCCATCACCTCTTATCCTCGCAACCAACCTGTATACAGCGCAAGAGAGGCTACATGAGATGCTGTGCACAGTATGTCACACCAGTGCTCTACCCTGCCTTGATATCATCTTAGTAGGCCTTAGATTGAGCCTTACCAGGATGTCTACACGCATTACATTGTCCAATATGTGAAATGATTGATATGTGTCTATTAAGAGCATTACCTATGTAAGATACAATGCGTAGAGCAACTTGACTGCGAAACAAAGCTTGGCTCTGGTGTCAGACATACCAACAGTGAGCCAAACACAGATAACTGTCTCTCTGGGAGAGCTGGACATGCGCTGGAAGTTTGGGAGTCCATCAACATCGATTTGAAGGCTGGGATTCTGTGAATTGCATGCTGTTTATGCCATTCCATAGTGCACACGCAGGGCGTTGACAGTGACGCGCAGACAGCCGCTAAACAGATGATAGATGTCTTGTAAAGCTAGAAACACACCAGTAGTAGGCTACTAGGCTGAGATGTCAGATGGGCGAAGAACACAAGGCTACAGATGGACAACCATAGCTTGTGTGATGCTCGAGTGCAGAGAACAGACCAAGGAAAGAAATATGGGTTAGGGGACGCACCAAAAATGATACCGGGCCCTCCCTAGTATCCACCTTGACCAAATGCAGTCACTCCGACAAGAATACACGCTTGCGTTCGCGAGCGAAACCGATCCTGCATCCAAAGGGTGGTGGTGGAGCTGACAATAGTCACGCATGGACAGATCGCAATATTATTGGTATCAGACCCTCCGGGGCGACGAGCAGAGTCGAACGCAGCAAGAATCAAGGCTATACGATGAGTATTTCAAGAGATATCCGTGTTCTCTGTTCGAGGTGCTCAGAGCGACGCGAGGCGCGAAATTTATGTGTGTTTGGCCCGACTGACAGGTTGAGTGATAACGGCAATAAGGGCTCCACTGCAGGCGACTTGCAAATTCCACCTGTCTTGCTCCGCCATCATCGATGAACATGCGCTCATTCTTATTCTCGTTGCTGGCTTGCCCACTATTTTCCTTTGCTTCTATACGCGACCAGACGGTCTTTCAAGGACACCCTACAGATGACATGGGCGACAAAGCATACACGCCTTTTACTCACGCACAGCCGACTCTGGCGGACTTGCTTACCATAGACTCCTCGGCGTCGATATTCTACTCTTATTCACGTGAGACGGAGCTGAGTGCTCTTTTTTCGGATGAGAATGCCAGGATCACAATGCTTGTGCCCACAAACAAGGCGGTCATGGCACTGGCGCGGAAGCCGTGAGTTTCTCTCATAACCTGATGGAGTACACCGCCAAAACAGAAGTAGGCATGAAGGACCTGCTCCCATAAAGGAAGGCGTTATTCTACCTGAAAAGGAGTACGACGCTCTGTCCAAGGAGAACGTGAATCGATGGGTATCCGCACATATAATTCCTGTGAGTTCTGATGATGTGAAGGTTCAAGATGGCTGCATATTGATTTTCTTGCAGCATTCACCAATCTCCCTTCTCACTCCTGGAACCCACGAGACAATGCTTGACGGCAAAAATGTTACGTTCCAGGCAGTTGATCCCGATGAGAATGAACCGGAATGGACACGCGTGCGCATGGATGATGATGTCCGTCTCATTAGCATGAAAGAAGTCAGCGTACACTGTTCCTACTGCTTCCACTTCGCACTCACACATGCATGCGGCTGACAGGCACAGAACGGTGTGCTCTACATCATCGACGGAACTGTCAAACTTGAGTAATGTACCATTCGTGTCGCTTTCTGTACAATATCGTGTATAGTATCTGTTAATTCTGTGTGCTGCCAATTAAAGTCTAAATGGATTTCAGCTCTCGCACTTCTCGACAGTGGCATTTGATGCGTGTCATGCCGGATCCACGGCCAACACGACTCGAAGAGACATCTGTACACACAGCTCTCACGAGTGAGACCCTATTCTTGCACTATACGCAAGATAGTCTCGAGCGACCAGCGCAAGTGATGATCCTGCCTCGTGTTACTTCAGAGATTACCCCGTCAAGTAAGTACGATCGTCGAAGCATATTGATCATATTCTCTGATTCATTTGACAGGCTTTCTTATCTGCCATTGTTGCCAATACCCACTCCCATGGTCAGGGTCTTCATCAAATGCATGCCAACCGAACAGAAGCAACTTGCTGTCCCTTCAAACCTTTCTGAAATGGGATACCTAGGATCTCAGAAGTTGACACCTTTCGCAGAAGCTCTGAACGTGGCACCTGGCATGGGATAGTGCTGTGTACCATCTAGCCCCTTTAGATAAGTCTGTATACATATTTGCTGACTTCTATGGCGGCCTGACTGATACGAGTACTGTCCAAGGTGTTATTCCCCTGGACCGGCCATCGGCGCAAGATCTTATTTCCCTTGATGAAATTCCTTGCGGGACTTGTCAGTGCCACACGCTTCGCTCTGAGTCAGTGAGCTTAACGGACGCAGCTTGTATACTAACTATCAATTCTTGTCGCGTCTGACTGCGTTATGGCTGATGCGACGATCAGCGTAAACCTACACAACGTTTCGTGATACTTCCATGCGCCGTACTCCCGGCCGCCGGTCAGCGATACACGCCACCGCCGGTCAACAGCGAGTCCATTGATTGGACGATATGAGACAGGACGAATTGGCTGGCAATTCGTCTCAAGGAGTGCACGACAGCGGCGCCGCAGCTGCTGATAGAGCGTCATAACCTCTTCCTTAGTGTCCGCTGCATTCCCCATTCACAGTGGCGGGCTGCCACAGGCACGCCCATCACGGTCACAGTCGTCACATCGTAAGTATTTGTCTAATTGTCTCTTCTAGATTCTATGAGCACCCCATCTCTCGCCATGACGTCACGAGACCCGTAACCCCCTATGCTCACGACGATCGCAAGAGCACTACTAATATTCTCTTCAAACACACGCATTCGAAGCATCCTCTTCCTCGAAGCTTACCCATGTACGAGGAAGTGCAGGCACAGTGGCACGTTCCCGCTCTTACGATGTTTCTTCCTTTAAGACTACAAATTTAGTGTTCACGACATGCCAGAAGCGGCGTCACTTCGGGATCCGCCTTTGCCTGATAAGCAAGCAGGCACACGGACATTCATTCGCAGACATTTTGGGATATCGCTGGCGGAGTCTAAAGTGATATCCTGGCCGACACGCACCATATGGCAACGCGGCCGCCCGCGTCATTGCGGATTGCGTACGTCGCTCATCCCATGGGGGATTTGCGTGCATGTCCTTCTCCGAAGACGCGGGTGCAATATCACTCATTACGACGTAAGTCCTTGTTGCTCGGCTCGGCGCGCAGCGGGTCTCCAGCGCTACAGCATCCTCGTCCAAATCGCGGGCTCGTCAGCGGCCCGGACCCTATGTACTCCTCATCAGGCGTACAGACCCCGACTACTCGAGCGTACGATGACACACATATTCTACATAATTGGTTGACCTCACCGACCTCATCGATGTTGTCAATGTCGCGCCCATTGCTGCCGCGTTTACGGGTGCATCGCATTGTGGGGTGACCCCCGCTTCGTGCATGATGCCCCACGGTGTCAGCTGCTTGGTTGCGTGCTTCTGCCCCCCTGCTCTACATCAAGCAGATAACCCTGATCGTGCGGACACACCGCAATCGCGGTAACATGGAGCGTACAAAGCCCTCCTATTCCCGCTGCACAGCGTGACATCTGTGGTAATTCCCAGGCGCCCGACCGACTAATTGGGTCTTCATGCCTAGTCTATTTCTCTTTCAATGGCTGAGGGCCCCCTGTAGCGTCTTCGGCCTAGTGGCGAACCAGTCAGACTCAAGGATGGATTCGCCAAAACTGCACATCGCGATGCACGTTCGTTCCTACGTCTCATCGCGGAGGTACGCTGTCGTCGTTCATGGCAGACACCGCCTTAACCTCTGATCGCCGATCATACTCCCTCCAGATCGCATCGTGAAGAGCTCTAGAATCTGAAGCTGCTATCATCCGTTATGGTGTCGGTACATGGTCAATGCGGTCGCCGGACAGGGGACGAAGGCTATCTACCCTAACTGCTCTACTGTCTTGCAAGGGGTATGTACAAGTACGTACGCGCGGCCGCAGTACCAAGACCGTCTGGCCCGTCGCATATTTGCGGAGCGCTTCATGTCCTTGGCTCAAGGCCAGGCTGAGCTCAGCTCGAATTTGTATTTACCAGTATAGTGACCGCCTGAGAGTGGCCGCGCTCGAGGCCAGGGCGCAAATGGCACCAGTGCCACCGTTGCACCTGTACGTCTCAAACACCGTTCAAGCATGACCAACGGAGGTACGTAACGCGCAGCCTGTTCAGGTGGATCAGTCTCAGAAGGTGTAGCGGTATCCAGAATCCCGGTGCAGTAGGCGAAACCCTGCGCTGCATGCCATCCTTGACCACTGCCGGTGAGTCTATATGAATTTGAATGCCTCCGGCTGCTTTTGCATGCCCTCACTCTGTCCACACCGCGCGGAGACGCCGGCCCCTGACCCGCTCTGGAAACTTATTCTCCCTACAACTCATGCGGTCCCGTCCATCTGGTATTAAGCAATAATGCATGCCCTCTCTGTTTGGGAAGTCCGCGGAAAGCTCAGCGCTCGTGTTCATGGCTCCCGTTTGAGGCAAGAAGACGAGAATACCACGGACACTCCGTGGTCGAGGCCCTGTCTGGGAGAGCTGGTGCGCTCCTCGTATCGGATTACCCATACGGCTGGCGCCCACGCCCGCCTTCCTTTACGCACAGGAATAACCAACAAGGTTCTCACTGCCAATTGGATGAACCCGCCGGATGTGCTCTCTTCATATCCTCACGCCTGAACAGCGCAGGATCGGGCGGTACCCGCGGCGCACGATAGCCATGGTTGTTGCCTTTAATGGCCCGGCCTCTTAGCGGTAATAGGGTTTGAGTCTCAGACGGGCCAGTGGGTGGGCTCGCCTTTGGCGCGACCGCGCCCGGCTTCTTTCATTTCGCGGTTTCATCATGCCCCAGCGTTGCCTCACACTCTCTTAGCCTCGCGTCGTCATGTGCGCGGGCCAATCATGCGCACTCGTATACACACCGGCCGTTCGTGCATTCATTCATGTTCGTTCATTAATACCACCTACAACGCCCGAGCGAAGATTCAGGGCCTGCGCGCACGCGACGCCAGTTCCGGGACGGCGACGCGTGCCCGCGTCCACCGTCAAGCACACCCAAGCTGCCGTCATATCGCGCTGCTGCACACGTCACGGGGCGGCCGTAGCGCCTGCCACTGCCATGATAATGCGGTTCGCGGGCGCCCAGCACGCGCGCCGCGATTGGACGGTGCGGGGCGAACGTCCCACAGAGGTATGCAAGAGGCCACTCGAAGGGACGCAGGCGCACCTGGATCGCGCGCGCGGCCGTCTTCTCCTCAGGGTCGAGGAGCTACAGCGACACAAGACGCCGTCGCAGAATGCAGAATGCGAACATGAGGCCTATGTATGGGTACGGAGGCAGGTGTGGTCCTCGGTCGGTCACACCGCGGAGTGCATCGCGCGGATAGCGGCCAGGGCCTCGCGGACGTGCTATAGTTATCCATCCCAAATACTCTACTGCATCGTATCGCGATTGCACAGAGCAAGGCCGCCCGCTGCGCTGGCCAGGATCATATCACCGCTGAAACCCTATTACACCCTATCCCAGAGTGGGGTCCTGTCCCTGAGGCCCGCCGAGACGGTAACACATCCCAGGACGCTTCCCCCCCTGATGGACTGCGCAGGCGTCCTGGCAGCAGGATCGCGGGACCCGCTGTCCAAGGGGACGGTAACAGGGTCTATGGCGCGTGCGCGGGAGCGGGGGGAGCACCACTGGCAATCTCTCCCAATCTCACTTATCTCTCCGTCAATCGTAGATGGATGGGATGGACATGGACTGAATGGCTTGGACGGGAGGCATGGATGCACCGACGCCAGATTGTCGCTTCCAGACGAAGCGGCGTGCGTGAGGTCCCGCGGACACACGCCCAATGTACCAATCTCACTTATCTCTATCTCTCTCCGACAACTGTAGATGGGATGGACTGAATGGATCGGACTCGAGGTATGGATGCGTCGACGCCAGAGGACCAGCTTCTACAGATACAGACGAGCGGCGTGCGTGCGTGCGTGCGTGCGTGCACGTGAGGGCCCCGCGGAACCATGCGGGCTTACCTCCGTGCGTCCGTCCGTGGCTGCGCCCAACGCTTAGAATTGAAGCTTCAGAGTTTGCGCGTCCTCCTGACTCTGACTTATCAGCGGGCGCACATGCGCAGCGTGCACGCGCGTGCGCGTGCTCGCCGCTCGTCACGGCCCCACACTGCGGGAGCAAGGAGCAGGCAAGCAGCACCTGCCCTGCCTCTCCAGTACCAAGTGCTAAGAACGGCTTGGCAGAACGATGTGCCCGCCCTCGAAGCTCGACGCCCGAGCGGCGAGCCCTGCGTGCGTGGTTCCAGCGCCGCAGATCGAAGCGTCAGGAATAGACATGACAGCGCATGCGTAAACCGTACGCGCGATGCATCCAGAAACGCGCCTGCGCGTGTGTGTGTGTGCGCGTGTGTGCGTGCGACCGCGTTTGCTAGATAGAACCGTGTGTTGGCTAAGCGAGCGGCCACGATTAGGATCAGGACGGCGGTGGAGCTGCTGCCGGAGATGGACGTGTCGCGCTGCGCGCGCGATGAGGACGAGCTGAGAACTGGCATGCACGACACTGTACGTGCGGAGGAACTAGCCGTCCCTGGGATGAAGGATGCACGCGAACGAGATCGCGAACGCAGACGCAGACGCACCGCAGAGATCCAGAACACCGAGCAGAGAACAGCAGCCCGCGCCGCAGCAGCGCGCCGGGTGCCTCGAGAGCCTCGGGCCCTTGTCCATAAGCAGGCAGACCCATGACGCGCGCGGATGGGGCAGGCACAGCCCGGTCCCCCGCTGCAGCGCGCTCGGCGAATGAGGCGTCCGGGCGCGGCGCGGCGACGCCTGCCGGGGCCCCTGGGCTCTTACGTGCAACGCGCGAGCAGTGCGGACGGAGATGCGCGAAGGGGCCCCGGGAAGGAGCGACGGGCAGGATAGGCAGGGGGGGCGCCCGGGAAAGGCAGGAGCGGCGCGCAAGAGGGGACGGCGGAAGGGGGGAAGGGGGGAAGGCAGGGGAAGAGAGGGAGGGAGGGAGGGAGGGGGAGGTGGGGACGGGAAACGAAGTCGAAGTCGAAGCCGAAGCCGAAGCTGCGAAGCAGGCCCTGGTCACGGTTCACGGTGGCTTCGGCCCCCCTGCCCTGCCCTGCCCCCCTGCGCATATGCACGTCCTGAGGATAGATAGACGGCTTCTGCGAAACGTCTTCGCGTTGGTGGACGAGTGCGTTGCTGGAAGGGCCCGACTGTACGAACGGCACAGAGGAAGAGGAAGAGGACGAGGACAAGGGGACGGCTGCAGGTGGCGAGCACGGCCAGACGCGTCCCCGCGAAGTCGAAGTCGAAGCTGCTAGGTTCAGACATAGAGCAGACGGCTGCAGTCCACAGGCTGAGGCTGATCCTGCGTGCGATGGCGAGCGCTTCCTGATACAGTACCTGCAGGGGGCGCCGCAGATCAGGCTCGCGTTGCCCCAAAGGGCGTGCAGCAGCTGGCGGCGCAGGTGGCCGGGCGTTCCCACCGGGCGTATGTACCTTTACGCGCGGGCTAGCGTGGGAAGGACGAGTGTGCAAAGTGCGAAGATGCAGAGCTGCAGGACGGGCGCGGCGATTCAGAGTGGAGGGGGCGAAGCCGCACGCTGGAGCTGGGGGGAAGAAGGATCGGCGCGGCAGGTGCTCTGCCTTTCTCCGCTGGACGCGCCTGAGGCGAGCTTCGCGCGGCGTGGAGGACATTTGAATGGGAGCACCGTTGCGTGCGGCGACGAGCCGCACCGTGTCTGGTGGCCATCGGATAGGGCGTGATGGGAGTGCACTGAATGGCGGTGCGGCAGGTGGGACTGGCACTTGGAATCTGCGATCAGAGCGAGGAGAGTCAGTCGACCGGTCACGCCTGGCGGTGGGATTCTGGTGGCCGACGAGGGAGACCGAATCGCGATGCGAGATGCCTCCGCCGCGATTGAGTGGCTGATGGAGGCGCCGCGTGCCTGTGTGCGGTTTGCGATGCCCGCTATCACGATCCACGGCCCTTTGGGGCAGAGACGCAGAGACGCACGCCCAAGCACAACAGGCTCGCTGATCGCCCCCTCATCGCCGTGATGCGGGCACATCGGCCGGCACCGCGCACAGTCGCATTAATGCGCACTCGCCACTCGGGGCCTGCTGCGCGCCCACCAGTGCGATGGACGCCGGTGGCCAACACGGCAGATTCGAGCGAGATGCTGTACAAGGTCCGGATGACCGCGGTGATGTCGACGCGTGGGCGTGGGCGCGCGCGTGGGCGGACGCGAATGCATCGGCCCCAGCGACCTATCGGCGTATCTGGCAAACAAGAGCAGCGGGGCCATCGATGGCGTGCGCCGTCCGCGCATGGGATGTGCGTCCGCGCGCGCGGGACACGTGAGCGCGCTGAGCCCCACCCCGCGTCTCGCTCGACAGTCCCTGTCACAATGACACGGACGCCGCGTCGTCGCACGGCGCACCGGGCAGAGATCCGGGCGAGGACGGCGGTGATGCCGCTGTTCTGCATATAGGTTCACTCAATTGTTATGGCGACCCGGGGGCGGCGCCGCTGTCCGGCAGCGTCGGCGCATTATCGATCGTCGGCTGGGTGGACGGCGACACGCAGGGCCGCGCACGGGGATTGGCCGGAGAGAAGACAGGCGTGGCGGCCGGCGTCGAGGAGGGAGACCCTGCGCTGCGCGTAGCGTGCACTGTGAAGAGAATGCGGGGAAGACAACGTGCGGCGACGTCATGATAACGTTACGCCCAGCGCGGACAGCGTTCCTGGCCAGATAAGATCACCACGCACCTAGCGCCCGCTAGCTTCGCCGCCAGCCTTGCTTCTTGCCAACTGACCACGGTCACCGGCTCTCGGAACAACGACGTGCCTGTCTCTTCTCCCCGGTCCTCCGACTCCCACTCGCTCTACTTACCCATCCGCCCTCGCCTGCGTCTTGACAGCAGCACCGCCGTCGCCTCAATGGGGCCCCCGTGAGTGAGTCAAGATGGAATCCAATACTGGGATGTGCACAATACACTGGTATGAGGGTATGTACAGCGTCGCTCGTTACCTCTTCCACCTCCTCCTCCCCTCCCCGCCCATATTATATTTCCTACAGCGCGCGACGCGATCTTCAAATATGTGGGTAGTGCGAATAGAATACGGCCAGCGTGCGGCCCGTGTGCGACGACAATATGACGGTGGTGGTGATACAACTGCGGCGGGAAGTGCAACTTGCGATGACAGAACATAGGCCAGGCTCGGGCGACAACGAGAATTATACGATAGGATGACAGCGGCTGCAGCAGGGCGCGCGGCCACAGATCAGCACGCGATATCCCGCGGCCACAGCGCGAACACAACACAACTCACATGGGGGACAGACAGGACGAGACGCAGCGCGGCCACACCAGGGGCGCGCTCACTTGAACGGACATGTCGGCGCGTGGTCGCCGCGCCAGCCACAGTGGCAGCACTGCGGGAGGTTCTGGTTGCACGGCGTCGCCTGCGCCTCGACGTGCCGGTGGACCGGCGCGGGCGCGGACGCCGTTGGCGGATGTGCGCGCGAGGACGACGGGCAGCGGGGATGTGAGTGCGACGCGCATGGTGTGCGGGACGGCATGGTGGCAGACGTGTGTGGCGGTGGGCCGGAGGAGGGCGTTCGGAGTGCGAGTGATCGCGGAGTGGTGGTGCGCGAGGGGGGACGGAGGCTGTTCGCTGGGGACGGGGTCCGGAGTGAAGCTCGAAGACGGGACGCGGGGCGTTATAAGGACGCGAGCGGTGTGAGTTGTGCCGGCGGATGGAGGGAGGGTGGTGGAGAGACCGGGCTCTTATTTATGTGTTCGGTTGTTGGGCCACAAGCGTGACATGGGCGACGGCGCGAAGAGCGATCGCGGTGTGACGGGGGTGACAGAGGATGACCAGAAGGATCACAGGAGGGATCAGTGCTTGCGCGCGCTGAGGCGATGATTCCCAGCGGATTCTCAGAGCCCCTTCCTCGGCGCGCAGCCGTGCGCCCATTCGATTCGAAATTAGATTACGATGCGGCGCAAAATGCGGTTTGCCTCGAAATCTCTGCATCATCGATGCCTGCCAGATCGGGACTAGAAACCGTATCGTCCACACAACGGCTGCTCTAGCCCGATTAGGAACGCCCTCCCAGCGTCCGCTGACTCACGCTCGCCCGCCGAATCACCAGCCAAGCTCACGAGCAGCCTGCCGCCGCCTCGCCTCGCGCATCGCACTCCCATCGCGCACACCCTGGCCTCTGCGCGAACCTTGCCGAGCGCGATTCAGCTGTCCCTCCGTCATACGCGAGCTACGCGCTCCGACGATTCGCTGCACCGCTTTCCACGCGCATCGTGCCCGCAACAACAACAACAGCAACAACAATGGGGAGCACCCACGCGCCCGTCCGCCGCGCCAGCCTGCTCGTGCTGCACCCGGACGCCCACCTCCGCCGGGCCCTGCGAAGCCAGGGCATGCCGTGATTCCCGTCCGATGCTCTGCGCCTGCCGTCATGCCTGCCTGCGCGGCGTGCACGTTCGATGGCACATATTCCTGATGCCTGATGCCTGATACACCGATATCCTGATCGTGGCCTGATGATGGCTTATAAGTTATCCCCCACCCACCGCTGCCGCGCGCTGCAGCCAAACGGCCACTCGAAACGAAACGTCCATGCGGACGTTTCGCCGTTTCCCAGCTGCCTGCAGGGGGCGCAGGGCGCCGTCGCCGGACCCTGCGCGACAGGAATACCGCAGCGCACGCGTTCCCACCTGGCACTCATACACACACATACACACGTACGGCTCTGAAGGCGATCGGGCGCCTGCGAGAGCGAGCTGCGGCACTGTGCAGTGTGCTGCTATCCATCCGTTCCGGAAACGGGCCACGTTGCGCCCACCGCCGTCCCGGGCTCTTGATCACGTACAGGTCCGACGGCCTCTCCCAGTCTCTCGATCGCATGCCACAGCCGTATTGTCTGCGGAGCGCGGCGAGCACCCGTCCTGCGCGTGCCCGTGTTTCTTTCGTCTTTTTCAATGCTTCTGCGTGTGCACCCGCGCCGCGCACGATCGCTCCCATCGCGCATTCAGTCCTTTTGTCACTTCTGACACTATCGCGGATCGTCCGCCGCCGGCAGCCCCGCAGTGCCAGTGGGTGTTGCTCGCCGATGAAGTCATACGCTCGTACGTGTGTGCCTGCACTGTGATCGCGCGCACCGGTCCGTCGCCGCACAGCCTCGCCTCGTTTCCGCGCGCCATGCTGCAGTCTCGGACACTCGAGGTTTCTCCCACCGCCGTCCAGGCGGGCCGTGTGCTCTGTGCTCTGGCGCGGCGCGCCCCAGCCCCCGGACCATGCGTGCGCTTCGTGAACCGTGAATCGTGCTTCCTTGCCCCCATCCCCCTCATTCCCGTCGCCGCCCGGAACGGCAACGCCTCTGCTGTGCCTGCTGCTCCCGACGATCCTCTTGTCCCACGCCCACGCCCACACGACCAATACCAATACCGCGAACGAACGCCACGAACGCCACGAACCCCGCCCGTGCGCACCCTCGCTGTCATGCGCGCTGATCCCGGCGCACTTTGCCCGCTTCTGTATACGCCGTCGCGCGGCCCGCTCTGCTCGGGGACGGGTGCACACTCGCTGGGCTCAGCCAGGCCGGGCCTGGGCCGCTTCTCCCCCTCCCCTCACACCCCATCCCGATAGATACGTTCCCATCTCTGAGTCACAGCAGTACGTCGCCTCTTACATACACCGCGGTCTCGCCGCGCCCGAACGTGTTTGCATTGATCCTGTCAACGCCCCAACCGACCAATCCTCGCACTTGCGCTCGCACGTCCGCGCGGACTTAGCGCCTGCAAGCTCCGTGCCCATATCGGTGTGCGCCCGCGCCTCAGAGAGGCTCATGATCAGACTCAGAGTGCGGTCAGCCGGCGCGCGCGAAAGGCAGTCATGAATCGGAGTGGGGAAGGCTGCCAGCGCCTGGGCCCGGTCCTCCGCGGAGGCGCCGGACGGCTCTCTAACGTTAATATTGGACCCACAAGCCTTCTCCCCCGCCCACACGTGGATCTATCTGTCCGCGGCCCTTCGCCGATTTGTCTGCTACGCCCCCTGCATTGCAACTCCGTGTGCGTCGGCGCTCGTCTGGCATTTCGCACCCTCCTCTCCCAGGACCCAGACGCGTATCATTGTAGCATAGCACAGCAACTCCGCGTCTCGCGGAACCACCACGTCGCTGCGGGAGGATAATACGCACAACGCAGGATGTCACGCCGCCCGCATCCGGCAATGCAGTTGCCTTCTGCGCGCGACTCTGGTTACTACGCCCCCTCGTTACGTACAGCCAGCGCTGCCGCGTTCTAGCGCAGGCCCTCGGCCGTCCCCCTCGTCATTCCCCGCTGTGCCAATCACAGGCCCCGGCCCTGATCGCGGGGCGCACGCGATCCCATCTCTCGCCCGTCCGTAACCTTCATAAATCCGGGGGCGTATCTTGATTCGATGGGCTCTGATTTATTACGGCCGCCCGATCGCGCGCGCCGGGAGGCTCCTGCTCGACTGGGTTAGACCCGCGCGCAGCCAGAGACTCGCGTTCCCTGCAGCCCCTGCCAGCCTCGGGCTTCTGCGCCTTCTATGAGTCTGTATCGGGGGCAAATGGGATCATAGCGGACCTGCGGCGGCGGGGGTTCGCGGCTTCTAGCCGTCGCGGTGTGATATACGCCCACGCGAGGGCTCAGAGAACGGGCGTCGGGCCTGATCTGCCTGTGCGTGGGCCCCCTCGTCCTGGCACGTCTGGCAGCCCATGGGACGGTGTTGGGATGTTGTGGACCCTGCCATGTCCCACGGACATTGGGTGGGCGATCAGACGCGCCACAGGCTCTGCCCACTATCGGTGACAGCAGCTCGAAGCGGATATCCAGACTGCCTGTCCTGTGTCCTGCTCAAATTTCATTTAATTCGCGGCTGAGAACCGCTGTCCAGTGAGAGTCACGGCCTTAGATGACGCCTGGCGCAGAAGCCAAGGGTCATAGGGCACAGCATCCGGCCATAGTGCTCACGGTATGCATGAGGCCAGCGCGAGGCAGACTATTGTCGGATATTTCATACGAGCCAAGAACTCTGCCGCTGGAAAGGATCCGTTGTATACGGCATGAAGCATCTATCAACACTGACACAACTAGAGACGCTGAAATAACCCTCTGCCTCGTCGCATATGTCATCAGACCACCACACGCATCTGGGCACTCACGCTTCCCTGGGAGCAGCAAGAAGACAGAGTCTAAACGCCCTCGCGTAAGTCGTGAATGGGCTGCTCCATGAGAACTTTGCGAGTCAGACAGGGTCTCGGAGTAAGACACCACAATGCAAAGACGGATCAAGTGAAAGATAATGTCGTGAAGTACGTACAAACGATCGCGCCATACACTCTACCCACACCCCCGTTCTGTCCGATCGTGCTCACGTCTTCGGCTTCCCTGTCCGCTTTGGCGCGTTGGCGTACCATTCTGGTACCTCGTTTGCCTTGGGCACCGCGCGTCTCCTGAGTTCCCTGATCTCCTTCTCCTCTTCCAACTCCCGCTGGCGCCTCCGTTCCTCCATCTGCTGTTCAATCTCCAGCTCGCGTTCTCGTCGCGCCTCGTCGTATTTCCCGCGCTCGCGGGCACGCACGTCCGTATTGAGTTCCATCTCCATCGGGACAACAGGCATGATCTGCTCTTTCCTGGCTGCTAGCGCTGACTCTTGCGCAGCGTGCATGGCCTTGAAGTCCGGGATGGGTAAGGGGGCATGTGACCGTGATCGCGTCTGCATGCTGCCTGACTTCTCCAGTTCGGCCTTACGCGCTTCTATGCGCGCGTCTGAATGGAAATGAAACTCGATCGGCCGCGTCGGTTTCGCGGGAGGAAGCGCCACAGACTACATGTGCACAATTTAGACTCAGTACTGTGCAGGCTCAATCATTGAAGGCACGGAAATGAAACGTCGTGAAGGTGGATAAAGAGGGAAACTAAAGAGAGGTGTGACAGTGTCTATTCACTCACCGACTTGTCGAGACCAGGCATATGTCCTGAGCGGTGCATGTGTCCATCTTGTTCCTGCCGCAGTGCCCTCGCGTCGGACGTATTTTCCTTTTGCGAGTTGTGCAAGTCCCCTGATTTGCTCGCACTTCTAGAGCGAGAAGGCGCGACCGGTGGGTGCGTCAGCTGCCTCCTGCCCCCGTTCTTCCTGCCTCCATGCTGCGCCGTGCTTGCCGGTGATCGAGCCTGTGAGTTTGCGTTTCCGGGCCTGACACGCGCCTCCTTCGCCTGCGGATCCGCAGAAGGCTTTCGCGCACGTAACCTAGAAGCTATAGAAGATTCAGGCGCAGGTACCTCAACCTCGCGCTGTGAGTCGGTGACTGCGTCCTCTTTGATCTCGCCCAAAGGCTGATTAATGGACGATGTCTGACTGCTGGAGAGATCGGTCTTGCTCCGTTTACGTTGATGCGAAGAAGCATCCGGAGCAGCTGACTGTGGGCGTTTGCGAGATGAACGTGTAGGTGACGGATGGGGTGCTCTATCGGCTGCTCCAGACATATCGGGTCGCAAACGCCGTGCTTCCGCACGAGTTGACGCGGCAGGCTTACGACTGGGGGACAGTTGCGAGAGAGTGAGGGGAACTTCGGTAGTTTCTTCAGCGTGTGAAGCTATAGTGAAATCGACGGCAGAAGACGACCCTGCCATTGCGAGTTCGGCAATCGCCCCAGTGGACGTACCGCGCTCGACATCAGTGCGATCAGCGTTGATGTCAATAGGAACCGGACTGTCAGAAGTAAGGGGATCCTCAATCAATCAGTCCGTACGCATCTGTAGAACGGGGTTACTGACAGATTTTGAGTAGTCCTCTGTCCAAATGCAATTAAAGTATTTGCCAAACCACCGGCCGTAGCACCTGCGGTGGATTGGACGACAGCTCCACTAGAGCTATGCACACTCCGCGTCACGACTTTCTCGGCAAGGTCACCTCGCACGGATGTAGACTTATCTCGCACGGGACGACGCTGCCCGGTGAGTGACTTACGCTTCGCCGATGCCGAGAGGATTCGGGCGACCGTGGAGGCTGGCACCTTTGGTTTGACTGTCTTTTTCGCCATACCGCCTCCGATGACACCCTATCAATCGTATCCCGATATCAGCGTTGGGCGAAATAAGCTGTAAACAAACGATGATACCGATTTTCTCCGCTTCGTCTTTCCGATCTGTAGCGCCTGTTTCCGTGGCTTCCTTTCCTGTTCAATTCTCTCTGCAGGTATCTGTTCGACATCTGACATGTGTCTCGTTGCGGCGTCTGTCTCAGCTTCGGGGATTGGTCAGCTCTACCGGCCACATAGTGGTTCAATATGCAGACCTTGCTCAGTCGATTCCAAAGATGCTCCGATTACTTTCTGATTTAAGGCTGACATACCAGGGCTGCTAATTAAATGATTCGACGGTTGTGGCGATATTTGAGCGCGCTGGGGGACTGAGGATCTTGCCGGCGATGCCGCTGTCTCAGGTATATAGGGTCCCGTGCCACTGAATGTAGAAAAATCCACATCTGGTATATCGTTGCCTTCTTCGGCAAGGAGTTTATGTCCTACTGTAGCCGATATGGGGATTTGGAATGATGTTCCCTCGCCACGGATGGGCGAGAAGTTCTCGGTGAGTGCAGAGGATAGATCTCTCGCTACCACTGCTCTTCGAGGTGTCGCAATTTCCGGATGAAGTCGGGGTCGGAGCGAAGATCGGACAGGAGCCGCACGCAGAACTTTGGTCCGTGGCGTTAACTCAGCAAGAGTTAGCGGTGGTCGCTTGCGGGTTGTCGGTGGCGCAGGAGTAGCCAGTGTATCATCTGCATTGCGCAGGAGGTCCAGGCTGTCATCACCCAGGAGTAGTTCATTCGATGAGCCAGCCGCTATTGGGATTTGGAAAGAGGAATCAGAGAAATCGTGCATTACAGACGCATCAGAGAGATCTGGTAAATGGCGTAGACTGAAATCGGACGCCATGTGTGGTGAGGTATTCGTATAGCAGGTATAATCTGAAAACAAGTCAACAGGTATGTGGTAACCGCGATAGCACTTGCGGAGGACGCAGATGGCGAGTGTTGCGAGAGGAGACGCGGTCCAACCGTGGGAGCGACGCGCTCACGCGTTTTGCACGTGATCGAGTCCCCCCACTAACTTCAGCCACCGCACCAATTTGCCGTCACACTCAAATCCTAACCTCCGAATACCGGCATGTTGCGCAAAGTGCACTGTCATCGCTCAGCGATCAAAAATAAAGGACAGTTCTAAGCTGTATGAATGCCGATACGTTTGCAGCGATGCAGCGGACATGCATCTCACTTCACTAAACACGGGTTCAAACGCGCCCAATATGGCTAGCATCGAGGGTCCACATTCACGGACCCTGACAGGCATCTAGCTTTTTCAAGGTGAGAATGATCCATGCTCTCCGAAAGCTAGTGCTTTGCTGAATTTGTCGACACCCTCTTTCAGGCAAACAACAGCCTACCGTGTGTCAGGAGCCTCTCTCACGCAATCCGACTTTTGATACAGAGTGCAAAGACTGCGGCGTCGGGATTCTGACAGCGCAGTTGGGCGTCTCGTGAATGCGTCTACTGTGCCATAGGTCCTCTTGGTAGGCGCGAGTTAGGCGTGCTACACACACCATGCCCAATTCGTGCCCCCGCAACAGGCACTGTTCTCTCAGCATGCCAACGGATCCCAATCAGCCCGAACAACGCCACCGGCGGTAGGTGTATTGATATCCCCCTCATTATCTCAGCTGCTGTATTCTTGGCGCCGTAGCCGGTGGTTTCGTCCAGCGAGTTTGGACCGTGGACCTGGACAGTTATCCGCGTTCGGCACGACAAATAGCCTGCATCCCCAAGGCATCTTCATCAAACTGTGCACAGCGTCCTTGCCTCGATGCCGGCGGCTCGTGTACCCTAGCCCAGCCTCGCTCTCGTCGTCCCATTGTGGCATGCGGAGAAGCCGACAATCCGTCTTTCATCTATCTTCCCCTCAATCTCCCCCGCAATTTTGATGATTCTAGCGTGTCCGAGGCCGCTCATTCCGTGCGTCCGGGACGCGATCGGACGTGCCGAACGATCATGCTGACACGCGATTTGATGTAGGGACGTACGGTGAGCCAGCATCAGCCTGTGACTCACGATTCGTTTTGGAATTATGCTACTCGCCGACTCCGACTTCTCGGTGTAATTTGCGCACGAACGGAACGCGTCAACGCCGCCTGAACAAACCGCTCCCATAACAAGACTGCAAATAGGTCCATTCGGCCTCCAGCTCACAGGCTGCGGCAGGCGCATCAGCTTCGTCGTCACGACACGAGGGTTCTCGCAGCCATGGAGATCAGGCATTCCAGGCTAAGAAACGTGCCATCTCTTCTAAAAGACGAACCAAGAGGACTGAGTTCAGTCAACTGTGGTCTCCTTGAGCATCAGGCACACTATCTGGCACTCGGTGAGAATACGACAATCACCGTGGCAGATACCAGGTTCTGCCAAGGACATAGATGACATGACTGTAAACCGCTATCCTACGCGAGATTGATACAGATGGAAAAGCCGCCCAACGATGGGGGTATGGCGCTGTATTACACATCTCTGCCGGACGCTACAACATATTGCTAGCTTCGGCTCAAAGACGCAGTGAATTCAAACTCAAACGCCTAGACCCCTTCGATATTGGATGAAGGCGATGAGGTTATCCCGTACTTCTTCGCCCCGCACCCTGAGCTCTCGCTCTCTCTTCTTGTCAATACCACGCACCGCCTTCCGCACGCCTTCGACGCTTGCGATAAGGACCTCAAGGTATCGGCCTTGTCGGAAATTGATGTCGTACGGCAGGCCCTCGTCTGAGTATATGTCAATAAGCGCCGAAACCGCTTGCAGAAGAGGCTCCGTAGGTGTCGGATTAGCGGCTGAAGGGGGGAGCAAGGAAAGCAGGTAATTCGCAATCACCTGTACATCGCGCATAACACATGCATTAGTCACACAACTTGGGCCAGGCGCTAGCACGGGCGACATACCCTGTTAGCGTCGACAGACTCTGGGTGCTGCGCCAAACACTCCAGCGTGCCAATGCATTTTACCTTGACGCTATGATCCGTTGTAGCGTTGCAGAGCTGCATCAGGACCTGCACTTGTGTTTCGTCTGGCACGAGAGCGCCCTTCCACATATTCGCCACGCCCCAGAGTACACCGACCCCGATCTCCCACATTTGTTTTCGCCGCTCCTGCCCGGGTATGTCGACATCCGTGCCCACGACACCGAGCGCACGCCAGATTTCGTTCCAGATCTTGTTAACACTGTCGGCGTCAGAATTAGGGATGTAACTCCCGCTGGACGACGATGCGTGCCGCAGGGACAAGAACGTGTTGTTGAGACATTCGAACGCGCTTATGTGGATGGCGCTGAGCGCGGATGTGGTTGGTGGATGAGGCGATGGGCCGTCAGGAGGGGAGAAGGATAGAATCGTTGGTTGAATAAGCGCTAGCAGAGGAGATATCAGACTCCGGAAGAATGTTGGCTTGGTGGGTGCGGCCTGATTAGTGGATGATTCCTGTTCAAGCGCCATGTCGATGTCGGGTTCTCCTTCCATATCTTCATCTTAGTTGTCAGAGATGTGTGAGCCGCCTGTGAGACATTGAGTAATATCAGATAGACGACTTACCCTCATCTTCGTCATTGCCGCCCGCTGCGCCTTCATCTGGAACAGGGGCCTCGGGGTCCGGCAAAGTCGCGCAGAGCCCGGTGAGGATTTCTAATGCCAACTGAACAGTGCGCAATTTCGTTTCCAAGCGCTCGAGCTCCAATTCGGAGGGTGTTTTGTGGTCAGTTTTTGGTTTGTTTTTCAGCGACAGCCTCTCCAGCTGCGGGATGGAGTCCTGTTTTTTTCCCATAGATCAGTGAAAGTGCACCTGGCTGGATCGAAGGGTGGTGCGCACCTCTTGTGCTATGAGCTCCTTGGCGAGCTGCGCCGCGTCTGGTAGTGACACTAGCGATAGCACTGGTTCTAGTGTAGGTAAAATGATATCGCGGTCGAGGTCCACTGTTGCCGCAACAGAAGGTGGAGGGATTGGTGAGATATTTCTCATTACACCTGTGAGGCCAATCAACTTTGTGTTCATGCGCGCACGTCGGATCGAAGAGACATTACATACCACAGCATAATACGCGGAATGTCAGCGCTCGATCGTCGGGCACCGCTTTGTTTTTGCCATTCACATGAGGTATTGGCTCATCGCTCTGCACGACAGATAGAAGGCAAGCGGTATACGCTGCGTTCGATCGCAGTTCTTGAATCATAGGCACGTTCTCGTCTGTCAAGACATATAGACATTGGGCTTATACGAAGATAATTAGCGATATCACATGCGTTGATGGGAGCGTATACCTGCAGACGTCACTGTCAACACAGGCAACTTGTCTCTTGACGCGAGGAATGACATCAGGAAGGGTATCAAAGGTATTTGATTGATGGAATTCATGGCTTTGTTCGAAGTCTCTCTGGTTCCCTTAACGGTTGCATCGTGTCGCCAAAGGTTGTGACTTACGACAGGCACCACAATATGGTAATGACATTGTCAGCAAAATCGTAGACGACCCTTTGTGCGTTCTCGGGGGCATTCTTGGGAGAGGACAGGAATTGAGACAGTGTCCCCGAGATCTGTGTGATGAGTTTGATATCACTCAATCGGTGTTCCATACTCGATGGTTTTACCAACCTTGGGAATGAACGTCATAAGAGGCGCGAGTATATTTTTGTTGTACATCTCTGCACAAATGTCGAAGCCACCGTCTATGCACAAATTGCTATTCACGGCCGCACGCCTCATGTCAGAAACCAGCCTCCAGATTTATCCAAGTCGAGTCTCTCACCGCAATGCACCCGCTGCTTCAATGACCACTTCCTCCTCACTGTCTGTGAGGCGCGTGATCAACGCGCCTACGACATTTTTGCCTTGCAACAACCTCCTTGTCGAAGGATCGTTTTGAATGAGATTGGAGACAGCGACACAAGCCCATTTCCGCTCAGACGCATCGAGACTTTCCATCTGCATATATGCCACATCGCTATGAGATGCATGATGCTACGTAGGACCTTCGTCGACAGAAATGGTAGCAACCTTCTGAATGATAGGCAGAATTGCTTCTTTCTTAGAGGACGACGCAGTTGCAGAGTCTAGCCCTTTTGGTAGATGCGAGTCCGGGACCCGCATAGGATTATGGCGCCGCATCTGGCGTTGCTTTTGTGACTTTCCCATGGCAGTATTGCTTCAGACCAGTGCTTGTAATGTGAGCGAGGCAAAACGCGGAGAATGGAAAGTCGAATTGCCTGCAAGCGGGTGCACGGTGCGCGGACTCGATCGCGACTGGGCGATCAAGATTTTTGTGCCCACGTGACCGACCGCGTTAGCGTGTCCCGCGGTCGTTGACATCTTGCCTTGGAATTCCGCGTTCATACGGAGGATGGCCTCTACCATGTACGTTACCTGAAAAATAGTATATTATACTGTATTGGCTGACGGCGTAGCAGGATCGACGACGACGACGACAGCTTTCTCTACGGAGACTCCAAGGATGTCCTCGAGGTTGCAAAACCACCCGTGACAACGTCTGGTGAGAAGTGGCTTTGGTATCGTACATGAGAATCACAATATAACCTGCTGTATTTTTACTTATTTCAATGGAACGTCTTCTCTTACATCATCGTGATTGCTAGTGCCACAGCCGTAAGTTACACCTCACACACCATGCACACAATCTCACTCGGAGGTATAGAATCTCGCTCGAACAAACACGGTCAGCCACGCAAGGTCTTGTTGCCCACCTTGAAGCCGAGGCTGCGGAGTCCTCAAATGGTACCGCTGCACCCGAGTCTATAGAGGATGCACAGAACGACGAAGAGGGCGAGGGTGAGGAGGAGGAAGAGGAGGAAGAGGAGAGCGATGATGTGCGCATATACTCCAGGCCCCTGCTGACGTGACTTATGGTGTTGTTCAGGACATTGAGATCATCATGGAGCCAACTGCACGCACACTAGACCTGCGGTAAGTGCAAGGATCTTCGTGTGCATCCGGAGTACCACTCATAGCGATGCAGACAAGGCAACCGGCCGCCACCAAACCGACCGGCTAGCCATAACACTCCAACAAGAGGTATTTCATAGTCCAAATATGAATTGTCTGCATAGCTCAGTCTCGCGCGCCCAGCACCTCAACCACAGCACCCACAGCCCTCTCTAACGACCGAATACACGCCTCGAGAACGAGGGGGCGTCACCAAGCTTTCTTCCACCCCGCAACCTACATCAACTACCCCATCACCAGCACTGTCTGCAACACCAGGCGCCGCATCCAGCCAACAGAAGGCTGAGGACGAGCAACAGCCAGCGGATTCTGGACCTGATCCTTCGACTCTTCCTCTAGCAAAAGCGCCGCCGTCACACCCGTCAATCAATCCAGATGCGCCTGGTACGCTTGACGGGCGCTCAATTCTTGAAGTTGACCTCAATGCATTGGCGGAGAAGCCATGGCGGCGGCCAGGCTCGGACTTGAGCGATTGGTTCAACTATGGTTTCGACGAAATCTCGTGGGAGGCGTATTGCTACAGGAGGAGAGAGCTGGGTGATGTTGCAAGCGTCCTGAAGAACAATGTCCTGGTGCGTGATCGTGTGCTCTGCTGTTTCTATCGCACACTCAGTGTCGAACGCTCGGTCACAGGCATTTGCAGGCATGCCAGAAGAACAACTCTCAGCCCTTCCACCTGAGATCCGAACGATGGTCATCGCAGGCGCCATGATGGCCAGCGGCGGTGCAGCGAACGGGGGTGGGATGATGCCAGGGGCCGGAATGAACATGAACGGGGGCGCCATGATGAACCAGATGATGAACATGGCGCCCATGATGAACCCAATGATGCAGGACATGGGCATGGCTGGCATGGAGATGGGCATGGGAGGGCCGGGCATGGGAGGACCTGGTATGGGGGGACCTGGTATGGGAGGACCTGGTATGGGAGGACCTGGCATGGGAGGACCTGGTATGGGCGGTGCGGGCATGGGTGGAGCGGGTCCAGGTCCGGGTATGATGCAGGACGCAGGCGGACCTGGCGTGATGGGCGGCGGGCCACAGGGTGCGGGGCAGAACACGCAAGAGGGGCAGATGGGTATGGGAGAGGGCTTCGTTGCGGGAGGTGGCGGGCCTGGCCCAGGGATGATGGGGATGGGTCCCGAGTTTGGGATGCAGGTAGACTGGAATGATCATCTCTCGTTACCGGTATGTTGCTGACGGTTTCCATTTCAGCAGCAGGATGCGGCGGGCATGGGCCAGCAGCAGATGTATCAGGTCATGGAGAACAACACTCCGCAAGCCCCGGCGCCCACACCCTCGCGGAACGGGCCGACGCCTGGTCAGTTCAGAGGACGCGCTATACCTCCGACAATGCCATCGCGCGCACGGGGAGGCTACGCACCACGCGGACGAGGTATGCCGTACTTCACACGTCAAACGGAGCGTGAATAACTTAACATCATGCCATAGGTATTCCGGTTCGACCTGCGTCCCCGCTTCCACCCAATGTGCCCACGGGCCCGCGAAACAAGAACAAGTACAAGGACATCGACGGCAGTGCACCCGCTGTCGATGGGCTGGACTACGGCGGAGGTGGCGGGAAGGAAGGTGGAAGCCGCACCCCAGACGAGGACAACAGGAGCAGCAGGTGTGCACGGCCTTGGCTTCGATAGCGAAACTAACGACTGATATCTCTTGAGCAGCAGGAAGCGGAGAAGCTCCCCCGGCCTCGACGACAGTAGAAGTTCAAAGCGGCGATAGTCCTAGCTGTCTGCAGTTTCCTACTTTGTTCTTGACAATGTATTTGCGCCTTGTTGCTATCCACACCCGTTGCGAGACTCAGACACAAAATAATCCATTTGATCAATATCGATAACGGCAACAACTAGATGTAGCAGAGCGATTAAATAACGAACGGCTACATACGGAGCATTCACAAACAAAACAAATAATCTGGGGGCCTTCACGAGACATCTACTTTATATATGCACAGTGACCTAGGTCGATGTCATAATGAATAAGCCCGAGCAAAACATTAGGCGTTGGGGCCCTGCGACCCCAATCAGTGGTAGCTATGAGAAATGTTAACGAACGTGGAAGCTCAGCCAGGTCGGGCGGGCATAGGTGTGGGCGGTATGGGTGGGAGCTGGGAAACATCAATTGGACGTTTCCAAATGACGATGGGGGGCCCAGGTTTGACAGGCGTGGTAGATCGGGGACTACCACTCGTCGGAGTGCTTAATTCGTCCTGGCTGAGCGTCGAGTCGCTCGTATTCAGCATGCGATGCATCCGTGTCGAGGTGAACGGAGGGTGCCCTTTGGGCGCTGCAGCAATGATATGAGGGCGGCGCAGTATGTGGAATTGTCAAGCACGTACATGAGGGATGATCGGGAGCTTTCACGCCAATGAGGCGCAAGGGAACAGCTCCTCCAGTCACAAACTGGAAGAGCTTGATAAGAGAGGCGACGAACTTGGTTTGCTCTATGGCGTCGTCCGCTTGCCATTTGTACGTGCTCGCGCTCGGCGTGACCTCGAAAACCAGCGACTGCATCAAGCGGTTACACCCCTGCCGATCACGATATATATAGCTGCACGTACGTTCACAACCTCCACTTCGCGGAGATCTTCCAGCTTCCAAGTCTTCCCAACAGAAAACGCGCCATTGCAGTTTAGCTTTGCCTTGTGTATGAACCCCGACCCGTTGCTTGCCTCTGTTATGCCCGAGATGGTGCATTCACATCAGAAGCGTGATCGAGGACGCAAGATCAAGACATACGCGACAGGATGATGTATCTTGACTTCCTCCCCTTGCCATCCTGCGCCGCCTCCCAGACCTTGATGTGAGCGACATAGCGCTCTTGGAAGGGGCGGCCAGACGCGTTGAGTTTAACAAAGACAGAGGACTCGATCCGCTGGTGCACAGTGTCGTTGGCGACCATTTCGTGGTGGGCCGGTAGGGGCGATGGTATCGCGGGGCAGCAGATTCAAGACGAGGGAGAATTTACGCAGACGAGAGAAGCATATCTTACTGGGAATTAAGGTTGAGCTCTACCGTAATGAATGAATGGCCTCCCACGGCCCCTGCGCCGCCCCGGTAATAAGGCCCGTGCCAAGCGCTGGAGCACGATGAGACTGTTAACTGGAAATGTGCCTGTCTGAGAAAGTGGGAGTGTTTCTTGTTGAAGGTTTGACGTGTGCGTTTTAACGACAAGCCTTTGGTTGCAAGGTGGCTGTGATGGTTGCAGCCACCCGTAACGACCTCGTGTTGGGCCGATCGCGCAAACCAGAGAGCACCTCAAAATACATAGAGGGCTACAATCTTCGCTAGACCACTGTAGTCATGGTTATAGAATGCCCGTTGAAGAAAAAACCAACGAACTCCGAGATTGTGAAGTCATAACCCGATCAAGGTGCGGTGCGTACTACACTTGCGTCCCGTTTAGGAAGGCCTAGAGTTCACCAATCAACCCATCCCGCGGCAGTGTTCAAGTTCTCAACAAAACGAGGGGCAGCGGAGATGAGCGGTCATTCCGCGTGGTTCTATGGTTCTTTGCAAGGACCGCACGGTTCTAGCATAATCTCTCTCACGACTTACCCCGATTCCCGTACGACACGACTTCATCTCCGCTGCGCAAGAAATGCTTCGCGCAGACATCCGATTGTGTCCTTGGAGATCGACATTCTTACCCCCGATGGTGCCGCGGAATATGAACAACTTCTACAAAAAACTACATGAACAGTGTCCGCTGTATCTCGGAAGCAATAGTGCCCCACGTTCGCGCATGGTAGGCATGTGCTTGTCGTGCCTCAGCGACCCAAAATATGCCTCACTGTTACTGCATGGTTGTCACGCGAATCTAATCACCGTTAGATCCTTCCTAATGTGAGACCTGCGTCGGCATCCTGTTTCTTGGAGACCGCCGCTATCTTCTACGATTGGGCGATGAACAAGAAGATTTTGTAATGCAGACCATGGACGTCTGTACTCCGGTGACCTATGCCACTATCAGGAACTGCGCGAGAGTTTGATGCTTGTGCCTGGTTCTCATCGGGAGATCTGTGTGGTTCAAACGATCTGAGAGAGATCCTATCTGTTTCACATGTTCTGCATCGTCTTCCTCCCAACGAATTTATAATCCATACCAGTAGTTTCCTGCAATCTTAGTGCATGAGCATAATCATGAGAGTTCATAACATATGACATAACACATAGGATTTGAATCCAGCCATCACGAGCAATATCCTGCAGATCCGCTGGGACATTCAGTGAGGAAATCGTCGGCCAGAATAAGAAATAGGCATTGCCCACGCCGCTTCTTGACTCCTTGTGTTAGGGATTCTTCTTGAGGTTGTCCAGAACGACCTTAGCAGCTGCCTCCTTCGCGGCCCCTTGACTAGTACCCCTTCCCGCGCCATATTCTCTCTCCCCTACTGTACTTCCGTCAGATATGATCAGAGGAAAATAGTGCAGCGCGCACTGCACATACTGTACGCCTTGGCGGTCCAAATGGGAGCATGGTTTGGTCCCTCGTGGCTCATCCTCCAATCCAATTCGAGCTCCCTTCGACTCTGGAGGTAATTGTTCAGTTGCATCCTATAATCTGCAGGAACCCATGAAGTCAGGCAGGAGCCAGAGGGGGTGTTCCATAGTGGTGGACATTACGCACGATTGGAATCCATTTGGGTTTCAACCTAGTGTACGGACCTAGATCCAGGCAGGTTAGGCAGTGTCTCAGAGAGCTTGTATAAGGGGAATCAATAATGCACGGATCAGAAGCTGAGTATCGAAAATCTGTTGTACGGCGCAGACAGACGTGGAGGCAAAAGCTTCGACAGGTAGCATGACTCGATGCGCAGCTTTTATGCTATGTAGCTTCGCCACATGTATAGAAAATTGGGCGAGGCGCCAATGCTTCGGGGATTGACTAATTCGCCTTAGAATGTGGTCCCTTCGCCAATATAAATAAACGTAGAACACAGCGCGTCAGGTCCAGTGTTTCATGGGCAGAGCACGCTGAGGCCGCGTGAGGTAATGTGTACGTCCTCGGTGCTCACTCACGGCTGCGATAGTCAAAGAAACACCATATGACTCGACATCTGGCAGGGAAGATAAAGCATAAGGCAAGTATGCTGATACATTGCCTCACGAACACGTAGTAGATGCCAAATACCACAGAAGCCGAAGACACTTCTGATTACACTGCTCATGGCGATGGTGAGCAGAAACAAGAAGTCACTGCGCACCTGAGTGAGTGAGAGGTACGGGTGGGGTTATTTGAGAGTCTCATCAGTCATCATCTTGCGCTCATGAGAGCGCTGCACAGGATTAAGCAAGCAAGGCCAAGTCTTGCGCAGGATTTTGAGCGCTGTCGTGAGAAGGTAAAAACTCCGCGATACTACTGTATTAGTCTTGGCTGTGTGCCTCGGCACGAACACCGCTGACACGAGGACGTTCCCAAGGCTGGTCATACCGTATAGACCATGTACATGGCAGGAAGAAACCTAGGGTGTGCGCCAGATGGTCACGATACACGAGGTGTATCCACGAGGGGAGCTTCGGTACCGTGTTATGGGCTGCTACGACAGTCCGGTCGGAGAAGACAATGCAACCGGTGATAATGGATCGATGACGGCGCCATTCTATACACCGAACGTCAATTTTTAGTTCAAGCGGAGCCTTCTTGAGGCGGTACACCGTGGTGAGCGGAAGTTTTCATTTGAATTGACGCGCGCGCCCGTCCTGCACGTCGTGCCGCCCAACCTCGAGTCTCACAGTGGAGGGACGCGGCCGGCCTGAGGTCCGTCGTAGCATGCCAATCGGTGCGGAGGGTCTTGAGCAACAAGAGAGACAGCTACGACAGAAAGTGAGTAACAGGGATGCAACGAATCGAGGCACGAGCGACTTGAGATTACTGAACGGCCGACTGACACCATAGAAGTAATAAAGCCGCACCATGGTCCAAGTGGACAGGGTTCCCTAGATCAAGCCACGGAAATAGGAGGGCTTCGGCCTCATGAAGTTCATCTGACTGTTGTAATACCGAGAGCACCGCTGGTCTAGTAGCCAGATGCTCGAGGAGGGGAAAGAAATAAACGTGTAGTGCACCCTTGGAGGAGAGGTGGTACAGGTGAAGGGGAGTAAGCAGCTAGAGGCTGATTGATACGCATTATTATACGAAATCGTGGTCGTGGTCGTGGTCGTGGTCGCGGACTTTGTATCACAATACCGGCCCAGATCTCTAGCAGTTTCCTTGACAACCTCGATGATAGGTACTGACGCAATGCATTCAACGGAACCTCCCAGCGCTACGAACAGGACGTGTGTCGTGCATGCTGATCAGGCATGCTACATGGCAAGACAACACCAAACTGGTCAGAACGGACTTTGTGCGAACGGAGCATTCACAACGCACACCCAATCTCATGACGCCCCCCCCTGATCTTCCTCCAAGCTCTTCTTCAGTCCCTCGAGCGTCCTGGCCAGTCTCGCCCCGCCTGCCTCGCCCAGAACCATCGCCAACTGCATCGCCGGCGCGCTCAGCAGCCCAACCAGCTGCGCGCGTAGCGTCTCCAGCGTCGGCAGCTGCGTAACCTCACCCACGCCCGCAGGCCCGAACACGCGGCCCTCGACGAGCGCGCCCACGACGCGCAACTCCGGCACGGGCGTCGGCCGCTGGCGCTTCTGGCGCCGCCCCGGCACGAACGCCGCCTCGGCGTCCTTGCGCGCCTGCGCGAGCTCCGCCTCGGTCTTCGGCACGCGGGGCGGCACGGCGCGCGAGAGGGCGCGCAGGATGGCCTGCATCTGCGGCGGGTCGAAGGACGGGAAGGCGAGCACGGCAAGCCCGCCCTCTACGAGCTGCGCGATGTTCATCGCGGCATGCCTGTCCAGAGGTGCAAAGTCCCGGAGCGCGACGCCGAGAATGGACGTCCGCAGGATTGTCAGTGTCGGTGCGGCCGCCGCGGGCGCGGGCGAGGGCCCGGCAAGCGAGGGTGTGCTGGCGTGCTTGGCTGCGGCCGCGGTGATCTGGCGTCGCAATTGAATGAGACGCGGAATGGAGAAGTCGTTGTGGTGTAGGAAGACAAGCGGGGTATCGAAGCTCGACTGGAACAGGCGAGTGTACTGGTTATACAGGTAGGCCTTCCGTTCGGAGTAGACTCGCGGCACAGTTTTGTTGGGGTAGACCCGTGGCTGTTCTATTGAGACGACATATGTTCGCACCTGTCGCAGTGCTGTAGGCGGGCAGGATATCCGGGGTGGACGGGCGAACATGGTCTTAAACATGGGAGGACTGGGGGCAGCGTCGGTGGCAGCCAGAAAACACAGGAGCGCACTTGACACCCGTTTAGGAAGGTCTAGTGTTTGAGCAGGATCACGTGGGGCGCGAGACACGGCCAGACACCGCGGACAGGACCGTCCATTGTCCGGAGCCCGGATACTTTCCGGTAGATAGGAAGTTGCACGGGCGTGGGATAATGGCACCTTCCAGTGTGCAATGTCCACAGGAAAGCAAAGTAATGCGGATTTCAATCAAAAACACTATCCCTGCCGGGCAGTGTTCGAATCGTGTCCGGGCTCCGGACAACGGGTCCTGCCCGCGGTGGTACGAGATGCATCGGCATCTTCGTTACAGCAGACAGCAGGATTTGCGGTCTGACAAAGTCATACTGACGTACATCATAGACGCATGGCACTAACGCACCCATTACGAGGTATCCTTGATGACTCGCCAGCAAGATATGCATGCTTTAGTGCAATACAGACATTTGACAGACGATGGGTACATAAGCTCTTGTTTTTGACAGCACGCTTTATTGCGTCTATGATACAGCTGACACTATACAACAGGTCGCCCCTTGCGCAACCAGATCCCGTTTCTCGCATCCGCTATTCGATCTACGCATATCGGCGCCTGCCAATGGCGCCATCCGTACGTGTGGGTCTTCCATATTTCACTCCTTCACGACCTTTGCAGGCTGCCACGCAAAGCTGTGAGAACCACAATCAGCGAAGCAGATGGGTGTCAACACACCTCCTGTGCACTGTCAAACGCATCAAGCCCCGCCGCAACCCTGGTACCAGCAATGAGGGCGCTCCAGTCGATGACTTCATACGCAGCAGAGTTGCGACGGATCTGCTCTGCGTGGATTGCGCGTGCCGTTAGCATGTGCGCGTGCGCGGCATCCTGCCCACGTCGTCCGTCAGTATAAAATTTAGCCCTTGAACAAGAATACTCACCACCACTGGCATCGGCGAATTGAACTCCGTCACGAGCCGCCGTACATGAGTTGCATCCTTCAGACCACCATCGATTGCAAAGCCTGTCTTTCCGTCAAACGAGTCCGTGACCATCTTGTTACCGTAGTTGATGAATGGTGGGGCAGGGAACATGTCCTTGACGAGCTCATATGTTTGTGATGCAGAGATGCCTGTCTTCTCAGAGAGCGTGAACGCCTCTGCAAGGATTTCAAGTGATCCGAGGATCATGGAGTTACCGATGAGCTTGAACGTGGGAGCTGACCGAGTACGCATCTAGGATTAGGGCGATGGACTGCCTTTATTGCATCTGGGCGCGTACCTTTCTCCAGGTTACCACCTAAGTCCATCGCTTTACGTCCGACAGCCGGAACAAGAATATGCGCGACCTCCTTCTTTGAGCGGTAGTCGCCCGCGAGAACACAGATAAGTTTGGCGGCTTCGGCCGCCGCTGGCGGGCCGAAGACAGGGCCGGTGACAAGGTGCGTATGCGGGATATTCGAAAGGATCGTGTCCAGCTCGCCTGAGCTTGTGTCGGTAACTGTCAGAGAGACATAGTGTAAGGGGCGCACCTGCCAGCGTCGGGTAGATCGTGCTCATTTCCACGAGAATCTTGTTTCTGGTCGGTGGGTGCGCCTATCGGTTTACCATGATCTCAGAGATCCGAGTTCTCTTTCTAGCGGGTCACGTACGACGTACCTTGAGCGCATCAGCGAACTTCTCATACACAGCCTTCACCACCGCGTCGCTCGCGAGACTCGTGAACACTACATCGCACTCAAGCACGAGCTGCTCGGCAGAGTCGGCGATGCGGACCTTGTCCGCGCCGAGCTCCTTCTGGAGCTGCACGCACTTGGCGGAGGAGCGGTTGTAGACAAAGAGCGGGCCCGAGCCGGTGTTGGCCGCACGGTGCGCGGCGAGGTTGCGCGCCATGAAGTAGCCCATGGACCCGAGTCCATAGAAACCGATGTTGTACACAGCGTGCCCCGGGGTCGCGGGGCGCGAGAAGGGGATAGCGTGCTGTGCGACGGCGGCCATGGCGTTGAGGTGAAGTGAGGTGGGTGCAGGGGGCAACGGGAATGGGAGGAGATGAGGGAATGCCTCCGTCGCTGCTCCGTGTTATATATGGCCGTGTAACTGCTCACGCTCGACTTATCGGGCGAGGGTCAGGCAAACGGGATCGAAGCGCATAATCGCGGCCATCGCGCCGACGTCATCTCATGTGACCCGTCCGCCAATCACCGTCGACATTCCCTGAGATCGAAGTCAGCGATATCTGAAGTCAGCGACATAGAAAAGACGGAACAGCAAGTTCGTGCAGGATTCCCTCAAGGCGAATTTGCACTCTTCCTCTCCGTGTGAGCCCTGTCTCGCTTGTCCGGTGCCCACCGTGCATTATACAGGCATCCGAATCAATAACCATGTCATAGGTAGGTACCGCTTACGAGCTAGCATGCCATCTCTTGATATCACTATACTGAGACATCCATGATTTGATTCACGTCCGCAAATCAGCAGCGCCTGCACCACCACCCCGTGACATGCTTAGTTGAGAGAATTGTAAATTTTGGTCAGTGGACGTCTGGCATCACTCACTATTTGTTATTGAGGGCACTGACCAAAATCTACAAGTCTCTCAAGACATCCGGTTGGGGCCTGATCATACGTACGTGCCCTGCCGACAATGTCTGACCCCCGTCGTCGTCGGACTTGGTCGTCGCCGCAATGAGCTTCGGATCCGACTCGGAGTGCTTATCAGCGCGTACAAAAGGATAGCGTAGGACTGAGGCGATGAGTCGACCTCATTAGCATGTTCCTACCACAGATGCAAAACATGACGTAGTACTGGTCGTTTTGCGGAACAATCGAGTTTGGACAATGCGGATGTGGGCTGAGCGGCTAACCCGAGGCGGAAACCTAGATTGGGGTTAGGCTTTAGCCATTCTTGGCGCGGGTCACAGCCTGGAAACAGACAAATTCCGCCTCTGTTCGTTGCTGTTCACTGTCACTCCCTTCCGCTGTGTTCCGTTCTTCATATCTTTCATCTCGTCTCGTTTGTTGCCTTGCCTCTCCCGAGCTGTGCTCTTTCTGTTACAAAATAGCGCATATAAACGTGTGAAGTGACCGGCCACATCCACCGACCTGACCACGCATTTCCAGCTCATGATGAAAATGGACGGCTGGCGAGACCACCTCCACTTCGCGTTCCTCGGCGAGCACGTCCTACTCCCCAACCTTCACCTTGACTCCTTTTCCAAGTTCACCGTCGCGTCGTTTCTCACCGTCTTTGTCTGTCTCACTGAAAGGTGCGCAAGACGCCTCCTTCGACAGTTGTTTGGCGCGCAGGCCTTCTAACGCGTCGTACACGGGGACCCACAGGTTGATCACGCATGCGATTGCGAAACACTGGGGCCCCGCGCGCGTACGCCGCTCGCGCTTCCGCAATGCGCTCTGGCGGGCCGTCTTGTACTGGCTCGTCACGTTTGCCAGATTGTACGTACCTTGTGCAGCCGTCAATCCTTGTCAGCGTTCTGATAGCTATCTGCCACTTGCGTGTGATGTAGGATGTACATGCTAATTGCCATGACATTCAGTGTGGGGTGAGTGCGAGACATGCCCTGTTATGTGGCCCTCAGCTCACTGTTCCTCATCATCGCCACTACAGCTTGATCGTTATAACAGTGAGTATGTCATGATATCCCTTCCGAACCTGTTTTGACCGGGAGGCAGGTTACGACACTTTCCTTCGGCCAGTTCATCATCGAATACCTCGACTCAGCTTCACACAACCACCCGCCAGAGTGAGCCCATTCCCTTCCTTCTCCATTGATTTTCGACCGATAGCGCGTCCCCCCCAGCACTGAGGACTTCAAAGAGCCGCTCCTCCCCACGCATAATTACCTCTCCGGGCCAAGTTCGCCGCCCTCACCCCCATCCTACCCTCCCTCTGCAGCAGCGCCACAGCCAGCACCGCGGCCACACCTCTACCGTCCCGCGCAGGCTGAAAGCCAGAGTCAGAACAACTATCCCTACGCCACGCGCCCCCATACGCGACGCACGCGCTCGAAGCCGGAGAACCTCAACCTGTACATTCACCCGAGCGAATCGAATATTGCGCGTGCCGACGCTGCAGTGCACGAGCTTGGGTTGTACAGCAGTGGCTCAGAGATCGACTATGAGGATGAGGATATGCAGGCGCGCGCGCACGAGCCTGGCGAGGGGTGGGAGCATGGCACTGGACGCGAGGTCGCGCGCGAGCTCATGGGGAAGTACTAGAGTCGTGGAGTGTCTTGACCACCGTGCAGGTGGTCCGCTAGTTGTTCGTAGATATAGGATAGGCCGTAGTGTACGTTGTAGCATATTAGTCTCCGTGGTTGATACCCGCCGCGGCGAGCGAGCCTCCCGCCCCCCAGTCTAGCTGTCGCGCATCTGTATGCTCTTATTCTGTTCCGTCTCCGTGTTATAGTCGCGTACAATACATCGTCCGACATTACCCAAAAGTCATTCACTGAGTCAGTAAGGGGTCGCAGCTAACATGCATCGCTTGTATCCGAAACCTATATAATACGCATTGTCCTATTACTCTACCTCGGTATCATCTCGCACTTCACCTCTGCTGGTATCCAATAGTTAGACTCGTCAGCGTCCGTGCCCCGAATCCCCTACCACTCCAGCCCGACGCACAGGGAACCCACCCTTCTTGGGCCCCACCCCCGGTACAGCACCCGTGTCGTCCACCGCGCGGTTCCATCGATCAATCAGCTTCGACACGCCCTGGTACGGCCGCTCGGGCGATGGCGAACGCACAGGCGACGGCTGCTCCTCCGCAGGCGCTGGCGCTGCCAGTGGCGCATTGGCGACCGCCTTGCGCAGCGGGAAGGGCGACGCCGGGCGCTCCTGCGTATCCGCCCCGCGTGCGAACGACAGTGGGGAGCGCCGCCCCGGCAAGCCGTTCACCGCTGCAGCGCCCTCGGACCTCCCGACGGGTGATGCACGGGACGGGAGACCCGCCGCGGGAGACCCAGCCCTGCGCTCGCGCGCGCTCTCCCCCCTGCCCTGGCCCGCGTCGTCCGGCACTGCCAGGTTGGCCCTGGACATGACCGGCGAGGTGGTCGGCGAGAGCCTGGGGAACCGCGCCGCGGCTGCCGAGGGCGAAGGCACATCCCCACCACCTGAAGAGGACACGGACGTCGAGGCAAGGATGGGCGTTGGCCCCCCCTTAGTGCTGAGCCCGGCGGGCTTCGGCGCGGGCCCTGGAGGGGGTGCTAGGGTACCTGGCCCTTTGGTGCTGCTGCCGATTGCCTCGAAGCGTTGCACCATATCCGAGATGGAGCTCCGCCGAGAGGCGCGTCGCGACTGGGGATCAGGCGGTGGGGAGAGCAGCTGGCCGGTAGAGGTCGCGGAGGATGTGTGAGTAGTAGCGCTAGAGGTCGACGCGTTCGTGTCCGTGGAAGCGGTCTTGGACAGGGACGTGACGAACATGGACTGTGGCCGCGAGCGCCCCAGCATTGGCGTAGGCACTGCGGAGGGTGCAGGAGTATGCCGCGCACCAGGCACATTGGAGGGCTGTCTCCGATGAGGGCTAGCCGGCGGCGGTACTTGCGATGTAGGCAGCCGACTTGCGACGGAAGATATGGATGTGTCGATTAGTGGCGCTGGTGATTCTGCTCGCAGCCTTGCTCCCAGCGGCGGTCTGGCAGAGGGAGCCGGCATGATAACCGACCTCCGCTTGTCTGCCTGCCTGGTAGTCGTGCTAGCACCAGTGCTCTTCTCTCGCTCCCGTCTCGGTTCTTGGGGGACTGCAGCCGGACCATTGTTAGCTCCCCACAAATCCACCAGATCGTGTACTGAGCTCTGTCGCCCCTTGCTTCTTGCCAGCCGCCGTTTGTCCTCAACTGCGGAGCCCGTACGATCGCCTGTTCTCGAACTCTCCCTCGTGCGACGATCGTGGCGTCCGGCAGCATACCCTTGCAAGTCCTCGGGCTCTTCCTCACTCGATGATGATGATGGACTCTTTGTTGGATGTTCGGACGACGCGGCAATGGGGCTCCAGTTCTCCGTCAAGCCATTGGGAGAAGACTTCACGCCAGAACGGGAAGCTGTCTTCGTATCGACCGGCGGAAGCTTCAGTCCCTTATGGCTTGTCCCAGTCAGATTCACTTTTGTGCCTGTACCAATTCGTGCCACGAGCCCCTTGGTACGTTCGGGCGAGCGCCGTTGTCTCTCTGCCCGTTCCCTTTCCACCCCGCGATTTGGTTGGGCCTTCTCTGGCTCCTGATACGTCCCCAGCACGCTCTCGGCCTCCAGAGGCTTCTGCAGCACAATCGGGCTGCGTTCAATGTAGGACGCCCGTTTGCTCGGCGACTCGCGTAAGACGGGTTGTGGGTCTGCCCTGGTAGACTGGATAGGTAAAGGTGGTTCGTCTTCATCCATACCTGTCAGCCAATCGCGTGATTCAACGCGCGTACTCGGCTGTGGGCGTGGGGGGAGCGTTGGCAGAGATGCAGAAGATGACTCTGCTGGGTTGGAGGAGAGCAAGTCTATTGAGTTGCCCCGAGATGGCGTCTTGCCACCTGAAGAATGCTTATGGCGACGGGCGGCGGAAGGTCTGCTGCGAAGTACAGCAACAACGTCCTTCTCCGTCTCCTTGAGACGTGTGTTCTCCGTTTCTCGTGGCCTCTCTGACTCTCGCTGCCTTTCAGCCTCTCTGCGGGCCTCAAGGGGATTTGCACGAGCGAACGTTGACGGCTGTCTCGACAAGCCACCATACCTCGATTCCCGCGCCATTGGCCCGGCTCCGGTGACATTCTGCGAACGCAGACCGTCATACTTGCCCCGCATTGCCCCCGTGCCGGTGGCATTTACCCCGCTCACAGATGCTCCTGGGAGACCATCCACTGGTGTACCACGCAAATAACTTGCTCTCGATGACGGCCTCGAACCAGGACCGGAGATGAACTTCTCTGTTCCAGCAATTGCGCTGAACTGTTCACCGGGCGCCTGAGCACTGGATCTGCTGCCGGGGGAGGTAACGGGCGGCGGTGAGGCGAACTCTCGGTCGAGTTCCTCTAAAGACGGGAAGCGCTGCTCTGCGGACAAGGATTCACCCTGAGCTGCACGTTGGCCGACGCTGGAAGGCGCCTTCGAATGCGTCCGTAATGGCTGTACGGGAGGAAGTGTGAATTGGGATGCGGGTTGTGGAGAGGGATTGGAGAATGTGGAATGGGCGCTAGGAGGACGATACATGGTGTTGCTTGTTCCCAGTCCGCTAGCCTGTGACGAGGGAGCATTGAGATACTGCGTAGCCGCACTGCTCGCAGGAGATATCCCGATGCTCGCCATGCCTGTACGGGTCTTACGAGCTTCACCCAGGGTTTGAGGGGGTGGTGCAGCCGCAAGCCCCAACCCATCGAATGCATCCTTTGCTTTACGAACGGACTGGCGTCGGCCGAGCTGAGTTGTGAGCGGGGGTTTGGGCGAAGGAGAAGGCTGGTACTGCACTTGTGGCTGTGGTGATCGCTGAGGTCTCGGCGACGGTGCAGGTGCTGGAGAGAGCGCAGACTGGAACGAGTCGCCGAAGCTCTTATCGAAGCCCGTACTGAAGTCGTCCCCAAAGGCCTGCTCAAAGGCCTTCCTATCTGCGCCCTTGGCCTTCTCCTTGCTGTCCAGACGAGGCCCGACCGCCCATGCATCACCGTTCTCTGGCTTGTTCCGACCCATATCAGTGCCCCCGATGCTGGCTAACCCCGACTTGTGCCCACGAACGGCCCGCCAAGCGCGATCTTCCTCCGCAGTGAACTTGGAATCTAAATCGAACCGCCGTTCTTTCTTGGGACTCGTAGGCGGCGAAGGCATTGGTAATCCTGCAGCTGGACGCCCGCGGCGCATCGGCGCAATAGCCTCGAGTACTTTGTCACGCGCTGCAATACCAGCACCTTTACTAGGCGAGACGGACAGAGGCTGCTGAGACTTGTATGAGACGAGGTCGTCGAGGGGGTTGTTAGGCAGTGGTGTGGGGGAGACGATGTTGGGGGAAAGTGCTTGCAACGGGGGCGCCATGGAACGCGGCGATAATGGCGGCTCTCTCGGTGGGATAGCATATGTAAAGCGCGATTGTGTTCCGCGCAGCCTGTGGACGTGATCGAGAATCTCGAAGACCGAAGGCCGCTGGGTACCGTGTTCGCGCAGCATCGACGCTAATCAAACATTAAGAATAAGTAAATGACAGAAGTAGAGCGCGCTCACCGATGAGAGCATTCATGTTATTGGAGTACACTGGATACGGCGGTATCTTGTACTGTACGTTCAAGATCGCGAGAGGACCGTGTTCTTCGAACGGGGTCGTGTAATAGCATAGTTTGTAGAGCAAGACTCCGAGTGCCCATACATCACTCTTCTCGTCGACTGGTCGCCGCAAGTATACGTCAACCATCTCCGGTGCACGGTATTGCAGGGTCGTATGTCGATTCAAGTCTGCTTCCAGTGCCCGCATCTCTTGGTTATTCGTCGGGACTTTCTGTACAGGCGTAGCACTCCCAAAGTCACAGAGCTTGTACGATGTCGGCGACGCCTGCAAGATATTCTCAACCTTCAGATCACGGTGCAGTAGCGGAGGTTTGAGCGCGTGCATGGCCGCAAGCCCTTCACAAACATCACAGAAGATGGTGAGGATCTCCGGTTCCGTAAGACGCTCCCGAAGGCGACGGTTCATCATGTCTATGATACCTCCGCCTGCGCAGAATTCCATGAGAATAAAGACCTCATATGTGCCATTCGGGAGTCGGTGCCATGCGGCGTCGATCAGATATACGATGTTTGCGTGACCCTTGAGTATTCTCTAAAGAGGGGACAGGATCGACGAGGTTCTCGGTGAAGAGCAAGAAGCCCAGGATGCATATGAAAACACACCATAATGTCCACCTCTTTCTTGACCTCCGTGAGCATGGTCTCGCTAGGCACCGCGACCCGCTTGAGGACATGATGTGTCGTGTTATAGACAGGCGTCGCCGTTCGGACAAGGTAGACGTGCGCGAACCCCCCTGCGGTGATATTGTACCGTTGTCGACACGAGGAGGCTCGCAATGCGCATACTCACCCTGGCTCAAGTAGCGCTCAACCTGAACGGTGTACTTGTTGACAGCGATAGTCTGTCCGGGAACGAGAGTTCCCTTGTTCTGCTGCTGTATGTAGGCCTGCTGATAGGCCTGCGCCATGGCTATGAGGGTATGAACGAGAGATGAAGGCGGCCAGCACGCTGCACTGGCCGTACGGCTTAGGTTTGGCTGTCTCACCGTTGTCGGTTGTCCAGTGCACGCGCCGCTTCCTAAATTAGGCTATGTTCATCCGAACCCTAACCTACCAATCGAGGCTTCGTTCAACAGACAGACAGAAATCCAAGCCTTTCATCCATTTTCGGAACGGATACAAAGGTATTCAGTAGCTACTGTACAATTTAACTCGGCACAGCTTTTATAACCAAAAATTAGTCTATCGATACAGTAGATATAGACAGAGTCCATGAGGTAGCTATGCTTCCGCCGCGGTAGATTTTATGCTTGCAATCTCCTTAGCTTTGCTCTCTCTCCACTCGCAGCCTTCCATGTATTCACAGGTTCTACGCAGCCAATATAAACATCAGTGGTAAACTCGCACTGCGAGATAGAGTACTTACCGGCAACGTCTGGTCAATTCGATGTCAACACCCTTCGGCGGTCGTTGTCCATGCCACCACCGCAAGATACTTGTAAGGTAATCATCTAGCACGTTGTCATCCATAGTAAATTGTTTCGACCCGAGGATTTGTGCCTTCTTGTTGAGCTCTGATACTGGCATCGGCGTGTCACCGTCCTCGCTCGAGGTGTCTTCACCCGATAGTGAGTCTATGACGAGCGGTGCGACGGAGGATTCTGCGGAGGTATCCTCACGCTCTGCGATGGCAGGGGTTTGCGCAGAATCCGATGACCCCAGGCCCGGATCTGGCATCGAAGAGAGGACTGCAGGTAGTTCGAGACTAACCTCCTTAGGAGTTGATTCCTCGGAGTCGGCATTACCGCTCTGCTCGCCGGCCACGCCGTTAAAACTAATCTGGCCCACTGCCCTGGCAGTCTGAAGACTCTCCTCGATCGCCCTTGCGAGCCCATCGTCTCTGCCGTCAAATTGGTTGGGTGCCCCGTTCAAACTGGCCTCGATCGCGAGGGCCAAGTTGGTGCGCTCCTGCTCGGTCATATAAGACGTAGCAGGATGCTTGCTGCCGGATTCAGTCTCGCGTGTCTTCGCGCTTCGCAAAGGCTGCAGCCGATAGACGAGAGTAAGCGTTTTGTCCACACTATCCACGGCGAGTGCCTCGACCACTTGCCGCCATTGCGCAGCAAGGTCATTCAAGCACCACGCCGGAGCGTCGAAGCCCAGGTCTGAACTAAAACCAGCGTAGGCAGCGCTTTTGAAGTCGAGCAGACCTGCGTCGCGCATGAAGCTAGGAGAGAACGATCTCATGGGATTGACTCCAACACGGACCCAGAGTGCTTGAAAGTCCAATGCCTGTGACGGCGGCGAAATTGGAGGACACGCACGTCCGCCAGCACTAGGCGACAGGTTAGATGGCGTGGCAAGAAGGTTACTGAGGAGACGGTGATAGAGCATAAGTTGCAAACGCGACGATAATGCGTCTTCGTCCGGCGGGAGGCTAGGGTGGCGACGGGTCTTCGTGTCAGATATGTGCAGGGTATACGACTTATGCGAGGGTATTAATGCAGGTGGGCACGAGAAATCTTCGGGGAGACATGAGGCGACCGTAGGCGGCGTAGAAGGAAATACAGGACCCTCAGATGTGCACTCTGAGGTATCCAGAAGACCGCCTTCGTCCTCGCGTTCCGGTACTTGAACAGCGGCATGGAAATACGACGTGAGCTTCGGTTGAGACGGGGAAGGTGTTTTACGGCTACGCTTGTTCTTCTTCGTCGGTGTCGAGGGCGATTCCCGCTTGTTCGGGCTGCGCCTCTTGGAGACACCAGGAGAAGCTTGTGGTTGGGGTGGTGGTTGCGTGGCCTCCGCGGGCTTTCGAAGAAGCTCGTCCTAGGGGGTATACGGTCAATGATGGCCTACCGGGGATTCCGGTGAACATTTGCCATAATGAATACTTACGATGATACCAACGACGACCTGATCATGTACAATCCCGAATACGGGCATTTCACGCTAACAAGATATGGAGAGGGTGCTATGAGCGACATCAACATGCCAAGTCGATCAGGGGTGAACCTTACACAACAACCCAACTCCATTAATGAGCCTAAGCAAGTTAGCATATTCACAAGTCTTTATGGTGGAGAGAGGGACGGCGTGAAGTCTCCGGTCAGGGGCGTGCTCGGGAGGGGCCACAAAAAAGGCATACCTGAGAGCCCATCGCTCCTCTGGAGTCTGGATTTCTACTACAATCTCTTCCGGGCGGATTTCCCTTTCAAGGACTTTGTGGACCTTCTGCTCGCCAGACCACGTTGGGACATATGCAGGATATTTCCGGCTTGAGAACTTACCTTCCCGCGGGTTTGAGTAATGTGGTTGGATTGTGCAACTCTCTTGTCCACATCAATCTTCTTTCCGTCCGCGGTGACGAAAGAGATGGGTCTCTCCTCGGGTTTAAGGAACCGCTTCTGTCTGAGTCCGTAATCAAACTGGACCTCACACCTTTAGGAAAAGGATACGGTGAGACGCTTAGTCACTTCTCGCGGAATACCGCAAGCTTGAGATAGGACAACACACCACGCTGGCGAGACAAGGTCTGTTACTGAGAGAGAAATTTTTTGTCGTCTGAATTGTTGGTATGGACTACGCGGACGGCGGCCATTAGTAAGTTGCCATCCAACCACGTCTGGGGCCGGGTACGGCGAAGGTGGCGCCGGTACCTTGACGAGAGCAGAACAATCAGCATGCTCCTCTAGCTCAATCTCAACGCGAGGACCTCCGCATTTGCTCTGCGCGCCTTCTTGGTTCGTCGCGTCGACAGTGGTCGGGGCGCCCGGACGGGAAAGTACGGCGTCGATGGCGGCAAAGTCTTCCGCCGTAAACTCTGACAAATCGTACGCATCAAACTCATCTGTCTCTGAGGCAGGTGGTAGGCTCTGCTGGGACTGGGGCTGAGACTCGCACTCGGACCCAGACCCCGGCTGGAGCTCAGGAGGAGGGACGTGTGTCTGTGACTTGCGCGGAGTACCGCCCAGGGACAGGAGGCTGTCTTCGAAGTCGAGGGGCGTGTAGTATAGGTCGTAGTCTTCCTCAGATTCTGACATGCTGTCTCCCTGAAGGTCAGCACGAGCATAGGCACAAAGAGAGAGACGAACTAAGGGGACTCCTATTACGGCCGAGCGTTCGACAAAAACAACGATCGGTCACGGACGCGGCGCGCACGACGCGCATGCGAACGGTCACGTGCGCGTGTGTGCCTCGAGTCGCGCAGCAAGATTGCCGACTTGGTCTCGCTGCTCAGACTTCTGGATCGCGAGCAGCAGAAGCCTGGCGCGTCGTACCGCCACGGACCTCTCATATTCCCTTGTTGAAAATGCCCCGGTGTTCTCGCGGCCCACCGGTAGGAAATCTATCTTCATTCATGCACAGAAATTCCTCATTCGTCATGCATAACGAGAATATGCCAGCGTGTTCCTACTTACCCAGTGAAGGAGGGCACGAGAGCTCCACGCGTTTCCTCAGATAAGTTGCGGTGCCCCCGTATCTGGGACCACCTGGGCGGAACACTCACGACTCCGTTCCTCTAATGTCTTTTATCAGCCCACGTGTGTTCATGAAGACGGTCGGCGGTATAACTGAATACATTCCCTCTGCAATAGTCCCCGTTCACCATGTATGCCCCCTTCCGTGTTCCATGTAGCCGTCACTGATACTCGCTCCCGATGTTCCGCGCAGTTTGTTAAGGGCTGCTTCGCTGAAAGTAAGCGAAAGCTCATCGTGATTCAGACAACTAATGGGATTCGGCGGCGCGTTCTAGCGGTGACGACAGGCGAGTTGGTGGTTCTAGCCGTCGCATCTTTCGGGTGCACACCTTCCAGCCGACCCTGCCTGGGACACCGCCGGGTTCCCAAATGAGTCTCCCGCGAGGGGATTGAACGCTGGGCGGTAATTGTAATTCATGCAAGCTACGTCGCAGATGTGAGCCTCCCCCGAAAGAGAGTTTCAGCTTCGGATGCTACAGACGAGCCTCAGGCCCACTGAATGAAATGGCGTTGTCGTCGCCCTCGCTCCGATCTATGTTCGTAAATGACGCGACAACCTGTGTGCCACGATATCTATCGCTGCTTCGTGCTTCCCAGAACATTGACATGGTGCTGATAGTGCAATGTGATGATAATTGTGTTTGACCAGATCTGATACTGCTCCGAATCAATTGACATCTTCGTTGACGACCAACAAAGCTGTTCGCTTCCGCCCCTTTCCTCGATGTTTAGTCCCTCGCATTATGACCTCCCCCTTTGTATTGTTGGATTCGGGAGGGACTTGGCAGACTAGACAATTAATATTAAAGGGATTGTGACGATAGCGTGCGAGCAACCTGCCATTTGCGACGAATCGACTAGATAATTGAGGGCCTCGATCAGATGAGATCTCGGTGATGAGGGCGCCTGGGCGATGCGCTTTACCGGAAACCACCACCGCCACGCCTTCGTGCCACCGCGGTGACCTCGCGCCTCATGCGTTATCTATCGTTTTCAGATGGCGATGATGGCTGCAGGCTGATGTTCCGTGCCACAGTCGGCCTTAGCGCGACCTGCCCGCACTGAAGCACATCGTAGTCCTCGTTCGTAGCGAAAGAAAACCGGAGGGCTGCCGGTGAGTGGAGCGCAGTAGCACCCTAAATGTTTTTTGCGAAAAGTCGGAGAGCCGCGGGGATTTTGGGCCGCAGGCCAAGCGATGCGCCAGTGGAGAGCCAGGAACGTGGCCGAGCACCCGAGCGTCCGCGACCCTCAGCCAGACGCTGCTGCATCCCCCCGGTTTATCATCTGAAACGTTCGATCTCTTTCCCTTTCCGTGGCCCCTTCTCCCCCTCATAATCTCCCTCTCCTCTCCGCTTACGCGCCCGCGCGTTCACGCCTTCTCCACGCCCCTCAAGAACCCGCAGACCCGCCGCTCTCCCTCTCTCGTCCGAGACCCGCCCCGTCTCAGACCTGCCGCTGCGCCAGCCAAACTTTACCGCACACAGCAAAGGAAGAACTCCCAAGCCCGTCATGCGTTCTGCCATCCTCGCCGTTTTCGCCTTCGCTGCTGCCGTCCTCGCAGCCCCGCGCGACGCAGCCCGCCTTGCCGCGCGTGCCCCGACGCCGGTCGACGCCGCCCCTGATGCGCACTGGCCGCAGCCCTCGAACCACGGCTGGAAGAAACGTGAGCAGCTGCCCATCACGCCCATCACGGACGTGTCGCGACAGCTCTGCCCCCTCTCGATGTCCGCGTGCCCCATCTCCGCGGCCACCCCGACGACCCTCTCCGAGTGGATCTCGAACGGCTTCGAGTGCGTGGAGTTCAATGAAGACCTCATGTCCTGCGGCGGCTGTGGCACCCTCGACGAGCAGTGAGTAGCGTCTTTCATTTCCGCCTCCCTCCGGGGCGCCAGCTCCAGGCCCCCTCCCCCTCCCGCGCGTCGTATCCCCTGTTGTGGCCGTCGCTAACCGCTCTGCTTGTGCCGCGTTTTGCGATGACAGATACGACTGCACTGCAATCGCTGGAGCGCTCGGCGTGTCGTGCGAGGTGGGCTCCTGCCGCGTGCATTCGTGCACGGCGGGCTACTCGCCCGCGCTCGACGGCAAGACATGCGTGCCCACGAACTAAACCCATCGCCCTGCCATCGCCGCTCATTCCGCGCTACGCGACCTATGCCGCCACCTCGCTACCGTACCCGTACCAATAAAACCCCGATGATAGACTGCTACGATAAGCCACGGGCGACCGGTCCCAGGGCGGCTTGTCGCGCCCGGCGCACTACGTTCTGTCAAGCGCGTTGTTCGACGCCTGTCGCTCCGATTTGGCTATAGACGCTTATGATTTTTATGGACCCTTGGGCATGATTTGCTTTACTCGTGCATCACGGCTATTGAACCCTTTCCCTTTCTTACATTCTCTACGGACTACTCTATCGCCACAGAACGTCCCTTTTTGAACTTTCTTATACGATCAAACCCTGGTCTGCGTTTGTGCGTTCTGTCCCCTATCCCCGAGCCAAGCGCAGGCTGATCGTTGGCCGAGTCGCGCCTTTTCGGGGCCTAGCTCCATTTTTTAATTATTGTTGATCCATAAACGCACTATATAGACTGCCTAGAATTTGAAAGTGACGTTGCGTACTAATGTCGGACATGCTATTTGCAATGCCATGATGACGAGGGGCTAGACATGATTGGTCGCTGGCGAAGAGAGGAATCGTGAAGTAAGTTCAGGAGACTGTGCCTTGCAGGTGACAGGCCGTTCGATGGCCTCGAGGAGCAGCGGACATGATGTGATGCCATTGAGGACGCAACGGCGCGGTAAGCCGGTGGAGAGCTCAGGGAGCTGATAGTCACTAGTGAGTATTTGACATGATTGATGTATGGACGTTGGACAGCCGCTGTGTCGGCCAAATCAAGCTCAAGCCCGTGCCTAAGACTCAAAGTGAAGTATCATAATAGCAATGCGTACGTAGCAGCAACATGGCGCCACCGACCCCAAGGCGGAGATGGACAACTCGAGGCGTCACAGATATGAAAGGCGAAGCACGTCGGCGGTGGGATGCAGCAACCAGGGCGGCCGCGCTTGCCAACCAGATGCACCGTCGCCGAACAACGGCAACACGAGAGCCGCGGTGGGCTATTTTAAGCCGCTTCGGGGCCGGTCGTGCTCATTTGCGGGGTGGTTCGCGAAGTCGAAGCGGCCCCACCAGGACGAGGTGGCTGAGACGGGGAATGGAAGCGTCCACGTACGTTATGCGCGCATCCCGGTGGGGTGTGGCGTCCGTGCGCGGAGATTGGCGGCATCCGGGTTGCCGTGGGTGTCCTCGAGGGACGCGGTCAAATTCGCAACGGCTGGGTCGTCGGCGACGGATAGCTTCGACAACATCCGAGATCCTATCGCGTGCACCGCGGTCGCTGTTTACGGTGATGCCGCGGCTGCTGGCGTTTTTTTTACAGACATCGATGGGAAACGAGATGAGGGGGTCGGCGACTGAACTTTGGACGTACATTCGCATCTTATCGTCGCTCAACATCCAGGGCAGCCGCTCAATGACATCATTTCGTGCGTAGCGACCCGGGATGCCATAGAGAACCCTGTAGATGCGCTCACCAGCGGGCGGTATGCACCGAGGACAACAGGGTGGCCAAGTAGACCCAGAGGTCAAGATGTGGCATTGGCGATTTCAAGGATTTCAGCAGATTACAGCTTCTATGCGTAGCAAGAACAGATCAGTCAATTTTATCGATGTCTCCGTGGAGAGTTCTCAGTAGTAGTACCGATGAGATGTCGCTGTCTCGGGCGCCGTCTGCGCGTGGCGTCACGGGAGGCAGGGCGCATCACAGCGGGCGGGCGACAGCGGGACGGCGTCGACACGTAGAACGTCGCGGCTTATATGGCAAAGTCTCTGGTTTCACTCACCGTGCTCCTGATGCAGTCGGAAGTTACAAGTCAATTATATGTATGGGAGGCTTTGATCTGAATGTCTCGTTTACACAGATAGCGAGGTTTTGGATGAGCCTGGAATATGTAGGCTATATGTCGACACATCGTCCAAATCTTCGCAGGCCCAAGATAAGCATTGAAGATACTGCTTGTGTGATTTGTGTATCCTGTGTGCGAGGGAAAGGCGGCAAGGCGGACCGGCGGCAGTTGCGTTACACTTGACTTGGCAAGTCCGCCTCGACATTCGCCATCTTCAAATTCGCTCTATCATCTCGTCTCCCTCCACTCGCTCGCGCTGGCGTACGCTCTATGATATGATTATTCAACTAGGCTTGATGACCGCTCGCTGGAGATGGCAATGCAGCTGACCTCGTCAGGCCCGGCTCTGGCCGAGACAGCTGCTTGGGTGTGGTTCGATGGTCCCATACCGGGGCCCAGTATATTCACTCATAATTAAAATCGACCTACCCTCCCCGCTCATGAGGTCGCCTGCCTCCAGCGGCCAGTGAAGGCCCCATGAGGCAGCGCCGCCGACGGCTGTCGCAGTCCCACCCCTTCAAATTCACGATCGCCTCGCTGACGTTTTCCTGGCACGGTGGCCGGAAAGTCAAAGTAAGGCGCCCCCAGTACTGTGATACACGGTCGATTCTGCAACCCGCCGAACCACATCGGATGTGTTGCAGTATCGACCAAGGAGTATGCGTCGGCGCTCCCGCTCCCGCCCTTCTGTTATCCGTCCGCGCGGATGAGGACGATCGGCTCACGCCGCCCTCCCCCGCCGACCATGTGGGCGCGCACGCATATAAGGACTCGGACACGACGGTGACGATACCTAACGATTCCGTGAACATGCAACAAACTTCGAAGACTACCACTCGACCTTTCACTATCCGCTTCTGCTATGCGTTGGGCGCATTCATAATTGGGCCGTTATACCTGATAGCCGTAAGTCTTTCGTTCAATAATGTTTTTGCTGTACTGACCTATGTGCAGGCCAGCGGACTTTTCATTATCCGGCTGTTATGGCACGAGGATAGGTTGCGAGGTGTTCCTCGTTGCCCGACTTCGAACCGCAAGTGGAGTTTGTCAAGACCTCGACGTCAAGGAAAGGGCCCATCGTCTGTTCAGGAACCTACACCAGGGCACGAACCCTTCAGCTCATATTCTACCAAGGGGACGCCACCAGCCGCACCGACCGGCAGCTCCCGTCCGTTTGCAAAGAAAATCCTTGCCGCTCCTGCCAAACTCTTGCGCGAACGCTCTTTCTTGCTCCGTTCGCACATCTGCCCCAACCCACTCAATACGCTGAAAGCCGCGCGCTGCACGTCCTCGCCGCCTCGCCGCCTCCTTGGACTCACCCGCGCCGCGACTGCGAACTCAACGACCGACTTCGAGCCCAAACCCAACAGGCCTGGCAATGGCCCGGGTTTCCGCATGACGTCTATGCTAGGCATTCTGCGCCCCAAGTCCCGCATGGAGCCTGGGTTCAAAGCCCGCTCGGCGTCTGACCCCACGCCGTATGCACAGCCAGCGCATCCCTCAGATCAGTCTCCCACAGAGTCGCGGCGCACATCTGAGGATACGCTGGTCGAACGGGACCCTCCAGCAGCCGCTCGCAGATACTCCTGGGCGCACGTGACACACCGTCGCGCAGCATCGACGCCCACACCCCCAGTCGTCACCCGCGCCCTGACCAGCACTGCTGTCTCGCCCCACATGCGTCGCGAGCCATCGAGCCGTCCGCGGCGTGCGTCGGAAGGCTCAGCCTCCGCCAACACGCGCAGACGGGATACGGGCGAGCTAGTGCGGTACCACCCGCCAAACATGCTCCAAGAGACGACATTTACGCAAACGTTTACGAACCCCTTCAAGCCGCAACCAAAGCGTGCGAAGACCATGTCTACCAGTACACGTACGTATACATGCGTAGTCTCCTGCTGGGGAAGTTGTGCTAACTAGTGAACAACAGCGACACCGGAAGAGCACAATAAGACAATCGGAGTTCTCCTTGATCCACGCCATCCCCCGCGCGTGTCCGAATCTGCCAAGGGCGCGCAGTCATCGGACAAGAACCGTCCGGGATTCCGCCGTACAATGAACGCTGTCGTATCGAAGTTCAAACGCTCCCGGCGCGACTCTACCTCCAGTGCGGATTCTTCGTTGTCCCAGTCCTCAGCACCGACGCCAGACCGCGGGCATCAGTCCACCACTCTCCGGACGCGACCCCGCAGTCCGCCGCAGCCCACACGACCGCCAGCCAACCCAGACCGTACGAGGTCAAAGTCGTTGGAAACGGCTAGCGGCAGTACGGCAGGCGAAAGGTACAGGTCGAGCCTGGACTCGCGACGCAGCGGAGGCAACAAGAACGTACTGGGATTGTCTGTGGTCGGTGAAGAGGGGGAATCCAGCGAGGACGTGCGCCCGAAGGCGGAGCGGGACGCGAGCGCTCGCAAGGTATAGGTTTTGAAGCGTAAGAAGGATACGGACAGCTCGAGCCATCATCGTTATTGTTACTGTGTCGCATATACTCGCAAACTCTAGATACCCTGCAGCATGCATATCTTATGACAAGCACTATTATTACTAATGTGTACTGTATCATAGACAAAGCAACCATTTCATTCGCATTTGAGCATCACGAATCCGACGGGCCTGATACAACGTTTGGGTTATTTACTGTGTCAGTCCATCGTGCTCTACCAATGCCAGGATTGCACGCATCACAGGGTTTGCCTGTCCTACACCAAGAATTGTTCCCTCTTCGATGCACAGCTTGAGCTGTGCGTCCAAGAGGTGGCTGTGTAAAAAAACATATCTAACAGTCAGATTCGTGACGCATGCGGCTGATAAGTAACGTACCGCAGCTGGTTGACCAGCACGCCGATGCGCGGCCACGCTTTCAGCTTGACTACCGCGTCTTTGCTTCCGACAGTCAATCCTCCGCCGATGTGGTTCACAGACACGGCTCCTCCAAAAAGCAGCATGCCATAGATTGGGACCTGGTGCAAGAATGAGCCTCGTTCGCGACACTCGAAGGCCTCAAGCTACACACCTCCGTTGCATCGCGCAAGAACACCTTGGTGGTGGCATGTTTCGCAAAGTACGTGACGAACGGCGACTTCCAGGCTGACTCGCCAAACAGGATTGATCCGGGGTGCAGAAACACGCGGCCCTCCTTTAGGTCATAGAGCTTGTACTCCTTCGCGGTGTTCTCGCGTTGGATTGTGCCCGCCTGCACGCGGTCGAACTTGATGGCAGACTTCGGAAGGTGGACGCGAGCGACCCGGGGCCAGAAGCCGCCCAGGATTACGGCCTTGAGCAGATTCTCGTTCGCGCTGTTGACATTGAGTTCTGGGTCTGAGGGCTTGGACGAGCTGGGTACAAAGCCGAGTTCGGACAGGGAGGCAAGAAAGTCTTGTCGTAATGACGTTATATCGCGAACAGTCGTCGGAGAGATGAAATTCTGCAAGCGTAGCATTTCGTTGAGCAGCGCAAGCGGTTCATTCGACTGCAGGTTCCTTACCTCCTCGCAGAACGCGCGCAGGGCACCTTGTGACTTGCCTTCCGAGCGTAGGCGCATACATTCATCGTATGCGTGTGCGTCGGTCAACAGGTCGCTATTACCTGTCGCAAACCGTGCACGGGCACTGAAACGACGAGTTGAGGAAAGCCATAATTAGTTTTGTATCATGTACACACCGTGTCGCCTCGTCCCGCTTGTCCATAGGACTCATGAAGATAGGTTTGGATGATAAGCACGCCGCTACTGTAAGCATCGGTCCCAAGCATTGGAATATGGTGCCAAGAATCAGCATCTACGGGGCATTCAATCTGACTGCTAGCACACGATGGTTGTGCTGCCCACCTTTCCGAGCCTGAGATCAACTGGGAGTATTGCCTTGAAAGGGATAAGTACAAGCAACATTGTTCATGAAGAAGCGTGCACACACCATGTGTCGCCCCAGAGGCGTCAGCTCCCCATCTTGATTTATGGCTGAAAGCTCCTCTAGGACATAAAGAGCGTGATCGACAGCTGAGATCTCCGGTGGGTCGAGAGCGCGAGACAGGAATGACTAGAGCGAGATGAGTCAAAGAAATTGCAAGGCGTGCTGCGCTCACCTTCACATCCTTGTGTACAACTTTGACTGTGAGTGCGATGCTCTCCAAGGGAACTCGTTTGATCTCGGGGACTGGGAACGGTGCCATTTTGGACTCCTGCCGTCTGGTGTAGAGTTTGTAGCACACGCCAGGTTGAGTTCGTCCTGCACGTCCCCGTCTTTGCTTAGCAGCGGCACGAGTCACCCATTGTTCGTCCAGCCTCGTTAGACCTACTTCGGGGTCATAGTGCGTCTCCTTTACTTTCCCTGCATCAATGACATAGATGACATCGTCGATGGTAATAGATGTCTGTTAAATGGTGAGTACAGCTGATACTCAGGCCGCCGGTATGTATTACATACCTCGGCTACGTTAGTGGCCGCGATTATTTTCCACTCCGACGTGTGAGAAAATACGCGGCGTTGCTCGTCACTCGACAAATTCGCATGAAGTGGAAAAATCTTGGCTCTTGGAATATTACTTAGCCTCTCCATACACTGCCGTATCTCCTGCACTCCAGTGAGAAAGATTAAGATTGCACCTCGTTTCTGTGCCGTGGAAACGATGTGTTCAACGACGGCAGATATGAGCTGTCAAGGAAGATCCGGTGAATAATGGCCCTCGGCGTCCAACTGTCACTGTAGCTCACATCGAAGTCAATTCTATCGGACCGGCTAATCTTCTGGATGGCTTTCACTGAATCGTCATCGAGTCCTCGGCTGTTAAGTTCCTCTTGCAGACGCTTGCTTTCTTCCTCTGCATCCCGTCCTTTCACAAAGCGATTAGATGTCGCGGGACGATAGTCGATCAAAGGCAAAATATCTTCGAGGTATCTATGAAGTCAGTCAGGAACGACCGCTGTCCAAGCATTGCCAATTGTGGGAGTACCTGTCTTCTACAGGGTGGGTGAACCCTGGAATTGAGAGCAATGGCGCGCTGTCAAAGTACTTCACGAAGACCTCATGGTTGATTGTGGCGGACATTAGAACAACCTTCAGCTTTGGATGCGTACGCAATAGCTCTTTGAGCTCTAACAGAAGGAAGTCACCGTCCACTGACCGTTCGTGAACCTAAATGACATGAAAGTTTAGATTGTCAGAATCAAAATGAAAGTAAACCAGGGTGACCTCGTCTACGATGACGTGTGTGACATGGGCTAGTCTTTCCCCAGCCCCTAACCGCCGCAATACGACACCGGTGGTGCAGAAGAGAAGTTTCGTCCTTTTGTCTTGTTTGCTTTCTCCCCGGATGGCATATCCTACCGAGCCGTCATCCAGACGTTCCGCAGAGACTCGCGCAGCAACACCAATCGCGGACAATCGGCGCGGTTGTGTGACAATAATGGATGCTTCCGACCCTTGTCCACTCAGGATCATCGAGTCGAGCACGAATTGTGGTACTTGTACATCAACCTCAGCGGGTGAGTATATACGGACAGTGTGTATGACTTACGCTGTGTGGTTTTCCCGCATCCTGTCCGATAAAAATATGTTAATGCAAATTATCTCCGGACCGTGAACTAAAATGTACCTGTTTCTCCTACAACGACAACACATCGATGTTTGTCCAGGAGCTTGAGGAATTTATTTTCAGAAGCAGACGCAGGAAGTTTCTTTCGAGATTCCAGCATCTCTGTATATTTCTGACTTTGGCAGAGTGCCAAGAATTCTTCTTTCACGCGAGCGTTGGTGCGGTCGTCTCGACGTACGCCTGTCATTCGCTTACGGCCATGCCCGTTGCTGGAGCTCTGGGGTGCTTCTGGAGAAGACTCTTCATGTAGAGCTACTGGCGAGCTCGTCAAATGCTGCAGCACTATAGAAATGTCCGGTGTTCCGTGATCCTCTATTCTCACCCACTCTTCTTCAACCAATCGCACAGCGGCCATGACAAAGCTCTCGCCAGGATCAACGAGGGTGCCTTCCTTGAAAGAACATATGAGTTGCGATACTATATGCAATCGCACGTACGCAGGAACAGTGGTCGACAAAATGTACATGGGTGGAGGGATGTCACGCTTGATGGTTTTCCTGTCTGTGGGCAGAGGAAGAACGAGCTTCATCGGGGCAATGGGGAGGGGAATGGTAAGCTCATTTTGTTCAGACATGTACGCGCCCAGAGCCTCGAGTTCGTCTTCGTCCATATCGATTATTTGACCAGTTGTGCGCACGGATTCCTGTTCCACATCGGCCCAGTGATCTCCAACTAGTTTTGTATTGAGAGCAGCCAGCAGGAGAGGCCAGCTCTCGGCTAAATGTCCTTGAGTGAGGCATTCCTTAACAGCGCGTACTGGCCAGCCACAGTCCTTGACGGCTCTCTCTTCCATCCAACGCTTCTTGAGATCATCGGTTCCCGCATGAGCAGACATCACGAAGGGATTATACGTGTTCATAGATGGCAAAAACCGCGGGGGCAGGTCGCATTCTGGAATCTGGAGAATCAAGAATTCTATGCATGCTTGCAGCGGTGGCTGGGCGCGCAACAGATTTTGCGCAAGTGCTGATGGTTGTGACAACGCGGCCACCGCATTTCGAGCCTGGGCCTGTTTGAAGCCGAGCGAAGTCAATTGCTGGAGCAATTGCGCAGCCGCATCTGAGGGAACCGTGGAAGGCTCTGCATCTCCTGCTTCAGGGAAAAGGGCTATTGCCTGTCAGGTCATGAGAGTTTAGTGCCTGTAAACGATCGTCTGGGCCGCAACTCGGTCTACCTTCTTGATGGAATCTTCCACTAGCTCACGCAGCGAGCTGGCCATCTTCGCTTCTGGTGCGTTTTCGAACTCCCTGGATGTCTGCGCATTTCGGCTGGGGGCATCTGTGCCTTTAGCGGACGCATCCCGCTTCTCCGCGGCACGGGTCTGCCTCTCCTCGACGGCCTTCCGTGCTGCGAAGGGATCGGCTTCGTACATCCATTTCTGATGTTCCGGGGCGTTCTTATGTTCGATGGAGAGCTCATTCCAGTACTCGCGAGGCCCCGGAGGTAAGACAAGGTTTAATTGTATTCCGCTGCAAAACTGGCGAGAGGAAACCGTTCATTTGGAAGCCCCCAGCAGGACAAAATATACTGACACGGTATAACGCGTAGGTCGCACCCCAATGTCGTGCTTCCAGCGCACTCGGCATAACGCGTAGTGGATGGGGCTCGAGCCGAACAGACTCTCTCTGGGATGTCCTCTTGTTGATTCGGCTCAACATCACGACGAAGGAAAAACCATTGTCTTGTCTCCGCTATGCAATGTTTGTTTATGGCTCGTAGCCGTCATTAAATGATACACTCACGGCGTCAACTATTGGCTTTTCCCATCCGTTCTTTTGGCACCTGTAACGCTGATATGAGCGCCAGCCCAGTACAGATAGCCGTTCATTTACGCCGATCAAAGGAAGAAAGTACGCAGCACCTCTCATGGAGTAAACTCAGAGGATATTTGGAACCAGGAGGAAATAGAGGTTTCTCCTCCGGGGCCGCGGGCTCAGCAGGCTTGGACTGCTTTGAGGAATTTCCCGCATTGCCCGACTTGACAATACCTCGTCTTGGGGGCATCTGAGCAGTGACTAGTGGGCAACTACAAGAAGCATGATGGTAAGTCGGAAGTGAATGAATTCGGTCATGCCGAGATGCCGATTAACGTTGGCTTTATTATTCCTTCACAAATTCTTATCTGAGTTACAATCCCTTGATTACTCTCTTTGTCAGCATATTCCTGGTCACAGGCGCCGAGAGACTGCTCGTCGACTTGTCCAGTACCATGGCTGATGCTGACCTCTACAACCTCGAATTTCTGTCTCTCGTCGCTAAAATCACTCAGGAAATAGACAACCATACTGGTATTAACGACAAGACACTCGCCGAGTTCGTTATCTCCCTACATGATGAATCAAAGACGTTACCGGAGTTCAAGCAGCAGCTAAAGGGCGTGGGCGCAAACTTTCCCGAGTCGTTCGTGGAGAATGTAGATCGTCTCATCTTGAGCATGCACCCGAAGCACAAGAAAAAGTCAGATTCGGGAAAGGAGAATGTCGCAGCGGAGACGGAGAGCACTCTCGACGAAGTAGACAAGCAGAAGCGTATTTTCCCCGGTCTCGCTCTCAAGGACCAGGACTGGCAGCCGAGCGTCACTAAAGACGCAATAATGAAGGAAGTGGACGACATGATGTCTCAGTTTGAGGGTGCCGCGAAGAGGGCGAGGCCAAAAACTCCGGAAAACGATCGTTCCCCCAAGCGACAACGACGGTCTCGCTCACGTTCTCCTCCACCACGACGGCGCAGTCCGAGTCCTCGCGGGAGAAGCTACGGAGACAGATATGACGATCGTCGTGGGAGGAACGGCGACCGTGCGCGCCCTCTTGACGAGCGGCCCGTGCTGTTCAAGATCTACAATGGCCGGGTCAATGGTATGAAGGAGTTTGGTGCCTTCGTCCAGCTTGAGGGTGTTGTAGGCCGTGTGGAAGGTATGTCTCGACTCGTGATGGGTAATTCGTAATCTCGATTCATACATCTCGCCCAGGCATGGTCCATGTATCGAATATTCAGCAAGGAGCGCGGACTAACTCGGCTGCGGACTTGCTCACCCGAGGACAGTCCGTCAAGGTGAAGGTCATGAGTGTGGCGGGGACTAGGGTTGGCCTCTCCATGAAGGATGTAGACCAAGCCACTGGCCGAGATCTTACGCCTCATCTACGTATCAAGTCCGAGGCAGAGCTTGCGGAGGAGGATTCAAAACGGTCTGCTCGCGGTGCAAACGCTGTTCCGCTCAACTCGCGCGGGAATGGAAAGGAGGAAGTCGTGCGCTCAGCGAAGCGTCTGACCTCCCCAGAGCGGTGGGAGATCAAACAGCTCATCTCGTCTGGCGCTATCGATGCGTCAGAATACCCTGACCTTGACGAGGACTTCGCTAATCCTATGGCGCGCGCCGAGGTTGAAGAGGAGCTTGACGTCGAGATTCGTGAGGAGGAGCCGCCTTTCCTTGCAGGGCAGACGAAGAAGACCCTCGACCTCAGCCCTGTCAAGATAGTAAAGGCTCCCGACGGCTCGCTGAATCGTGCCGCTCTTGCAGGGGCTTCCCTCGCCAAAGAGCGAAGGGAGTTGCGGCAGCAAGAAGCTAACGAGCAAGCCGACTCCGAAGCCCGTGACTTCAGCGCGCCTTGGCTTGATCCTATGTCGAAGGAGTCGGATCGTATTTTTGCACAGGATCTTCGGGGGAATATTCGTGGACAGAAGGCCGGAGAGCAGCCGAAATGGAAGGAAGCCACGTTCAACAAGGCGACTACCTTCGGTGAGATCACGTCTCTTGGCATCCAGGAACAGCGGAAGAGCTTGCCAATTTTCAAGTTGCGCGACGCATTACTCCAAGCCATAGGGGAGGTCTGTATGTTCCATTGAATATTGACTTTGAGATGTTGACGCTATTCCACAGCATCAAGTTCTTATCGTCGTCGGCGACACTGGCTCGGGTAAGACTACACAAATGACCCAGTACCTCGCTGAGGCCGGTTTCGCGGATAAGGGCAAGATCGGCTGCACACAGCCTCGACGTGTTGCTGCCATGTCCGTCGCGAAGCGTGTCGCTGAAGAGGTCGGTTGTCGCCTTGGGCAGGAGGTCGGATACACGATCCGTTTCGAGGATTGCACAGGCCCCGAGACGAGGATCAAGTACATGACGGATGGTATGCTCCAGCGAGAGTGCTTGATCGACCCCGATGTCTCTGCTTACTCTGTCATCATGCTCGACGAGGCTCACGAGCGGACTATCGCTACCGACGTTCTATTTGGTTTGTTGAAGAGTATGTCTCGATTCTCATCCAGCGCGTTTAGTCCACTCACATGAGCTTTTGTGCAGAGGCAATTAAACGACGTCCAGACCTGAAGCTGATCGTCACTTCAGCAACCCTCGACGCCGAGAAGTTCTCTAAGTACTTCTTTGGCTGCCCTATTTTCACCATCCCCGGTCGCACATACCCCGTCGAAGTCCTCTATACCAAGGAGCCAGAGACGGACTACCTGGACGCTTCGCTCATCACCGTTATGCAAATCCACTTGTCGGAGCCTCCCGGCGATGTCCTTCTGTTCCTGACTGGTCAGGAGGAGATTGACACAGCATGCGAGATTCTCTACGAGCGAATGAAAGCGCTAGGTCCTAAGGTTCCGGAACTCATGATTCTCCCCATCTATTCCGCCCTTCCATCGGAAGTCCAGTCCCGAGTATTCGAGCCGACGCCACCGGGTGCGCGCAAGGTTGTGGTGGCGACAAATGTTGCGGAAACTAGTCTCACTATTCCCGGAATTTACTACGTTATCGACCCTGGCTTCTCGAAGCAGAATGCATACGATCCTCGTCTAGGAATGGACTCGCTCATCGTTATGCCGATCTCGCAGGCGCAAGCGCGACAGCGTGCTGGCCGGGCTGGCCGCACGGGACCCGGAAAGTGCTATCGGCTCTACACTGAAGCCGCCTTCCGTAACGAGATGTTGCCGAATTCTATCCCGGATATCCAGAGGACGAATCTGGCGTCTACAATTCTAATGCTGAAGGCGATGGGCATCAACGACTTGCTCAGTTTCGACTTCATGGACCCACCTCCCGCCCAAACAATGCTGACAGCGCTCGAATCGCTCTATGCGCTCTCGGCATTGGACGATGAGGGCCTGCTGACGAGGCTCGGTCGCAAGATGGCGGATTTCCCGATGGATCCCCCGCTCGCGAAAATGTTAATCGCGTCCGTCGAGTTGGGCTGCTCGGAAGAAATCCTGTCAATTGTGGCGATGCTCTCGGTTCAGAGCGTGTTCTATCGCCCCAAGGAGAAGCAAGGACAGGCGGATTCCAAAAAGGCGAAGTTCCATCAGCCGGAGGGTGACCATCTTACACTGCTGACCGTGTACAACGGCTGGAAAGCGAGCAATTTCTCGAATCCTTGGTGCTACGAGAATTTCATACAGGCGAGAAGTATGCGGCGGGCGCAAGATGTCCGAAAGCAGTTGCTGGGTATAATGGACCGGTACGTCTTCCGCTTCCATCCGTGCTAGAAGTTGCGGACGTTCACGTCTGGCTACATTGTAGTTATAAGCACGATATCATCTCCGCGGGACGAGACTATAACTGCGTTCGCAAAGCTATCTGCTCTGGCTTCTTCCGTAACGCAGCAAAGAAAGACCCGCAGGAAGGTTACAAGACGCTCGTAGAAGGCACTCCGGTGTATATTCACCCGTCGTCAGCGCTCTTCAACCGCAATCCGGAGTGGTGCATATACCATGAGCTAATCCTCACGACGCGAGAGTACTGTCACAACGTCACGGCCGTCGAGCCCAAGTGGTTGGTGGAAGTGGCTCCACAGTTCTTCAAGGTTGCCGACGCAAACAAAATCAGTAAACGCAAGAAGCAAGAAAAGATTGAGCCTCTGTTCAACAAGGTATGCTACATGAAGCGCATCGTTCATCTAAATCATCTAATGACATTCGCAGTACGAGAAACCAGACGAATGGCGATTGTCGAAAGTCAAACGAAGTGCTCGCTCGGTATGTGTCCCACTTCAGTTTGACATGCTAGTAGTGCTAAATGATGTACCCAGAGTCAAACCTTTGGATAGACCAGGAATGCGGACAATGCTTGTCGTGTATTGTATTGCTACATGTTTTATCATACTCGCTGTCATCTGTATTCATACATAATCTGTTATATTAATGCGCAACGTCACTGGACACAAGATATACATTTTGACTAGTAGCGCATTGAAACACTTCGCGAATACCACTGTGGTAATCAGACGACGCTACATGGCGCATTAATATTGGAGTCCGTCCCGAAGTCCGAGCCAAAACAAGGAATCGTACTGCTGCTAATAGAGCGGGACACCGCGGTGGTGAAGAGCCGCGGGCTCGAAGGAATGCCGGAATGGGGGACTTCAAGGCTACACGATAGTCGACTGGGATTTGGCATCGCACTCCGGAAAGAGAATTGCCCGCGCTACACCCGCTTCTCCGTGATCGCCTCCGTCTAGCCTACGAACCTCATCGCGTCGGCATTGACATAATACTTCGCTACCTCTCCTGTCTTCGATGGCGGTGCGGTAGGATCGGGGACGAGCATGAACGTCTGTGAAAATACGCGGGGCTGGCTGTCCACGGACTTGCTAGATGTGGAAGCAGAGTTTCCTGTTGGCCTATGACCATGCGTAACGGTGCCTGATACGGTGATCAGGAGATTGGGTGGCTGACTTCCTTCGCAGGGGTCAACACGAAACACGCAGAGAAAAGGCAGCTAGGGGGCCGACCTGGTATGGGATGGCAATCGAAACATTGCACCTCGTGCTTGGTAACGGGCATCGCGCTGATGAGCTTTCGGACGCCGTCGGATCCTTGAAATGGTTTTCCATTCCATGTCATAGCGGACGATGGCCGATAGAAGTTGGGGAGGTTATCTACACGAGTGGCCGAGTCGTACGTTGAGTAGTAGAGACGTGTGAAATGGTCCGCCGCTCGCGTCGCGATTTCAATACTGCCAGATGGCACGGAGATTAAGTGTCGGTGGATCGCATGGAAGCAGTGGTACCCACTCGTTCTGCGTGAAGGTGGACATCACCGTAGAGAGTTTGTGTTCGGAATAGGTGAAGGTGGCTGAGTTTATGAAACGAGTTGACTTTAGCGCTCTACTGGCCTGGTACATCTACAGTCACACAACGTGACAAGGGTACATCGACGGTGTCACACTGCAAGCCACAATACGGGAAGCGGTGTGATAAAGGGAAATATAGGATTGGAAAGCTAGTTTACATACTACGAATAGACATTCGGGTCAAATAGTACGGTACACACATAAAGTACACATTAATACAGCTTTGTTCCTCACATATCCAAATACCTCGTAAACGGGATACGAACTCCCTACGCAATGCTAAATCTTACACAGGCCGACTCGGTGCCAATGCCACGGCGCCCGCTCGACGTTTGATACCGTCGTGCTCTGTTCCCATGCTGGCGTACCACGTCTCTGGACCCTATACGGCTGTTTGAGCATACATACAGTCGACAAAGCCACATAGCCGACTTACCTTCCTGTTATTCAGTCGGAGCTTTCTAATCCTCCTCGAAATCCATTCGGCAGACGTCGAGCCGGTTTCAAATGCCCCATCGGGGGCGCTCGCAACGGCCTTTGCGACCATGTCACTGTGCTCCCGCTGCGCACGGAGGATGACGGAATTTCGAGGACGGGTAAAGAACGAAATTGAATATCTCTCGAACTGCGCCTGCGCGCCCGGCGGAGGCCTGCGCAGATAAACACCATTAGCTCTAAATGGGCGACGAATCCTCGGAGCCGGCTTACATCACGCGATGTACGTTTGATCGCAGAATCCCTCCGCTGAAAATTGACAAGGCGTCACCCACGTTGCAGACAGCGTGGCCGAAAAGAGGCTGGCCGGAACCGTCAAATCGTTACCTATGATTAGTATGGATGTGGAGCTCACCTTGATGTATAGCCACTTCTGTGTACCTGATGGCATGACCTGTAGTCCGCCTAAACGGTTGTGGAGGAACGTCTAGAGATACGGAGACGTCATTGAGGTTGTCACCGACAACTGAAAGATGTCTTACAAGGGTGCCGAAGTCAGTGTGGGCGCCGACGCCCGTAGACGACTGGTTGGGCGGCGTCTTGATGCAGCGAGCCTCACTGCCGCATGGCTCTTCTGTAGAATGCAGGCTTGCCAGGGCGCCCCTTGGCAAGCCTAGCTGCCGCTCGAAAATGGCGAGAATAGTGTAGTTGACGTCCATGGACTTGCGGACAAATGGAATGACGGTGTCCTTCATATGCGTGTTTACTGTTGAGGGGTAGGTTCGATGTGTCGGCCGTGGCCACGACAACGCATCATCCTGTGCAATATTTAGGAACTCCACATTATCCCGCGTGCCATTGGCGTCCGTCTGAATGGTACCCCGAGCCTTGTACCTAGTACAGCCGCGCATGAGTATACAGTAAAAGTATGATGAGGCACCTGTCCTACCCGAAGGAGTCCCCGTTGTCTCCTTGCTCGAATTTCATCAGTTCTTCCACCGGCAGATCGAGGGAGTCTGCACCAAGGTCAAACATGCGATTGACCTCCCCCTCGACGCCATGATTCTTCAGGCTGTATCGAGATTGTTAATTAAACGTGAAGACATGTATGTGGCGTGGTCGCTGCTCACTACCAGAATCCCAGCTCGGTACCCGCTCTCCATAACTTGCCGATTTCGGTCTTGTCGCCTTGCAGCAGGAGCTGGTAATCGATGACTACCAGAGGGGCGACGGGAACATCGTCAGGAAAGGGGGCCGTTGCAGTGAGACCAGGCATTCTGAGACGCGGTACCGATATGGCGTTTGAGCTGCAAGAATACGCTCTCTGCTTTATATTCTTTCCGGGAGCTAACCCCGAGACAAGCCTAGCCTAGTCGTCTGCCGGTGAATTTCGGTCCCTACGGAATGGACCTGGCGCACTAACCCTGAAGGAGGCAATTGGATACAATCTTGCCTGCTGGATCTCCGGTTAACGGCATGGAGTCGTGATTGTCGCCACTTGAAGGTTCCTACTAGCGGGCCGCAGAGGGTGCCTGAGTTCTCGTACCGTTACCGAAAACGTGGTAGTGTGACGCGTGTCTGGGGCAGTGTCGATCACTCACAAGTTACCGGGTCCACGTGTAGACGGCCCTGTAGGCGTCATGAAAAGGCCTTGATCACGAAGCAGGGAATGAGTAGCCATTTGCACATCAAGGTTTTGACCTACCCCGGCAATGTGCAAGCCTGCAGGCTGCTCTAAACTGAAGTCGTCGGACATCATAACCTGGCAACAGGAATGAGCTTGCCAGCTCCGCCTATCACGGCAAGCCCATTCATTGCCAGAAGCGCTTACCTCCTGTGTGCGTTCAAGTGCCTATTTGACATAGCCACGGCCGAACTGATGGACAGCTGACCCCACTAACCCGAGCGGAGAGGCCCAATACTTCAATTGCGTAGCCTGAAATATAGCACAGACGCCACCGTCGGATCCCGATGTCCGTTCTCTGCCTGCTTCCATGGGCAGCATGAAACATTGCGATTCCATCGCCACGGCGCTTACTTCAACTAGATCATGATATGGCAATCAAGCGCTTGCTTGCTCCAGCGGGCTAGAGCCGCGGTCCTCACTAAGACACTTGCTCTGCATACCACACTGAAATCTTCGCCGACGTTTGTACACCGGTGCACTCAGCGCTCCGCACAACAGCAATCACAGGCTAGAGATTCGGCATCAAGCAGGGAAACACCATAGCTAATGTCAAACGCACTGCGGCGAGAATTCTCGATGTGCGACAACCAGGCTCATACAGATAAGAGATCGAAGGCAGACACCTCGCCCTAAGATGACGCCATGCGGCGTCGCACGGACTGCTGTACATGCCTCGGTGTGTTGAAATTTTTTGATTTGCGCGGCAAATGCACGGTCAAGCGTTCATGAGTAGCTTGAGCGTTCGTGACTACTCATGAACGCTCAACTAGGATGATCTCCGCCTTGTTATCTGTAGCAATCTCCTCCGACGATGTATTGACACAGGGCTTCTGGTTGGACATTAGCTTGTCTGAAGGTTCTTGCAGTGTCATAGACGTCTGCGATGGTCGTACAGTTGTTGAACACGAGTAGCGCAGAAAACTCTCTATACACTCGCCTGCTATGCAGTTCTAAGGTCGTGTGGGATAGAAGTCGCCAGACAGCTGCCGCGTAGCGCTGAGAACACTTGCCGATAGAGCGAGCGATGTTGCCCAACGGACGACCCATGAACTCGATAGCGAGACGATATGGGATCCAACGAGCACAGGTCTAATGAGTATATGTCGTTCCTGAAGCATGAGTAATCCAGAGAAGGGGTTTGAACTGGAGGATCCATGCAACGTCGATGAAGAATCTCAAGTACTTGGCAGTCGTCGAATTCAAAGCTGTGTGCATTTAGCGCCGAGTGTGCTACACGCGCACGTGATCTTTAATGCATCGGGGTACTGAGTACGGGACTGCGTCTCACAGAGTACTCTGAACACCTCATCCTTGCACCCATTCTACGTTGGGTTTCAGCATTCACGGGCACGGAGAAATAGCGGCCTATTGTGCTCTAGGTACGTGCTACGAACCCAGCGCCGGATTTCGAGAGCGACCTCATGACATTGGCTTCATACTCCCTATGCTCAGTGCTCAATATTCGCACTGTTTGACACTCCTTGCCGCGGTCAGCTCTAGTCTGCAGGATCTCTGGTAGAGCATAGCGGCTATCTTCCTCAAGCGCTCAAAGTACAAGAGACGCTTGGCTCTCACTTGTCTCCGGTCTCTAGTCCCGAAGAGCGCTGCTCAGCATGTGGGAGCGGACATTGCAGGATCTCATTCGCGGGTTGCGAGCAAACAAGAAGGATGAGAGCAAATTCATCTCGCAGGCTATTGCCGAGATAAGGCAGGAAGTCAAGAGCAAAGACATGGAGCTAAAGGCGGCCGCTGTGCTGAAACTCACATATGTCAGTCTATTATACTCCTCAGTGACATCTGCAGTGAACAGTCTGACCTGGTTGGAGCAGCTAGATATGATGGGGTACGACATGAGCTGGGTGTCGTTCCATGTCGTAGAGGTGATGTCGTCGCCCCGCTTACACTTGAAGAGTGTTGGGTACCTTGCGGCTATTCAGTCATTCCAACAAGACACAGATGTGCTCATGCTAACGACAAATCTTCTGAAGAAGGTAGGTCGTCAGAGAATGATGACTGCTTGGTCCTAATCCATTATACTAGGATTTGGGCTCGAAGCCGGAAGACATTGCAGTGACGCTAAACGGTCTTTCGCATATTGTCACACCGGATCTCGCACGAGACATATCACACGATCTGATCGCTATGCTCAATCATTCTCGCGCAGTTGTCAGGAAACGCGCTGTTATAGCGTTGTACAAGGTTTTCGTCAAGTATCCAGAGGTCATTCCATACGGCATAACCAGGTTGAAGGAGAAGCTGAACGATGCTGATGCTGGTACATGGCCAAACTGTGTCACAATAGACCAGAAATTGACATAAACAAATACTAGGTGTCGTCGCCGCAACGGTGAATGTTCTCTGTGAGCTCGTACATCGCAACCCAAGGGACTACCTTGCTCTGGCGCCGCAGCTGTTCCACCTGATGACAACTTCATCAAATAATTGGATGTTGATCAAAATCATCAAGCTGGTATGATATTCCATCTTTTGTGCACCACGCTCTCTGACCACAGCGGTAGTTCGGAACTCTGTGTCCGCATGAACTGCGGCTGGTCAGGAAATTGCAACCGCCGATTACGGATCTGATTTCGACCACTCCTGCAATCTCGCTTCTTTACGAATGCGTGCACACATGCATCATCAGTGGCATGCTTCAAGGTCCCTCCGGAAACTCGCTAGCCAGGACATGCGTCACGAAGCTAGCAACGTTCTTACAAGATCCGGACCAGAACTGTGAGTGGTAGGGAATTCTCCGTCTTCCACGCCGACTGAAGGTATCACAGTAAAGTACATTGCCCTTCTTGCAATGGTCAAGATCGTTCCCACACACCCTGAGCTAGTGGCGGAGTATCAGGACATGATCGTATCCAGCGTGGATGACCAGGATGTCAGCATTCGCATGAGAGCGCTCGACCTCTTGTCAGCAATGGTCGGTGGTAATATCGTCCTCGTTCAATGTAGGTTTAACACCTCGTTGGCAGGTCAGCAGACACAACTTGCAGCCCATTGTGCAGCAGTTGCTATCCCATCTTGTCCGATCAGAGTCCGCTGTTCTTCCATCCGCTATTCAGTCACTGTCGCAATACGGATCTGCGGCGGCGAATGCGGCTCCAAAGGCGTCCAATGCTCCCTCGCAGTCGCCTGCCTATCGTATCACGCTTGCGCAGAGGATTTTAGCCCTCGGTTCGCAAGACACATATGACAACGTTGTTGATTTCGATTGGTATCTCTCCGTCCTCGTCGACCTTGCATATGTTGCGGGCGCGAATGTCGGGCTGCAAATCCGCGACCAACTAATAGACATAGTGGGTAGGGTGCGAGCAGCGCGGCGATATGCTGTCCAGCTCATGGTCAAATTGTTAACGGATGATTCCTTCTTGACAAATGCGGCGGAAGAGGGAAGTTGTGCTGAAGCGCTCTGGGCCGCAGCGTGGATCTGTGGTGAATACTGCGGGTATGTTGTGACGTACTTCCACAGACTCTCGGCAGTACTAATCTACTCATAGAGAACTTGCTGAACCGCAGAAGTTATTAACCTATCTCCTCCAGCCCGGAATAGTCGTACTTCAGTCGGACACAATGGCGGTCTACCTTCAAGCTGCCATGAAGGTCTTTGGGCATTGGGCAGCTGACCAGGCCGACAGATGGGACAGCGACGACCTTCCTAAGGTCAGAGACATCGTTGACATGGTGCTGGACCGGCTCGGCGATTTCGTTACGCACGTTGATACTGAAGTGCAAGAACGGGTATTTGAATTTTCGTTCCCCATCCCGCCTAGCGTCTGATTGTTGCTGTTTCCCTAGGCTGCGGAAATGCTCAATCTGTTTAGATTCATTCGTGCGGACATCGATGCGTATCGGCCGAAGACGGAACATGTCCTCTCTTTCGGCGAATCAAGTTTCACAGCCCTTGACACCGCCTCTGGGGAGCCGCACTACCCCAAGAGTCTATTCCTCATCCGGCCGCTATATGCTGCGTTTGAACTCAATGCTGTGGCGTTAACGGCACAAGCAAGGGTTCCGATACCGGACGGTTTAGACCTCGACTCCTGGATCGTACCACCCCCGAAAGAGATGACCGAGGCCGTCCAGGTGGACGGTGACGAAGTAGCCGAACTCAAGAAAAAGAAAAAGAGCAAGAAAGGCAAAGAGAAAGATACGGGGGCGGTCAAGAGTAAAGGTCGCAAAAAGGCACACCGAGATGATGACGATGAGAACACGCTGATTGCACCAGCCGAGACGGAGGAAGAGCGAGCAGAACGAGAGCGGGTACGACGTCACGGTTGAATGATTGTCCTGACGCGACTAACCTGTCTATCTCTAGCGCAAGGCGGAGCGGTTGGAACGCATCCGAGATGACCCCTACTATATCATTGACGACCGGCCAACGTCAAAGAAACACAACATCGATGACGTAGATTCTATTCCAGTCGTCAAGCTGGATGACCTCCCTCCACCTTCTCAGTGTAAGTTCAGTCTCTCCAAGGCGATGCTCAGGTACTGATGCGGAGATTCAGCGGAGAATCCACGTCTTGCTAGTCTGCGCCGCTCGCCGTCACCAAATCCAATGCGAGCTTTTGTAATTGACAAGACGGGCGAGATGCCTGACGTAGCCATGCCGGTGACAACATCCTCCCGGCCAGAAACGCCAACCTCTAGCCTCTTGCGGGACACTCCCCAGCCGGCACCGCCGCCATCGTTCTTTCCGCAGTATGAGGTTGAGGACGAAATTCCACGCCCTGCCACGCCACCTCCCATTAAGGTCACTAGAGCGAAGAAGAAAGGCACGACGAGTGGAAAGAAGAAACGGGTACAGAAGCCGGACAACCCCAGCCCCCTGGCGGAATGATCATACACTGTTGCATTGGATTACTTGTACGTTTCCACTTCGGTTATGGTATATTGTGCGATAGGAGTGACGTGCTACGATGAGACGGACCACAAGAAAAGCAGTTCTGATAATACAATGAGACGCAGGGCCAGCAGATGCCTGACTATGTGTTGTATTCAGACCTTGCATAAGATGGTTGTCCGATAAAGTGCAGAGATGCGGAAAGGCGGTGATAAATGCGAGGTATAGACGATGTGCTGAGCGGTGACACTCGCCAGGAGCTCATCGTTCGTCTTCCACATGCTCGACTGAGTCTACAATTTCATTTATCAGCTCCATGGTCACTCCAGGAATGATGCGCTCGGCCTCAGTGAACGCTCGCTGGAGAGCGCTGAGAGCAACTCGGGCTTCTTGTGTAGAAACACGCGGGAACAGCTGTTTTGAATATCAAAGTCAGGGTCCGATTAGCGTCCACCAGCGATGATCACGCACTGATGCAATTGCGGGAAGGACTACCGAGTCAAGCATAGTCGTGTCCGGCAACTCGTCGTCCACGGCGACAATGTGATTGCCCGGCTGGCCTGGCGCTGGGAAGCCATCGGCGTCCGGGTCGTCGAAGTCATCATCATATTCGTCAGACGGCTGGCGCGCTGCGCCCGTGGCGGTCCCATTTCGTATTGTAGCCTGCTGGTCAAATTTCTTCGGCGTCGGCGGCGCTGAAGGCGGCAAAGGTGGGAGCTCTGTTTTATGATTGACAGAGGTCGCCTGTGTGGACGCAGATAGATCTCTGCGACCGGCGGTCACGGTAGAGCTGGATCCTGACGTTGACGATTCATCTGACCGTATCGAACCGTTGTTCTCCCATGTCAAGGGCGGCCCGGATACCTGTATCGGGTTGGGCTGTGCCCTACCGACGGTCGCGGCGTGGCGTACGGTCCCGAAGTCCCAAAGGTCTTCTGGATCGCTGTTAGCACTGTCAACGCGTCGATTTAGTCATGTGAGATGATGCATGGGACATCGGCCTTATGAGCGATACGCACGACTCTTCCGCGTGGTTCCTTTCCTCCTCCTCCACCCTTTCTCCGCCTTCGGCCTTCCAGCGCTCGTGGCGCTCGATGAGCTCCGTTAGATAGCTGGTTTTCTTAGCCAAGCGGACAAATTTGTGTTTCAGCAGATCGCGCGCTGTGGGGCGCTGAACAACCCGAGCTCACGGATCAGAAAGCGCGCTAGAAGGGGTAAAGATAGCGTACATCTTTGGGATCGCGCTGGAGACAAAATGCCACGAACTCCCGGAAAGACTTCGAAAAGGGACCCTCCAACGTCGGCGGAGGGTTCTTGGGTATCAAAAACAGAACCTAATTTTGGACAAGTAGGCTGAGACGGGCCCTTCGCGTTATATTGCAATCCTACCTTCATTGGATGTAGCTCTGCGTATGGCGGTTCTCCCTTGGCTAGTTCGATCGCAGTGATACCTAAGCTCCAGATATCCGCCTTGTGGTCATAACCGCTTTGCTTGATAACCTCCGGCGACATCCAGTACGGTGTACCAACGAAGGTATTCTTCTTTGCTGACAGAGTACCTGATAATTGGCCCGAGACACCGAAGTCAGCCAACTTAACATCACCATTGGCAGAGAGGAGGATGTTGGCAGCTGTGAGGGAGTAGCGGGAACATTAGACGAGAATCCTCGATGCGAAGAAATATTCAGCGGACCTTTGATGTCCCGATGAAGCTTGCCCTCGGTGTGCAGGTATTCAAGTCCTTTCAGAAGCTCGCGGACGATGATGGCAATGTATTCTTCTCGGAAGACGCCCGGTTTCATCTATAACACCGCGTTAGCGAGCGGAGTCTCAGTTTATGAGTACGCACCAAGTCTGAACACGAGCCACCAGAACAGTACCTACGTAGATCATTAATCAGGTCGATCGTATAGGGTATGATTATCACACTCACTCCATGACGATCCAGAGGTGAGATCCCTTCAAGTAGGAGCCATGGTATTTGGTAACATATGGTGAGTCTAATTGCGACAAAATCTGGATTTCTTGCTGGATATCCTCGATCTCATCCTCAGCGCTTTCGAGATCAATGATCTTGATTGCTACGGTACGCTGCGTCCGCTTGTCGTATCTAAGGGTGTCATGCAGTATCACTACGAAGCCCGCGTGGAACATAGTGGGGAAGACGTACCCCTTGTACACTTCACCGAACGATCCTTTACCTACAGGAGCGTGTCGGACAGACCACAATCAATACACATGCACCACATATGATCATGAGCAGACACGCACCAATTCTGTCCTGCTTGACATAGAACTCCTCCGGATCCTGACGATGCGAATCCTACACACGAGCGACAATGATCGTCGAGTGTTTGCAGCAACGCTGTCCAAGGAAAAGAACTCACCATTGTGCGCAGGTATATTGGATGTCTCGACGGGTAATGGAAAAGTCTTTACGACGCGAAGCTCGAACCGCGAGATGCACGGAGAAGCAGGGCTATTCGCGATAATCGGTGCGTGCTGCCCTAGATTTGAGAATCGAGTGTCGGGAATCAGGTATCAGAGACGACTAGAGCTCAGAGCGAGACGTGGCCGTGAGCAGGTCAATGCTCACGGAGCAGAATCGGTTGAGGTGTGGAGGTCACTGCGTATGGCAGTCAGCCGCCAGAATCGGCCTGGCTACGGCCAACTTGAAACAGGACCCGGAAACCCCCACGGTCGTCAATATCATCTCCTGCAACGCTCTGCACCTCTGTAATCCCTTGCTGGCTCGGATGCTTGAGCAAGACAAAGACGTGCATAGCTGCTAAGTGAGAAAGCTGCAGGTTGAGAGCTTGGTGGCAGGTTCTGAGAATGTGCATGGGATTCTCAGACGGAGTCAGGGGGTCGGTCATAACATATCCTCCTTTCTTCCTCTCAACTACCTTCATAAGGCGTGTCGGCGTTCCGTTAACGCGTTTATACGCGATATTCAATCCCCAAATCTGAGCTGACTGCCCGACCGGCCATGCCCACCCGAAAACGGCGTCTTCCCATGTCTGCGACGCCCGCGAACGGCGCAAAGCGGTCTCGGACGGAAGTGATTGATCTTTCGGATGAGGAGGAGCCCCTGGAGGCGATCCTTGCCCAGATTCAAGCACAAGACGAAAGCGAGGTTTTAGCAAGACAACTCCAGGATGAGTGGAACAATGTGCCGAGTGCTTCTGGCAGCAATGACGGCAAGATCGAGCGGGAAGCAGTCACCATTGACGATGAAGACGATGAAGCACTTGCCAGACGCCTAGCAAAAGAGTGGGAAGAGCTGGATAAAAATACTTCCAAAGGCGAGTCATCTGCAGCAGCATCTCATGCTGGGTCCTCCAGATCCAAGGACAAGGGCCGAAGTACGTCAGGCTCTGATGTCCCGACGAGTAGGCTGCGTGAAGACGAAACATTATTCACGGGCGGAAAAACCTGCTCCTGCGGAGCGGACATACCCTCCTCCAGAGGTTTTGTGTGTTGTTTGCGAGCAATATTCGATTCTTTGTAGACTAACTTAGATGCTACAGGTGGCATACACAAACCAAGTCCCGCCACCGAGTCTCCTATCTTTGCTCCATGCTCCTTGCAAGTCCTGCAAGAAGAATTTTTGTCGAGGCTGCCTCAAGCCTGTTTCTTGTCCGCTTAAATGCAGAGGATGGGATAAAGGTTGTGCTTGCCCCGTCGCCACGTGCTGTGCTGAAGTACGCGCGATCGCACTTTTCGAGGCTCTCGGTGGGTTTGACCGTCAATATCTGGAGGAACGTGCGACATCGGATGCCCGGGCGAAGGATGCTGCAGCCAAAAGGAAGTCCGCCACTGCAGCCAGCGTCGGTCCCGGGGGTACAGGTTATGCGATGGGACATGCATCTACCCCAATGGCATACCCTTCGGCTCCCTCTCGCGGTCGTGGCCGCGGCAAGAGAGCCACTAATACTAAGTCCGTGGATAGTGGCTCTGTGTCGGATCAGCTTGCGTCGCACTGGGAAGAAGTAATTGTCCGTGCTCTGACGACCATTACAGAATTCTTGCCCTCTCCTTATTCGGACGCGGCGCAGGTATATGATATGCTGCCACACGCAAGCATGGCGCCACTCCTTTGTGCATCCCAATTACCTGATCTGCTTGGCAACCTCCTGCGTAACGACTCGGTGACGGACTGGACTGCACGTAGTGATGTATACGATGCAATGCTTGGGTTGCTGAGACGATTGGCAGACTGCGAGCTTACCATTGAAGTACGTCTAATGATATATTTGTTGCTAGACTCGCTCATGGTCGCGCTCCAGGTGCTCATAGGACAAAGATACGAAATGACGAGGAGCTGCGGGTTGGAGGAGTGGATGTGGCGTAACGGTGATATTACTTGGGCCGAAAAGGAAGGGGAACGTGAACCAATGAAGCTCGTCAGGGCACCTCCGCTCTACGCACACTTCGCTAAGTTGACCAAGCAGTGCGAAACCTTCCTCTCTGGAGCGTCCAGCATGTTCGAAAGCGAGAACGACGAAGATGAGGTCGCCGAGACCATGATCAAAGCGACGTCGCTCTGCGGCGACATCATTGCAGCTCGAGATGACATTGAGCGTGCCATGCGAGTCATGGGCAAGGAGCCGTCAGCTCTGCTGCACGAAGCTGATGTTCCAGAACCACCTGGCCCGTCTTCGAGGAAGGGCAAGGGCATTGATGCATCAATAGCTTTGGAGAAGACATACGCAGATGCATGCGATCGTCTCGCATTTGCACATGTCGCACTATTTGCGCCTTCTGCCGATGGAAAGGGTCTCGTCTACCCGACATTCAACTTCGCCAAAGAAGTCGCTCATACTGTATCTGCGACGCGGAACCCGAAGGATCGTTTACATCTGATCAAGGAGCTTGCTGTTATTGCCACCAGCCTGCCACCGGGCGTCTGGATGCGCGTAGACGAAGTTCGCAACGATGTGATGTATGCATTTTGTGTCAAAACCGGAGCGAGTGAACCTGATGTATGATTGAATCCACCTAGAAAGATTATGATTGCTGGCCCAGAAGGGACACCTTATGCCGGTGGCCTGTTCGAATTTGATTGCTTCCTCCCGATCGAATATCCTCACAAGCCACCACGCGTGCATTTGCGTACTACGGGTGGTGGGAAAGTTCGCTTCAACCCCAATCTGTACAACAACGGCAAGGTCTGCCTGTCGTTGTTGGGAACATGGCCAGGAACGTGGGTACATCATCCTTAATCCCCCTTCACTTTGTTGAGTGGAATTGACAAGCGATATATAGTCCGGAGGAACAGTGGTCCCCCAAGTCGACATTGTTGCAGGTCTTGGTATCTATTCAGAGCATGATTTTGGTCGAATTGCCGTACTTTAACGAGTGAGTGTTCCCCGCGAGCCGGTGATTCCAGTAATGACAATTCAGCGACGCAGACCTGGGTACGGCAAAGCCAACCCAAGCAGCCAGGCTAGTATCAACTACAACCGTAATATCAGTATGCAAACCGTCCGATGGGGAATGGTTGAATGGTTGAAGGACGAGCACAAGGATGGAATATGGGCGGTACGTGCTGCCTGGATGAATCCTACGCCGGCGGGACTTATGCTGCTCCCCAGGATGTGATTGCCTCTCACTTTACTATTCGCAACGTCAAGATACGGAAATGGTGAGCGCAATTGATCGGTAGAATGTCGTAGTCGGACGCTGACCCGAACACAAAGTATCTTGGAATGGGCGAAGGCTGAACCTGGAATCCGGAGTCACAGTGTTGCATCCTCTGTTCCAAGTTACGGACCGTATTCCGTCACCACCGTTGTACCAGCGAAACCCGGGCCTTCAGGTTCATCTTTCCTCTCCCAAGCTGGACAGGATTTATATGCTGGCGCCGCCTCGCTCTTGCAGAAGGTAAGTCCGTTGGCACCAGGGATCATGGACCTCGTGGCGGAGTACGATAAGGGCATCGAGAGGATACAGAAGTGGAAGGATCATAGTAAACAATAGTCCGGAGACAATTTAGGAATATCGACATCTATATATAATGTTCACATAGAGCTTATCATATCTTTCAGCCGTATATCATCAGCCATATTCATCCTTCGTGCGAGTCATGCGATCCATTGCGTGCGAGATCCCTTCGAGGGTAAGAGGCTGCTTCAAAGGTATTTGCGGTGCTCCTACAGAAATGGCATGAACGCCGCCACACACGTGACAAAAGAGGGGGTACCGCACCGGTGCGTGGTCGGTCTCATGGTCGACGTGCACAAACGCCCGTTCGACGTTCGGCAGCACCTCGATCCTGTCCTGAAGCTCCTGGCTGAGGTCGTGCGCCTTCCACAGAGGCGTGCTCGCGTCCATGACGACGTCAATCTCGACGTAGTAGTCCTGCAGTACCGGTGTCGGCTCTTAGCCTTACGCCCACTCGTGGAGAAAACTCACCGGTCCGCTCTGTAAGCAAGCGACAGGGTGAGCGACTGCTCAGACAGTGCAAAGTGAGGAGAGTACTAACATGATATGCGCGCACGGTATCCACTTTCTCGATCTCGTCGCTGAACGTCATCGCGTTGTACACGAGCAGCTGGATAAAGTCGCGGGGCGCAGACTTGCCGGCGAGCAGCTCGAACTCGGTGTAGATGGTGTGTCCCCAAGCGAGCATGACACCGAGGGCGATCTGGCTGGTGTTTGGTCAAAGTGCGCAGGGCGCATAAGCTGCTACGCACGAGGATACCACCCATGGGGTCAAGCCCTAATGAAAGCACGGGTAGGTCAGACAACGCCAACGTGGGCTATCGATGTGACTTACACCACGCCCATCTGCTACCCCCAGCGGACATGAGGAGACCTAGGAACCGACTCATCAGTCCTGTACTGGAGGTGAGACAAAAGGTCCATACCGAACCCGTTCACGAAGATATCGTTGCGGTGGTCCTCCCAGAGCACATGGACCTGACTGGATTGCGCCCGGATCGTGCTGCAATAGAGGAAGAGCAACAACTTCACGCCTGCAGGTTTTCAATTTTAGATAACGGAAGGCACAGCAGTACCAATGCGACGAACCGAGAGCCGCGCCCACGGCGACGATAGAAGGGATGTGGAATTTGTCGGTGTCTTGGCTGCTGTCGTGAGTAATGATTCTCTGCACAGATTCGACAACCACGACGAGGTTGACAGAGCTCATCCTGTTGGTCTGGGTAATGAAATCTTGAACGGTAAGACATTTTGATGACGTACAAGAATCCTGCAATAACATTGATTTGTTTCAAAATTTAGAGATTGGCAAACGGAACCCTCACCATAGATGATATTTCCAATTGTCTCCAGTCTCGATCCGCCCACTGGCCACTTGTTGTGGTCCAGTTTCTGGGCTTTCTTGTGCAGCCAGTATAGCACCACGTTACTACCAAAATCAAACACAGAGTCGACAGAAGTGGCGATCAAGGAGAGCGAGATGGACGAGATGGCTCCGTAGACTGATGCGGATTTTAGGTGGCTTTGTGATACAGGTAAGGAAATACTTACGCTGCAGAATGCAAAGAGCGAAATTACCGATGAGACTCGCCCAAATGGCGATTTTGACCTACGGGACCAGGATTAGCAAATACCACTCAATAAATTTGTGGAGCTGCACTACAGGTAAGCGGGAAGTTTCCTCCTCCACCCTTGCCTCCTCGGTGTGTTCTTCCATCGACTTTAGCAACGAGCTGATGAGCTGTATTATGTGGTCGGTTTAATGATCTTTCTTATTACTCGGAGGGAATTTGCCAACATCGTTCTGCTTCCGATGGTATTTCTCGAGCGCTCTGCCTTCCCTTCGTTTACGTAGGCCCGCCAACTCATCGCTGGTCTTGATGCCATTCTGTAAATGGTACGGATCTGAACGCTCGGTCGTTACGGAAGCTGGATCTCCTTCGACGTCTCGAGCGGGCTTGCGAGCGGATACCGTTGCTTCGGGATTCTGTTGCAAAATGAAGTCGCGTGCTCACAGTGACGGCGTGGACGTACTTACAGTAGCAACAGTAAGTGGCCCACCCGCACGGATGGAAAGGGCAGCCTCTTCTGTCGTCTGTACGATAGTCATGCCTTGTCGTGTTGAAGTGAGTTGAACGATTTATTGTTGTTGCAGATGTGAGGTGCCGAGGGAGCGGTACGCCGTCAGCGAAGGAGGACCCGATCCAACGGGTTGGTTCCGTAAGCGTGGGTCTGCAGACTCGTATCTTCTGTTCTTTCAACGTAACCGTACACTCGCCTGTTGTTGCTCTGCGACGATGGGGGGTGCTGGTCAACAATGGCGGGGTGAGATAAAGCGGTGCTGTGGTGCTGAGCAAGGATTGCGTAGGGATATTCGGAAGTCACGACCCTTCCCGGCACAGCGGCAGTGCTTTTCGGTCTCCGACAGTGCGGTACCGCATGCCAAGCCCGATCTCGGATTATCCAACCTGACCCAGCGCAAGGATCGTTCTGTCATCCTCATCGGGCGAGCCAGTATACGGGCTATTAATCGATATGCAGTGCTATCCGTACTGAAAAAAAAAGCACATAAGTAACTCGCCGTGCATACATCTACACTCGAAAATACTGACGCGGACAAGGCCTCCCGAAAACGGCGCGCCGGCGGGGGACATCCGATGGGCCCATCTCGATCCTTCGGCGTTAAATCTCGCGTCCCACGCGGCCCTCGAGAACGCAAATCGACCAACTTGTAAAGCTCATATACAGTGCTCAAATACCGCTCTACATCCGTGGGCTTATACAAAGCCACTGGCTCCTTCGCGTACATCGTATTCACTATGGCCACGGACAACTCGGGTGCTCTGCTTGTCTTACTTCTCCTCGGTTTGATTCTGTAAATTAGTTCCTGCCTTGACCTTCTACATGCTTACGCCGTGCCTTCAAGATTCGCCGCATTAGCTTGGTGCATGGTCTCCTCATGTCTAGGCAGATCATTCGCCGAAGCACTCCGTGAGCTATGGGACACATTGATCTTGAGCGCACAATCAGACACACGGCCCACGCAATGGAGAAGCCGCAGAAATTGGGATGATTCCGGGGAGCTCTTCGAGCTAGAGCATCGAGGCCGAGCAGCGTAATATTATTGGCTGTGAGATTGCCATGCTACAGTAAGTTTCCCGCCCTTTCTGCCATACCGAGTTTGACTCAGCTCACATCCTTATGGAAGGTCCGAAGTGTCTTAAGATCTCGAACATTCGCTACATATAGAGGCGCGTTCTGTCGGTTCCCAGACTGCGTCTCAGACTCGTCAGGCGTGCAGTCGTCTTTGCCATCGCCCAGAGCTCATCCTGTCGTGATAGGATGTAATTAGATGCAGACTTGTTCTCCATCGCTCTGGAAGGCCCGCGTATGCTCTCTCCGCTTGCCAATAAATGAACATTCCCACAACGGTGAATCGACGTCCTAATTTCCAGTGCCAGCCTCAACTGTGATGTCGATCGTCTGTCGCGATCACGTGCCACGCACAGAACGCGTCCTGCGTCGCGTCATAGCCTATTGGACATGAGCCGTGTCCCTTGTCCTGTGCGCAGGCGCATCACTACTACACTTGCTGACATGTGTGTATTGGACAAACGCTCCCAGTCGACGGGTGAGATGCTGACATGTCCAGACGCGGCGCGCAGGACGCGTGATTTCATGTTGAACCGCGTCCTCGATCTGGCGGGCGAGGCTGACACTGTCAATGTCAGCCAAGTTCAAGCTCCGCGAGAGCGTCCTATAAAATCACCAGCGAGCCTACCCCCACTTTCTTCAGCTCTCTACCTTTGACTACCACCTTCTCCGCACGAGACAGGACAGTCATAGTGCTTTCGATCTGCTTTCATCCTTGCTATCCATACACCCCAGCCTAGCCCTCAGCTATGAGAATCTCCTCGAGCTCATCCCTCCTCTTGGCTACCTTGGTGGTCTCCTCGTCGACGTCTAGTCTCGCAGCGCCGACAGACTGTGATCAGCATGGGATGTCCACCGCTCCCAGCATGCAGATGGCTACCAGGCGCCAAGTCGAGGTGAATGTGGACGGAGGTAGCACAGGTGTTGGCATAGGTGTGTTGCTCTTTCTCGTATTGCGGCTGGCAGAGGTTATATACCCGACGCGACAGGAACCCAACCACAGGTCCACCAGGACGATCGCCACTATAGCATGCGCTCTGACCTTGAGAGACGCGATGACTCCCTCATATCGCTTATCAATTCGCTGCCTCTAGGTATCGGTCCCATCCTCGCTCCTCTTGTAGAGAAGCTCTTAGGTATCAGCGGAGGGGGGGCCGCCGTTCTCACGGCAATGTCTCCGGACGAGGTCGACCAGATGCAGCAGGTCATCTCTCAGGCCGTCAATAGTGCTACCTCGGCGATTTCCTCTCTGCATACCGGCCTGCCTGCCAACATCCCCGCGCCGCCGTTGTCGAACGTGACTAAGAGGGCGATCCTAGATGGCGAGTATTCCCAGTACCCCGCCGACTCGGCGGCGACCTCTGCAAACAGCGCCTCCACAGTTGCATGGTCGTCGGCCCCTATGTCCTTTGCGATGGCGATGGCAACGCCCTCTCCTCCTGGCACGCCTGCGAGCAATCCGTTGTCGGGGGGCCTCAACCCGCCCTCTCCGCCACTGCCCGTCAACCCACCGAACACCCCGGTTCCTGCTGGTGTTTCTCCTGATAACCTTCCGGTTACCCCGCCGGTGTCCCCGCCGGCATCTCTTCCTGTGTCTCCCCCCGTCTCCCCGCCGGTGTCTCCTCCCGTGTCTCCTCCCGTGTCTCCTCCCGTGTCTCCTCCCGTGTCTCCGCCGGTGTCCGCGCAGACTCCCAGCAACGCTTCGGCACCTGGTGCCATGCTAGAGTCCCAGTCGGCTGATGGCGATGATACCCCTCCTCTCTTTGGGTCCGCCGACACCGGATCGTGGGATGCCACCTCTTCTACGGTCAGCCCCTCCGCTACGGCGTCTCCGTAAGCGGATGAGCATGTTCATGATCTATACCTATACCCTATGTCAATGATTTATCTATTCGAAGATGTATCAAGTGCGATTGTCTCGTTAATTCATATTGTTGAACATGAGACATACGAAATACGTGAAATTCCCGCGAGATAAGCGAGAAATATGAATGAACAATAAAACAACAATGACTGGACGAAGGAACAAGCCTTGATCAGATTTATTTATTTACGCGTCATGAAATGCTGGATGCACAATCGACTAACCTGTAAGACGTTCACAATCGACTCTCTATATACTGCATAAAGAGAATGTCCACATCCAGTATGTGCACGGCTGAGAAGGGTTTCAGTGTTCACCGTCACGTCTCCACGGCTTTGAGCTTAACGTCAGCCCATGCTGCGTGGAAGGAAGTGTTATCAATACTCCTCTATTTCTCGCACATAATTGCTAGTGTACAATTTGTCGTCGGTCTTCTTTGTACGACATCTTCACTTCTCTACTGCAAGGCGCGCTCCATTTACTCTGCAATCTTGATCACTAGCTTTCCGACCGTCTTCCCGCTCTTTGTCGCGAGATCGGAGTGCGCCTCGCGTGCGCCTTCGGTGGAGAACGAGTACTCCTTGAACACCTTGATCTTCACCGCGCCGCTGGTGATCAGCTTGAAGAGCTCAGTGCCATAGTGCAGGGTCTCTTCAGGCGTCACCACATAGTTGACGACGCTAGGCGGACATGCAGCCATCAGACGCGGTTATGCAGAAGGACATAGTCACTCACGATGGCCGGAGTATGGAGAGGTTCTTCTCCACAAGCTTGAGAGGCGGGAATGGCGGGACGGCACCAGACGCGTTGCCTACGGCCACCAAGGTTCCTTTGCGTCTCAACAATTTGAAGTCATCCTCGAACCTGCGACATATTGAGCAATTGCACAAGAAAAAGCGTAGTTAAAGACGCACGTGTCCTTGCCGACACCATCGTAGACAACGTGCACACCCTCGCCATTGGTGATCTGCAGCGTTCGCTCGACTACGTTCTCCACTGGGTACAGAATAACGTGGTCCGCGCCGTACTGCTTGGCAACCCCAGCCTTCTCCGGGGTGGACGTTGTCCCGATAACAATCGCGCCGCGGTCCTTGGCGATCTGTGTGAAGATAAGGCCAAGCCCTCCGGCTACGGTGTGCACGAAGACATAGTCGCCCTTCTTAATGTTATATGCCTCCGTCGCGAACGTCAAAGCGGTCAAGCCTATGAAAACAAACACGATGAGACGTGATGCACGCAAGAGTTACTTGAAGAAAATCACCTTGCAGGAGGGCAGCACCTGCTGTCAAAAACGACACCGAATCCGGAACTGGGTATACTTTAAACCAAGGGACCGAGACGTATTCGGCATGCGAGTTAATTTGTAGCTGAGAGCATCTCGCGTTCACACAATGGATGAAATACCAACATGACGAGCACTTACCACTGCGACTTTGTCGCCAACTTTGAACCCGCGTTTTTTATATTGCTCGTCATTTAGTACTTTCTCGTCTGAGGGCAACGCAGCTACGGTGCCAGATGCCTCCATACCCAATACTAGTGGGAACTTGGGCGCCGGATACAGGCCCTTACTATAGACATCGCTCCAATGGTCAGCCTGGCACTAGGATACACTGCAGTACTGGACCCGACCGCGCGCTTACCGAAAATAAGTGTCGATGAAATTGACACCTCCATAGTGCACCTATGTCGAGGTTAGACACTACTTGGCGCTGCCGTCGTCTTGCTCACCTTCACGAGGACATTCCCCGGCACAAGCTCAGGGAACGGCACCGTCTTCTTCTCTAGCACGTCGATCTCACCATTCTTGTCGATGGCGATCGCTTGAATCGTCTGCGGGAAAGACATGCTGTTGTGCGCTGCTGCAGAATACGACAAGTGGCGAAGGATCTGTCCAGTGCGAAGAGATGCTGCCCGGGTGCCTGCCCGAAGAAATCCGGCCGCCGTCGATACAATCATCGGCTTATCAAGCTAGCGACAATGTTCGAGGGAGGTGACGTGCTTGGTCGACTTTTGTCCGTGGCCGGTCTCAGCTTTATTCAAGCCGAACCCGAAGCTTATTACTCAGATGACGTCTTCATATAGGATTTGGCTCAGTAATGAGCGTGTTTTCAGGCCAAGACAGTATTTGAGTGCTTGAGGTATCCGGTCTAAATCTTGGGCTACAAGTCGTGGTGACGTGCCAGTCATTGGTCCTGTGTCAAAAGACTGCCATTGCCATGAAATACAGTAGATGGGTGTATGAAGCGTGTGCTCGCTAGTACGTGGAAGGACTAGTACAGGTTGATGATGGGCGTCCCGGGCCGCGAACCCGAATTTGAAGTGAATTTGAAGGCTTCGTTCGTGCCATGATTGCTGCATTAACTCGTCGCTATTCTATCGACGGTCTTTCATTAACTCGAGCGGTCACACAGTCAGAGTATACATTATATAATGGTCAGCAGCCGGAGTCCATACGTCCATTAACAATCGAATGCATTACGACGAGGGGTCTGATTACGCTACAACATCAAAAGCCGCCAAAAGCATATCGTATATAAATGTCACCTGCTCCTCTTTCTGAACCATCCCCGGTCTCTGTTCTCTGAGCGCGTCAATCTCCTGTGCAATAAGGTCGTCACTGAGCTCCTTCGGTAGAGGTCCGAGCGGTGAGGGCGTGAGCGGATCCTGCTCAGGAGGTGTCGCCGCTGGTGAGAGGAAACCATACGCACGCAAGAGTGATGACACCGCGATGAACGCCCCAGTTCGCCCTACGCCCGCGGAACAGTTGACCATGATAGGCGGATCTGGGTCGAGGTCCACGCCCTGCGGTTGCGATGACAGATCACGGTTCGCCTCATCGACAAGGCGGACGAAATTGAGAAAACTGGCGCGATCCTCTGCGCTCGGAACTCCGTGGTCGGGCCAAGATCCATAAAGCAGGTGCTGGAAGACGACAGGTTCTGGCTGATTTGCGGATAGAGGCTCGATGGACACGGTACATTGGATGCACTGTGCGTAGTCAATCTCCTGAAACCGCACCAATGTGACTTTGAGTGGCGGTGTGAGACAACCTTCCTCGGGCTGGACAATCCATGATTGTCCCTCTAGTGGTGGAAAATACACGTGCGCCTTGCGCATCCCACTCTCGATGTTCTGTGTGAGCTGTACGACGGTGCGTACGCGGCTAGTCATGGATGCGGGTGAGAGGGAGGGGGAGGATCCTACTACACGGGATGCAGGCGGATGAGCAAGGGGTTCCCGAAGAGCACTAAGAAAGGCGTGCGCTGTGTTTGGCAAGGGTGCCTGAGTCGCAATCCACCACTTTCCCCCAGCCCGTTCCCGCACCCAATTCGCGTTGAGGTATCGCCCGCCATTAGGTGCGTTCTCCCCTTTCTCTACTCCACGATCGGAAATGACCACACGCGTGCGGTCGTACGGGATGATGTCCATGTAGCGATTGCAGGCCTCGTTATCAGGGTTGCAGCCCGCAGTGATAGAGTAGTGGTCGACATGGTCAGACTTGTCGGTGAAGGAAAGGCCACGAGAGAGTCGGCGTGTCTTGGATGGAATAGATCGCTGCCGAGATGTGCTGCGGGCACTGGCTCGAGCCTGTTCGCGCTGTAACAAGGTACGGATGACTGAGATGATATGTGAGGAGGACCGCGAGGATTTGAGCCATTCTGGCACTGCAGGACGGGGTGTAGCCATATGCATGGCTATATGCTGACCGCGATGAGTACAGTAGCGATGCACTGGCGAGGGATATTAAGCTCATGACTCACGTGACAAAATGGGAAAGAAACAGAACTGGGTGGTGCCTATCGGAGGCTCGAAGTGATCTCATTCGCGAATCAGTATGGAGGGAACTAGCATTTCCTTGATCAATGCAGAGACGAAGGTCAAGTGAGAGCATATCTCCCTCTTTCACCATCCGGCGTTGATCGTGTACCCAGAGTCAGCTCAACGCTCGATAAATCTGTCGGAAAGAAATATCTCACGGACGGAAGTCCGGAGACTTGCTGGACGTCGCAACAAGTAGCACACTATGCATTCACAGTGATCGTCGGAAGCCTGACATATATGAGCAGGGAACGCCTCAGTACATCCAGTTCAACTTCCCAGGCCCAGTGATTCCAAAGCAAGTATCAATCACTTTTCAAGGAGGATTCGTAGGGACGAGATGCGTCGTTGAAGTGCCGGAGGACCCAGCCATAGTACAAAGTAGCTGGAAGACCTTCACTGAAATATTTTCGGAAGACGTCAACCGCAAGCAAACATTTGATTTGACTCATGTCGTTCCAGTACAAGGCATCCAGGCCCTGCGTTTCGTTTTCCAGGAGAGCTCTGATTTCTTTGGTAGGATCACTGTGTATGATGTGCAGATAACAGGGAGTGTATTATCATAGCAGTATCCATCAATCAGCATGGAAGTACAGGAAGAAGAACAAGCTGTGGAGGTTGAAAAATACACGCTTCGATCTGAGCAACTCGCAACGCGAGACACGATCACTTGACCGACGCGACCGCTTGATTTGAGGACATACGCGTCATGAAGAAGTGAATTGCAAAATAAGCTAACACATCACATACGATACAGCAAGAAGTACAACGATCCTAGATCCTCACATCCCAGCGATAATCAATTGTCTGTAGATATAAAGAACCAATCCCGGCACCTCATTTTGGCACATCGAAAGCATTCCACGATGCGGTTATGATAGCCTGAAGTTTGGGATTCACGTCGATCCAGCGCCTACGACTCAGATCAACCTGGCCAACGAGACCAGCCGCGTTGGCACCGAACCCAAATGCACTGTCCCAACCCAGACCGACCGCAGCGATCTTGCAAATATGAGAGCTGCCAAGCCACCAGCGATCAGTTGATAACCACATACGCCTTAGACAATGGAGCATACCTGCTAGAACATATTGCGGCGCCAGGGAGAACACCGTCTACCTCTGGCCACAGGCCACCGAGGAGAGCGAGATCGACAATAGCGCCCCTCGTCAGTCTAATGCGCTCTTCCTCACTCTCTTTCGCAAAGTTTTCCTGGACGTACGCGTGCTGCGGGGCGAGCGCACGCAACTCTGGATTTGTGCTCAAATCCAGTGCAAAGACCGCCGTGGACGAAGGAAACGCCTTGATGTATTCACGCAATGCCTCTGGAGAGTCAGAAGCAAGATAGGTGATCGGCGGCGTAGGAAAGTGTGTGGAGTCATGTTTGGAGTCAGAGGATATTTGTGGTATGGGCGCATCTGGATATAATCGCGTCCAGGTATCGTGTGCTGCCTTGACATACACATCTAGAGGAGGGTCTGGTTGGCTGGATGTTTTTCCTGCGTGGATGTCGCCTTGTAGATGAACGCCAATGTATGGATCGTGATGCTGTGTAGACTCGGTATTATTCATGGAGAGGACTGATGCGATCTCGGAGCGCGCTGTGTGAATGAGCGTCGCAGTGTGCAGGTTTGGTCGGATTATTTCTCCGAACGACCGCAGCGCCTTTTTGAAAATCGACTTCCTGCGATTCAGACCGTAGCCGAACCTGGTAGAGGACCGGTCATCAGGTCTTTTTGCAATTAGAATTCTGTAGAACTATTCACCGGTCTTCAAAGGCCCAAGAGAAATCACGGCCCAGATGAAACGAGGCTGTTTGTGAACTCACGACCTGGAGTGGTCTCAGTGGTCTGCGAACATAAAGACATGCTTGACATGCTCACCCAATGCCTACAACAAGGTCAGCGGTTGATGAGCCTCAGCGAGATGCACGTCGACGTACCTAGATGTGCGAGGACATGCCACAAGCTCTGTAGATCACAATTTATAATAAGTCTGCGTTCGAAGGGCTCCTTCATTCACCTTCTGGTGGAGGGGGAACACAACCAAGGTCGGGGATTTGATATGAATTGATGATGGCTTGGAAGTGATCAGTCCATCTAGGAGCGGAATGTTGTGTTGGTACTGATGTTGGTACTGATACGTGATTTGTTCGTTCAACTTACTTTCCACGGTTCCAATGGGAATCATCAACAAAAAAGGCACTGCGTCTCTGTCTCGACGTCAGTCTGACATATCTCATGGTACCCTTGTATGATCATCACCTCTCGCGCCAACTGAGCCACTTGCGCCATCAATGCCAGGTCCGTTGCTAACCCGACATTACCGTCTAGTAGGTAAGTCACAGATCTCAAGCAAACACTAGGCTTTCCTGGCTGTTGTACTTGTTGCGGATGGGGGGCATCCAGCGGTCCCGTCAAAGGTGCAGCCCAGTAATCATTGTGACGCATGACAGTCCGCCCCAGATTCTCACATTCGTGTCGATATTGTGAGCCAGAGAGCGGGAAGTGGGTGTAATTAGCGTAAGAGATGAGCCTGTCTGCCGGTAGAGGTGCATCTAATATGTCCGCCAATGGGTCGTCGTCGAATAGGTTAAGTGGCTTAAACGCCATCATGAACATGGCGAGCATAGCGCACGCCATAAGTGAGGCAGACACGAGTAGGACTCTCCGCACCACCACGCCTAACTTTCCTGACCCGAACGGCGCCGACAGGATTTCATGGTCGTCCCCCCTACTCCTGTATCCAGGAGGGAATGCAGACCCTCCAGTCGGCGCAAGTAGACGTGCGGACTGCTGGTCGACAGGCGTCGCGGACAAGAATGACCCTTCCTCATCTTCGTCCTCCTCGTTCAAGTGCTGGAGTTCGTATTCTGTGAAGCCTTCCTCTGCGCGTCCCGACCGCGAGTGGGGTGTCCTGGGAGTGAGTACCTGCTGTCGAAAACGCTCTGGGGTTCCAGTCACAAACACGTCTCCTAGTGCCCGAGGACGGTTACTCCTGGGTTGAGGCATTGCAGAGCAAGGCCTGCTACGAATGGCTGAGGAGCTGAAGACCAGCAAACGGTGCTAAAGGAACATGGAAAGACTGAGCAGATGAGATCAATCTCATGGTCGCTCGGTAACCCTGTCCAACACAGGTTCAGCAAGCGCCTGCTCGACAATTATAGTTTGCAGACGCCCGTGTGTATATATTATTTCTTCAACTCTGTGAAGCTCCTTGACAAAAAGGGGTGTGATCGCTCGAACATACAAGGTAGACCGTGACGGGGCGTTAGAGCATAGCATAAATCTGTCGTTCAAGGTTCACCGTGAAATACCATTCCGACAAATGCGCGATGCTGAAGATTTGGCGCAGCTGTATTGAAATGCATTCGATATATAGCACGTTGAAAAATACAAAATAAAATACAAAATAATGTGAATGCGAGGGATGCGAGGACGTCTCAGGTCATGGTCGATTAGCTAGAGGTCCTGGACTTCCTGTCAGCTTTGTATCATTCTGACTCGCCTATGCGACTCACCCGTGCGACTTGATTCATGCAGTAAATAGGTAACGACGGCCGATAACTCTTGGGGTGCGATCGTATTCGCTCACTGCTCGGAAAGCTCAACGACCAAATTGACGTCGCATTCGCACCGCCTGCGCTTATTGCAGCTGTGTCGTGCCAATGCATCCTTTCGGCTGAATACCCTCCAGCATCCGCCAGTCACCACGACACCCTTGTACGTATAGTTTGTCGCGCCATCGAGTCCGTATTTCGTTGCTTCCTCGGCACGTACTCCACAGCAGATCCACTTACTCGCGTTCTGGTCGGCGCTGTGTGTGATGATGTGCCGCTCCAGGTCGTTATGTCGCTTAAACGAGTCAAAACATCCGGGGCACTGCAGCGTCGTTGACGCAAATGCGCGAGCGATTTGCTCGTCCGACAGGACAATTTGAGCATTTCGGGGAGAGGTGCGCTTGAGCGAGCGTGGTGGAGAATATGGAGAGGTCGACTTGGGAGAAGAGGTGGACCGATCGCGCCTCTTTCTGCGACGTTTGGGCGATGTGCGGGGATACGGGGCGAAGCGGTAGGTGTTGCCATCCGAAGCTTCACCGTCATTTCTTTCCTCCGCACAATCGGATGCATCTGAGCTGCTCGGGGAGAAGGAGATGGCGCCAGCGTCCCCCCTCTGCAACGGGATATCTGCTAATGGAGGTGTGGGAGCGACACTATCGAGAAGCGGCAGCTCATGCGCGAGCGACTCCGGAGAGGGCCATGCGTCAAGTGTCTCCGGCTGAACCGTGGAGTGGCAGGACGAAAGTTCTTCTTTTCCGATGGGACTGATGCACATGTCAACAATGTCCGCAATGTAGGCCATAGCAATGTAGACGTACTAAGATCCCGAGGCCCACGATTCATTCAGGAGGGGATAGTTCCCCAACATCCCCGCCTCAGCATGGCTGTCGAACTGGTTGTAGTCGACGAACCCAAACGTGAAGCCGAGCGACGATTGTTCGAAGCTTTCGAGTGGAAAGTCCCCGAGCGCGTCCAGCGCGTAATCGGAAACATACGAGCGGTGATCGTTGTTTCCTTCGCTAGATGCAGCGAAAAGGAGATCCGTATCTTCGTATACCCTTGCAGGGGTCTCAACGTATGCACTATACCCGTCAGATAGCGGGATAGCGGGAAACATCTCTGGGACAGAGTCCAGGACAACAGTGGGGCGGCAGGGTGCAGAGCAAAGTAGGCCATGCTACATCCTTTTATGCTAAGAGCGGCCATTGTCTCTAACGTCTGCGCGGAGTCGCCCTCACGCTGGTAGGATGAGAGTTGGAATATCACAGTGATATATCGAGTGCTTCCCAAATCTGGAAGGTCCAATGCAACGATTATCAGAGCGTAGTAAGCGCCGGCAGACAGTCCTTTGATTAGCACGGTGCAACCTCATCCGTTTCCGGTCAAACAACCCTATATCTTCCACCTCATGATGAGTGCATTGTCAAACAGGCTTCTGAGATACCTGCTCCAAAATCTGTACGAAGAGAAGGGGCTGGCATAGCACCGCCATTTCAATGGCCTACTTCAAAGTCCGAACCTAGGAGTGGCAAGAAAGAATGCAAGCTCGGGAGGTCGGGAAGTCAGCGCATGAGGGCAAATGAACCGTTGTACTGTTACCATAATAATATTATACATCGCGCACATTAAAGATAGTCGCAGTAGTGTGAACGGGTAAACGAACGCGATGCGGCTGGTATACACAAAGCCTCAGACGCGTCTGTGCTACACAAGCTCACGTGACCGCGTCATCAGGCGTAAGTCCTCTTGCGCGTTTTGTCTCACCTCTTGACTACGCGTACTACTGCCCCCCAGTGCGACCTTCTTTGTGAAACATCGCTATGACTGGGAAACTTGTGCTGGAGCTTCTGCGATCACTGTCTCTCTGCCCAAGACTCGGGCTTGGAGTGGCGACAATGTAATGTGCCAGTGGTCCCGACGTCATAGATGGCCCAAAGCTGGCAGCACGATTTGACCCGCTGCCTGCCCCTTCCCCTTCCTGACGCCCAACGTTGAGACGTTCAACCCCGACGACGATAATGCCCGCACAACCAACCTTCCGAGTCGCCTTGTACGGCGATGCCATCCTCACGAACCCAAAGTGGAACAAGGGCAGCGCGTTCACTACTGCTGAGCGCAAGGCCTTTGATCTGACAGGCCGCCTGCCGTACCGCGTCAATACGCTCGACGAGCAGTGCGACAGGGCGTATGATCAGCTGCAATCGCGCGAGTCCCCGCTCAGGAAGAACTCCTTTCTCCAGAGTCTAAAGGATCAGAATTATGTCTTGTACTACGCATTGATATCGCGCCATCTAGAGGAGCTGATACCAATCATCTATACTCCAACTGAGGTAGGATTATCATAGTCTTGATGACCGTACTGGATAGACTAAAGACCGTGTGGTATGTGTAGGCGGAAGCCATCTCGAATTACTCTCATTTGTTCCGGAGGAGCGAAGGGCTATACCTCACCTTTCCACACCAAGACTCAATGGAAGAGGACTTCTTGGAGCAAATCAAAGGGAGAGATATAGATCTCGTTGTCTGCTCTGACGCCGAACAGATCCTTGGCATCGGTGATCAGGGTGTTGGGGTGCGTTATGCGTGTAGCTTTTCCCTACACGATTGGAATGAGCTGACCGTTCGCGCATGCGGATAGGGTATTGGTGTAGGTGGTCCTGCATGTCCCGGAACAGGATATGGGATTCTGACAAGCGCCCGCAGATCGCGAGTGCCAAGGCTGTGATATACGCGTATGTACTCCATCTACTTATACATACATGTTGACGGGCTGAGGAAAGTGTTCAACAGTCTAATTGCTGGAGTCAACCCATCAAGGACTCTCAGTATTACACTTGACGTAGGAACAGACAACGAAGAGCTGCTCAACGACCGTTTGTATGTCGTGAGTATCATTCCGTTTTGTGAAGCGATGCATGCCAACAATGGATCAGGGATGGCCTCATAAACGTGTCCGCGGAGAAGATTATGATCGTTTCATAGACAAGTAATAAGTCGTGCAGTGATGCGTGCGTGCACATATGCTAACCGGATACCCAGGTTTGTACAGCTAGTACGGCAGTACTTGCCGCACAGCCTATTGCATTTCGAGGATTTCGGCGTCAACAACGCAAAACGCCTCCTGGACCTGTACCAAGACAAGCATGCAGTGTTCAACGACGATGTGTACGTATACATCGGACTGCTCACTCGCACGCGCTAACTGCACAATCGCAGACAAGGTACGGGCGCAGTGACGCTCGCCACCCTCATGTCTGCCGTCGGCGTGACCAAGTCGAAGCTGTCCGACCAGCGCATCGTCGTCTTCGGCGCAGGCACCGCCGGCCTCGGCATCACGCGCCAGGTCCGCGACGCGATGGTCACGCTCGACGGGCTCTCCCCCTCTGAGGCCAACAAGCGCTTCTACCTGCTCGACCGCTGCGGGCTCGTCAAGGCGTCGCTCGGGCGCGACCAGATCCGCGCGGGGCTCGAGGACTTCGTGCGCCCGGACGCCGAGTGGGCGGACGCGCAGGCGAACGCGCGCGGCGAGGTCGGGCTGCTCGAGGTCGTGCGGCGGGTCCGGCCGACGGTGCTCGTCGGGTGCTCGACGGTCGCGGGCGCGTTCGGCGAGGACGTGGTAAGGGAGATGGCGCGCGGCACGGCGCGCCCGATCATCCTCCCGCTGTCGAACCCGAGCAGGCTGCACGAGTGCACGCCGCAGGACGCGAACGACTGGACGGACGGGCGCGCGCTGCTCGCGACGGGGAGCCCGTTCCCGCCGTGCAAGATGCCGAACGGGAAGGACTACATGTGCGTGCGCCGATGATGTGATGATGGTCCCGCGAGGCGCCGTGCTGACCCACTACTCGTTCTTCTTTTCAGCATTGCAGAGTGCAATAGTACGTGTGCCCGCGCGTTCTTTTTCTTTGCGTGCAGTCCGCTTATTGTTCACCGACGACAGACGCGCTGATCTACCCCGGGCTCGGCTTCGGCGCCATCGTGAGCAGCTCGCGCGCGCTGACGGACACGATGATCATCGCGGGCACGCAACGCCTCGCCTCGCTCGCGCCCGCGCTCAAGGACCCGGACGACGCGCTCCTGCCCGACTTTGGCAGCGCGCCGGCTGTGAACTTCGAGGTCGCGGTGGCGGTGGCAGAGCAGGCTATCAAGGAAGGCACGGCGGGCGTCGATTGGAAGGTGGAAGAAGTGCGCGAGAAGGTGAGAGACAGGCAATGGCGGCCTATATACGGGGAGTATGTGTATGATCCCCAAGGTGAACGTTGATGGGCGAATGGTGGGTGATTGGAATAAGTGGAGTTCGTCGTTTGCTTTGATGTACATCAGGATATTGCTTGTCTTGGTCTTGGTTTTTGGGCACTCAAATGCATGGTATCACAAAACGCACTGGCAATAATGGAACAAACACGCGCATCGAGAATTACAACAGAAGCGGTATTAGTGTACCGATACATGTCATGCCGCTGAAATCTGACACCAAGAACCGTTTATACGGGAATAGTACACTAATAACCACCCAAAGCACAAAAGAGGGAGGGGTATCATGGTCGCCACATGAAGCGACTCGTTTGGGAGGCAGTCACTATCAAGCGACAAGTTGACCCCTGAGCCCATCGCCTCTTCTCGTCGCGGCAACACCGCGGAAGATTACAACGATAAGTGCGAGGGTTATGAGGATCCTGCGGGAAGAATAGCGTTAAGGGACTTGATATTCCAAGAAGAGGGCGGTACGCACCATTCTATCCACGCGAAAGCCTCCAGAGCGTTGAGCTGACCGCAATATGTATAGTTGAGGCTACGCGTCGTCGTCAGTCACATCTCTTCGGGCACAGAAAACGGAAGTTCACGCACTTGCAGTCAAGGCCCCCACCCAGTGCGGCCGTGATACTTGCGGCGGCGGCAACCCACAGGACCCAGGTGATGAACAGGCTGTGTGCAGATCAGGTCAGCTTCTGTGAACATGCTTCTCATGTAGCAGAACGCGACGCACAATACACCATGGCTGAGCACGCTGGTGGCGACGGAACCGTTTGCCGCGGAGTGCAAGAAGAGGGCGAGGTAGAACAGGCCGAAGAGGACGGTCCACGCGGAGACGAAGAGGATGTAGTGAGTACGGTCGCGGACGGAGGTGTTGAGGTAGTTGTGGTGGCGGTTATACACGCCTGTCAGCCAGCCAGAAATCGCGATCTACGAGGGCGCGAAGGTGTAAATACACCGGCGAGCGGCGACACAGGCGACTGCACGCACCTCGATGAGACCAAAACCGACGAGGAGGCCGAAGACGACTGGAGAAAGTCCGTCAGACACGCGTCGAACGAGAGCGCAAAGCACTCACCGGGGTGTCCCCTGCGTATATGGTTATCGACGTTGGGCATCTTGCAGATCGTGAGGAGTGGGTCGTGAGCAGGCGTAAGGCGTTCGCGATGGTCGTGAGGTCGTCAGGGTAGACGGCGAGTGGGAAAGGGAGTTGGAAGAGGTAGGGAAGCGAGGAGGGGCAGCAGGCGGCTGGCTGTGAAGAAATAGAGGAATGGACGCGCCATTCCCGTAATACGCCCGCCCAGAGCTGCGAGGCCCCGCGTGACGTCACCTGCCCCCGTCATTGCCGCATGGGGCCGCCAGTCAGACGCTCTTACGCGGGCGCGGGCGCAGTGCCGGGTTGTGTGGTGCGAGCTGCCTCTATAATCGTCGATGGACTGTTGTCTTGACTTTGCCACAGCTTGCCCAGACACGCTCCGTTATGTCCGCGTGCGTTTGCCGTCGCAAGCCTCAGGCCTAATTAATGTGGTTGGGTAGTCGCCGTTTGAAGTCGGTTCGACTGCAGCTGTGTGACTAAATCCCAGTGGCAACACTGGTGCCGACTACGTCATCGGTCCCAATAAATATAATGCAAGACAACAAGACAACAGGTGCATCTACTTCTACAATGCATCTACGCACTGCGCGCACTCTACGCGGCATCTAGTGCAGTCCATCCTGGTCGTAGGTGTAATCCGCATACACGGGCTGCCACATGCCCGACACGACGTGCTCCCGCACCTCGTCCTTCTTCCACAGCACGTCCGCGAGCCCCTCCTCGATCGCCTGCTCCGCAACCGCAATCGCGACCTCCGTGTTCACGTGCTGCGCCTCCGCAAAGTCCGGCAGCAGCGCGCTGTCCGGGTCCTTCAGCGCGGGCGACAGCGACGCGAGCCGGCGCGCGCCCGAGATGATCATCGAGTCGCTAAGCGAGCGCGCCTGTGTGATCATCGCACCGTAGCCAAGTCCAGGATATATGAGTGCATCTGTCGCAGCCAGTCAGCATGGCACCGCAGGCAAGAGACACGCGATACGCACTGTTACACTCCGCAACGCTAGTGAAACGGCCATCGCTGGTCAGCAACACGTTCATCCCTGGGGAGCACAGAACTCACATATAGTCCTTTCCGCCCCGCGGGTTCTTGCACGGCGGGAACGGGCTCCCGCTCGCCATCAGCGCCTTCCCGTCCGTCCAGTTGTTCGCATCCTTCGGGTCGACCTCCGCAAGGCGACTGGGATTCGACAGCGGGAAGATAATCGGCCGGTCCGTGCCGTGCGCCATCTCGCGGATGACCTTCTCCGTGAACGCGCCCCCGCGTGTCGAGCATCCGACGAGCACCGTCGGCTTGATCTTGCGCACGACGTCAAACAGCCCGATCTCGCCCTTGTCATTCGTCGGCACACCCGTCCACTCGTCGTCCGGCCGTACAAACTCGTGCAGGTCCTCACGGATCTTCGAGGGCCCAAGCGATTGGCGCACGAGCCCGTACCGGTCCATGAGGTAGAAGCGCTTGTTCGCGTCCGCCTCTGACATATTGTCGATCTGCACCATGGCGTCGCGCAGCTGGCGGGTGATACCGAGCCCAGCCGTGCCTGAGCCATAGATGACAATCCGCTGGTCTGCGAGCCGCGACTTGGTCACGCCGACTGCGGTGAGCAGCGCTGCCAGCGACACTGCACCAGTACCTTGGCTAGGAAGATACATTCATGAGCTGAGACGTTTGGAGGCAATATTACATGCACGTACACGTCGTCGTTAAACACCGCGTGTTGGTCGCGATAGTAGTCAAGAAGCCGTTTCGCATTAGTGACACCGAAATCCTCAAAGTGAAGGAGGCTGTGTGGGTGGTATTTCCGTACAAGCTGCACGAACCTATGTCCTCCACGTCAGGAGATGATAAACTTGCTAGAGCAATAAACTCACTTGTCGATGAACTTATCATATGCCTTCCCACGTACACGGCCGTTTGGCCAGCCCTGACGAAGTATAAGCAAGACAGTCATTCATAGAACCACAAGACACTGACAACGTAGAGATCGTCGTTCAGCAGGTCCTCGTTGTCCGTGCCTACGTCAAGTGTCACACTTATCGCCTTGGATGGGTCAATCCCTCCAAGCAAGCTGTTACCCTGGTCAGAAGCGATGGCCGTGATGACTGAGGTTAACTCACGTATAGATAGCCGATTTGGCAGTTGCAATCTGTTCGAGGGAACGCGAGGTCAGACAACGACCATTCTTGCTTCACGAGAATCTGCAACTCACACCAATACCCTGAATGCAGCTCATTCAATCAGTGTGAGGCGCATCGCAAGGATGTCGGACGAACGCACCCCTACTCCCTGGTCGCCGATACCAAGGATCGCTTCCGCGTCAGAGCACACGAACAGTTGGATGTCGCGACCCCGGGTTTGTTCCAGGAAGTCTTCCTCCATCGTGTCTTGGTTCGGGAACGTCAGAAACATTCCCTCGCTCCGCCGGAAGAGGTGTGAGTAGTTCGCGATTGCATCCGCCTGACACACGACGCCATCAGCACAAGAGTTACAAGGAGTGTATGCACAGGGCGGTCAAGCACGACGCGTCTGGAAGCATCGGCAACTGGACCAGGTCAGCGAGCTGCCCTCGCGGTCCCTGCTGTTGCCCGAACCCGCCCTACATTCTATCGACGGACGAAAGCTCACCTGCGTCGGCGTGTATATGATCGGGATGAGCTCCTTCAGATGTCTGCTTAGCAGGCCATAGTAGAGGGTCCAATTCTGGTCCTTGAGACTCTGAAGGAAGGTGTTCTTGCGAATGGGCGTGTCACGGGTGATTAGCTGGTCATATGCGCGACGGCACTGCTCTTCAAGGGTATTGGCGCGGAAGGGGAGGCGTCCGGTGAGACCAAGGGCTTTGCGCTCGTGGGCGGGGAAGGCGGTGCCCTTGTTGAAGCGGGGATGGGTGAGGATGGAGTCTCCGCGGAGCGCGACGCGCAGGGCGCGGGTCGCCGGCGTCGACATGGTGTTGGAGGGGGGAGAGGATACAACTGTGATGAATTTGACGGGGACATTGGGAAACTATATATACACGTCTGTCGAGGGACAGAACGTGCAAGGAGAGACAAGAGACGCCATGACGCTTTGGCTGCATTGGGCCCCTGGCTGGGTCACACTCCACGCGAGCCGAGGTGTGCCGTCTCATCACTGCGCAGTGCCTCCAGAGCAGTCCCCCCATGCCATAGACCTTTTCTTTCTCCTTCTTCGCGCGCAACCCCTTCGAGCCCCTTCATAGACGACTACACCGCCCTGTGCAAGCGCAAGGTACACCCACTCTTATTCCGAATTCTCTCAACACGCCCCCCGACATGGGGCGCTGGACACAGTATGACGAGGTGACCAGCACAATGCGCTCCCGCTGCATTCAGTCCACCCGCTCACATTCAGAGTCTCTTCTGCCTTAGGATGAGTACCGCCTCCCCGAGGGCATGAAGCGGGTCGGCTACGACGCCGATACCGCAAAGTATTATTTCCGCGACAGGGACGGCACGCTCTGGGAGGGCCCCGAGGGCGCACAGTTTGGCGAGATGAGACAGGGTGAGTCTTGAGTCTTGTTCTATTGTCATTTTCCCCTTCTGTCATCGCCTGGCGATGCGCGGGGGTGTACAGCACACGGCACCCGCGCACAGGCACAATAGGCTCACCACGATGTCCGTCTGATAGTCTCGAACGCACCAATCGCACTAGACGATCACGACGAGCATGCAGACGACCTCGAGGCTGCACCGAGTCGTGCCGATGGCTACCAACCCTTGGCCAGTGATCCTGTACGTCCCGCCCCGTTCATTTGCCCATTCCGTCAACTAACGGCCGGCTCTCCACCTTTCCTTTTCGCGCACTGTGCCTTCGACTGACAAATCTTGTGTGTGACTTGTCGACGCTGCGATAGAACCAACGCGGGCACTTCGCAAGCAGCAGCAGTTCGCATGCATACCGCATGCTCTTCCCTTTCTTCCTCCTCATCGCAGTCGTGCTCCTTCTCGTCATCCGCCTCGTCTACTACGGATCGCGCACGGACCCCAAGCAGCCAGACGCGTCGCTGTGCCCCGGTACCAGCGAGGCCGTGTTGGTGCACGAAGGGGATACGTGCTGGAAGCTGGCGCAGTCCCGTAATCGAACGGTTGACGAGCTCATGCTCGTGAACCCCGGTTTGGACTGCAATGGGTTGATGCCGGGCCAGAGCGTGTGCTTGCCTTGAGTTGACGAAACGCGAATATACGCGTAATGGGCGACGATCTTGTTTCGCTACACAGTGCTCCCGCATACTACTGAGTTCTCCCGGATGATCTTTTCACGCTGTATCATAGCTTATTTTCCACAATGCAGGGATGTCCGTCATGACCGATAGCATCGTGTGTTCCATGCATACTCAGCTCCGTGAACCAACGCATGAGAGTTAATACAGCGAGCAAGAGCAAGCGACAGATCATTCCATGCACATTCCATACCTCTTGGCGAACCTCAATCAAGCACGTGTACTAGGCGGGCCAATGTAGACTGTACGAGGCAAGCCTGTCTCAAACATCAAGATTGCGAAAATCATACGAAAGATGAAATGGTTGACCCGCGTCAACGATGAGCTGGGGCGCCTTAGAGACCTCACCTGTCTTCGATTCTACCTGCGTTGGCCACGCCACCCTGCTCACTTTGTCCGCGCCCGGCATCTTCTCGTCCTCGTACACGCCGACGCGTGTGGCGTGTAGGACTGGCGTATGCGTGCGCACGTGCATGCTGTAGTTCGCGTCGACGACCAGCACCTCGTCGTCGAACGCCTCTACGGCCTCGATCTCGACGATGAGTTCGCCCGCGCGGTGCCCGGTGCGCCACTGCACGCGGCTGAGCTCGGCGTCGCTGAGCAGCAGATCGGAGTCGATCTCGAGGAAGGCGGCCAGCGAGCGTATGCTGAGCATCAGGCGGGAGACGGAGACGGACGAGACGGAGAGGAGGAAGCTGCACGGACGGTCAAGATCCTCTTCGTATAGTGCGGCACTTGCGTCGACTCACTTGGCGTATAGCGCCGGGATCATGACCTGGAAGACTTTCAGCAAACGTATCGTGATCCGAGGTTCTCAGAGAATCTCACCGAAGGGTCGTGTTGCAAAGCACCAATAGTCGTGAACGCTGCCGAGGCTGTTAACGGTGTCTTTGTGAGTAAACAATGTCTCGATTCGTTGAAGGACTAAGATCTCACCGAACACAGGTACATAGAATATACCGCCACTATAAAGGTTTCATTAAGCGTGATGGCGGGCGGCGGCAGACACAATTAGCACTCACTCTTTGAGAAGACGGTTCATGAGCGGGGAACGTGTCCCGTGCCGGCGCATCCAAAACGCAGGCCATGTAGTAGCAAGATATAGTACGGTATGTAAGATAAGGTTTGGGAGATATATTCGCCAGACGCGGTACGAAGGCGGAGCTGAGCATCCCGGGTTGCTGATACCAGGCACAGGGGGAGAAACCTGCCGAAAGTCTGCATAGATAGTCTTGAATAGCACAATAGTCGTGATGAGGGTGGCGAGGAAGAAGGCGAGGATAAACGAGCGGGCGATCGGGCGGTTGGAGAACATGTACCAGATTCGGAGGACGATGATGGCTACGGAAAGCTCTGTGAGCCGTCCGCGTGATGGCACGACGTGTACACACCTTGGACGACAGCGATGCCGATGTATCCCATGATGAAGACAGCCGGAATAGCCTTCGAGCAGCTTTTTAAGTGTTCGGTAAATAAGCCCCTCGGCTACTTCATAGCGTGCGATGCACTTACAACTGCAAGTATCGCAGTGAGATCTTTTCATCAAGTCTATTCAATAGCCGAAAACTCACCTCAGCTGTCAGGTGGGGTACAAAGAGCACTGAGATAATGCATGAGAATAAGGACATCGCTAGCATGGACTATGCGACTGACGGAGGAGGCTCCACCTGTCGCAGCGGACTGGTCAATTCTTCAACGCAGAATATTTACACGGCAATACGACTCACATCATGACAAATTGTGAGAAGTAGCGATTCTATTCGGTGAATGTCACGACGAGTTTCATTAAGTGCGATATCGGAGGTGCGCTCACAAATAAGAATAATACGCGGGAAGCGGACCACGGACCGGTCCAGAAGTATTGAATCTAGGCAACTGCAGCATAAGCGTCCTCGCCTGATGGTACGACAGACGACGTACCTCCTGGGAAAGCGTCAAGAAGTAGTCATATCCTAGGAGCACTGCAGATGCAAGAGCGAGGTATCTCGTTTTTTGCACACCATCGAGTAATGCGAGCAATTCCTCCAGCTCGTTAAGTGGAATGGCTGCCATGAACGCATAGCCCTCAAGTGAGTGTGGGAGGGAGAAAGGAAATCCGCATAGCGATGAAGGGCCCATCGCTATAACCGCTCCTGCAGTTACACCCGGCGTTTGATCTTTTATGATGTGTAGCCAGGAGGTTGTGGCGCGCTCACATCAGTGGCGCCAACACTGGCCTATCACGGAGTATGGCGCAGCATCTCTTGGAAGGCTATATGCGTCCGCTGAAGCATCGAGGTGATACACGGCGAGGTGCCGAAGGCTATGCATCGACATCGCGACAGAGCCCCAGTGATGACCATGACAAAACCTTCAATATTTGAATGCCGAATACCAAATGCTCAAGTCGGAATGGTGAATCAAAGCGTATTGTTTCCATCAAATATCAATGACAGATATTGGAGTCTGTCATGATCGGGAAGAATCAGACTAGGCCCATATGTTGAGGTAGAACGTACAATCTTACCTAGACTTGTGACGCATCCAAGTCGCGAGGAAAGCACCTAGGAACATACGATATCAGGAAAGCTGGTGGACGGAAGCGCTTGGAGAACTCTTTAACCCCTGCATATAAATGGCGAATCTTCCAACAAGGAGGACTACAAAGAGGGGCTTATAACCGAATCCAGAGCCTGCTTGAAGGTCTACTCCCTAATTACCCCTGGACAATGTCAGTCATTCAGGAATTCCCAAAATCGACTTCGTACTCACGAGTCAAAATACGCAACTGCGCATATGAGCCCTACACCAGTATGCTTCGTCGCATGCTGCAGTAATACCAAAGCAGAGGCTCGAAGCTTAGAGTATACACCGCTTGTGGAGGCCTTCATGCCGTCGGCGTTCCGGAAATGCAAAGTGCCAGTCAGGATGAGTCAGAGTGGGGCGTCGTGGTAGTGTACCGCAACTTGCAAGGGAGCCATGGCATGAGGGCCCGACACCGTGGATCACAGCCAGCAGAACCAAGACAGCGGGAGAGGGAGTGGTGACGGTGTTTTGGTATTTGACTCATGGCCCAGTCACACGCCCGTGAGCCCGACGTACACCGCCGCCGCCCATGTTTTGTCCTTGCTCCCCGTCGATAGTGACGCATACATGTTGGATTGAGTGCAACACTGCTGCCCTTCGGCATCCTATGCAGAGAGAATGTTATAGATGCTAGACGCTCTACTTTCGCCCGCCACAAATTCGTCATTGAGATACTGCATTAGGGAATTCACGCCCAGGTACACATTTCATACATGTCACATTACACACATGAGGCGGTTTTACAGGATACGAGTTCAGGAATACAGATAGGTAACACGGAGGTGCGAGAGTGAAATCGATCCATGGTAATTGGCCACCAGACGTGCCCAACAACCGGGTGGATTGGGCGCAAGCTTGCCGCTAGAATAATCAGGTAGTGCTGGATGCTTCGACTAGATGTTCAAGGAACCTCGAGGTAGACGTAATGGCCAGACGTCTCGATGATTGCGCGCGCAGCCGCGGATCGCCCAGAAAGTCATCGCCGAAAGTAGAGCGGCGAAACGACGAACTACTGGATGAGCTAGTAGTGGCTCCAAACAGACTAGCGGGAAACAGTGTCTCGACGAAGGCAATGGGTATACATCGGGCTTGCTGCGCGATCTTCGCCCAAAATTGCTTCATAGAGCTGTTGAACGCCTCCAGTCGCAGCTTCTTGACGAGGGCCTTGGAAGATTCCAGTGTAGCCGCGAGTGATCTACCACTCAGAATGCTTAGTGACGAGTCTGCAGTAGCCAGCGCAAGCAAAGGTGCGAGTCGCCTGAACCTGCTCTTGCTCATTGCTTGCTCCGGTCCTGCCCGAATGCCTAAGCCGTAGGAGTTGCCCAAGCCTGTCGGTGCGCCCAGGAAATCCATTAGCGCCCTATTTGCAGCGTTGCTCTCCGCGGGTTTGATGTATGGCTCTTTCAGACGCTGCCTACGCCCGCCGTCATTTGCCTGATACCACACCTTGCAGGCCAACCACTGGCGCTCGCAGGAAGCACATTGCTGACCACTTTCGGGCACGATAAGGCAGCAGTCCTCACAGATAGGGATCGCAGGGACCGGTAACGGGGAGCTTGAAGGTGCCAAGGGGGTGAATTGCCTAGAGGTCGCTTCGGCGAACTTGAATACCGTAATTGGTGACTGAGGAACGAAGACAGGAGAAGCGGGCATTTGAGGTGTAGGAATAGTGAGCATGAGAGAAGGGACAAGCGCAGTCTCAGTTGCTCCGTGATGAAATTCGCTCAAGTTGCTAGGAGGCGGCAGAACTGGTTGACAAGTGACATTGTTACCTTGACTGATCAGGTTCTCTACGCCGGTCTGTGATGGCGGTATCTCGCAACCAGAACCCTTGCAAGTACGTTCTGTGAAGGAGTAAACATCATCGTGGTATGAACCGTACTGACCTGGAAGATTTTGTCGAAGATAGCGCCCGACTCGGTGTCCAAAACCTGCATGATCGTCTTGAACCGCTCAACGACAGGTTCAGTGAAGTGAGACTGGGCAGTGATGTACAACGAATCACTGCAGCTGTCCTCGGTGTCCGTCGAGACCTGACAGCGGATCAATGCCAGATTCACGAAGATGTCATGAATACATACCGGGTCTTTGACCTGCGTTTCCCAAAAGCCATCTGATACGCAACGACGGCGGAAATGCGGGGTGGAGGGTCCATAACGAGCGTGTGCCCAGACCCCATCTCGAGCTGGGCATGACACAATGCGAGTCCGTCGACGCAAGCGTGGTTTTGCACTCGATAGTACTTGAGGCTCCGTCACTTCAAGCTGCTATTTTTATTTCTTAAGCAACTATTGCAAGCTGCCATCATGCATAACAGGCACACCTTCTCGGACGCGCAGGCGACTTCGGAGATAGATCGGTGCTGGGAGTATTGACATGAGACTGGTAGCAGAAAAGCTACGGCGCAAGCGATGAAGCACCTTCATCGTCCTGTATGATCTAAGTGTTCTTCTGCTAGATAGGGATCCATCATGTGTCTAGTGTACAGAACGTGTGAGTGTCATGCGACTGCCATGAGAGAGAAATGAAACCTCGTTTGTTCGTTGCTGAGGTGTCTCTGAAATTGCATTCACAAGGCACTGTGTGTAACAAGGCATGATAGGTGGATTGAGGTAACCGAAGGTATGCTGCTTCAAGGCGCACCTCCTGCGTTCTGCTTGGCTTGATGAAGGAGGTCATCGATCTGACCCTCGCCTATATGTCCCAAATGTGTGTTATACCATCTAAGCATGTCTGCATACATGAGCTTCGTACCTGAGGCCGCGCAAGCCCATTGGGGTTACGCAGAACTCTGGGTGAGCCTACCACCACTGTGCTACGTGTGAAAATCGTAAATCGTCACGAGCTGTCCTTCACTACGTACCAGACCTGTACTGGCAGCATACCCATCGCTTTGACTTCGGGAACTTGGGTGTCTACAGGAATACACTTGTCTATCAGCACACCACGGGATTGCACTATCTGAACAGAATACGAACAGGTCGGGGCTTGACCACCGTGTTCAAGAATCGGCGAGTCCTCTTGAGAGTGCTGCGTAACATACCGTCCGCTTCACATGGAGCACTATCTGAGATAGTGAGCGCAGCCGGGGAATGCAGATCGTGAGGGCGGATCAACAGTTAGCTGTGGCAACGTTGTTCAACGCCAGCCACTGGCAGCCTCCTGTGCTATTTGTCCTTGTTTGGTTGTAGTTCGTTCATCAAGCGGTTCTGAGACCTACTACCTCTATTACTGTCACTTGAGCATACGTACCCAAATCGACTATACTAGAGAGAATAGAATCGAAATGAGCAGATGTGGTAAGATTCGCTGAGGGGTCAGCAGAGATATCTCAACTATCAGCCTCAATGATCATGGTACGGCAACCTTCACGTTAGTCCTCCTCTTGAGATTCAGTGTGCCTAGTACTAAAAGTCTCGCTTTGCTTTCTATTCGTTTTAGAAAACCTCTCGAAAGATGGCAGGGTCCGGCGTGTTATTGCACATGGCTCAAGCAAATGTACACACGAATGCTCTACATATTGATACTTTACACGATCGCAATCAGACCTACGTATATTTACATACAAAGCTAGAGATACAGATGGTTAGCAGACTGTCTTCTAGCTTCTTACTCTTCGCCCATCCCGAGCGTTACAATCGTGTAGACATTAGCTACCACGATGATGAGCCACATGATCCAGCCCAAGATCATCATGATCCATCCGTTAGAGCAGTCGATCGTGTCTTCCACCGCCTCTTTGGGATCGCTTACGCAAGCGGCGCTGCTCTGATCTGGATGAAATACTACACTGCTGACCTCGCCATCCGAATTTTGGACGGCAGGTTTCTTGACACTCATGAAGCGTTTCGAAGAGGTGATGTAAATCAAGGGATAGACAACGAATGGAAGGACGATAGATAGGACCACCTGAGAGATGACCAAGAGCGCGCTGATACCGGGTTTTCCAAGACCAGCGGCAACCACCATAGAGGGGATGAGCCCAAGACAGCGGGTAAGCAGGCGTCGCATGATAGGCTGTTGTACGACCGTTATTCACGTTTAAAGGCAGCATTTGCGTAGTCCAGTAGACTCACCGACATGTGCCAGTTGATGAACCCTTCTGATACTGTTTGACCGGCGAGCGTGGCTATGATGGAGGAGCTTTGGCCTGATGCCAGAAGAGCCAGTGCAAAGAGAGTGGCTACCGCTGAACGGATAACATGAGACAACGCGAAGACAACAAACCACAAAACACGTACGTGTACCCAGGATCTGCTTCAGCAAATCATATGCATCGAAGAGGGTGGCGGGAGATTCATTTCCCGTCTGGCCGAAGCCGTAGTAGAAGGTTGCACTTGCCAGTATCAAAATCCTAAAATTCGTTGTCAGCGAACATCCATTTGACGGACCACCAACGCTTCTATAAACGTACATTGCATTGATGACGACGGCGATACCAATGAGACTGATGCACATGTCCACTATACCATGATACAAGTGCGTATGAACGAACGCCCATGAGTGATTCTCCCACTCAGTATGGTTCTTTGCATCACCGGCAGGGCCCGCGATCTTGGTCACCGAAAAGCAGCTCTGCAAGAACTTTGCTGTGCCACGTTTTACGCCATTCATCGTCCAGCATCGACGTGAGACCTCTTGCTCAGGAACCGCCGGCGTAAGGTCCTCGCTGTCGTCTTCCTTGGTCTCCGCAATTGAGATGGACTCGATAGACTCAATGGACTCATCGGCCTGATCCTCATGAGACGTTTCGCGCTCCTGTGTAGAAAGGGCAGAGCCAAGGAAGAGACTGTGTGGCATAACAGTAGCACCAAGAATACCGATAGCTTTGGAGCGATCGTCAGGACCCGAAGCAAAGGCAGGTGTTAAGGGAACGTACACGTGTACAGTCCGCTGGCGCTCACTACGTCCTTCGAAGGAACAAACCCGAAAAAGGCCTCGCCCCAGTGTACACCAGACCTGGAGATGATAATGGCCATGCATATCAAGACAGTGAAGACCTGTCATCCCAAACCTTTCAGTTGGATGTCACTCATTACAAAGAGTGCATGAAACATACCAGAGCTGCTACGATGATCTCGAACATTCGTACTGGCTGCGCACCAAGGGGATTCCGCATAGCGAGGAGGAAAAGCACGTCAGAGGCGGTGACCAACACACCAGCCCACAGAGGTAACTTTGGGAAGAGCAAGTTGAGGGCTATCGCCGAGCCCAATAGCTCAGCGAGATCAGTGGCAATAATTGCCACTTCTGCCAGTACATATAACGGATACAGCACGAGCCATCGCCAACGGAGGGTGTGCTTTGGGCGATCATGAAGCAAAAGGCGACAGTGTGTAGCAAGATCTACGGCAGGGTAAAGATAGGTTGTTGTCTATGTCAGGCACACTGCAGAAGACATACCTAGACCTGTTACGCAACCAAGACGGGAAGAAAGCACCTGCGGACAGCTTAACATTTACGCGGTTGGCGATATAGCGGTGAGATACTTACCTGCATGTAGACAGCGAACAGACCAGAGACAAGGACCACGAAGAGCAACTTGTAGCCGAATTGGGATCCTGCCTGAAGGTCGACACCCCAATTTCCCCTGGGCGTGGTGATATTAGTGCGATCGTCCACGACGATGAACGGGGGCTTACGGGTCAAAGTAAGCGACAGAGCAGACAAGGCCGACACCAGTGTGCTTCGTCGCATGCTTGATCACGACCGAAAGAGAGGTCCGCAGCTTTGAATAAAAGCTGACGGAAGAAGAAGTCATGGCAGGGAGCTTCTGCAGATGGTGGGAGGGCGAGCTGGGGGAGGCTGCGGGAGAGAAGGTGACCGGTGATGGTTTATAACAGAGGCTCAGAGAAGTCTGCAAGGCCCTTACCATATTCACGGCCTCGGACAGAACCAAAGGAGCGGTTGAGGTAACGGCGTTCTGGTACGCGACATCCCAAACTCTACTCACGCGCCGGCCGCTATAGCACCGACACAAGGGTTCTCAGCCATGCAGCCCGACGCCTCTGCGACAACTACCTGAAGCGTGGCCGCAACATGACAGAGGAGTCGCCGCTATCCTCAGACACAACGAGGCCGGTTTCTTAGTTGTGTACCCATATTAGCGCGCGTCCCATATCCATCTTTGGTCCGCCGCGGTGCGCTTCGGCGGTTACCACATTAGGAAACGTACACCCGGTTCCATAAGCATGGAAATCGCACGAGGCTGGTACCAGAAACGAGTCAATGGGTTCACTCACGCATGAGAACCCGCCCTGACAGTCTTCCGACATCGGGCTGATACGTTACTTGTACATGAACCGAATGAGTATGTTCCACCACCAGTCTGACGCCACCTGGCATACTGCCGGTAACCAAATTCCTCAACTTGATTTCGAATAGATCCTCGGCTGCTTGACCGGGGTGCCCAGAGAAGTGAGCATTCACGTAACAATGGAACGTCTCGGTGACAGCGCGGGTTGGCCGCGGGTAACCCAGAGACAGTCGAACGTTGTGAGCGCTGAGCGAGGATTCATATGACCACCCCCGAGGAACCTGTCATAGCCGGTCTGAAGACTAGGAAGCCGACGGGGTCGATAGAGGTTGATGAAGGAAGACGCGGGGAACGAGTGGCGTAATCTCGACCCCAAAAGCATCATAGCTCCTAGGTTCAAAGCCGTCGTGGATCTTGGCGGCTCGGAAGGCCCAGACGCACATTCAATGCCACGCCAACGTTTCTTGCGTGATCTATCTTTTCTAGTAGGATGTATATCCACATGGAGCTTTGTAGAAGAAGGGACTTCCTTACCGGCAGCGCGTCCGGTGCCTCTCATAGCGCTCTCCTTGCCGCATTGCCCGGCGCGAATTGGATTTTACGCCACAGATTGGCAGCTGCGTTTACGCTAGGTATGCTGCTGAATCCTTTGATGGGTATTACGGGATCTATACATGATGGACGGGATATTGTGAAAGATGAGAATGAGATTAACACTGTGAGAGCGCAGAAAACGGAAATCTGGATGCCTGGACAACAGATCTGACGAATTATCATGATGAGTGAGCGATGGGGTGGTGGGTACGCAAGCATGCACCGTAAGCCGGGCATTCCCCATCAGATTCGCCTACGAGCGCTAGATAGAACCTTTGCAAGAAGCAGCAAGAAGTCATGATTCTTCAAATACATACTTCGTTCGGTGAGTAAACCGTGTCCTAGAGAAGAGGTTTGTTACAGCTCACTGGCAGCTGACGACGATGATCGGTGTGATTAGATCCTTGACGAACAAAAGGAGTCGTGTGCACGTTTGACTAACCCAAAATCGTGACAGAAGACAGGGTGTTCAGTAAGCACTAAGATGCAGCGCTCAGGCAATCCTTTGAGCGAAGGACACGTGTTGTATCTGCGAGATGGGTGCTACACTTGATCTACTCAAGAGGCATTTCATCGAGAGCCAACCACAAGCGCAATTCGAGGAGCCTGGCAACTCGGACGCCTATTGCGTTGACACATTCTACACCGGGATCAGCACAGTGCCAGGTACCAACCAGATCTTGGTAAGGGGAAGCATACACTTGGTTTTAGGTCGACCGTCGAGATAGGATTCAAATTATCCAATCAGGCATGAGCACGAGGGAGCCGATTGGCTTGATGTTCAAGTGTGTTCTGATACGGACAGTGCCGAATTTGAGAGAGTAGCTTCCATTACCAGAGCACGGCTCCCTGAGGTCATTCGCCGAACCCTTTTGGTATGCTCACAGACACTCGTAGTCAAGTCAGGTTCAGGGTGGTGAAGTTAGTCGGGTCTCCGCAGCCTTGACAATGGTAATCAAAATCGGCAATCAGCCTTCTGGTGGCCCGTTATGTGCATCTATTTGGTTGTGGTTCCGAGCCTGAGTCGCCGCCGTCAACAATTCGTGGTCAGTCGACTGCAAGTCGAGCATCATTTCACTGTTGAAAAGGAAACACGAACTTCTAATCGCTGTGCAGGCATCTGAAAGGGACATACAATCACACAAAACTTTTGCAGCAATACTGGCATCAACGGATGCAGGCATCTCTGGACTTGGACTCGGTCTTCAACACAGTGGGTTTCGTTGGTTTCACTGGCACTTTCACATGCAAGTTCATTACCATGGCAGGAGAGCTTTGAAACCATAGAAGATAGCTCTGTATCATACATAACTCGGGCTCATTTCTCTGGTGACGCGCAGAGGTGGATCATCGTTAAAAGCGCTTCCGTACTGCGCGAGTTTTCCAAACAACCTCACGACATCGGCAAGGAATTGAGGTTCCTACAACGGCTTTCCTACGCCAACGTACGCATTATGGTTTAAAGCTGCAGTGACAGTCCTCACGCATGCTATTTCAAGATCATCGAGTTACTGGGGTATGCGTTCGAGCGTTCAAGCAACTCAATCCACTTCTGGATGCCTTATATCCCACATAGCCTCCATGATTTACTCAACTCTCCTCAATTTGTACCTGTTCCTTTGGCCCACGATGCGACCGCTTATCCTGAGCACATCGCCGGATTCATCAAACTTACCACATCCATCATGTACCAGATCATCAATGCCATCGCGTACTTGCATGAGCACCGCATCGCGCACAGAGATATCAAGCCACGTAACATCATGCTCTCCGAGGACTGCTGTGTCAAACTCATCGATTTCGGCATATCCTGGTCCGATAGTCTAGACGAGCGTGACCTCTGGCCGGAACCCCCCGCTAAAATGTGCTTCGACGTCTCAACAGGGTTTGTCATCTCTAGGAGAAGCCGTATGCGTTTCGCTAACGGAGATCCATGCAGGCCTTATCGTGCTCCGGAGCTCTTATTCGGAGCGACCAATTATGATGCATACGCAACGGATATGTGGAGTTTGGGCGCGACATTCGCCGAATTCTTCATGCCCTTGAAACTACGCCAACAGTACAGCGAATACGACGCAGATGATGATTCTGATTCGGAGGAGGAATTGCCTAAGCAGCCGTTCATCGTGCCCCATTCGCTCGCACCAGGTGGTCCGGATCATGTTTGGAAGCGAGAATCGCTTTTCGACGCATCGCGTGGATCCATTGGTCTTGCTTGGAGTATCTTCAAAGTTCGTGGCACGCCATCGGAGGACTCCTGGCCGGTGAGTCGATGAATCTGTGATTTTCGGTGCGATTGACACGGTTGCCAGGAATTCAATGAATTGCCGGACGCCAATAAGGTGTCATTTGAGGTTGTTCCCCCGGTTGATCTGACAGCGCTCTTGCCAAACATACCAACGGTTTCCACACTTACGACCCGTCCAGACATTCCCGACAGTCTTCCTACTGCACTTCTCGACCTCCTTGAGCAACTCCTGACGTATCCTCCATTGAAGCGACCACGCCCTGCAGCAATTCGTCCTCATCCATTGTTCACCGACTCTCTTCCTATTCTATTACCTGCAGAACATCCGGACCTACAAGACATCCGGTACACAGTGGTGTGGAACGACAGGCAGCTAAAAGATTTACTTCTCGACACATTGCATGCACCGAATTAATTGTACAGTATTCCAAGCGGTCTAGGTTGCTACAACATACAACATGCTATACAATACCCAACTCGAAGCAAATGTAGCGATATAGTGAGCGAATCATGCGGATACTGCATTTAGTGGGATAGTATTCAGAGGCTGGTTGTCGATGGAAATACCTGAAAGGGTTAGAACGTTCAACCAGTTGCTTGTCCGGCCGAAAAATCATGAGGTGCTTACTGCGTGTAGCATTCGCCGTCTTGTAGATACCGATGAGTCGATGACTCAACTCGAACATGTCGTTTCTGTTTTGGCGTTAGCGGCGGTTCGGTGCTCGGGAAGGCGAATCATACCTCAGCGAAATGATGATAAATTGCGCGTTCTTCGTGCGGTCTTTGATGTAGTTCGCGACAATCGATACGTTGCGGAAGTCAAGCGCCGCATCAATCTCGTCCATGAAGTAGAGCGGGGTAGGCTTGAGAGGATATGAGAACTGGTAGATCTCTAAAAAAAGGCTCATACCTTATACACGTGCAAAGCGAACACCAAGGCGAGAGAACTCAACGTCTGCGGAAATCTCGGTTACAAATCAAATCGAAAAAGCAAGCGCCATACCTTCTCTCCGCCTGATAGATTGGAGATGTTTTTCCAGCTCTTCTTCGGCGGCATAACACTGAAGATGATGCCTTCCGAGAACGGATCCATGCTGTCAACGAGCTCTAGCTCAGCGTTACCACCGAGCGTGATCATCTGACGAAAGACTTCTCAGTCAATGTTCATCGTACGAATATTAGAGGGGTACCTGGTACATCTCCTTCAGCTTCAGGGATATTGTACCGAAGCCCGCCATGAACTCATCGAGACGCTGCTTAGTGAGTCTGTCATATTCTTGCTTCTTGGCATCTCGCTCTTTCGTGACAGCCTCGAGATCCTGCGCGCGTTTCAAGAACTCCTCTTCACGCTTTCGGTAGTCCTTCAGCACACTGAGATCAGGCTTGGAGTTCTTGAGTTTCTCTTGGAGCAAACGTTGAGCACTCGTACGAACACGAGACAATAAAAAAACTTGTTACCGTCGAGCAACTCGGCATCCGCGATGAGCTCCCTCTTTCTGAACTGGGACAACTCCTCAGCGCTGTAGACGTGGAGCTCATCGGAGGGCGAGCGAGCACGGGCCTTGCCTTTGGGAGGCTTATCCGGATCTGGCTTGACATCTGTAGCGTCGGCGTTCGGCCCTGCATCCCCTTCGTCGTCGTCATCATCACTGGGTTGCATGTCAATAATGAGACACCATTCATGAGTTTGGACACTGACTCGACCTCCTCCAAGTTGAGGTTGTCGTGTTGAGTTCTCCAATGATCAAGGGTGCGCTCGTTCTCGGTAGCGTCCTTCTTGGCATCGTTTAAGGACTGCTCGAGTTCCATCTAAAGTCGATGATGTTATGTGACGCGCCATCGAATGGAGCAAGTCACTTGCTTACCTCCTTCTGCCGGAACTTCTGGATTTCCTCCTCTTTTGCATCCAGCTCGTTCTTCCTGGTCTCTAGATCGTCTTTTGAGTTCTCTGCTGCGGCCTGCGCCGCCTCGACTTTCTCCTGGAGCTCACGGACGTAGTCAGCGATCTCCTGAATCTGTTCAGTGAGTTCCGCTAGCTCAGCCTCGACCTCCTTCAAGGCCCTGGTGTTAGATTCGACGGTGGCTTCTAGCTTAACAGAGTCCTTATCCGCTTTTGCCTTAGCAACTTCGGTCTTGGTGATCTCGTCGTTTGCGAGATTGATATGGAGACGTATACCATCGACCTTGGACTTTTGCGACAATAGACGCGCACCACCGATCTCGAGGATCTTCTTCTCCAGAGCCTTGATCTCCTGCTCGATTGCACCCGTCTTCTTCTGCAGCTTTTCGAGCTCTGAGGTAGACGAGGCGATCTCTGCTTCAAGTGTCTTGATGCGAGCCATGTCGCCGGCGTTAGGCTTTGTCTGGGACCTGCAATAGTGTGAGTTTGAATGCATACTGGAAACCAAATCCACTCACTTGAGCTCTCGCATGCGTTTTTCGGCGTCAGCGATACGCTTGGCGCCAGTCTGAATGCCCAGCGTTGCCTTCTCGATAGCAATGTCGAGTTGCGGCCCGGATCTGGATACAGCTTCCAGCTCGGCTTCAATCTGACGAAGATGCTCCTGCGCCTGCTCGAGCTCTCTGGCAGCTTGCTCACTGTCCTGGTCATACTTCCTTATGACATCTGGTGGAACGGCTTCCGCCGCCAACTTGGAGCTCATACCGCCCCGTGCGACATGAGTACCACCGCCAGACATTGTTCCAGAGGAATCGATCAATTGGCCAGCCAGTGTGACCACACGCCATCTCCTGGATCCGCCAAATGCAATGCGATTTGCTTGATCAAGGTCATCGGCGACCAGAGTGTTATTTACGCCCTTGAAGAACGCCGGAGCGAAGCGTGGGTCCTTGGGCTTGATGAGATCGAATAGCCTCGGAACGTTCTCTGGGGTATTGATTTTCTCCATACCGCGATTGGACAGCTTCTCGAGCACCATGAAGGAGGCTCGGCCCACGTTCTGCTTGCGTAGGTACTCGATACATGCCTGACCTTGCTCAACAGTGTCCACGACCAAGTTGTTGAGCGCCCCACATGCTGTCGACACGGCGACGTCGTACTTATCGGGGATAGTGCCGAGGCTGCCAAGTCGGCCCTGAAAATTCCGTTCAGCTAATGCGTTCGGGGAGCAGCCTGCCAACGTACATGGAAGCCTGATATCCGGCCGGTACTACGGAGACGAGTAAGGCTGTCCAAGACTTTGTTCTGCGATGTACTCGCCGCCTGCGAGGCCTTAGCTTCTTCAGCCTTCTGACGAGACGCAGATGCCTTGCCCCGCAGCTGCTGTACGCGCGCTTGCAAATCCTGTTGCATTGCGGCTCAGCGAGAGCACCGAGCGACACGAGAGTCACTTTACCTGGAGGCTCTGCTCCTTCTCCTGTACCTCCTCTGCGCTGTTCCTCCTGGTCTCCTTGAGGCTTCTCAATTCTGCGACCTACACATGGACGTGCCTTAGTATGTGCGGCCTTGCAGGGACCATAGTCAAACCTTAGCCTCCTGATCGGCTTGGAGCTGTTCTAGCTGGTCTTGCGCTTCTTTGCTCGCAGCCATTGCACTTTCAGCTTTCTTGGCGAGCATGTCACGTTCACTGGCCGCCAAGTCAATCTCCGCTTGTTTGGCGTTGATCTTGGCAGTCCATGGCTGCAGCTCCTTCTGCTTAATCTCGATCTTGTCGTGGAATACTTGCGTTTTATCTAAGTAGGCAAGAGTTTGGTAAAGTGGACATATCAAAGGTAAGAAGGATCCCATACCTTTCAAGCTATCACGGATCTCCTCAAGTACGTCCTCTTCTTGTGCGAGCGATTCTTCCAGCTCCTCGAGTTTGGCTTTCTCTCGCTCGATCTTTGCGGTGTTCTCTTCGATCGCACGCAAGGCATCGCTGCGAGCATGTTCATCCTAGTTGTCTGATTAGACTGAGTCATGGGCTTGTGTCTCATAATACTCACGTCTTGCAAAGACTTCTTGAGCTTCTTTGCCTTGCTATTAGCGTGCTTTCTCTTCTCGTCTAGACTAACTTGCTGTTTCTCTTGCGCAGCGAGATCTTTCATGGCTTCCGCTGCGGCCGCTTTGACTTCCTGTAATACGTCAGCGTCACGAGACGATCCCTATTATACTGTCAATACCTCGTAGATGGCAACACGCTCGTTGTAGTGTTTCTTGAGAGCCTCATAATGTTCAATGTCATCGCGATTCTGCTCTTGCTCGTGTTCAAGATCGCCCTCGAGCCCTTCCTATAGAGTCATCAGTCGACCTAAATTCGGTTTAGTGACGTGAGACTACGCTTACGATTTTCTTCTCGAATGCTTCGGCGTTCATTAGACACTGCCATAGGTACCACTGCCACAACCGCGACAGCGCACGGACGTGTTCGTTGAACATGCGCAGGTAGTTCTCAGCCTCCTTCTTCTTAGCCTCCAGCGCGTTGCGGTCCCGCTCTACGATTCGCAGCCTGTTAAGCTTCTCTGTGCGCTCCTCAGAGAGGTGGTCCATGTCGGTAAGCGCTTCCTCGATTGGCTCCTTGTACTGGGAGGTGCCAATGATGTCCTCGAGATACTCGAGCAAGCCATCCTCATGTTCTGAAGGTGCTTTTGGCTTCATTTGCGCGATAGATTCTACTTCACCCTGAAACAAGCCGGGTGAAGATGCGTACATGTAGTATTGGTGCTCTACTCACCTGCAGAATCAGAAAGCGATTGTGATCGAGGTCGATACCCCGACCCTTGAGCAACGTCTGAACCTCCTTGTAGTTGCTTTGGCGGCTATTGATCGTATACCTGCTCGAATTGTTCTTGAATGCCGTGCGCGCGACCACAAGCGTAGAGTCAGGAATGACCTCGAATGCGTCCGGTCCGGGCTGGGGGGCGCAGCAGAATCAATTTCGATTCGTGGCGTGCGGCAAAGGATCTCACCAAATCCATGATTTCCCGGAAATGCACTTCGACGCTGCACTCATCCAAGTCAGGATATCTCGCGCTATTGTGGATCAACTCAGACAGCTTTCCCTGGCGCATCTTCGAGGCTCGATAACCAAAGACAAATAACAGAGCGTCGATTGTATTAGACTTCCCCGAGCCATTCGGGCCCACAATGGCTGAGAAGGACTGGATGGAAGAGAGATTGACATTCAATGAACCAGCGAGTCGGCAGAACACGCACCTTGTGGAATGGACCGATCTCTTGCCTACCAGCATAACTCTTGAAATTAACCAGAGCCATCTTATAGATGACGAGACGGGGTTTGGGCCCTTGCGGCTCCTCGGGGATCGCAGGCATAACTTGCGGCGGAGGGGCAGATGATATGGGGGGATCCAAGAGCGAATGCTCCTCTTCCTCCTCTGCTACTTGTGCAAGGGCTGCAGAGGCTTCCTCAACGTCTGATGTTTCGATGACCTCTTCTTCGAGCTCCTTGGTGGCCTCCTGGCCAGGCCTCTCCAGAGTCTCTTCCTTGGACTCATCGACCTCCTCTTCATTGGGCTCGACCTCCTCTGCCTTAGGTCCATCGAATACCTCTTGTTTAACCTCCTCAACCATGTCTTCGTCGGCTTCCTCGATAACTTCCTGCTTGGGCTTAGCAGCAGGTTTGCGCTCTTGTTTGATGGTGACTCCGGAACGTGTGGAACTTCCTCTTCTTGTATTCTTCTTCTGGTCGACCTCCTCCTCCTCGTCCGAAATAGCGATAGCCATCTTCTTGGCACCTCTTCTTCCCTTTGGTGGGGGACGCACCTCTTCGTCAGGGTCACTCGAGATGACAATGGCGTCTGGGTCTTCTTCTTCCGACTCCGACTTGACTCCCCTGCGGCGGCGCGTCGAGGGATTGGACGACCGCGCCGAAGCCCGCGAAGCGCGTCGAGGTGCAGCGGTAGCAGCAGAAGACGAGGCTTCATTATTAACATTCTTAGAGGCCCGCGCCGCGGGCTTCTTAGCAGGAGGTTTTCTTGTCTTCGGTTTAACTTCGACCACTTCATCGTCGTCATCGTCCCCCTCGTCCGTCTCTAACGAGGGGCGCGACTTCTTCGCAGGGCGCGGTGGCTCTATCTCCTGAATCTCATCGTCGGACTCTGGTACATCTTCCAGAGACTTCCGCGCGCGGGTTGAAACGCGGCCCTTCGGTGCCGGCGCTGTACCGGGGTTGGTTGATGTCGACCTACGCGTTCTTGGTGCGGGTTTGATGTTCTCTTGCTCGGCTTCGGCGACGGGATCGGTGCGTTTGCGTTTTGACGGCGCTGCTTTCGGAGCAGGGGCGGGCTCGGCGGATGCGCGAGCCGCGCGCGTCGAGCGGCGAGGCGGCATAATGACTATGCGAGTTGTGGCAGACAAGCGGCGGGGCCAAGGCTCAAGCGTGTCCACGCCGAGTCGCGTTCGAACGGCACACGTGACGCGCGACGCGTCGGCCCAGAATGGAAACCCTCACTTTTGCACCATCCTCTCGCCATGGGCGCTTACAGTGACTCGGTATCTTATAATTTTCTGCCGCTGTCAACATGCATATAGATTATACACCGGTCCTGCGATATCCAAAAGGACTTTGCACCTCGTCCGGTCTTGCCTTTAACAGCTTGGAAAATGGCTACATACCCCTCTCCCACTGGCGGTGCATCTCTCCTGCTGTCCTTCCGCCTGCCCCGGCAGGTCATCGTGATCATAGGCTCGAATACACTGGCAGCAGCTCGTGCCTTTTCAGCCCTCGAAGCAGACTCAGACGTTGTTATCCTGTCTAAGGGAGGCCGGCCGGCTGCATGCGACGAACTACGATGGCGTGCAGAACATGGCCAACTCAGGATTCTGGACATGGATACAATGCCCTGCTCCGCCCAAGATGTTGCAGATCGCGATGCCTCGGCATTGGAACAATACCTCGCAGAGTCAAGACATGTGCGATTTGTCTGTGTCACAGACACCGTGCTCGGCATGGATCCACCATTGCGCCGTAGCAACACCTCAGTGCAGTTGATTGTCCGCGCTTGTAGCAATCGTAATATTCCGGTCAACGTCACAGACATGCCAGAATATTGCGATTTCTCATTCCTCTCGACACATCGCTTTGTCGATGCCAAGACAGGCGCACCGTCCTCCTTACAAGTAGGCATCACGACGAACGGCCAAGGATGTCGCCTAGCTAGCCGCTTACGGCGAGACATCGTTGCCAAGTTACATAAGGAGGTAGGAGGGGCTGTGGTCAATGTGGGTAAGATGAGGGATATGGTGAGGAAAGCGAGCGATGTCCAGGACGAGGTGGGGGCCGCAGAGCTTAGCGAGGATGCATGGCCATCTACACCGAATCAGCCAGTACCCCAGAGGACCACAAGTGAGAACGCAGAAGAGGAAGCACGAAGACGCATGAAGTGGGTCGCGCAAGTCAGCGAGTACTGGCCCATACCTAGACTGGCGAAGATGACGAAAGAGGACATGTCTATGGTCCTCGACGGTCGTGCACTTGCGGGTCCCACCGTAGCATCGTCATCTACGGCCTCTGATGGCGCTGCTTCATCCCTACATGGACTCGCGTTGTGTCCGCCCGCGCGCCAGGGTCGAATATTCCTTGTCGGATCTGGACCAGGACATCCGTCGCTCTTGACTATGGCCACGCATGCAGCACTTACCAAGCATGCTGATTTGGTGCTCTCGGATAAACTCGTACCTGCACCTGTCCTCGCCATTATTCCGCCTGAGGTGGAGGTCCGGATTGCGCGAAAGTTCCCCGGGAATGCGGATGGAGCCCAAGCGGAATTGATGGAAGCAGCTGTGAAGGCGGCGCGACGCGGCTTAACTGTTGTGCGGGTGCGTTCCGCAGTCCATTCAGACAAAACTTACACTCATTTCCTCTCACAGCTAAAACAGGGCGATCCCTCTGTATACGGCCGTGCGGGAGAAGAGGTTCTCTACTTCCGCGAGCACGGCTTCGAGCCTGTCGTCGTTCCTGGCGTCAGTTCTGTTCTCGCCGGTCCGACGCTCGCAGGGATACCCGTCACCCAACGTGGTGCAGCCGAATCGTTCGTCGTATGCACCGGTGTGGGGCGACAAGGCAAGGAAGTCAAGCTTCCGGGATACGAACGCAGTCGCTCCCTCGTCATCCTCATGGGCGTCGCAAGGCTACCCCAGATCATCGAGACGCTCCTCGCCGATTCCGGCGAGCCGACCTCGAGGCGTAACGGGCCTGCGTATCCACCTTGCGTCCCCATCGCCATCATTGAACGTGCATCTATGCCCGACCAGCGGGTAATTTACTCCACGCTGCAGGACATTGCAACGGCGCTCGAGAGCGGTGGCGAACAGCGTCCACCGGGGATGATGATTGTGGGATGGTCGGTCCTGTCGCTATGGGAGAAGGGGGATGTGAGTGTCCTTGATGATGGGGCTGCGGAGCGAGATGTTTCTCGTCTCACGTCGTGGCTTGGAGATCGAAGGTGGAGGATTGTGGAAGGGCTGGATGCTGCTTGGGAAGATTGGTAAATGTACTTTGCTTGCTTCATAGAATTACTGTATCGTTAGCTTGTACATGGTCGAAATGCGGTTCCTCTGGGCTCATGGGATGTACCTTTTTTGAATTGCATCGTTGTTCGACGCCCCGTCGAACTTCATGTCACAGCACCGCTGCATGTCACAAGTATATGTCACGGTGAGGTATGGTGTGACCATTACCATATGCGAACTTGAAGCCTGCTACCAGCTTCAATGCAGCTGGTAGACAACGATACCGTCAGTTGTACTCGCTATCTCCTAAGAACCAACGCCTGACCGACCTCTACAGTTCCTTGAACGATTGACTGCGCTTTTCAATTCTTCACAGGACTCAGGGTCAATATGGCTGACCCACAAACGCTGTGCGTTTTAGTACATTCATTGTGGTACACACCGTGCTGATTTGTGATCCTGGAATCCGCAGTGACTCATGACGGCGACGATGCGCATATGTCCTCCGCAGATGATGAAGGGAAAGAGTACCCATGTCTGGTGCGGGTAACAGACGGCGGTGAGACAAAATATTCGACCAAGGTGCGATCGTTGCCCGTCCTAACTCAGTATGTTCCCAGCTCACACGTTTGTTTTATCTAGGTTGAGCCGGAACAACTGGCAAGATTTCATGCAGCATACGGTGCGCTCCTGAAATCCTCCATGACCACTCTCCGCAAGCGCGACAAGAAACGAGAGAAACAAAAGGCGGAGGAACTCGCGCGTCGAAAGCGCCGCCTAGCTGAGGAGGTCGTTGTCGATGGCCCCAAGCGGGGAGCCGGGCGGCGCAAACGGCAGAGACAGACGAAGGCAGCGCTGAAGCAGCTGGAGGCGCGCAAGCGAATCCAGGAACGAGAAGAGACGAGATCTCGCACCAAGGAGGGGAGTCCGTGAGTCTGTACCGTATGTAGAACACAACTGAATTGTGTGAGATTATGCAACAACAAGACGAGTGTATACTTTCCGCTGGGATTGCATTGAGACTGAAGCGAGAGCGTTCCGAGCTTGAAACGAATAAAGAGATCGTGTGAACCTGTGTGTATGCGCCGCCGAGCCGGAGCCACCATATGATCGTGCCCTCGGTGCCTACAGACTCGCTGCGTACCTGACTTGAGATCTCGTTCTCACTTGCCACCGAAGCCTGGCCGGTGCTGCTACGATGCCAGTGGTAGCACCTCCTCATGCTATTGCACCCATCGAACCGGACATCTTTGACGACGACGACGATGGCTGGATGGACATGCCCGTCGTCCGTGAGTCCGACGACGTTGCTGATGGACTCGATGAGGAGGACCAGAAGAAGTACCACTATGTACCACCAGCCAAGAAGAGCACTGCTGCTGGTGGGAACGCTACTGGGAACCTCCTGGACGTCGATTACCAGGGACAGGAATGGCGGGCCAAGATCGACCAGAACGAGAGCGAGTACACTCGTCTACGGGTGAACGAGGAGGACGAGACGGATGAGGTGCATCTTCGGACCAAATACCTGTTCGACGAGGACAAGGCCATGACCCCGCTCAGCCAAATGCAAGCAACCAAGGACCTGCTCACAGAGGCGCAACGCATAGCGTATGTCGGTCTGTGTGCGCTAACGAGCCGGGAGATGTCCGACACCCTGAAGGCGGTCAACCGGAAGGAGCTGAAGAAGGCGATTGAAAGCATAGAACTATGGGCACTCAAAATCATGGGTCGGTTGTATTATCATATGGAGCTGACCACTGAAGGTGATGCTTGTTCTCTCGCAGTCCGTCTGGGTTGATCGTGCGCTGAACGAGCCCGACAGAACAGAAGATGATTGACAGCCTCGCTATGCACGGTATCCAGGCGAAGGATCTCGTCCCCGCCCTCATGACCACACACACAGTCGCCAACCCAGAATACGACCCCGCAGAAGCTCGGCGACAGGCTGAAGAGCAGGCGGCCGCGAATGTAGCGGAACTGGATGAATTGGAACTTGACTCAGCAGACCTCTCAGAAACTGTACATTCGCCGCCTCCACCTTACACCTCCAACGACTCGGTGACAACCCTTACACCGCCCAAACCGGTCCAGACTACTGCCAAGGTCCTGGAAGATACCTCGACCAGTGTTCCAGGTGTCAGCACACGTCTATCAGCTGCGGACGAGAATGTCACTCTCGACATCCGGTGGACTGTGTTATGTGACTTGTTCCTCGTCCTGATTGCTGACAGTGTGTATGATGCACGGTCTCGAGTGCTGATAGAGAACGTTGCGTTGAAACTGGGGCTTGGCTGGCTGGATGTTGTCAGGTTCGAGCGACGGGTCACCGAAGCACTCGAGATCGAAGAAAGCATCGAGAAACTTGAGCAGGGTGAGGCGATCAAGCAAGTGCAGAAGAACACACGGAAGAGACGTTTTATGATGCTTGGTCTCGCTACAATTGGTGAGCCTCCGCGCATTCGTGTCATACGGCTTTTCTCACAGAGAGCACACAGGCGGTGGACTTGTCATCGGGCTGTCTGCCGGTCTTCTTGCACCTGTGATTGGTGCTGGGCTGGGTGCTGCATTCACCACCATCGGTATCACAGGTACCACCGGTTTCCTGGCGGGTACCGCTGGAGCTGCCGTCATCACGACGGGTGGTGTGTTGACGGGCTCAGGTCTGGCGGCGCGAGGAATGGCAAATCGGACGCGATACGTTCGGACGTTTGATATCTTGCCCCTGCACAATAATAAACGTGTGAATTGCATTCTCACTGTCCCTGGGTATGTATTTCCACTGTCATGTACACCGCGGCTCAGTTTAACTGACGACAATGATTCTAGCTTCATGTCAGGTACACAGGACGATGTTCGCCTACCATTTAGCGTCTTGGATCCTGTAGTCGGCGATGTATTCAGTGTTCTCTGGGAGCCAGAGATGATTAGGGAGACCGGCAGTGCGCTCAAGATCCTGACGAGCGAGGTCTTGACTCAGCTCGCTCAGACCGCCTTGCAAGCAACGGTCATGACCGCGCTCATGAGTGCTCTCCAATGGCCTATCAGTTAGTCCTTTGCTGGTTAGAACCCTCAAACCTTAGCTAACTTTAAGGCGTGTAGTTCTGACCAAACTCGGATACCTCATAGACAATCCGTGGTCTAATGCGCTGGACCGTGCGAAGTCAGCTGGTCGAGTGCTAGCGGATGTTTTGATGCAGCGCCATCTAGGTGTGCGCCCCATCACGCTCATCGGATTCTCACTTGGCGCGCGGGTGATATTCTATGCCTTGCTCGAGTTGGCAAAGAATAAGGCATTTGGGATCGTGCAGGACGTCTTCTTGCTAGGCGCCACCGTAACCGCGCCACTGCGCACATGGTTGGAGGTGCGCTCCGTCGTCTCGGGCCGGTTTGTGAACGGCTACGCGCGCAACGACTGGGTGCTCAACTACCTATTTCGTGCGACGTCCGGAGGGTTGAACACGGTGGCGGGATTGCGCCCGGTGGAGAACGTGCCCGGATTGGAGAATGTCGACGTGACAGACAAAATAGCGGGGCACATGAGCTACCGCACGTTCATGCCGCTTATCCTGGACCAGCTGGGTTTCCCCGTCTCAGCGGACTACTTCGACGAGCCTGTGGTGAGTGCGGTCATGGGACCACGATAACGATTTTCTCAGTGTGCTTCCCCAATGATAGGAGCCCGATTTTACGGAGGACCGGATAGTGGTGCGGGAAGGCGAGGAAGACACGAAGAAGCGGGGTTGGTTCTCGCGGAAGAAGAAAACGTCGACCGCTCCAGCAGCGCGTGTTTCCCGCCCGCCCTCGGCGTCGACGTTCTCGTTTCACAAGAAACAACGATCGTCGCTGTCGAATGCGGCAGACGACGACTTGCCGCCGCGCGAGGCGGCGTCCAGTCCGGTGCCATCTGCTACACCCAATCCACAGACAGAAGTACCGCTTGCCACACCCACGACTTCTGAAGCTGTTCCCGCTGAGCCTCATGTCGACGACGGCGACCTGTCCAATGCCGCGATTCCGGCACATGCTGGCTTCAACTTCATGGCAATTAAGGAGGTGATCGGTAAAGCCGAAACTAATCCAGCTGAACTGCAGCTACCGCCTTCTGTATCATCCATCTCCCACCGTCTTCATCCTCCTACTTACCGGTCAGAGTCCGTGCCCCTCCCTTCACCTGGATCCCCCGATGCTACACCTACGACCAGAGCATCCTTCGATGTGCGGAGGGAGGAGCCGATTGCTGGCCCGAGCTCCTACTCCTCGGGACATTCCCTATCTCGCACTCGGTCACTAAGCCAACTACACGATGAAGATGGCGCTGGTTCTTCGTCGTCATATGACGCCGGGATACCACCACCATCCTCAGGGACTCCTTTGTTTTCACGTCCATCTGCAGCGCCTTTCGGCGCCAACCAGGGCTCAATCTGGCCTGGCACAGACCACGAGATCACGCCGACATTCAACGCATTTGGTGACTATCGGGCACCATCTAGCCGTGATCCGCTCGCTTCAAGAGAGACGCTGTCATTTGGGGCGGGTTCAGTGCCATCATTAGACTCGTCCTCGTTCGGATCGTTCGGATCTAACACGACCGCCCGTAGTCCGTTTACCGTCCCTCCTGAAGCATCACTATCGTTTGGAGGCGTGGACGGTTCGATAACCTTCTCGCCATCACCACTGAGCATGGAGCGAGATCCATGGGGCGTCGGTACACGCGCGTTCAGCGCGGGCGGAGGGGGCAAGAAGCCTGCCAGCAGCCCCCTCGACCTAAATCCATGGCAGAATTGAGATCATGACACAGGGCTCATGCTACGTCCGTCTACCCCACACGGTGTTGTTTCTGTCTTCCTTCCATTCTCACGTTCGGGTTGCATCTCATAATTGTCATATATAGTGGATAGTCTCCATCGATGAGAGCACAGCATGTTCGATAGTCATCAATTCATTCACTGAGGTTGATTGAAAGATTAAACTTGCCATATTGATCTCTACTGGAACATTCGCCCTGAAGGAACGTGCACCCAAGGTTTGCACCTCGTTTACGGATCTCCGCAATCCACAATCACGGTCGATTAGTCGGCGAATCCCAGCCGTACTCACGCTCAGAGTCTGCTGAGCAGTCTGCAACCGTAACTCTCACAACCCTGATCCGTTAGTTAAGCCTGCTGTCGTGCACACAACTGGCAATCTACAGCCCATTGGTTCATCACTCATACAGGAACTGAGGGCTTAACTCTCTTTGGGCTCCGTGAGAAGCCGTTCCCACTCGCTAGGCGCGCTTACGTTTACTCTGCCAGGAGTTCCGTTCCGCGAGCCTGTTTGCAAGGCAGTAGCACAAGCCAAGAAGAACTTCTGACAGCCTCTTGTCGCCACTGCCGAGGGTATTTACCCAATCAGGATCAGACGCACGCTAGCTCCTTGTGGCATCCTGTGCCCGTACCCCAAGATCGGTAGGTGGGGCATGAGCTCATTGAGACTGTTGAGACTTGCTTATAAGCACTGCGGTCAACACGATGCCATCAGCGTTGTGCGATTCGTAGAGTCGTACGGTGTGCACTGCCGTCCTGCCGCCTGTTGCAGTACCCCTTGCTATCAACAGCGCTCATAGCTCCGTGCTTACTCTCACGACGATCACGATGACATTCCGCCCTCGTCCTATCCTGAAACGGGACTCCCCGCCGCCGCTATCCAACAACCTCCCGTTTACGACGACCGACTACGTCCTATCCCCGCACGTCCACTTCCCCCCCACCCCATGGATAACTACTGTACGCTTCACTCATTCACCCCACACGTACGACCGTGCGCCCATCGCAATCTCTCCGAACGAGAGGCTAGTGCCACGACGGCACCGCAAGGTCCAATCCCCTCCTGCTGACTTCGACGGCGAAAGGAGAGGTCGCCCACGCACTCGCAATGGCGACGACGACGACGACGATGACGACTCATCCGATAACGAAATGGACCTTAAGGGCAGCTACTTCCACCCACGCGCGTACGAGGCGTGCACAACAGAGCCATGCGACGTGCCAAGAGCGACTTTTGACATCTCCTTTCCACCATCCCTCACTCCAGATATGTCTCCCTCAGACGAGTCTGACGATCAAGTCAAGACGCCTCCAGACGCCGCTATCCCCTCCCTTCCTCCCAGTATTGCCCATCCCTCCAATATCCATACTCCACCCAAGGTTGCATCGCCACGATCTCGCCCGACCCTGCGTTCGACGAAGGCAACAGTCGCCGACAAGATGCACAGACCGAGCTTCGCGAGGAGCGCTGCTTCCTGCGCTGTGTCCTTCGCTCCTACCCCAAATTTGGACGAGGGCTGTTTAGGCGGATTTTGACCTCCGCACTCATCTTTATCATCGCACTCATTTTATAATACTTACGTCCCCGTATCCACCTTATGATCGTTCTTTCGGCACGACTTACAATGCGTATCACTTGGGTAGTGGCATTCGATCTCGGACTAGTGTTCAACTGTATCATAGTATTTGCGTCTCGCGGGTCGTTCACTTCGAACAATTCAATCTGGATGTATTGTGTTGCATTTTGGCTCGTGCCTCGATCGACAGGGCGCGCACCACTTCTTAGTGCTTCCATGCTTTCATGCTTTATACCAATCAACGTTTAAAAATCATTGATGGCTTCATGTGACGATCATTCGAACCATCCTCCGGGCCCGAAGGCAGATAATGAATGCCAATAAGCGGAGATGCACATCGAAGCATATATATCCGTGTGGTCTGCTCTAGATAACTATAGATATCCCAACCTGAACCCGTAAACCCATAGGAATGTCCAATATAGTAGCGCAAGATATAAAAGAACACACTACAAGCCGGCATCTGGTCGCTTTCTGAACATAACATTCGCAGTCTGACTCGGTATGATCGAAGAACCAAACCACTGGTTTGGCGGCCTGTGACCGTCACCGCCGAACTTCATGTCGAAATCCAGGATCAGTCGAGACAGGATAGCCTTGAGCTCGTTGGACGCGAAGAAACGTCCGGGACTAGACATCGAAGCTCAATTAGCATTTAAGCGAAAAAGCCTGACATGCGATGACAGACCAAGCATGCTTCCCATGTCCGAAGGACACGTATTCGGACGAAGTGCTAACATATTGATGCTTGATCCGCTCGCCCTCGTCTTCCCGCATGTCGGAGAATCTGAATGGATTGAATATGTACGGGTTGTCGTAGCTTCCTTCGTCGTAGTGCGTGCCTTCGGCTGCCACTGCGATGAGCGTACCGGCAGGTATCACGGTGCCGTTGGAGAGCGTCACATCTTTCAAAGCCTTACGGATGACAGATACTAGACAGCCATTTCAGAAAAATCCACAAAAGTGAGCAAGACCGATCAACTCACTTGCACTAATCCCGAACATTCTCTGGGACTCCCGCATGAAACTGTCCAATTTCCACATCTTACCAAATGCCTGCTTGGTCCAGCCCTCTGCTTTGATGACTTCCACAATTTCATCGCGGACTGGTTGCTGGTATTCTGGATATGCTGCCAGATTGTACAAGGCATGCGTGACGCTCTGTCGTTACTCATTGTTAGCAAGGTGAGACTCCGACGTCATATAATCTTCGCATACAATGGAAGATGTGTGAATGGCAACAAAGTTGGACGACAGCAGAGCGTTCACAAGGAGGTCAACCGGTTGATCAACCGCCCGGCCCTCTTCAATGAGCCAGGTCATGAAATCGTTCTAGGTAGCGCCGTACCCGCAATGTAAGCGGAGAACGTTTCAGTAAGTGAAATAGTACATACAGGCCTATCCGGGTCGTGTGGATCACGATGCTCCAGCAGTAACCTCTGACGCTCCTCGATGATGGGCTTCATCAGAGCAGAGTATTGGCGTACGGTCCTACGCGACCAGGGCAACAGGGGCCCGATAATACTTTTGTGCGGAGGATGCATTCAGAACAGTGCAACGACGTGGGAGCGACGCACTTACGGCTTCAGGAAGGTGGGGGTGATACTGAGGATGAATCGCCCTTTGGCAACATCTCGGGGGAAATTGGAAATAATCTTGAAATATTCAGGATCCCTACCTGTCGGCATCCGCAGGCAAATCATCAGGGTTACGCTAGGGAGTCAATGACAACGTGAAAGCACGCACACATTGGGAGCCCCACGAAAACACGGTTACTTGCCCGGCTGACGATCTGTGTCATGGTTGCAAGCCCTGGAACGCTAACCCACTCTGTCGCAGCGAGCTTGAGAATGGTTTCAAGCATTAACACACTTCACTCACCATCCCCGCGCGTTGGAATGTGTTCCTCTACACCAATATTAATCTCGTCGATGACATCTAAGAGCAATGGAGCTAAGTTGCGAGTGAGCGGACCCCTCATGACCGAGATGTGGATGGGATTCTCGATCACGTTCTTCGCGATGGTGTATTTCGTCTGAACAAGCTGCAAAAGACCCATAGTGTCAGTGCCACGTCCCCAGGCCGGAGTAACAAGCTCTTCTTACGTCTTCTGCAGCGTCCAGGAACGACACTTGATCGTCAGGCATTCTCTGGAGCTCCTCGTTCATCTTCGGGCCACATAAGACAACCACCCAGCGATCAAGCTGCGCGAGTCGGAACGCCGAGCCTTTATACTACAACTGGTTAGCTGCCAGCTCAGTCGGTCTGACGGAAGATCACTCACCTTAATGTACCCCTCTTGCAGCATCTCATGGGCATGGCGAGTAAAGCGCAGTGCTCCGATGTACGACAGCAATGGCAGAGAAGGGCCCACTGCAGGTATGGCGTATAACTAGCCAGCGATCAGCGTCTCCTTGGTACAGTGCTGAGCCTTCTAGCGACGCACCGGATTAGACCTCCTGCGGAGAAGATATACAGCGGATAGGATAATAACTAGCACATAAAGGAGCGGTGTGGAAGCCATCTGGAGGGCGGACTCGGGTACTGAAATCACTGCGGGGCGCAGACGAAGCAATTATACTTCCTGCGCACATGTGAAATCTAAATTCCCTCGTCAGACCTGTGCATGACACATGTGTTCGCAGCCCCATTATTCACACGCGGATGTAGAGAGGATGGGACGCCGGGGGTAGTAGATGTTCCTGTCGTCCCTTCGTATCCAATCACTTGGTTCAAGTCATGGGCGTGCTGTTTCGGAAAGCGCCCATATTCGCCCCGCGAAGCAAAAATCATAAATCGGGCGGGCGCCCCGGCAGAGACAAGACAAAATGACATGCCTCTCACACTTTTAGCACACAGTAACTGAAGACCTTCCACCAGGCTCTGGCCCGCACAGCTTGAACGACACGGGCCAAGAATGCAGCACTCTTCTCACGATTTGCCGATCGCAACATGCCTTCCTATGCCTTCGCATTCGCGTGCCTTCTTCTTCACCTGTGACGGCCTATGTTCTCTACTGGAACGTTGACGACGCACTGACGCACTGACTTCGCCGGAAGATGCGGACAGCGGTGGATAGTCTGCATCTCGACGATTGGTTGATTCTCAGCAGTCGTACCACCTTAAGTGACGGAATGTGTCATTCCGGCTGATTATTCGGAACATATAGGATTGCGGTTAGAAAAGGTAATTAAGAATTCGTAGGCGAGAGCCACCCACGGACCCAAGGAGCACTCGTGCGCACAGCTCAGAGCATTTGGAGGGACCTAGGCTTACTGAACGAGAGCTCTGGCCTACCAAGCTACTCTCCTATCTGGGCCCCACATGCCTGCGGAGAAGAGTGGCTGCCAAGCTCTGCGGCTCCGGGACCTAGAGACAGTCTTTCGGCGCTCAATGGCAAGATTGTGGCGACAGTGCGGCCCAGGCACCAGATGGTACGTAACAAAGGCACACATTAGCTGCCGGCGCTGGTACGAAGCGAGTGTTAATATCCATAATCTAATAATAATTGACATAAGTGGTTGCGGTAGACATACGTTCCGACACTCGTGGGGCGCTCTGTGGCGCCTCTCGAATGTGAATTACGCAGTGACTGAGCAGATGTCGCGTCAGGTACGCACCGAGCAGATATCTTTATCGCTTGAGAGCTGCTTGTCAGCGACATGTACAAACATGGACAGGTGGAATGAATGCGAGCAAATGCGGCCTTGCTCCGTATTCTGTGCCTCGGGATGGATATATCGACGGGTAACGGCCCACATCGCCAGAACGTGGTCCCTGAGCGCAGTTCCTGCTGCCTGTTTTCGCAGTGGTGGAGTGACAGCAGACCAAGATGGCTTCTCGATGTCGTCCGGAGTAACGATGCGCAGAGCTTGCAGTAGACCCGCACAATCACCTGGCCCCATTGCGAACTTTTCGGAGATCTGAGAAAGCTGTATTGCACGCGACTAACAACGTGTGAGAACAAGAGCATTACGACAATAGCACGATAGCGAATAGATAGATGATAGGATACAAGACCGTTCTAGAGCAGCAGGACACAGCACGCACGCACGCTCCTCAGTCGACCCAGTTGATCTGCATGGATGACGGATATACCGCGTTCGGCTTATATGGCCCACCAGCTGCCAGAGCGCCGGCTTTCAGACGGATGTCCACACTACGATGCACGTTGAACGGCTCGTGTGTAGGAACTATCCTTCCACGTCCCATGTTGACGCTAATCGCGAAAACCGGGAACGTGAGTTTCTATGGCAGATGGACCGCATGGACGCCGCCACTTACTATAGCTTGTCAAACCATTGATGGAGGGCGTTCTGTACTCGGTGCGCGAGCGGGACAACTTCTAGGACCCACCAATAGGGCGCGAGTTTCAACTGATCGTAGATCGGGCATAACGCATCACGATAATCCTCCTCTTCCTCGCTTTGGGGGATACTGGTATCGACGAGGGTAGCGCCAGTTGTATCCCTCACATGGTCTGCATCGGCAGATGGCAGGGAGTAGAGCGCTGCTGGGCGTGGCTTCACAACTGGGAATAGCGCCTCCGGATCGAGCCCGACGGATCTGAGCCCATCAGCGTGAAAGCGAATACCGGTCTTCGTGAGAAAGCATTGGCGGATCATCCACCGTAGCGGAATGCGGGCTAGGTTGCGCGTGTCGTCGTTTGGCACAGAGCCTCCACCAACATCTGGGTACGACAGGAATCAGAAATGTCCGGAAAAGTACCAAGATTTGAATACTTGGTTACGTACCACAATGACAACCCGCAAACCAGACCTCGAGAACATCCGTCTTGTGATTGTGGAATTCCTGCGCAGCGAACTGCGCTTCGAAGTCTGTCTTCGTCTTCTTCGTAGCCCAGCGCTTCTTCGCGCCTGACTTGGGCATATCGCCTGGCTGGGTGCCCAGCTTGCCCTCTTCTTCCGTGGGATAGTTGTAGTGGTTCGCCTTGAACTTCGCACGATGTTCGTCTAGGGACAGTGCATGGCGGAACGTCCTTATGGCAGTGTTTGAGGACGTGAAAGGCAACGTGCGCGGGATCAAGCCAACGGAGCACACGGTATCCCTGGAGAGACGAGCGTTGCGGCGGATCTCATCAAACATTCTTTGCTCTGTGTATGACGTGTGACACATACCATACTCCGATAAACTCGATGTCGACATCCATGGTAAACGCTTTCTTAAAAGCGGTTGACTGTTTCCAACCCACTTCGTCTGTGCGAGTGAACATTTTGTACGCGAATGGCACCTGCTGGTGGTTACACCTGGGTAGCAAGCCAACCTATGGTGATGTGAGCAAGTGCGCCGACGTCCATCCGGAGCAACAGACCTTGTGAACCATTCCGGCTAGTGCGCGCGCAGTGTATGCGCCCCTAGAGAATCCAAACAGGCATATCTTGTCTCCAGATTGGTCTGGTGAGAACAAATGATATGTCAGCGTCTTCGGGAGATGTTTCACACTAATTGCCCGCGCATACAGTTTGTCATGAGAAATTCATAGCCGGCTAAATGGGAATGGTAAATGAGAGGCGCATCCATATGAGGACCCTGAGTACATACCCATGACATGCGCATCGAGATTCCAAGCGATCATCTCGTCAAGGGTTTTCGAAAAATTAGACCACATTGGAGTGGCGATTTGTGGTATTGTGTATGTACCAATCCCCGCCTAGACAACCGGCGACAACGTTTAGTGGCATCCGTCACCGTTGGTGCTTTTAGACATACCTGATAGTACACCATCTGCTCAGAGGGCGAGTCCTTCATGAGCATCGAGAACAGGAGAACGACGTTCGAATTCTGGTAGACAAGTACATTGAGCCCACACAAGATCGAGGCACCCATAGGTAGACTGAGACGTACATCCGAATCGAACTGGTCGCCCGTGCCGTCGAAGCACAGCACTAATGTCCTGGGACCATCCAACGGCTTCGGCGGGATAACGTCCCTATCGACGAACTCGCTGAGCCCATCCGGATTCGAAAAGCTCGGGCTAGTAGGCCCTGTGCTCACGCCCAGTGACGGCGGAGATGTGAATTGAGAGCCACTTGTAAGAGTCGATGCTGTCGTGCCCTCAGACACGCTGCGCATAAAGTGAGCCCCAGATTCGGTGTTGGCGGCCATTTCGAAGGGGGGGAATGGGTAGAAGATGGGTAAGGATGAGATACGTGCGTGCAGCGTGAGGCTTGTCAGTGCGTGGGCGCGGTCCTTATAACACAGGGCGAGATGGCGCGGGGCGCGGTGATCTGAGAAGGCCGATGCTCCTGGACGTCGGCGGGGGGCACAGGCTTGGCGATTGACGCTAGACATGTTGCGCTACTGGATTGACAGACCATGTTGCAGGCCAATTAGGGCAGTGCCAGCGCACAAGATGGAGTACACCGACGCTTCCCAGGTTGAATAAGCGGTCATGAGGGCGAGATATGCAGTGAAGCGAGCCTTGATATCGTCCGCAATGAGCCCGCAACGGGTCGTTTTCACTCAAATTGATAACGGGCTTCCATGCGTCCGACTCGTGAGGGTGCTTCACTGCGAGAAGAAACCCGTCCCTGCCGTTCTGGGCGCCGAGGATCACCGGGCGACAGTTTGGGCGGCACGGGCGGTGATAATTTCGTTACAGCTGAATTGCACCTGCTCCGATCCCGGAAAGTTCCTGGACGTAAGACATAATAAAGACGTCACCGTACATCTGAACAAGTTGCCAGTGAGTGAGGATGATTCGCTCTAGGCCAGTGGCGGGCGGTGTGCATGACATAGCGTGCCAGAAGTCGAAAAAAGTTGATCATGACCGTGACTGCTCGACGACCACTGGTCCGACCAGTTGACGCGTTCAGACGCGATCACATGATTGGTGTAAGACCACCTTGAGTACTACGCCCTATTACGCCTCGTTCTGCGAATCATCCCAGTCCACAATAGCTTCGACGCGTATCTTTAGATCGTCCACACCTCATCTACGGATACCAAATAAGACCGTCGTCTTTTCTGGGATCTTTTGATTGTTCACGTATGATTGCTATGTTTCCATCCTGCGATTCTGCGTCAAAATTACATGTTCATCAGCTCCAGGAGCACACCAAAGTACACAGCTACATGATGATGAAAGCCACGAAGAAACTATTGCTGCAAAATGTTCGCGCCATTTGAAGCACAGAAACGGAGTAGTAATAGCTAACTGCCGCAACCCTGTAATCGTCTAGTGGTTTTAAATCATCATTTAGCATGTGCAGGAAATGCGTCATGAATACTAGATTTTCTGCAAACATTTTTGTCAAATAAGAGGAGCCACTTGCGGTGGGAAACATACTCATTTGCCGACACGACGGGCGCCTGCGTCGCCTGAGCCTCATCGCGTCGAGACATGGGCGGCTATGGGCGCTCTTGATTCGTGCTTGTGCTGATTCAGCCTGGATTCGAGTGTTCCGGTCCAGAGCCAGAGGTGTTTGCAAGGCTATAACTGAGCATTGAACAACCATCTGCCTCCATACCTGAGATGGTCATGGCCCCAGCAAAACCTACAGAAAAGGACGGCGAGCAGCCCAAACCACGGCGTCGGCCTGGCAGGGTTCCCGTTTCATGCGCAGAGTGCCGCCGGTGAGTTGACATTCAGCTGTGTGTGGGGTACCGGGGGCTTAGCATTGATGCGCCTGTTTCTGGGGAAAGCCTGAAACTGCGGTGCGACAGGAAGGTGAGTGCCTTCGAGGCTATGATTGCGGGTCGCCGACGCTCAATGCTGCCCGAGTAGGTACCGTGCGAGACATGTGTGAAGCGGGGTTGCTCGGCCATCTGTCCAGAAGGTTGTTCTGTTCGCCCTACCGCACTAGGGCTTGGCTGACACGCCGCCTAGGTTCTTTGACGACAGGGAAGGGTAATCGGTGTGTTCATCAGATGTGCAACTGACATGTAGACAGCTCATGCTGCGTCAGCCTAGCGCTTGCAGATGCGGAGGAGCTGCACAAGAAGGTTGAGCGCCTCCGTGCCCGCTCAGCTGCTTTGGAGGACGCCTTGCGTACCCTGCAAGCAGCTGTATCCGACGAACCACATCCATTACTTCTCGAGGATAGCATGCAGATAACAGAGCGGCACAATGGTTCTCCAACAGAAGGGCCTCTCCTGTCCCGAGAGGAGGAAGAGGTCTTGGATGCCTTTGGCACATTGACGCTAGGACTTCGGGGGGAGTCTCGATTCTTTGGCCAGACAGCTCGATCTGAGGTATAGTGTCCTGTTGTACCTCTGATTGAATACCGCAAGCTTACGAACGCGCTGCAGTATTTGATCCACGTACGTGAGCTGCATTTACCGCAGAAACCATACACATGTCCCAAATCAGGCACCTACAAGACTCCTGGCTACGTGTACACCGTTCCCTCACCTGTCAAAAGACCTCGTAAAAGAAGCGAACGGAGAGCTAGATGTCCCTTGCGATCATGCTGCTGTGCAAGACGAAGTGCGCGCTTGTCTGCCCACATTATCACAGGCGTGCCACCTGTGCGAGATCTTCATGGAATACGGACAGTACTTGTAAGTGGCCCAAAATGAAGGTAGACCGAGCAACATGTGCTCATTTTGACAGGTGGTATCCGATTCCGCGGAAAGAGCTCTTCGACGACATCCTGGGTGCCGTCTACCGATTTGTCCCGTAGGTCCATTTCTCCAGACAAGCTTCCACGCAACAAGTGCATCTAACCGTTCTCCAGGAACTCCAGCTGTGATCTTGCGTCCACCCACGCTATCGGACTGCTCTTTATAGTCTTTGCTCTGGCAACGCTATTTGATCCCGCCGTGCCGCCACATGCCATCGAGGCGCACGAATACTATTTGCTCTCACGGATTTGTCTCCGATGTGCGCCTCCGATAAACGACACGACTCTGGGCGCAGTACAGACCATGGTAAGCCTGTCAGGCGCCGTCTCCCGGGCATTAACGCATTCGATGTCTCCTAGATATACATGGCACAATATCTCGAGATGAGTGATTGCGAGCCTGCCCATACCGGTTCACACAAAGCTTGGCTCCAAATCGGCCTTGCGGTTAAGCTCGGATTCAGCGTGCGTCCATCTCCCGCGATACAGATTTGAATATAATCCTGACGTATGCGCAGATCGGCTTGCGTACGTGTCATTCTCAGCGTTTTGAATGATGCATCGCCGACGCTTCCATAGATGTGAGCAGTTCCCGGTGGAAGCTTGACAGCGAATCGGGCCAGAGACGAGCTCGTGTCTTCTGGCAGTTATTCACGTATGATACCTGGATGGTAGGTGTCAGAATTCGTCCTTCAATTCAGCCGCACCATGACATTCCCGCAGAGTTTCGGATTCGGCAGGCCTCCGAGCATGAGCCTTGCATTCATAGACTGCGAAGCGGCGACGGACCCAGAAGAGCGGTATACCCAGGACGGTCAGCGAGAATGGGGCTGTAAGCTGTCTCCATTGCTCGCTAATCGGTCTAATCCTTTGAGACCTCGCCACAGTCCATGCATGGATGTCAAACTACACACGCCTCTTACACACTGTCATCACCGCCGTGTTCGGTGCCAAGACGCCACAGTACTCGAACGTCATTGAGTACGACCGCAAGATCCGCGACTTCCCCATCCCCGAGCACCTCCGATCAAAGTGCGGATACCCGGGAGAGCCGGAGGCGACTGGCGCGTTGTATTGGCAGCGCTGTCTTGTCATAACGGCCAAGGAAGCGAGTAAGGACCGCTTCTAGCCAAGTTGAGTCTCGGCTCACATGATTTCCTACCTATGTCGAACAGCTCTCTTGAGCTTGCACCGTGCCTTTTTCACGCGCGCCTTGCACGAACAACCCCATGATTTGTTGCGCCACCGATATGGCCCGTCGGTCATGGCTATCTACCGCTCCGCGTGGAGAATTATAGAAGGAGCGAAAGACTGTCTCAAGCGGGCTGCGCCCGTCGCGTCGCGATTTGGCTACATCTGGTCAGGTTGCCTAGCCGGAGGGGTGCGTCGCCGACGTCTTCTCACCCTCAAAAGGCGATTATAATGCCTGAGAGAATTCCTCCATGACAGATCGTGATGTGCTTGCTGGTCACCCGCGCGCCTACCTCGCCACTTGCAGTATCTTCGCTGCAGGAGCTGGACGTCTTGTGTGAACTGTTCGAGCAGGCGGCGGGCTCTAGCCAGATAGCCTCCGGCAACCTGGTAAGCCTGACAAGGCTATGCGGTATGTCGTCTACTCACGGGCACTCTAGGACGTCGTGCGCAAGCTCCGCCGACAAGGCCATGAGGTTATGAGCAAGCCTCGCATAGCTGGTGGGGAAATTGTAGTCGACCAAGAGCTCGACCGCCTCGGCGGCAAGACGCACCTTATCGCCTCGATAGAAGATCCGCCCATTTCCTGCATGCGCTCAAACGCGCTTAACGGACGTACAAGCGGGCAGCCATCCTCGTCTACTACACCCTCGATGACTACACCCTCAATGACGCCTCAATACTCCGCGCCGTCACCGCTGGTCTCGGTGGAAAGCATCCACCCGACGATCATGCAGGACCTGCGTGTTTTCGAGGGCATCAGCACTGCAGACCTTGCGCAGTACAACCTGGACATGTCCCTGTCGGAGCAGGTGCCCTTGTACACGCCCGCGCCGGACATTTTCGAGGAGCTCTTTGGTCCGCAGGCCCTCGCTATTGAGCCGGAGGCCTCCGGAGGGCCGCCCATACTTGATTCCACATGGCAGTCATTTGTGGAGCAACTCGGTTTTTGATAGTATGCGTATGCCATGGACGTGTCCCAGCATGTTGTAGCTGTAGTTTAATAGTCATCATCATTGGGTCGATCTTTTATGTATTTTCGTAATTCCAATTCCATATGACAGGAGACAACCTCGAGTGTATGGATACAGCACCATAGCGTACAAAGTTCGCCAACGCCGGTGATTGATGTATGGAATAGCTTCACGCGGTCCTGAGGATGAGGTGAACGCCGCTGTCGGTGTCGACAATGTCGCTGATCTGGCCAACGTTCAAGGCATAGGTCGCGTCCTCGAACGGCTTCTGCATTTGTCCCTGCATTTACCACCACATCAGCCCCTCAGTGCGGTATGACGCGAATGTATGCGCTGCGTACCGGTCCAAAGGAGCCCAGGTCCCCGTCCTTCGCGTGGGACGAGCAGTCCGAGTGCTGGCGCGCGAGCTCCCCGAACCTCTCTGGCGAGCCGTCGATCTCCGCCTCGTACCCGCGCAATATCTCGATCGCCTCCTCCTTCGAGCGCGTGATGTTTTGCTTCGAAGTAAACAAACGTCAGCCCATTTGATGGTGAGATGGTTACACGCCAGGGCCTGATGCACCTCCTTCCAGCTACTCGGCCGCCGGCTTCCGCGGTGCTTCACGAGCAGATGGCTCGCGCGCACCTGGGCGGGCCGTCCGCCGGAGCCCTGGCCGAGGAGGAACTCCTTCGCGCCCGGGAGCGCGTGCACCTGCTCCTGCGTGAGCTCTGTGGGGGGATCCCAGACCGAGTCGCCGCTCTGGACGTTGTAGAAGTACGGCATCCTGCGCGAGTTGGACATGCGGACTTCCCAGGTAGACTGCGACACGGAGAGGCGTTGAGTACATGTCGGACTGCGCACTGCTATATACACACCATGTCTGTTAGCAGTCGAGAAACGCCGTGGGTCTGTGAGGTGTGGGGAGTGTGGGGAAGGAAAGGGAGGAGATTGATTCGAACAAGGTTGGGCGAATGACGCCGACGAATCTGGGTGTGATGGCATGGATCGGATCGGATCGAACAGATCTCGCTGCTCAAACTATCACTGGGCTCGCGCGGCCACAAACTACACAGTACACAAGGCATTCTATTCTCAAAACGCGTCGACATCACTATTAATAAACAAGTATCATAGGCTGTCCGCTCTCAGAAGGCGCAGCTATGTAATACAATTTAGACATCGCAGGTATATCCGTCTGCGTGGTTGTTCTTCATTCTCGCACTCGTCGCAGCATCAAGCATAAGCCACATTATCCCTCGTAGCCATTGGGGTTCTTCGTCTGCCAGTTCCACAAGTCGCGGCACATGGTCTCCAGCGTCTGAGGCGCGGTGAACCCGAGCTCTTTCTCCGCGATCGACGGGTCTGCGGTCAGGTCAGGGACATCGCCCTTTCTGTAGGAAGTTGTCAGCGTCCAGCCTTAATCCAGTAGAGAGCTATGACGTACCTGCGACCGACAATCTCGTACTTGTAGTCGAAGCCCGTGGCTTTGCGCATGGCCTCCACGATCTGGAGCACACTCATGCCCTTGCCCTTGCCGAGGTTGTACGCCTTGTAGCGCGTCTCGGTCGGGCAGCTGTCGAACACCGTGGAGTTCGGCTCCAGCGCTTCCAGCGCGAGCAGGTGCCCCTTGGCAAGGTCGAGTACGTGCAGGTAATCACGCACGCATGTGCCGTCGCTGCATCGGTGGCGAATAAGAGATTAGATGCGGAAGGCACGCGGAGACACTGCACTCACGGAGTCGGGTAGTCATTGCCGAACACGGACAGCTTCGGGTCCTTGACACGCCCAACTGCCATTTGCGCCAGCAGAGGCAGCAAGTTGCCCGGACGACCGAGGGGGTCCTCGCCGATGAGGCCTGAGGGGTGGGCACCTGCGGGGCTGTAGATGCACGTGAGAAGGGTGCAGCGTCTGCAATAGCCGAATCACATACTTGAAGTACCGCAGCGACAGGGCCCGCCATTTCTTCGGCTCCGCTGCAAGATTTACGGTTGAGAGAACTACAGGGAGTCTTCCAGAGATCGTACGCACCACTGCAGAGATCTTCGATGATCGTCTCGCTCATCACCTTCGTCTTGCCATACGGGCTCTGCGCCTGCAGGCGTGTTGTCTCCGGGATGGGGATGACCGGCGGAACGCCGTACACCGTCGCGCTGGACGAGTATACGATTCTCGAGCAGTCGAATTCCTTCATGATCTGGAGGAGGGAGACAGTCGCGCCGACGTTGTTCGCATAGTAGGTCAACGGAACCTCTGTCGATTCACCGACTGCCTTGTAGGCCTGTAGTATTTGGCGGTGAGCACTTGCACTCCTTCAGAGAACATACGAGGCGGACGCACAGCGATGTGGACGACACCCCAGATCCCGCCCTTGCCGTACTTCTCGAACACTGCGCGGATCTCGTCCGGCTTGGTGAGGTCTGCGCGGTGCGCATCAATCTCCGCGCTCTCCTTGTCCTGCTCCGATGCGTCCGCGGGAAGGCTGTTCCGCGCGAGCTCGGCGACGCGGAGGAGCGCCTTGGGCGTCGAGTTGTGATGGTTGTCGATCGAAATGACCTTGTAGCGGCGGGTCTCTTGCAGCGAGTAGATCACATGCGAGCCTGCGGAGACAGAAAAGGGGAACATGAGCCCATGGCATGCCGTCAGTCGGGGCGCCAAGAAGCATGTCGTAAAAGCCGCGCACCGATGTAGCCTGCACCGCCGGTAACGAGCACACGCTGTGCGGATTTGAGTACTAGGGGGTGAAAGGAGACGGGGCACGCACTCGCAGGGGTTCTTGAGACATGTCGTGGGTTCAGTAAGTAGGTGGGAGTGGTAGTAGCTGGGCGGAAAACGACTGCCGCTGCGCTCGCTTGTTTTTATCCTATCGCAGAGACGTCCCGAGCTGGCGGACGCTGTCGACTGGGCGTCGGTCCGGGGTGGGCCCGGAGCACATGGCGACCGACTCGACTTTGCGCGGAGTTTTTCGCCCGCGATCTCGTATGCTCTCGGCGGGCTGACGCACACGAAGGTGGATCACAAACGAACCCACGGATGTCTAGAGCAAAGCAAAGGGAATATACAGCAGCCTGGGTATGTACAGAGCACCATGACGCGTCCGTCTGTCGGACCAGGGACCTCCTGCTCAGTCGCTGATCAAGCTACGGACCGGCGGTGGCTGACCGGCGTATGTAGCCTCGATCGTGCATCTCCCGCCTATCGATCCTCCATCTTCACATCTCCCTCTGAATCCTTCGCAGTCTGCGCTCCGTTGGTGGCCGCCACAGGCGCCTCCTCCGTCTTCGTGCCCACCTTTTCGGCGGACGCGGTGGGACTCGTCGACCGCTCGTCGCTCGCCCCTGTGCTCACCGCAGCGGCGCCGTTGGCTCCGGGATTCGGCGACGCGGTCTCCTCCGTCGCCGCGCGCTCGCGCTCCTCGCGCTCCTTCTTCTCTTTCTCGATCTCCTGCATGAGCAGCAGGATATCCCCCGTGCCGATCTTCCCGAAGTGCTGCAGATACGTGTCCCGCGCGGTCCGCAGCGCGAGCCACGCCCAGCGGTTCTTGCTCTGTGGGACGCAGCCCAGGTCAGCCGCGATCGTCGGGTTGCACAACACGGCAATACGATCATCCTCACCTCTTCGTAACCCGCAATGATCTCATCGGCCGGGAGGGTCGGCGCGGGCTCTGGGGCTGCAGGGGCAGGGGCAGGACTGGGTGTCGCCACAGGTGCTGGTGCAGGCGTTAGAGCGGGCGTAGGCTGGGCGACGCTATCCATTGATGCAGAGGTGGGCGGCGCAGTCCCAGGTTTCGCTGGTAATGACGGGTGCAGCGGTGCAGACGCCGATGTCGGACGTGGTGATGTCTGCGCTGGCGCAGGTGCAGTCGTTTCCTGTGCTAGTGCAGGCTCCTTCGCGGGAGATGCTGCCGCCTCCCTTGCCGCTGCTGCCTTTGCCCGCGCCTGCGCGATCCGTTCCGCCGCTTTCGTAAGTTGTTTCTTGCGCATGTCTATCCGCGCATCCTCCTGCTTGACCTTCTTGACAAAGTCTTTTACGTCTCCTGGCCTGCGCAACACAGATCATTATAAGTAGCCAGCCAGAATGTAGCAAGAGAAACGTACTGGAATGGATGTTCCAAGTCGCTCAGGTCTCGGTAGCCCATCGCCCAAATCTCTGTCAACGGCGCAGAGCCAAGCCTGTGCGGCCACGGCTCCGGATCCATGCGCATCTTCTTCCGCTGCTCTCTCGTCGCCTCCTCCAGGCCCACCTTCCTCGTTGTCCCGCTCTCGTCCACCATATCCTGCGCCCACGGCTTCTTATCGAACGGTAGGCACAGCTCGTTTTTCCAGCGCACCCAGTTCTTCTCGCGCTCGAGGACGACGTGCACGGTATCCGCAAACGCGCGCCCGTTGGGTGAGGTCTGCCGCAGCTCCTCGGCTACCTTCGCCGCCATTTCGTGCACCCACTGCGAGTCTGTGGGGTCCAACGTAAAGTCGATCTGGAGCGAGCGGTTCCGTGACGTTGACCATGCCGATTTAGCGGGCTTGGTGAAGGTCAGGAGGTGGTTGAGGAGGATGAGCAGTTGGAAGAGGAATTGTCGTCGGAAATGAGTGTCTGCGATCTATCAGCCAGTTCAGAATCAGAGCCAGCGCAACGGTATAATGTCTAGGTAACACCGACCTCGAGGTCGAGTAGCTCAGGACTAGTCAGATATCTCGCAAAGAAGTAGTCACGCCCGGCGTTGTCCTCTACAGGCTCAGAGTCGCGTTTCCGCTTGAGCAAATGGCTAGCACCTCCGGACGATGTCTTACTCCCCATGAGTGCGCGCTCCTTGGCTGTCGCTTCCTTTATGACAGGGAGCACCTTGTTCACAGCCTCCTTGAACCTACCAAAGGCGCCAGGTTCCGCAAAGAGCGGTGGCCGCGAGAACGGTAGCTGGAGTGACCAAAATGTTTCATAGAACTCTGCGAAGTGTAAGGTGTAGAACCAAAGCCGACGAGCACCAAGTCCACACACCTTGTTTCTGCTCCCTTTTCTTCGCCTCCGGGTCTGGTTTCTCCTCAGCCTGCGGCTCGTCAACCTGCATCTTGTCCTCTCCAGCATCTTTTTTCGGTTCAGTCTTTATCACCGGCTCCGGCTTCTTTACCCCTGGACCCTCCCACACGGACCCATACTCGCCCCGCAGGTTCACGCCACTCCGCTCGCCGAGAGGGAACACCTGGCTGAGGAACGTGAGGATGCGCCCGCAGAACAGCGTCGTGTTGCCCATCTTCGACAGGCGCCGCAGGAGGTCGTTCAGCGTGCGGAGCAGGACGAGCGCCTTGCCCTTCTGCGGGACCATGCCCGCGGTGAGGCGGTCCGCGCGCTCCTCGATCCAGGAGAAGATGTGCGAGCAGGAGGCGATCGTCTGCGTCTCGAGCAGGTCCTGCAGCACGTTGAACGGGACGGTCTGCTCGCAGGCATCTGCAGGGGCGGTGAGAAGGTGAGCAGTGGCGCAGCAGCGGGAGGAGGAACGGCGCACCGTGCTCGGTGAACGTCAGGACGACGTCGAGCCTTTCGCGGAGCTCGCTGTAGTACGTCGTGTTCGGGTCCTGCAGGGCCGTGCCCTCGGTCGCCTGCAGCCATGTCAAGCGTCAGACTTGCGTGCGATATGCGGTATGCGCGAGGGCGAGGTGCCACGCACCGCAAGCGTGAAGATCTCATTCTTCAGCACGTACTCCCATTGATTCTTGCGAATGTCGGCGGGTGATTTGCTCTTGGTCGTTGCGAGAGTCTCGGCCACCAGGCTGTCGAGTGTCCGCTTGTCGGGCCCGTGTGGCAGCGATCCCAAAAGGGTCTTCAGGCTAGCTTCGAGAGCCTGCATGAGAAGTAGCTCCCAGAGAGTGATTGTAGGAAGAACTTCGAAGAGAGATACGAGATTAACGGAGAACGGAGAAAGCCTCGAGGTGTCTTGTAAGGATCGTATACAGTGTATGTACCGCCGATAAGTGGATGGCCTGTAAACTGTGAAAGCGAGCTTACGTAATGAACGCGCGCGCGTGACCTCATGAAATTCATGAACGCGTCTGGAGCTAGACGCCCGTCTTTCGATCATAGTCCACCTGCCTCCACGGAGACGCAGGCTATGATGCAACCGCTGTCACCCTCCTCCGCCCTTGCACCAAGGACAAAATGTCGACGTCACCACGCATTTGTATATAAGCCTGCATGGGCTGGACTCTGTTCTTCATCTCAACTTGCATCCACACCACTGTTACAGCTTACACATATCTACCACAACACACCTTCCGAAACCTCTCACGCTCAGGTACCATGTCCGGCGAATCCATAACCTCACAGCGCCACAATGACTATGTCGGCGGTGATGCCAGTCAAGGCCGCATCCCTGGCGCAAACAAGGCGACCACAGGTCACCAATACGCGTCGGTCTTCCCCAAAGGTGAATAGTCGAGCTGCGCGACTACCAGCCACTAGCTTACCAGCATTGCAGAAAATCGCCCGGAAGAGCACCTTCCGCCGCCCACTGGACGGGATGCGCCTCCGGCCGCGGACGTACCCCCACAGGGCCGCAACATCCGCCAAATCATCCCAGGAGGTGGGCAATGCTTGTACTGATCTCCGAATAAATCCGCTGACTTATGTTCGATAGATCAACAGCAAAATGTAACATCCGATGACAGGTCCCATCTGGAGCGGCTCACCGCCGCGCGCACGATCGACGCGCCGTACCCATTGCCCCCGGCACCCGGCTCGCACACAGTCATCGACCGTGATCCCTTCGCAACGCCTACCACAGCAGGCGATACGCTCACGGGTGCGACGAGTGCCGATGTCTACAACGGCCTTGGGCATCCTGGGTCCGGCATGAGCAGCGCGGAGGCGCACCATGATGGTCGCGAACATAGGAAGCGGCAGGGCCAGGGCGTTTCAACACTCGGCAGTGGCGAGATCCCGAGAGAGTAGATGGAGGCGGAACAGCACTAAGAGCCGTATGAGACTGGGACTATTGTAGGCATACAGGAAAGGAGAATGTGGTAAAGGGGGTTTTGCGGATGTCGTTGAAGTGGACCGGCATGTTGCATGAAGACCTCAGATCCCGCATCCAATTGTATTTGTACACGGCACTTTGTCAGCATCCTCCAATGTGCTGAGACCGCGCACTTGTTCGTTTGTTCCCGTCCTTGCAAATTCTCGACTGATGGTTTTGTTCAATGTAGAAGGATATCGATGCTGTGCATATACGATACTTCTCCTTTCAATCCTTTGCAGGCTCAGGAGATCCGTCACCTGATTGCTAGACGCCGCGATCGCAGCTTCCTCATCACTCAAGCAACCTGAGCGTGTTATGCCATGGCTGGCTCCAAATTGCTAGGTTCATTACTCAAGTTCTTCACCCCTGAAATTGTCTACGGCGGTCAACAAGCATAATTCAGTCTATTCGCGCCAGAATGAAAACCATTGGGGTACACAGCGCTCGTATCGTTACAGATGATGCCTTCCTATGTATTGCTCCCGGCGCGCCGGTGCTCCGTCAAGGGTCTTTGGCTACCAACTATGGGTGTTACAACCGGCCAGGAACCGTTTGAGATGCGCACACACAGCACTTGAATGTTCCGAACCTTAAAGCTTAAGCACCACCATGTCCAATCACGACTACGGCCCTTGCGCTATCTCACACGTCTCGATCCCACACGGCCTTGCATGCGATCTCTTCGCTGTATGTTGTTCTGTCGCGTTCATCAAAGATGAGACTCCGTCTCGGTTGCCTGGCGTCTTGTCAAATTGGGCGCATCTCCTTCCATGCGTCTGCAGTGCACACAGTACACAACTACATCTGTCCATCGTCGACGTAGCCGCTGGATCGCAAGTGTGCAGATGTTATAGTGATGTGTAGTGGATGGCGCTACGTACCACTTCGGCTACATGCAGAAGACGTGACATCAATTAATCCAGGGGCAGACAGTGAAGAGTCTCCCACAGCGAGGAAACTCGAGCTACTGCGACGTGAAGATCATATCGTGTGTAGCCCGACAGTGCTGAAGCCATCACCTCACCGCCTTTGGAGATCGCGACGTGATGCCGTATGCCGCGTCTAGGGTCTTCGGCATCTGCGGATGATGTTGTGAGTTATCGAGCAGTTCAAAGCGCACTCTATGAACATGGAGGACCCTGCCAAGTCCTTGTTTCCTCACCTTCTCCTAGGTGCTGCGTATGATTGGCTATATGCCGCCGGCCACTGGCATCCCACGCATTCATCGATGCAGCATGCAATTCTGACTTTCTTCCGATACAAGTTCGTGATAGAAAGGTGGGAATATCATCTCGTTGCTGTTCATCTCGGGCTTCGCAAGTTGATATGCATCTTTGAACCCCACATGATGTCTCAGTGTTATAATTCACCATAATATGGCGAAGTGCGTGCCTGACCGGCTCCTTTCTATTGTACTGCCCTCACAGGGCAGACGAGCAAGGTCGATATTTTACCTCTTTCCAGCCCTCCATCTACACGGGGTTTCCGTTCGTTCCTCCTGGCGTTTGGACCAGCGTTGGCACTAGGTCCCGCCAAGTCGACATCAATACGGCCGCTACGCCTGTAGTCTGTCCTTAGGTGATGGGCCTTATTTTGTCTCTCGTCCCCAAAACTTTCCGCAGTCTTGGCCCTCCCGGAGCAACTGCTAGCGAGTGGGTCGTGACAATTTCTGGAACGCGCGAGACAATAGCGCTTGCAACCTCACTTCCCTTGAAGTCGATTGATCACCTCTCGCACAGCGTGAGTGCATGCGTAGGCAGCAATACATCGCGGTTGAGCTCTTGCCTTCCGTGGAGAATACTCACTATCGTTGGGGATCCTGGGACGATCAAAACACCGTCACCGACTTCCACTAGTCAAACACCGTCACCGCCTGTCACTATTCGAACGACGCCCGCTCCGCCACCGGTCGCTACTACAACCAATGTTCCTCCACCGATGACCCCTACGGCATCCACGGCTACGCATTCATCCAGTCTCAGCGCCGTCAGTACACGACAGGGTACACCCACAAGCTCCTTTTCAAGCAACACAGCTACTACTTCTTCAGCCGCCACTATTGATACGCTTTCTGTGTCTGAGGGATCATCCTATACCTCGACCGTTGCGCACGGTGCATCGTATGTCTTCAGTACCATCCTCCTCCTATGTACTGACTGAGTCGCCATAGTCTCGGCGGTGCAGAACACGGATCATCTCCTCCTACCGTCATTACCTCCACCTATACTGAGACCACTGTGTTTTCCGGAACTTTGACGTCAACCGGCCTGTCAGGCACGTACACACACTCTTACATAGAAACCTCTACTTCAATTATTACTACCATGTATACGTCTACCCCGGCTGGAGGTGCGGGACCATCTTCTAACGGTACTAGTCCGACCTCAGCCGCGAATGCAAAGTAAGTCCGTGTATCATTTGCTAGCTTATCTCTTCTTACTGCCATATTTCTCTAGCCGAACGAGAACCCCTCAGATTCTTGGTGCCGTTTTCGGTGTTCTGGGTAGCTTGTTTCTGCTGCTTGTCGCCCTGGCCTGTTGGCGACGTTCTCGCCGCCGCGGCCAGAGCCAGCGCAGGTACGACGAGTGGATTAGGCGCAAGACATCACAGAGGTCCACCTCTGGCGAGCTCTCCACGGTTATACTGGGGGTTGGTCTGTCCAGAGCAAGCATGGATAGTTTCCATACCGCCGAGGCGTACATGAGCGAAACTAGTCACGGGAGCACATACCGCTACGGCGCGGTTGCGCGGTCGATGTCGGTCTCTCCCCCGCTGGTCATCACGCCTTCCCCGGAGCCCGACGCACAATCTGTGACAACACAGCACGATCAGTGCCCGGTCTCTGCGTCTGTATCCCGTGAGCAGTCGCTGTCGAGCGCGCCGGAGATGTCGCCGACTACGCATGCCCCGATGCTGGACCCTTTCGACGCGCCGTTTCTCTGGGCTACGAACACTATTTCTGCGCAGCCGAAACGGTTGTCTCGTGTGTCTTCCGAGTCTGCCCAGGTGAGCAGATCTCCGCTGAACACTCCGGCAGATTGACCAAGTTATTGGTACAGACAGTATATGCAGTGTGATCAAGTACTAGTCGATACCTCTGACAGTTTCTGGAGCGGCTCTCCACCGCGTGCATGGTCGGCGAGCCGTACCCAATGCCCCCGGCACCTAGTATCGTGGGAAGAACTCCCTCAGGCATCCGCGCGGCGCGGGGTCCGGCAGAGGCCCACGGCGATTGCTGGCGAGGGTGGCGCAACTGGCGAATGCTTCACGTTCGGAGGTGAGAAACATTCCAGAGTGCAACTACAGACCGAGAGACGATAGCAGTGACCTCAAATCCCACTTCCCGGAGCTTTCTCCTTGTCTTTGTGTATCCCAGCTTCCTCCGCCCCGCTGAGGGTACAACATCCTGCCGGACATTATTTAGTTACTTCAAATCATGGACCTGAATCTTCGCCGATCAGAACGTTTAGGTCGTGTTTACCTGCGTGCTCCTTTATTGATGGCTCGGGCATGGGGGAGAGAGCAAATGTTAGGTTGCGTGAGAGAGTCTACCTCAGGTATTTTGCTCACAGTCTGAACCAGGCCTGACCTTTCCAAGTTGCGCCAGCAATTGCCATTCACTGTCGCCGCGCCAGGGCGCGGCGCTTGGGCGTAGTTTTGCCAACAACACTATTAAGTGTGAACCAACATGTTGAAGACCTCAGATTCCGTATCAAGCTGTGTTTGTAAACGACACTGTGTCAGCATCCTCCAATGTGCTAGGACTGCACACTTGTTCATTGATTCCCGTCCTTGCAAACTTTCGACTCTGGTAGGTTTTTCCATCTTAATTTCAATGGACGGTCGTATTCACGAGCGCCTGCGTATGCTCGCGTGCAACTTAAAGGCCCCCGTGAGTACTGTGCCTCCCCGGGTAGTCGGCAGACCCCCCAAGTCGGCAATTTCATAGTATCTCCCTCCACAGTACTCGATTACCTTCGTGCTTTTGTATAGACATAGGTTTTCGTATGCCTGCTTTCATTTCCAGCTTGAACGAAAGCGAACGGTGCAGTAGTTCTGGAGTCCCTTCCCGGGGACCAGCTCAAGCCGTTGTCACGCTGGTGTACGCCTCGGTTGTAACAGCTTGTGTTGGAGCTTCATTTTCCGATCACGTCAGCGACCTCATTGTATGCTTCGAGCTACCTGCCCATAGAATCCTCAAGCGTTGGCTAAGCGGACCTTGAAATATTACGCGTGATGGATCGTGATGGATGTGTTACTTTTACGTGACTGCCGACTACCTGGGGAGGCACAGTATGACATCTCGATCAAGCGCCGAGCACGATGGTCCCGGCTTCGTGTCTTCCTTCATTCAAGCGGCTGGAGTGTGTGTTATGCTTGGCTGGCTTGACATTGTTTCTTCGCCATTGAAGTTGTCCGATGGCGGTCGACAAGACATCACTGGTCTATTCACGCCAGGATCTTAACCTGTGGGCCTTCGTATCAGATGATGCACACCTGCTGCACCCCGAACCGACAGCTCATCAAGTCCCCAACTACTAACTACTAGTGTTGCAATCGGCAACAAACCATTCGAGATGCGCAAACACGACAACTAAATGTTCTGAGCCTTGAGCGCGACCGTGTGCAAACTGCACCTATAGCTGACCTATTCCTCTCTCGGTGGTCGACCCTTCCCATGGTGTGCCATATCACGTTTGGTCCCGCATAGCCTTGATTCATGCGATCTGTTCGCTGTATACTCATCTATCGCGTTCATCAAAAATGAGGTACCATCTCGGTTACCTGATACTTTGTCGAACCGACCGTGTCTCTTTCTATGTGTCTGCACAGCGCGCTTCGCACAACCACATCTGTCCATCGTTGCGAGGCCGGCCCGGCCGCAATTGCATTGATGTTGCTAGGCGTGTTACCAACACTCTTCATGCTTCGCAGATTGACATGTGTCTTTGAATCTTGTAAAGAGTGTCGACGATGTGTCTGAAGAGCGCCACCTTCGTGTCTGACGTGCCCACATTACCTGTGCAAGCTTTCCGGAGCATATTTCCTCAAGTCGGGCTCGTACTTTGTCTCGGTCTTCGTTCACGCAAAGCCCCCATACTTTCATTGTCGTATCCGCCCCGACACAAGTGGTGTCATCCGTTCCTTCGATACATACGGCCCACAGCTCGCCAGATTATTCTATTTTGACGATGTCTCCTTATGCGTCGTCTGCATTTCAGCAGAGGGTACGGTGTTCTGCGAGGACTCTGTCTATGTTTTAAGCAACTGAGGCGTATAGCAGGGTGAATCTGACAATTGCCTGCAGCAAGATTCTGGTTCATCACATTGTCTATTCGAAGACACCCCAACTCCCTCGAAGGCGACCAAATCCCCGCCTCCAATCTCGCCTCTAATCCCATCTCCTCCTCTAATCCCATCTCCTCTAATCCCATCTCCTCCTTCAATCTCGCTTCTTCCTCCTTCAATCCCGCCTCCTCCTTCAATCTCGGGGACAATCTCGGTTTTAATCTCGGTTTCAATCTCGCTTCCTCCTTTTTCAATACCATCCCCTCATTCAATCTCGCCTCCTTTTTCAATCCCATCTCCGCATTCAATTCCGCCTCCTCACTCAATCTCGCTTCCTCCTTTTTCAATACCATCTCCTCATTCAATCTCGCCTCCTTCAACCCCATCTCCTGCTTCAATCCCGCCTTATTCTTCAACCCCATCTCCTCACTCAATCTCGCCTCCTGCTTCAATCTCGCCTCCTTTTTCAATCCCACCCCCTCATTCAACCCCGTCACCTCATTCAACCCCGCCTTCTGTTCAAACGTCGACTCTATTACACATTTCATCGACGGCAGCTGTCTCGACAATACACGGTCCTTCGCAATCCTCTGATGCAGCGATCTCAACTGAAAGGAACCCCATGTCTACCAGCGACATGTCAAGCAATGCGGCAACGATATCGACAGGAAATGACGGGAGTCAATCATCTCCGTCCGGGATTACTCTCGTATCGGAATCTACTGGGTATGAGTTGAGTTCCTCTGTTTCAAAGATCTCGAAGATCCTGGTGTACGTCTTTGATGTCTGTCATTATTAACGCCCGTGTACTGAATAATCTTACAGCGCTGATAGTTCCACACACGGGAAGCCTCCGACTACCTCATACGTAACACTTACTACTGTAGTTCCTGTGCCTGTCCCATACACTTCAACGTTCACAGATACCGGCTCATCATTCACCTCTACAATTACCAAGTCAGGAATCATAACTTCGATGTCGACGTCGATATACACCGTGGCAACGGTCCTACCTATTAATGGCAGCGGCGGCGCTGTATCTCCAAGCAGCGTGGGCTCGGCATCCGCAACATCTGGGTAAGTAGCAACATTTGTGTCAGTATGACGTTAGTGGATCACTGAAGGCGCATGTCGCTCGTCTTGATTCTACAGCCATATGAAGACTCCTCAGGTTCTCGGCGCCGTCTTCGGGATCTTGGGCGGCTTGTTGTTACTGCTCAATGTCTTCGCTTACTGGCGACGCTCCCGCCGCCGTAACCGAAGTAAGCGCAAGTACGACGAATGGATCGAGCGCAGGACATTCCAGACACCCGCCTCTACCATATTAGCGGCTAATCCTCAGTCAGCGAGTACCGACAGCCTCTATACCGCTGAGGCGTACATGAGCGAGTCCGTGAACAGCAGCCCGTACCGCTACGGTGCAGTCGCGCGCTCGGTCTCTCCCGTGCTAGTCATTGGGCATTCCCCAGAACTTTCCGCGCCACCTGTGACGCCTCAGCCCAATCCATTCACGATCACGGCGCCTGTCTTGCCAGAGCCGTCGCTGTCGGGTGCACCAGAGACGTCGCCGGCTATGGGTGCCTTGAGGCCGAGCTCTCCCAACGAACCGTTCCCTTGGACAACGAACATAGTCTTTGCGCGACCACCGCAACGGATATCTTACGCGTCTTCCCAGTCTGCCCAAGTAAGCACATATCCGCTGAACATCCCGCGGGCAGGTTGACTAAATTGCTTGTACAGACAGTGTATGCATTGTGATCACTCGTCGATACCCCAGACTGTTTCTGTTTCTGCGATCCTTACGGACAATTTTCGCATCCCTCCCAATCCTTCACGCGTCACTCCTTTGTGAGCATAGGATTGATACATTTTCCGTAGAATGTAATAATAAATCGCGTCGCTCTATCTCAATGAGGACCTATGGTGACTGCAGTTATCACCTGCCAGGATTAGGATATAGCAGGTCAGTCTGGCGACATCGAATGCAGTGTGGCACGTAGTCTGACATAAATATCCGGAGCCTGTGGAGGTGTGAAGGAAATGTCGACTCTATTGTCAGGAGACTGCACGTATCCTAACTGCATAGGAAGTCCTACTAGTATCGGCGGACTTAGGCGCAAAATGAACTAATTCCGAGATGTTTAAAATGATGGTATAATACAGTAATGACCACTGCAGGACTCGAACCTGCAACCTTTTGGTACCCGAATGGCGATCGAAGCCAAACGCGCTACCATTGCGCCAAGTAGCCATAAAAATTAAGTAGACAAGTAACATATATAAATGCTCATACATTTATTGTCCGCGTCTTGCTAAATTAAGGGCGTACAAATGTATGAATAACGGCGTCGAATAATACATCCGCCCAATTGATACCCATATTAGCCGTCTTTGCACGCAGAATGGTCAGTGCCTGGACCACGAGAGAAGCGTCTCGTATCTGCGGAGGGGTATCAGTCGCTACCGATACTCCAGACAGACAACTACACGCACCCGAAATTCGTCGAATGTAATGTCTGTACGCGTAGCATAAATATTCACGGTACTCATTGGGTGTCGCAGCACATGCGCCACATCCAAAGGGAACTGTGTAATTGAGGTGACGATCTGTCTGGAGAACGTTCCCAGTTAGTCCTGAACATTGGTATACTGCATGAGAGTGAGAACTCACGACCACCACGGCGTCGGCGTACGCTGAAACAGCCAGTGCACTTTTACCCAGCGTGCCTCCTCCACGACCAGGACGAAGCTCCCGCGGTCTTGATCCCAGTCGCGGCGCAGCTGCGCGTCGACTACGCCAAACGTATAGACACGCCCTTCGGTATTGTGGAGGTGCAGCTGGCGCGCTGACGCGGAGATGCGCAGCTCGTCTGTGTCTGTATTAGTGGAGGGCGGGGGCGCATCACGATGGACTGCGGTGCCAGGCTCGTCGATTTGGAGTCGGCGTTTGTTCTGGCACGAGCAATCTATGTCGCTGCCGTCGTCCGCGTCCGTTCCAATATCGCTCTCGCTCTCTTCTGCGTCCGATGGACTGTCGCTGACGTATTCATCGCCTTCATCCTGGTTTCGTGTGCTCGTTTCCTGTCCGGCCGGCTCATCGGAGCGAATACAATCATGTCCGGGTGCGGACGGACAAGAGGCAGTAAGAGGACGGTGACCGCCCTTGCGCCTCCGACGGACAGACCTTCCGGGAGCAAACGATTCAGACACGCCCGCGAACTGGACCTTCGTCCAGAAGTCATCCAAGCGGTAGATTTCGCCTTGGAGCAATGCAGTGACGACGTTTTGTCGCAGCTTTTGGATCCAGTACGGCGTCGCGTTGCTCTTGTGCACGCGGATGCGAAACCCGTCGAGCTCGACACTCGCCCATTGACCTGCCGTGCGCCTGGCGAGATAAGGGAAGACCCAGAAGGTCACATCAAGTGTGGAGACAGATATGTCACTCGTCGACGACACGTAGAATAGAGAATGCGAGGACAATGTGAACCAGCGTGGGTATGATGGACGGGGGAGGTGAAACGCGACGGACAGGGAAGTCGCCGTGAAGGTGTAGGTATAATCGCGGCGGTAGAGCGCACCAGAATATCGCACGTCATGCAGAGTCAATAAGAGAGGAGAGATGCGTCCTATTTTCAGGGCATGGCCACCTAGGGGGCGGCCAAGGACATAGGATGTTAAGACGAGTACAACTGTCCAAATGACTTGCAGGGTAAAGAGAAGGAATTCCCCAATTCTGGTGAGAGCGGCCATTAGGAATGGTTTCTGCGGAGCAGGCTCATTTCAAGGAGTGTTAGCGCAGATAGTGGCCAACACACGACGGTGTGAGTGGAAGGTGTGCTCGCTCCAGAGTCCATACCGGTAACTCAGGGTCCTCATTTCAATTCCTCGACATGTTCCCTCGGGACGTCATAGTCACACTGCACGGTCACTAGCAGTCACATACTGAGTCCATGACCGTGACATCCCGAGCAGAGAATCCTTAACTCAACAATGAACGGCTTACCCAAGTCTGATGGTGCTGCACGCCCGAATCAGAGCTCCTTGCAATCCGACATTACGCTGCTGCAGTCGCTCTTATCCCAGGATGAAACTGTCAGAGACTCTGACCCAGACATCACGGAGCTTCTGCGTCGTCTCGAGGCCGCGGACGGTGTCGCGACCGGGCTCGAGGATCGTCTTGACGAGATCATAGGCGGACTCGATAACCTGCTTGGCACGCTGGAGACAGGAGAGCAGCAAGTGGGGACCAGCCAGGAAACTGCTACCGAGGACGACAGTGTTGTACAGGAAGAGCAGACGCGAGTGGTGGTCGGCCAACAGGATGGTGATCAAGTAGGAGGGCATTTAACGCAACCCTGATGCGCGCAGGACGCTTGTCGTCATCAACTTCGTCAGACGTGTAATGTCTCCGATGCGGAGTCGAGTTGGGTGCGCCGCTTCCACTCAACTGCCCATGACCGGCTGATCAAGGAGCCGAAGACGCACCCAGTCGCACACAGTCTGGCAACTCTGCGGTTTAAACTGTGGAATCATTGGGATGCATACGAGACGGTATTTGAGCTTGTCGAGAAGCTTCTTTGGGCGTAATTTCCATCGACCAGCTCTTGTGAGCAAAATGTCGGGTGCGAGATCTTAGCAAAGAGCACTGCCGGATCTCACTCATGCTAGGCGTAAAGATGTGATATATGTATGACTAGGAAGTATGCGGTATCAGTACAAGTGCTCTACTAAAACAAGGATCATGAAGTCGAGAAATCATCCTCCTCGTACACCAATCGCGCCTCACCCCAGCCCCGGTCATGCCTCCTCGTCCTCGTCCTTCCCCTTGTCCACACGCACTTCCGGCACCTTCTCGTGTACGTGCTTCTCCGACGGCCGCCATTCGCTTGACCGCCATGGTAGCACCTTCGCGCGGTACATCTCGTCGACTTCCTCAAGCGAGAGGCCCTTAGTTTCGGGGATGAACAGCCACACGTAGAAGAAACCGAACACGAGCATTCCAGCGAAGATGAGTAGAATGAGCGGCCCGATGTCATCTGCGATGCGCGGCGAGAAGAACGACAGCAGGAAATTCCACACCCAGTCTGTAGAGCGCCGATCAGCGATCTGCCGGAAATCATGAACATAATAAGGGAACTCACTCGTCGCGCTGCCGAGCGCAATGCACTTTGGTCGAACCCGGAGCGGGAAGGACTCGCCGAGGTACACCCAGGGCGTCGGGCCCCAGAATATTGAGTAGGCAAAGACGTGCATGACGGCGAAAGCAATGAGAACGTCGCCGCCCTGCTTATTTGTGGGCGTGAGCTCGTCCACGGGGGTGCCAGATGGCGCGAGCAGGAAGTGTCCGACAAGGCCAGCGATGAGCGCGCACATTGCCTCGAATGCCGCACCCGTCATGAGCGACTACAGACAGAATATGCGTCAGCTATACGCAACGATATGCGGAGGACTGGTGGACATACCCGGCGACGGCCCCAAGTGTCAATCAGGTACAGTGCAGGAACAGTGCCGGCAACGGATACAGCTCCGAGAATGGTCTGGATCACGTATGGCGATAGCGTTGTGCCCGCGCTCTTGAAGAACGTGTCGCCGTAGTAGTCTGCGGTCGAGGTAACATCGTAAGTTTTCAATTGTAGTCGGGAGAGCCATGTACTCACAGTAGAAGTTCTGGCCGTTCAACTGCTGGATGAACTGGAGCATCATGCCGTTGATCGTGCGCTTCCAAAGCATGTTGCGCTCCGAGAAGCACTCCAGCCAGGTAGCCTTTCCGCCGTCGTTCTCAGCGTGGATGGCGTATTCCAGCTCCTCGAGGGTTTCCGTCACCATGGGATCGTCCTCCGGCACACTGTTGAGCTCTGCGATGACTTTGCGAGCCTCGGCATCTCTACCCACGCCGAGTAGGTGACGTCTGAAACTCAGTGAGATGCGGATCCCTGTAGAGCGAAGGACGAAGGACTTACGGTGATTCGGGCAGGAAGAAAATACCCGAAAGCAGGATGAGACCCCAGAGCATCTGCAGGCCGACTGGGATGCGCCAGGACGCAGAGTTCTTGATCGAGTGCGTGCCGAGGTCGATCACGTAGCTGATAAAAATGCCCATGATGATCTGGACTTGGTACAGCACGATGAGCATGCCACGCAGCGCCTTGGGGGCTGTCTCGCCGTTGTACAACGGGACGATGGCGGAGAGCGCGCCGACGCCGAGACCAGCAATGAAGCGGCCAATGACGATTTGCGCGAGAGAGCGGACGGTGCCTGTCTGGACGACGGTGCCCACGGTGAAGATGAACGACCAGATGAGGATGGAACCACGTCGCCCGAAGCGGTCGGAGGTAAAGGCCTGTGCGATCGCACCGACGATGGTACTGAGTTAACAATAGGTAAGACGCTCGCCAACCGGGTAGCTCTATTGTACTTACCCAGCAGAGAGGAGAGATGTAATGATAGATTGTCGAGAGCTTGATAGCGTAAATGAGCCGTCTGCGTTTTGTATTCCGAAACGCTCGATGAAGTCAGGCATAATCAAACATCCCTACGGTGAACATGATCAGAACCTCGGCCATCGACGTTGGTACGACGAGGGGACGTACTGATATTACACCAATGTCATAGCCGAAGAGGAATCCACCTGTGATGATTGTACGCTGTGAGCCACAATATAGTAGTCGAAGACGTGAGAGGCCAACGTACCGAACGCGATGAATATCGCGAGGAGGATTGCCCTGCGATTTGAGGGGACAGCCATGCTGTTATCGTGGGCAGTGGTCGTAGCAGGGTCGTATCAGGCAGGACGGACGGTATCACCCTCGACCTCAAGCATGACCATGTCTACCGCCGGTGCTTTTATTGTGTGGGGAAGCGCCGGCCTTCTCCACCCCGCGGGGATGAAGTTTGATGGCAGTGGGGGGAAGATCTGTTCTTGCGACGGTCCGGGGAAAGGTCCATCACGCGGTCCGGGGAACATGCACCCCTCACCGTGCTCATCGTTGTGCCAGACGATCTGCGCCGGCGGAATCAGCTCGAAACGCTGGACCCTGCATACAATTGTACCCCATAACGAGGCGTGGTTGACTACGGGTCCGACATATCGCTCGCTTGTCGGGCGTTAGCGCCGCGAAGCATGCGGGAATGCTGCCAAAACGAGGCAAGCCCGGATGGTTGAGCGACGCCGGAAGGCACGCGTACGTGGAGGTGAGTGCGGAGACAAAGATCTACCGTGCGCGAGTGGATACGGGGCGCGTCAGTCACGACGAAAAACGTCGCGCACGGTCATGACGTAACCCTGGATAACAGGATAATGCGTGCGCACTAAGCTTTCCCCTGAAAGCGACGTCCGATGGTCGGCCTTGCGTAAAGAAAAACGCACCGAATGCGGCCGTTGTTCACGTCATTTCAGGTACGAAAACATACGAGCTGCGACTTACGAGGGTCACGCGCCGAGATGGCTTCTGATGCGGATGTTCAGCAGCCTACTATCAGATTGAGGTCCAGTGGCCATTTAAGACTAAGGCTGAGCCCTATGTATTATTTTAAGACATGAGAAGCCCCTTGTGCATCACTGCGACATGCTAGATTAGACGCACCTGACTTTGTTCAACAGCGGTTGCTGTGCAAATGCATATAGGCATTGAATAAGGATCTATTTGCAGAGACGACGCCCGACACTGTTCCAAGAACTGACCGTCCGGGCGTGGAGGCGGTAGCGCCCGCCGAGTCCCAACTTGTCCTGACGCGGAGGAAGGAGCCGACCCAAGCCAAGTGACTGCCGAGACCGTGGGTGGCCACAGTGAATTTGAGCGGGTAAACAAAAGAAAAAACACAAGCACAATCTAACGGAGTAGAGTCCGCAAAAACATGGGTCCAAAAATGACGACGCGAACGTACGACTGTTGGGCGGCAGGGTCGGACTCGGCGGCACATCATGACTGCGGAAGGTTCACGATGCTTCTAACGACTGCGCGAGGAAGTGTGCACGAGCAATCCATGCATCACATCGAGTTTTTGAGCCCTCAGGAAAATCCGCTTCTTATTGTAAAGTCACAAAGCACATACACTCGACTGTATACCATTTTACGGGCAGGATGGATGAACGTCAACGCACGCAGTTTAGTCAAGCTCGTCGAGGATCGAGCGCGCCTCGAGGATGTCGAGCAGCTCCCTGCAAGAATCACAATTGAGTCGAAGCAGGCGGTCAGGACGGTGGAATAAGCTCACCGACGGGACTTCTTGGAGCCCTTGAGGCTTTCCCAGGCATCCTTGCCTGCTTCGAAGGCATCGTAACCGTCCTGGCCGATGGTCACGGCATCCTGCCCTGCTTGCGCCAGACCGCTCCAGTTGATGGTGCGAGCAACGTGTGCAAGGGGCTGCAGGCTGTTCGCGGAGGGAGTGTTCGCAGGGCGGTGAGCGTACGCCCCCATAGAGTGGCGTTGCTGGTCATACCGACCCTCCCTATGAGGGAAGCCGCCGCGGTGCCCGTACCGACCCTCGCCGTGAGGAAAGCCGCCGTGGTGGTTGTATACGGATGGGTGTCCACCGAGTTGTCCAATGTGAGTAGGGCTCGGGTATGCGGCGGGATGCTGGCCAGCATGCTCAGCGTATGCCGGGTGAGTCTGCGCAGGGTAGGCAGCATGGGTCGGCTGGAATGCGGGATGGTCGACCGGCTGCGCCTGGAAATGCTCAGGGACAGGGTCCTCCCTGTTCAGATACATCTATGAGATAGGACGCAAAAATAGAGCATGGGCCGACTCACTCTCTGGATTTCTTTGAGGATTTCTTCGAGGACTTCTTTGGAGGTTTCTTTGAGGATTTCTTGGGGGATGTCTCCGAGGATGTACTTGAGGACTTAAGGTTATCCCAGGCATCTTTACCTGCATGGTAGGCATCAACCCCGTCCTTGGCAATGGTATATCCATCCTTGGCAGCTTTGAACAGACCACCTAGGCTCAACGCTTCTGACCCTGCAGGGGTCGCCCTCTGGTACAGGACGTACTCCTGGGGAGCAGGCAGTGCACTAAGATGTGTGAGCACAAGTCCAATAACTAGCATCAAATGGCCTACTCACGCAGCGAAGGCAGGCGCGGCAACGGCGGCAACGGCGAGGACAGTGGAGGTGCGCATCTTGTTGGTCGTAAAGTGGTACGAATGAAAGTCGTGAAAACGTAGTAAGATGAACAAATGTGCGTGCGTGCAATGGAAAAGCGGATTGAGAACGAAACAAGTCAAGCTAAGGGCAAACATTATATTAGTCCTATTCTCGGACTAACGCGACCAGGAAAGGACTTACTATCCAGTACCTGAACTTGAGAAGCTTGGCTCGTACAGATCAACTGAGGGCTGGGGTTTGAACGTGGAGAACGAGCCCTTTTTATAGGCAACTGGCTCGCCGCGCGTCCCTAATAATAGATGTCCTAGAAAGTGCTACCCTTGTGGCGCGCTGTTCTACATGATGGGCATCTTCATCGAGCACACTGCCTGTCATCACGATACGGTGTGTGCTTACGCTCAGTCCACACCCCACATCTCATCTTTGAGATGATATCCATCGGAACATCGCAGCACATCTGTCGCGTGTGCAGACCAGGGTACGCACGCCTATACCCATCTTTCTGTCATCACGAATATCCCTCATAGAAGGTGTCTCAAGAGCCTTGAATCTGTTGTTAGCCAAAGTTAGCATCTGTGGGCCCAATATCACAAGATACCAACATTTAGCGGGCCATTTGCGCTTCTACGGGGTCTAGCCCAATTTCGGTTACTTTTAGTCCACTGTAAGGTCTGTAGTAGCTAGACATGCACCTGAATACCTTATTCAGTGGGACTTGTCGGACTGACCGACGGTCACCAGTCCAATGGGTGGCCTCAGCGCGCATCGACAGTTGGCGCTCTAGTGAACGAATAATCAATACAACAACTGTTGATGATATCGAAGCGCCTCACTCACCATTCCGGGAGTCGTCTAAGAATAGTGTGCACACTGCAATAACAAGCCGATTAGATGCTCAACCTATCGCATTATGGTGTAATCCAGTACACGTTCCTGATGACGCTCAGATGATAATTATGGCGAGAAAGACAGACCACACACTATTATCGCGACGACTCGGCGAGGATTATATGCCTGGCTTATTTAGCCAATATTCGCGGATCATCCGGACAGACCTTTGGCATTCTTGCTATCTCTGCATGATAAATTATCCTGGTCATCATCTGAGGGAAGGAATGATGATCCGGAGTGAAATGATGAGTAAAAGCATCGTGACACAGAACATATTTTCATCTCTCCGCGCAGAGTAACTGTTTTGACGAATCAGCCCTGGCGCTAAATGAAGCCACGCCGCGCTGAATGCCCTGTTATTGGCAGCTGTCAATGACCCTGAACATCTTCAAAAACGGCTGATTCAGTGACGGTGCTACGCACAGACTATGAGGTTGCTGAGTCCTCATGTAGCATAGGAAGCCCGGATGATGTCCGGCAATGCAACTAGCGAATATAAGACAAACAAGACCATTGGCAGGCAGATTGTTAACGACTAAACTGCGGCTCATCAAGTCGTCTCTGTAACTAATTGGCTTTGTTGTGCTGCCTCGATTTTGAGACACGCAATATGTTAGGTCCTGTAGCACAGTGGCCCTCAGCTTCTCGCCATGAGCTAGAGCTATCATAATATCGACTGACCAAGAAGACTACACAGCTGCAAGTCTCAACTTGCTATGTGCATGTGAAATTAAGCATATGAACGATGTAGAGCGGGAGATGGCCCAGGAAAGTGAATCCCATTAACAACTCACTGAGTCGGCTATGAAGACTGCTACGAGCCCACCAGGGTTATGCATGAACTTCTTTGAGCGTTTGATGATATTGGTATTACCTGTGGTGTCCAGACACACTATGTAGCCGTTCCCGCGATCACTGGAGGACTCCGAGGCTCGATCATGATTGCGGCCGACACGGCATGTAGGCGCCCAATCGCAGTGTCTGCCCGCGAAACACTCTACATGAACTCACCTTTGGCAGTACAGGCCAGTGGAGACCAAGGCGGTGTACGCCCACACGGCTCCACACACAATCTGTTTCAATGCTATGATATGTTCTCGTCTTGAAGAGCTATTACATCAATGCCGCAGACGCTCACACTCGGAAGTGTCACTGTGTTACGTCTGACGGATGTTCCGTCGTAGCGGGAGCCACTGCCAGCACGCGCTACTTCCGGACTGCGCATCGTGCTCTAGTGTTGACCTCGGCCATTCCGAGATCAATCACAAGTGCGTATTCATGACAAACGATAACAATCGGCGAGAATAAGCCATGCTGCAGTACTGGATGGGTGGACATAATAGTCTGCTGTGGGACACTCACTCACTCGTCGAGATTTGCCAATGGCTCGTGCATTTTGTAGAACTAGAAATTGGCATGCCAAGCCTTTTATTCGTATTTCTCCTTCATTGAGCGGAGGCTATGTCTGATGGAGGGTATTGAAACCGCTGATGTACGTTTCAAGGTACGATGATGGGGCCGCAGCTGCGGCCGGACTTGATCAATCGTAGCGCGGTCCACAGCCATCGGAATGTGACAAGATATAAACTGCTGGCCGCGATGGGGAGGGTTCCAGTGTGAACGCTGTGCGTACCACCCTGGTCTGGTTGCTTTTGTTCGTCGCTTCACTCTTCACGATTTCTTTCCACGTCAATTTGTTTATTCGGTGATCATGTTTGCCAACGTCTTTGTTACGGTTATCTTGTTCTTTGCCTGCATGAACAGCGCCTTCGCGTTGGTCTACAAGAGGCAGCTTGACTTTGCACATGGTGAGTGCTAGAGATAAACTTAATCGACGAGGCCAGATGCTGAGACTTCTAATTGTCAGAGAACGCTGGAATGAAGAGGGGTGTCGCAACTCGCACTCAGGACTACAATCGGTACGTTGTCGGTCGTTCTCCGACGGTACCAATGAGGCGGCAGGATTGTAAGTCAACGCAGTGATCAAAATTTATGGACCAAACTGAGCAGTCACTGTAGCCGTTCTGGGCGATATCGTCTCGAACCTCGGTGGGATTGACGGCGTGGATACCCTCGTAGAGGAGATCTTGTCCGCATTACCTCCGAGTCGTAAGTCTCACACCAGAACTTCCATCGAGGCTGTACTTACCACATGTAACAGTGGTCACACCTGCTTCCTCGATGTTGTCCGAGATCACCCAGGCGGCTGCATCAGCTGCAAGTGCTAGCGCAACGCAGGCTGGGTTGGCTTCCCCGACCGGAGCGCCCGTAGGTGGTTCCAACTCTACGGCGATCCCGTCAGACCCGTCGACAAATGCAACTGCAACGGACCCGGCTTCCGGTGCCAATGCAACTGCATCTGCGTTCCCGACCGGCACGGACGAAGCGTCTTCGCCCTTCCCGACGGGTGCAAACGCCACAGCGTCAGCGTTCCCTACCGGCACCGACCCTAGTGCCAATGCGACCGCCATTCCCACTGATGCCAGTGGCAACTCCACTGCTTTCTCCACGGGTGGCTCTTCGAGCGACAACTCAACAGCCGTTCCTACGGCGACTGACGGTTCATTCAGCTCTGCGGCGTTCCCCACCGCGACCGCGACGGACGGCTCATCGGGCAATTCGACCGCCATTCCCACGACGGCGGGCGGCTCGCCGGACAACTCGACGCTCAGCATTCCGACCGCCACCTCGAGTGATGGCTCATCTGACAACTCGACAGCGATCCCGACAACGACTGCTGATAGCTCGGCGGCATCCTTCTCGGGATTCCCTGGAGGAGGGAACTCGACAGTACCCTCGGGCCCCTTCTCCGGCGGGAACAGCACCGGTTTCCCCATCGGCGGAGCGTCAGGAAACGGAACCACAGGAGCCTGCAAGACTGGCGTAGCTAGCGCAGCCGGCCCGAACGCGACCTCGACGGATGGCTCTTTCCCGCCGAGCGCGAACGCGACTGGCGGCTCGATTGACAACTCCAGCTCCTTTGGCAACTCGTCCTCTGGTTTCCCTGGTGCATCGTCCGCTTCTGACCCGTCAGCCAATGCGACGGCGGCCGGCAGTGGCAACTCCACGATGGCTGGTTCTATGCCATCGGTTACCGCCGCGCCGAGCGCACCTTGTGAGTATTTCACGCCTTTGTGACGGAAACCGAGTATTCACATCCAGTACAGCCAGCGGCGCGTCCCTGAGCCAGCTGTTCGCGGACCTGCAGAACGCTGACGGTGACATCACTGCCATCATGGCGTCCTTGAGCACATTGCTTCCCGCTGCTAGTGCGTACACAGGCTCTTTTAGGAGGATCGATGCTGATGACCTTACAGCACAAGCCGCATCACAGAGCGCCCCAAGCGCTGATCCCCTTAGCAGCTCTGGTGGCTACGGCGGCCCGGTCGGCGCCGGTGCTGTGGCAAGTGCGAATGCAATGTGAGTAACGAAGCAACCTGCGCACCTCGCACAGCGCTCATTTCCAGCTCTTCTAGCGCGGCTCGTTCTGCCGTGCCTTCGCCCTCTGCGTCCGGCAAGACCAGCGGTGCCCTGAGCAACCGCCTCGCCTTCTCCGCAGCGATGCTGTCCGGCATCGCTGTGGTGCTAGGTGTGACTGTGCTATAAGCTGCGACCACCCGAAGACCCCTAGCATGACAAGACAACCTTTTACGACCACTCTCGCGGCTGCGCTGCGATGACACGCGATCACCGTTCCAACCTATTGTTGACGTGTTTTAGTTGCTTAACGACCTACGCTCCTTATATTGTTATCGTGAATGTACCTTTAGTGACGCGACGAATACCAGCGATTGTGATCAAATAACACGGTCTGCCCTGTGGGAGCATAAGGAATATCAGTGCGAGTTCACCAGCATGGTACGTCGTGAGCCCTGTCGGTAGCTCTGTTTCAGGTTCGTTAGTATGAGTGAATGAGAGTATCAAGATAACGAACGGCCGTTGAACGAACGAATCCTGCGTCTGCCATTCAGGCACTTATGATTTCTCTATCCCGACTTACATCATCCTCAGTCCCTGCGCCATCCCACTTGTCTAATACATCCTTCAAGTCCTTCCCCAGAGGCGTGTTCGCCTCGCCTATCGACACGCCATACACACCCTCCACGAGCGCTCTCCTAACGAACGGCACGAGTACCCGGGCGTACACCGTTGCCGCAGCCCCCACCACGCCCTCCTCCGCCTCCGCCTCTTCCGCGCTCAGCCGCGACAACGCGTCTGCCCATGGCCGTTCCTGCGCCAATGCCAGCAGCGCGCCCAGACCCTTCGCGAGCGACGCGTCGAGGGCGCGCAGGAGGGCGCTGAGAAGCTCCACAGGCGCAAGCAGGCGCAGACCGTTCAGCGCGGTGAGAATCGCGTTCAGATAGACGGCAAGCGGCGGATAGGACACGAGGAGCGGCGGCGGGACGTTGGGCGGTCCGGATGAGAGCGCGCGGAGCTGCGCCGCTGTCGGTAGGGGCGGCGAGGGTAGGGAGGAGGGTGCGACCAGATACTGCGAGGGTTTCTTGCCAGAGATGGAGGAAGCAGACCTCCTCCCGTCAGTGCCCATTCTGATTTTGTCGCACAGTGCCTCGGCGGCCTCGTTGAATTCACGCTCGACGCCCTTTTGTACTGCGTCGACAAAGATCGGGGCGAGCAGCCCCTTGAAGTCTAGTCCCACACGCGCGAATGAGTTGGCGCAGTATGTGAGCTGCGTGAGCAACGAGGTGAGCAGGGAAGGGTCTGGGATAAGCGGAAGCATCTCCTGCAGGAGCGCGAGCAGCGTCTGCAGGTGCAGATTCGTGAAGGTCGCGAGCAGCGCGTGCAGCTGTGGATGCGCGGCTGCAGACGTCGAGGGCGCGCGGTCGAGAAATATAGAGGTGTACTGGGTGATGACATCGTACACGCCCTCCCGCCAGAGATCAACATACCGCTTCAGATACCGCGCGTACGCCTCCCGCTCGTGCTCCGCGTCCCCCTGCACGCCCTTCCTCTCGCTCTCGATCGTCTTGAACAGGCCGTCCAGGTACACGCCACGGCCGGTCAGGAACGCGAGCGCGAGCTCGGGCTCATCGAGCACCGCCATCTTGCGCAGGAAGCCAACGGCGCGGAAGAGCGCGGGGAGCTTGGCCTGCTCGCTGAGCATGCGGAGGAGCTGCGCGAGCATCGCCTGCACGCGCGCATCGCACTCGGCCTTGACAGACTGCACGAGCGGGTCGGCGGGGAAGCGCGCGGCGAGGCCGGCGGCGTGCTGCGCGAGGAGGAGCGCCTCGGCGTAGCTGTGGTTGCGCACGCACGAGTCGAGAAGCACGGGGAGCGACAGCGCGTCGTAGAGCTTGTCGTGGTGCTCGAGGACGAGCGCGGCTTTGCGGCGGTCCTTCTGGATCGCGCGCGCGTCGACCGCGAAGGAAGCGGCGGAGGACTCGAGCGCGGGGAGGGAGGAGACGAGCGCGTCGAGTGAGGAGGAGAGCGAGGAAAGGGAGGATGAGAGGGTGGAGGTCGTCGCATGTATGGAGAGGAAGGTCGGGTAGGAGGTGTGGCAAAGGGTGGTGAGCGCATTTGTTAGCTGTGCAGAGGATGAGGAAAGCTCGGTTGGCTGAGACTCGAGCTCGGAGAGAGGCAGGGAGGTGAGTTCGTCGAGATAGCTAGTCGTGTCAGGCGACGACCAAGTAGCAGCAGGCGCATGTGGGGAGGAGGCTAGTATTTCTGCCAGGGAAGGTAAATCAGACAGCCTGTGCCCGTTCGTAATAATTGTCGAGTGTAGTATATCAGCCATTGTGTGGGTATTTGGTGCGTAGTGGGTCGAGTCTTGCCTGAGCCAGCTTAGTCCATGTATGCGTGCAATTGCACGACCCGTCTGTCAAGATGAGAAGGTATAGAATAAGACTGGCCGCGGCTGCAACGAAGTGAGTGGAACGGTATTCCCTCATTTCCATACGTGGAAACTGACCGACGCGCTCGCCGCTCAGTTGGCGCTACACCCTGGTCGACGCGTTGTACTTTTTCGCTGCTAGAAGCTAACGTTCTGCTTCAATATTACGATTGTGCATCTATGTTTGCAACTGTCTCTTCCTTGACCGTCTCCTTGCCATTTGTGCCAGTGTCTTATACGTCTCAAAAGAGGATCCGCCGGATAGGCATTTGACTGATGCTCTGGGCGCAGAATATCCGCGCGGGCAGGAAGAACTGGAGTCTATGGCGTCAGGATGGATGCCGCCTCAGGCTCGCATCCCTGAACCGTCGCGCCTCGGAGAAAGAACCATTGGTAGTGAGAAGACATCATTGATGTATCCTTACACGAATATATTGTCTGACTGCCACATTGTCAGTAACGGTTGACTCTCTGCTTGTGTCCAGACCGGGAGGTCGGGCTTCTACTTCAGACGATCCAAAGGTCGTCTGGCTGACAGTATGACATCAGCTGTCACCTCTCCTTTGGCAGCCGCCTTTCATCGCGCATATATAAAGCTGGACGCCTCACCATTTCCCCCACTTTGCTTTTGCTTTCTATTACCACTCTCCTGCACCTGTCATACACCTGCTCTTCGACCATTACAGTTTAAACATGGGTAACCAGGCGTCCCATACCCGCTACCTCGCCCTTGGCTCCTTCGTCGTCAATTTTGGCGTGCAGAGCTACGGCATGCTCACGTCTCCCAACATGAAGGACGTAGCGGATGCGGTTTGTCATTTTCCTTAGAAATATCGCACATAACTGAATGCTTTCGGTTTTACAGAACCACTATGCGTTCTCCCCTAACCCATGGTTCATCGCTGCCTTCTTCTCCGGGCAGGTAGTGCTCCAGGTGGCCTGGATTCGCAAACTCTTCAAGCTCGACCAGTCCGGATATCAGCAGATTGGGGCGTCCTCGGAAGATACAAATGTGACTGCAGACGAGGTACAGACTGCTGTGTCATATGTGCCCATATATGCGCTCGGAAACCTCTGCATTGGTATGTAATGTTTGCCGTCAGAAGTTCAACGGCCTAACACTTCATCTTTAGCCGGATGGCTCCTATTCTGGCTGCGTGGCGAATTCACTGGTTCGCAGGTGCTCGTTACGATCAACACCCTCATGCAGTTGTTTGCCGTGGCGCGTCTCCCGCCTCTCACGTCTACCAGTAGCAGCCTCATGCTACTTACCCATATGGTCGCGAAGACGTTCGCCGGGATCGGTGTGCTGGACTTCATTGACAACGGCGGTGTCGTAATGGTCAGTCCAGTCTCGTCGATCCACATAAACATCAATCTCACACGTCCGCAGGGTTACCGTGCACCCCCATCTGCACTTGTTGCAGGGCTGACCTACGGCCTTTTCCCTCTTGCAACTGCAGTCTCCACGCCGTTCTTCGGCTCCATCCTTCTGTACGACGTTCTTGGTATCATGGTTGGACAGCGGGGTGTCCTTGGAGCCGGCCGTTGGACCACGGGCTTGGGTTGGACTGCTGTCGCAATGGGCGGTATCATTGGCGCCAAGACCTTCCTGACGGAAAGGAAGATCTAAGTGGGCATGTGCGGTTTCTTGCTCGCTCGATACCTTTTGTGATTTTGTCCCTATACCATTTCTGCTTCGTTGGGAGTAAGCCTTAGGGCAGAGTGTGGCTAAATTGCGATACTCAAAGTTGACGGGTACTAGGGAGCTCCGAACTCCCCGGGGGTTATAGAGCACTCAAAAACTCCCCGGATGTCCGGGGAGTTCTTCCAGTTTTCACAACCGCCTATCAAGGCGGCGGGAACAATGCACCCATGGTCAGAGAACATAAGGCATGAATGCCAGTGTGACCTTGCGATTAGAAATTGTATGCCACCATCTTGTGACCCGATTGACTTGACCGAGGTATACAGGATCCCGGCCTGCACGTGTACTCAACGCTGGCCGTCCGCGATATCTGAAGATGGCGAAGTGATAAGGAGTCCCCGAATCGACTTTCGACGCACTGCAGTCTGCTTGGTCGTAATAAGAGACGACGGTTACGACCACAGATGAAGTCCCCGTCAGGTTTACACACCAAACCCTTTCCAACAAGCTTGTCAAGCTATGTAGTGTTCAGAGATGCTCGGGCGCACGCGTGCTTCTGGCACCGGTGCCCTGTGTCTAGGAACGACGAGCACAATGGTATATTCAAGCATGAGGGTAAGATAGAACTACATCACAAACACTGCGCCAGGTACAGAGCATGACCTCACTGTACCTTCGACTGGCGTTCGCGGAAAAGCACCTTTGTACTCGCCGGTGAAATATTGTGCCAGATCCACACGTTCTCCGGCCTGGAGACGCCCTCCTCGAGCTTCACGTCATAGTGTAGAATGATGTATGCCATCATCGCCTTGAGCTCGTTGACAGCGAAGAAGCGGCCGGGACTGTCGGACACGCTGATCAGACCATGAATGACCAGTAGAGAAGATAACCCACCAAGCGTGCTTGCCGTGACCAAAGGTGATGAACTCTCTGGAGGTGTTCACGTATTGTTTGCGGAGCGCGTCGTTCTCGGTGCGCATGTCGTAGAATCTGAACGGCTCAAACACCTCGGGGTTCTCATAGTACCTCTCGTCGGTGTGAGTCGCAAAGGCCGCAGCAACGACGAGGGTTCCTTTTGGCAGATACGTGCCATCAGACAACGTGATATCTTGCAGGACCTTGCGCATCACGGAAACTGTCAGGGACGAAGGTCAGTGATGGGGTCACGGCACAGCTCTGATCGGCGGTGGTGATCTAGCTGGGAACGTGTGTACGTACTGCCAGAGATACCACTCAGGCGCTGCGACTCCCTCATGAAGCTGTCTAGCTTCCACATTTTGCCGATAGCTTCCTTGGTCCAACCGTATTCCTTGATGATGCCTTCGATCTCTTCACGGAGTGGCTGCACGTGTTGGGGGTATGCGGCAAGATTGAGGAGCGAATGCGTGATGCTCTAGATAGCCTCGTGAGGAACATCATCCCGTCAGCAAGGAATGATTGCCAGCCCACTCACGTTGCTCGACGTGTGGATGGCAGCGAAGTTAGAGACCAGGATGCCTTGAACAACGATATCCAAGTTCTGCTTGGTCTTCTGGGCCTCTTCAATAAGCCACATGAGATAGTCGCACTATAATTGACGCATGAATGCCTGTATCAGAACACTCGGCAAGCACGCTGAGAACGCGGAGATGAACGTACCGACTTGTCTGTCTGATCGTCACCGGCATCCTGCATTTTGGAGACGCGCAGGCGAATCAATGGCTTCACATGCACTCCGGCATTCCGAACCGCACGCTTAGCCCAAGGCAGGAAGTGTCCCACAATGCTGCGAGAGCACCATCGTTAGCTTCACGCTGTAGCATCATTGCATGGAAAATTCTGTGCGGCTACTTACGGTCGGAAGACAGCCGGTGCGGCATTTATGATGGTCCTACTCTTGGCTACAGAGAATGCGAATTCCACGACGGTCTTCAGGTAGTCTGGATTGCGGCCTTTCGTGCGTTGTGAGGGCAGCGCAATGACAAAAGCAGGACTCTTCTTACACAATGGTAGGCCCACGAATATACGATTGCTTGCGCGGGAAACAATGCGCCCCATGGTATCGCGCACCGACACGGCAACCCAGTCTATCCCAATGCGAATATATCAGCATCAGAACATAGTTATAATTGCCCGCAATGCCACATACCACCACGTTTAGCAGCCGGTGGCATGAGCTCTGGGAAGGCGACGTTGATCTCATCCACGACGTCAGGGAACAATGCGCCCAGGTTACGTGTGAGCGGTCCACGAATTACAGGCGTATGAATCGGATGTTCGTTAACATCCGGAGCAATTGTATATTTCAACTGAATGAGCTGTGATGCGAGACATCATGTTAGCGTCCGCGAAGGGATAAACACAAAGAGCCGTTGACGGCCACATACATCATCTGCAGCTTCTTGAAAGGAGACGTGAGTGTCAGGTACTTTGCGGAGCTCCTCGTTCATGTCCGCGCCGCTCACAACCACCACCCATCGGTCCACAAGGGAGACACGGAAGACCTTGTACTATAAAGGTTCACAGGCGTAAGTAGATGTGCTCTCAGCTAAATATTGTCCAACCTTGTGATAGCCCTCCTGCAGAATTGATTGAGCATTGCGACAGTACCTATATGCGCTCAGGTAGGAGACGATAGGTGCAGATGGGCCAATCGCAGGGATGTGTCGCAACTAGATCACGATGAGATGAGCAGACAACGGAAATATGTTTGCGCGACGCTTACTGGATCAGTACTCCAACGTACGAAGTACAGGGTAGCCAATATCCCCAACAGAGCAAATACGTACTGCGCCTTATCCTCCATCTCGTATGGGGTGAGACTAGAAACATCGTGGCTCTTTATCTGGAGAAGGAAACGCAAATGTGTTTACGCTGAATGGCCCGCCCGGCACCTGTGAGTAACCAGAGCTGACGTTTTAACTTCGCGAAGCGAGACCGTTCACACGGTACGCTACAACCCCACGGCACAGCTTCTACTTTTGCATCCGTATGAAGAATCGACGGGTGGACAATCTAAATGCCGTTCTCCCGTCTCGGCCATCTCAACATTGTCGAGTCACCGGGCTGTTTCCCACTGATCGGCGGAACCGCGCTAGGCGACAGTGAGATCGCTAGTGTTGAATATTGAATGCTTATCGCTAATGAGGCCCGTGCGTCTTTGAACAGAGTAGCGAGGTGCAGATGGACGAAAGTCGCAATGTTGTTTGAATTCCAGAGCTTACTAAGCAGCTTGTGCCCACCCGAAAGATGAAATAGATGCACCAATCATTGGAAGACACACGTAATAAGATGATACCGAGGACGTCGAGAGATGACTTCATCCGAATACACGACCTCACTCCACCTTCGATTGGCGTTTGCGGAAGAGAACTTTCGTGCTTGCCGGGGCGACATCATGCCAAACCCACACATTTTCCGGCCTGGAAATACCTTCTTCGAGCTTCACGTCATAATGTAGAATGATGTATGCCATCATTGCCTTGAGCTCGTTGACGGCGAAGAAACGGCCAGGGCTGTCGGAGAGTTCAGACAGCGAAACAATGATTGGGCAAAGCAACGATCACTCACCAGGCATGCTTACCGTGACCGAAGGTGATGAACTCTCTGGAAGTATTCACGTACTGCTTGCGGATTGCATCGCCCTCCATGCGCATTTCAGAAAATCTGAAAGGCTGGAATATCTCGGAGTTCTCGTAGTACTTCTCGTCAGTATGAGTGGCGAAGGATGCAGCGACAACAAGAGTCCCCTTGGGTAGATATGTTCCATCGGACAAGGTGATGTCCTACAGAACCTTGCGCATCACGGAGACTAGGGAGGACAAGATGTTAGCGGCAGCATATCTGGTCGATGATCGCCAGTGAAGAGAGTAAGATGTGCACATACTGCCGGAGATACCGCTTAGGCGCTGCGATTCTCTCATGAAGCTATCTAACTTCCACATTTTCTCGATGGCGTCTTTCGTCCAACCATGTTCCTTGATGGCAGCTTCGACCTCTTCGCGAAGCGGCTGCACGTATTGTTTATACGCAGCAAGGTTGAAGAGCGAGTGTGTGATGCTCTGGGTTGCAATTCCCAGCGTGAGACTCCCTCCCTCGGCTACAAGCAGCGCTCTACTCACGTTGCTTGACGTGTGAATGGCAGCGAAGTTTGAGACCAGAATTCCTTGAACTACAAGGTCGGGATTCAGTTTCGCCTTCTCTGTCTCCTCGATAAGCCACATCAGATAGTCGTGCTATGAGCGGCACACGATCAGATCGATCAGAAAGCTGAGTACGAACGCAAACCTGAACTCACCGACTCATCTGCGTGCTCGCCATGAGCGCTCCGTAACTTCCGCAGCCGTTCTTGGACCATTGGTTGAATATATATGGCGGCATGGCGGATTGCACGCTTAGACCAGGGTAGGACGTTCCCTACGATGCTACAGGTTCAAAAGGCAGACAACAGTCAGCTTGATATTGTTAAATAGCGGGACAGATCAACGGAAGAGCGACAGATAAAGGGGATTCAGGGCAGCTTACTCACTCCTTCACCACACCCGGAACAATGCTCAGGAAGTCTCTGGCCTTTGCGACAGAGAGTGCGAACTCGACAACCGTGTCCAGGTAGTCTGGGTTACGGCCTAGAGGGAGATATGTGAGAATGCAACAACATTACAGCCTGCAATAATCTTACATAGCGGAAGGCCGACAAAAACACGATTGCTTACCCGAGAAACGATGCGTGCCATGGTGTCACGTACTGGAATCTCTACCCATTCTGGCCAAGACAAGGTGAGTATGCCACCCGTAAGTAATGCGTTCGCCCGCCATGACACTTACCGCCATCCTTGGTGGGCGAAGGCATAACATCTGGGAAGGCGGCCTTCATCTCGTCCACGATGTCGGGGAACAGCGAGTTTAAGTTACGGGTGAGCGGGCCACGGATCACAGGCGTGTGGATGGGATGCGTGGTGACATCAGGCGCAACGGTGTGCTTCATGTAAAGGAACTGTGACATCGCATACCATACACACATCGTGAGCCGAGCCAAGGCATATAGGAAGAAAAGCATGACAACGAATGACATTGGACTCACTTCATCTGCAGCTTGTGCGAAAGAGACGTGCGTATCAGGCACTTTGCGAAGCTCTTCATTCATATCGGCACCGCTCACGACAACCACCCATCGGTCGAGCATGGAGACTCGGAAGACCTTGTACTGCAAGAGCCCAACGACGTGAGCTCCGACCGTTGAGTGCAGCAATACCATGTCTGACCTTGGCATAACCCTCTTGGAGAACCTTCCGGGCATCACGATAGTATCTATATGCGCCTAGATAGGACAAGACGGGGGCGGATGGGCCGATTGCTGGGATAGGGTACAACTAGATCACAAGGTGAGTATACAGTACGGACAAGGATTGTTGTCAAGCCTGACCGGGTCAGCCTTCCAATAAATGAAGTAGAGCGTAGTCACGATGCCCAAGAAAGCGTAGATATACTGCGCCTTGTCTTCCATCCTGCACAGGTACCGTCAACCACGTCTGGCGGGATCTGTCCAGCCAACGTGTAATTGTCGCAAATTTATAGCGAGACATAACGTCAAGGATCTTTACGCATTATGGCCGATACGCCCATGGCGCGTAACCAGAGCTGACGTTGCGGCGTACCAAAAGTGATGCATTTCACACGGCGTGATCTATAGCCTGTGGAAGAAGTTCTATGGCGTTAAGCTGTATAGCTTCTTATGCATGCCAGCTGAAAAATCGACCGTCGGCCGCCCGTGTCCCAGGGTCTGCAAACGTATAGGTTACGTAGTTTTTGCAGGTTCGAATGGGTTGGCGGAGCCGCGCTCAGGCGCCTTAACCAATGGCTCGGATGACAATGTACTTCATACCCGTCAAGACCTCTTCAGACACAACATTGTCGAGCGGTGCCGTGTGTGATCCCACGACAAGGCAACTGGCTTCTTGTGCGATAATTGAGCCAATCTCCCTATATTCGCAAATACGGCAAATGAACACGAGGTACAGACAACGTTTAATGACTAACCAATAGACATCCATGCCGCCCTGGGCAACCATCCCGAAGTTGAGGGCAGCGCTACCGAATAGGCGTGCGCCATGCGACCTCCCTCAACACCCGAAGCGAGACCGTTCACACGGTATGCTACAATGCCATGGCACAGCTTTTACTTTCACATCAGTATGAAGAATCAATGGTCGGACATTTTGGATGCCGTTGCCCCGTCTAGGTAATATCGACAGTGCTGTGACCTGTCGAATCGCCGAGTCGTTTCCCACTGATCGATAGAACCGCGCTAGATGATAATGAGACCGTCAGCGTTGAATGCTTATTGCTAATTTGTCCCATACGTCTTTAAACCAAGTAACAAGGTGGATGGTCAAAGTCACTAAGTTTTGTGAATTTCTGAGCTTATCAAACTAAGACACACGGGCTGCTGGCGCGAACAATTGGTACCTACCTGAAAGACGGAATAACTGCAGACAACGTATTGGAGGATACAGGTAGCAAGATGATATCGAGGATATCGAGAGACGACTTCATCCGAATACGGCCTCACTCCACCTTCGATTGGCGTTTGCGGAAGAGCACCTTCGTGTCAGCTGGAGCGACATCGTGCCAGACCCACACGTTCTCCGGCCGGGAAACACCCTCCTCGAGCTTCACGTCATAATGTAGAACGATATACGCCATCATTGCCTTGAGCTCGTTAACGGCGAAGAAGCGGCCAGGGCTGTCGGAGAGGCATCAGGGAGACAATACTTAAGCAAACAACCACCACTTACCAGGCATGCTTGCCATGACCGAATGGAATGAACTCTTTGGAAGTATTCACGTACTGCTTGCGGACTGCATCGCCCTCCATGCGCATCTCAGAAAACCTGAAGGGCTCGAACGCCTCAGCGTTCTTGTAGTACTTCTCGTCGGTATGAGTGCCTAAAGACGCGGCGACAATCATAGTTCCTCTGGGTAGATATGTGCCATCGGACAAGGTGATGTCCTGCACAACCTTGCGCATCACGGAAACTTGTGGATAAAACGTAAGCGACGGACGTGAAGGCAACGAACGGGGTGTGCACGCACTGCCGGCGATACCACCCAGGCGCTGCGACTCTCTCATGAAGCTGTCCAGTTTCCACATCTTGTCGATGGCGTTTTTCGTCCAGCCATGTTCCTGAATCACAGCTTCGACCTCTTCGCGGAGCGGCTGCATATATTCGGTATGCGCAGCAAGATTAAAGAGCGAGTGTGTGATACTCTGCACCGCAATGCCCAACATGAGACATCGCTCATCAGTGTAGTCTCAATTAATAATCTACTCACGTTGCTTGACGTGTGAATTGCAGCGAAATTTGAGAGTAGGATCAACTGGATCACAAGGCTGGGGTCCTGTTTTGCCTTCTGCGTCTCTTCAATAAGCCACGTGAGATAGTCGTACTATAAGCGACACAAGAACGGATGGATCAGAAAGCCAAGTTAGTAACGCGAAACCGAACGCACCGGCTTCTTTGCATCATCGTCGCCGACGTTCTGCATGTTCTGAAGGCGCTCTTGTATCATTGGCTCGACATAAGCTGTGGCATGCCGGATGGCACGCTTAGACCAGGGCAGGAGGTTTCCCGCAATGCTATGGTAAACATGATACACAATAGTTAGCATCTCATTATTAACCGGTGGGGACGGCCGATTGAACAATGATGCACAAGGCAGATCACTCACCCCTTCAGCAAACCCGGCACAACGCTCAGGATATCCCTCGCCTTCGCGACAGAGAGTGCATATTCGACGAGAGTGTCCAGGAACTTTGGGTCACGGCCTAGGCATGATATGTGAGAATGAACCAGCAACATCGGTAGGGTTCTTACATAACGGAAGGCCGACGAAAACACGGTTGCTGATCCGGGAAACGATGGCTGCCATAGTGTCACGGACCGGAAAGGCTGCCCATTCTGGCGAACACGGGATGAGTGTTCCAAGCGCAAGGAACGTATTCGCCCACCGTGACACTTACCGTCATCCTGGGTTGGCATTGGCATGACCTCCGGGAAGGCAACTTCCATCTCGTCCACAACGTCGGGAAAGATCAAACCCAGATTGCGGGTGAGCTGTCCGCGAACCACGGGTATGTGGAGTGGATGCTCGATAACATCGGGCGCAACAGTATATTTCATGTAAGTGAACTGTTATACCGCGTTAGAAAGGAACGTAGACAGGGTTGCGCGCGTAAATATGCATGGGAATTCACTTACATCGTCCACAGCTTCTACGAATGAGACGTGCGTGTCAGGAACTTTCCGGAGTTCCTCGTTCATATCGGCGCCGCTCACAACGACCACCCACCGGTCAAGCATAGAGACTCTGAAGACCTTGTACTTTAACAGCCCAATGACGTGAGTTCTGACCATTAACTACAAGCGGAGCCATCCCCAACCTTGTTATAGCCCTCTAGGAGGACCTCCTGAGCATTGTGATAGTACTTGTATGCACCTAGGTAGGACAGGATTGGCGCAGACGGGCCGATCGCGGGGATGTGTCGCAACTAGATCACAAAGTGAGCGCACGGTGCAGGTGATAATTATTTTTAGGACCGACCGGGTCAGCTTTCCAATAGATGAAGTAAAACGAAGCCAAGAGGCCCAAAAGAGCGTAGACATACTGTACCCTGTCTTCCATATTGTGCAGTTACCGTGCAACACGCCTGACGGGATCCGTACAGGCAACACTTGTTTATCGCTGATTTATAGCGGGACATAATGTCAAGGATCTTTACGCAATATGGCCGATATGGCCGTGGCGCGTAACCAAAGCTGACGTCGCGGCGTATCGAAAGCGTTGTCATTCACACGGTGTGATCTATAGAGCCTGTGGGTGTTGTGCAACGTTGAGCTGTTTAGCTTCTATGTGCGCGCCAGTCGCAGATCCGACTGTCGGCTGCCCGCAAGGAATGTGTGATAAATGGGGAGGTTCCGGTAACGCTCTGCGGTTTTTGCAGTATTGACTGGTGGGTCGACGGGACTGCGCTGATGGTGAATCATGTACGCTGACCCGTACCGCCGATTACCGCGGGCAGATCGCTTCGGCCGTCAAATAATTGTACGTTGCAGCATTCTACTTACAACATTAGTCTATATTTATAAGCTTCTTCGATTCCGCTCATGCCGGTTGAACATCCTCTACGGTATCGTAGAAGTCCTTGATGAGCCGTCTTTGAGAATCACTTCCTTTCTCGGACTGTCATAGCGTGCCGCAAGATCAACGATCATGCAATTGAGCAAGAATAGCTGCCAAATAGACTTACCGCGCTATCACCAATGGCTCGGATGACAATATACTTTCTGCCCGTCAAGACCTCCTCAGAGACAACATTGTCGAGCGGTGCCGTATGCGATCCCGCGACGAGACAACCGGCTTCTTGTGCGATGATTGAGCCTGCACACACATCCCAAGGCCTGCGGAATGCTGAGCCCATCTTATGATACATGCAAGGTTACAGGGTATGCGTACCAGCAGCCAATCTCCCTGTATTCGCCAATACTGCATGTTAATACGAAGTCCAGACAACGTTTCATGGGTGACTAACCAATATATATCCATGCCGCCCTGAGCAACCAGCGCGAAGTTGAGGGCAGCGCTACCGAGAGAGCGCAAAGAGTGCGCCATGCGCCCTCCCTCAACACCTTCCTTCGGGTTACCCGCGAGTCTCTTGTAAGAGTCGCCCTTGGCTCGGACAAGATCCTGTGAACGGTCCGATCCCCACTCAATACCTGTTACAGATCATGTATCGAGAATCACTGGTGAATCAAACGAGATGGCGTACCGATGAGGGCTTGCGAAAGCGATGGTAGTGGGCGCGGAGTTGCAATGGGTAGCTTCACGGGTGAGCGGCTTCCTTGTTGGAGGTACGCACCGTCGCCCTTGACAGCAGTGTAAAGCTGCTCAAGGAACGGGTTGTAGATGACGCCGAGTACGGGAGACTTCTTGTAGATCAAACCAAGGGAGATACAGACATGAGGAAATCCATGGACGAAATTAGTCGTTCCGTCTGCGGTAGAGAGCCATCACGACTAATGGTGAGTATACGAGTGAATGTTATCATTTCCTGAAGGAGACACACCGATGGGGTCGACGCAGAACGTAGGCTCGTCTGTCAGCGGCGCCCTCGATCCTGCTGCATACGACTCTTCTCCGATACTGCCCAGCTGTCGGTTAGCCTGTTCCTACTAATGTGACCCGCTATCCATGTAACACTCTTATCGATCGTTGCGAGCAAGAACCTACTCACAACTGGAACGACGGATACTTGCTGCTCAATTCTTTCTTCACTAACTCCTCCACTTTCACATCGTACTCTGTAACAAGATCGACCGAATTCTTCTTCTCGTTGACATTCCCGGCAGCGAGGATTGCCTGAGAGCCTTGCAAGATGATTTCACCAGCAGACCGTGCCAATGAAGTGGTGAACGAGAGAATTGCACGCAAGTCGTCAGAAGAGAGATCAGACATCGTAGAGATCCCGTCGTTGCTTTGAAGCAGGTAAGCAAGTAAGCCTTACGATGGTCAGTCGTAACGCGTAGCAGTGAACGGAGTTCCCCGTCATTGCAGCCACCAGGCACGGACGTCACTATAGTCGCCGCTGATTGATGGCCGAGCCTCAAATTCAAACATGACATGCTATATTCGTGTGAACCATGCAGCAGTGGACGCTGCATAGACATCTCCCACAGCCGGTTGTGGCCTCCGGCGAGCTCACACATCTATTATGCTGTGGACTGCACCTATCTGGTCCCTCCTGACGGGTGGTGTCCTCGGACACAACCAGCACGTCTTCACCCTTGCCAGTACCGGGGCGGATGCATCTCCCATCATCCCTGGTGCTAATCTCGCCACGGCAGCCAACCTGTCCGCGGTGAATGCGGACGCATATAGCTTGTTGATGCACCCGAGCTTCCCCGGCCATCGAATGAGAATCAAAAAGAGCGCATTCTGTGATCCGACTGTAAAGTGAGTCCAACTGTCGCATACGAAAGGCGAAAGTCTCGAGGTTATTCCGATCATATCAGCGCATACACTGGGTATCTAGACGTTGATTACGGCGCAAAGCACATGTTCTTCTACTTCTTCGAGAGTCGAAGAGATCCTACCAAAGGTATCGATGCCGTACCGCAGCTCTGGATGACATCCCATTTCAGCTGAAATCGCCAGATGACGTGATGATGTGGATTAACGGAGGTGGGCTTCCCCTTTGACACGAATGTGGGAGAGCAACTGTTCATTGCAACGATCTTGTGAAGGTCCTGGATGTTCGTCTGCCAGCGGTTTGCTCATGGAACTAGGTAGTGTTCATGACTACTACCTTTGAACACAAACTAACACAGCGGACAACTATCAGGACCATGTAGCCTCGACCTAGAGGAAATTTCATCAAACGGAACGGTCTGGAACCCATATTCTTGGAACACCGAGGCGAATGTCTTCTTTCTGGACCAGCCGTATGCATTTCTTGAAATAAGTATTACATCAGGGGCTAAGCAGGGATATCCCACAGAGTGGGAGTGGGCTTCTCTTACGCTGACTACGAAGAGACGGTTGAAACCACCGAAGGCGCTGCGAAGAATGTACATGCTTTCATTTCGCTTTTCTTCGACACGTTCCCCGAGTTTGTCGGACGTCGGCTCCATCTCTCCGGCGAATCCTATGCTGTATGTGCAATACCCTACTGTGGTATTATTTTACAGTGTTCTCACTACCATCAGGGGCGCTATCTGCCGGCATTTGCTAGTTACATCGTGGATCAGAACGAGCTTGCTGTGGCACAAGGAAGGAGACCGGCGAACTTGACGAGTGTGATTATTGGAAATGGAATCACCGACATATCAACGTAAGCTTTACATTCAAAACTCATCTCGCAATCATGTACTGATAGATACCGGATACAGGCTTTATCCGGGCCGCTATGAAGTTGAATGCGGCACTGCTGCTCTTGAAGTTCCTTTCCAGAAAATCAGCACTTGTGTGCGCATGAAAATAGCGGTGTGTTACCTGTACTTCGATCCCTGTCATGCTTCCTCATGGCTATCCAGCTCCCTCGATGCCAGGATGCAATCAAGCGGAACTGCGTGGAGCAGCTCGATATGATGAATTGTGACGCAGCATTCAGTTTCTGTGATGCCGAGCTGAGCACAGCGTATTGGGAAAGCGGTGAGTGAAGTTCATGAATGTCCCTAACTTGGCTCACTATGATCTACATCAGGTCGAAATGTATATGACATCTCAACGGTTTGTGCTTTCTTGTAGTATATGCAGCCTAGCATTTACTAAAGAATTCTTTTCCTAGACGTGCGAGGAGAACGTAATGTGCTCAAAGAAGAACACGCTTATAAAGGAATACCTCGACCGGCCTGACATCCGCCAGCTGCTCGGCGTTGATCCATTGTTCAACTTCACTGTGTGCAGCCACGACGTCGGGCTCGGCTTCCACTCTCACTCGGACATGCGGCGCGTTCCTTCACAGCATCATGTCGCGGCGCTCCTCGAGCGCAGCATACGTGTGCTGATCTACGCAGGGACGTACGACTGGCAGTGCAACTGGGTAGCTAACAAGCTATGGGTCGACAACCTTGACTGGACTGGCAAGGCTGCATACGCTGTCGCAGAATGGCATGACTGGCATGTCGACGGGAAGAAGGCTGGTGAGACGAAATCAGCCGGGCTACTGAGATTCGTAACCGTGCGCGGCGCAGGGCATATGATAAGTGCCGAACTTTTCTCCCCCCGGCTAACTGAACTGACATATTGACGATGTTTACGTTCCTCATGATAAACCCGCAGAATCACAGGCTATGGTATCAAGATGGCTGGCGCACCAAGAATTGTGATCTAACCGTACATGATGCTAAGCTATCCATGCATTGCATGGCGATTCATGTTTGGGTCGTCCGCATATATCAGACTTGTCCCAAGCCCGATCTCGCGCTAATCTCATCATGGGTTAGTCCGCATCAAACGTACTGCTACATTGTTGTACATCATAAGTATGAATAAATCAAGTGCTCTCGTCGTCCTTCTTCTCTCGTACTTCTACGACTTCGCTGGGGTCAGCCTTGTCATGGAGGTGCTTCTCTGCAGGCTTCCAACTGAGTGAATTCCATGGCTTCACTCCAGACCGATACAACTCATCGACCTGTGCACATCTCGGTCAGCGAGTGCGAAGGAAGCTGGCTACTATTACTCACCTCCTCTAAGCTGAGACCGGCCGTCTCTGGTATGAAGAGATAAACGTAGACGAAACCGAAGAGTAGCATGCCGAAGAAAATCAAGAGGATCAGAGGACCGATTTTAGCGGAAATGCGGGGAGAGAAGAAGCTGAGGAGGAAGTTCCAAACCCAGTCTGCGCGCCGTTGTCAGAAGATACTGGAAGTAATCAACTTTGAGCAACTCACTCGTTGCACTGCCCAGGGCGATGGACTTCGGTCTCACTCGCAGGGGGAAACTTTCTCCTACATAAACCCTTTATGTGGACCGGTCAGTTCTATTTCGCTTGTGAATACGCAGAAGACTCGCCATGGCGTGGCACCCCAGAACAAGCTAAACGCGAAGACATGTATGACAGCGAACGCTATCAAAACGTCACCGCCTTGGCGGTTGCGTGCAGTCAATAAATTTGCCGGAGTGCCAGTGGGGGCTAGCAAGAGATGTCCGACCAGAGCTGCAATAATGGCGCAGGCAGCCTGAGCAAGTGCTCCGATGAGGAGAGACTACAGGGCATACGCGTAAGTATTGGATGTGAAAAGGCCAATTTATGGACATACCCTTCTACGACCCCAGGCATCGATGAGATAGAGGGCGGGTATCACGCCTGCTACAGATACTGCTCCGAGAATTGTCTGGATGACATACGGGGATAGCCTAGCTTCACTGTAAATAATGTTGTATACAAGCGAAGAGATCAGTACTAACTGTGTACCGGCGCTCTGTGCAAATGCAACTCTGTGTTATACACGCCTGAGCTTGACAGGGAAAAAAGCTTACCTGGAAGAATGTGTCGCCGTAGTAAACTAAGTATCGGGTGCATAAGCAATCGTACCACGAACTGGTCGTGTAACGAGGCACTTACAGTAGAAGTTCTGGCCATTGAGCTGCTGAATAAACATCAACATCATACCATTAATGGTTCTCTTCCACAACTGGTTCCTAGTCGAGAAGCACTCTAGCCAAGTGACCTTTCCTCCCTCGTTCTCCGCCTTGATACCGAATGCTAGATCTTCAATGATGTCCTGCACAAGCGGGTCGTCTTGCGGCACCCCGTTCAGCTCGGCAACGACGGCTTGTGCTTCTGTCTCCTTCCCAATGCCCAACAGATGCCGACTAGAACACAGTATCAGTGCTAGGACCCCACTGAAGTTGTGATGAATGGTGACCCACGGGGACTCAGGGAGGAAGAAGACGCCAGAAAGAAGAATGAGGCCCCATAGCATCTGGAGACCGATCGGGATACGCCAAGAAGGGGAGCCTTTGAGCCTCTGCGTCCCTAGTTCTATGCAGTCACTTATGAAGATCCTGGTTGACGCAGTGTTAACGTAACATTTGCGATGCAATGCGCGTGTAAGGCTAATACATACCCGCTGAAAATGTTGACTTGATAAAGGACGATCAGCGCGCCCCGCAGTGCTTTCGGTGCAGTTTCGCCATTATATAATGGGACGATGGCTGTCGCAGAAAGCTCAGCGCACAACATCGAACATCACTCTGCTTTTCAGACTCACCTGACAGCGCGCCGACGCCCAGGCCAGCAACGAATCGCCCAAACACGATCTGAGCAAGTACTCTCCCGGTTGCCGTCTGAATCGCGACACCCACAGTGAAAACTGCAGACCATATGATGACTGACCCTCGTCGGCCAAATCTGTCAGAAGTGAAGGCCTGGGCAATTGCACCAACAATTGTGCTGTGGCAAGATCAGACACAGTCATCAGGTCAACATTGCACTCACCCCACCCCAAGGAGGGAGGTTATAATGGACTGTCGAGAGCTAGAAAGGTATGGTTGTCCATCGGAGCCTATCTGCCCAAATCTCGCTGCGAAGTCGGGCATGATCAGGCACCCCTGTGTCAGGCATTAGAAGGCGAACAAATTCATTTGACCCTGTACCCACGGATATAACGCCCATGTCGTATCCGAAAATGAAGCCTGCCAATTCATTCCGAGTTCTAAGATGCAAAATGATCAGTTGCCAATAATCAGTCAAATCCACCGATGCACTTACAGGCTTTCGTGAGGCTAGCGACACAAGATGAAGGATATTACCTCCTGTAGGAAAGTAAGACCTTAATGCTTCCTATATGGAGCGGTTAACGCGCACCAAAAGCAATGAATGTAGCGAGCAATATAGCTCGGCGGTTGGTGGGAACCGCCATTTTGCTTCAGTAGCTGGTTTGGAAGGGGCCAGCCTGAATGGTCATTTACATTTGCACAGACGTCTTCTCTTATATTTCTGTTGGTCGTGTGCAGTTGCTTAGTCCTCACCCCCACCCAAGGTGTCTTCTAGCCATGAATGCTTACTCGACGGTCATCGGTACCAGTGAACGGCATCCTCTGGGAGTGGAAGCGAAGTAAGTCTTACCACCGATGCTGCTATAGGCGAAAATGAAGGCCCCGTGGCGCAAAGCATTCCCCAGCTGCGAACCAGGTGAGTGGAGTTGAGTGCTTCCAGGAGTCATGTGTCATCCAATTATCCGTTCGTCCTATCCGACGGGGACGCGACGGACCACCATTCAATCTGCCGTTACCCGTTCGGGAAGAAATCAGAGTTTTAGGAAAGAGGACAATGAATTAATACACGCGCCTTCTCGGCAGGATTGCAGAGGGACACAAGTACGCAAAGAACTGGCTGCAATTCCGTGAGAGCAACCGGGGCGGAGGCCCAGGCTTCTGACGCAGAGTTTGAATCATATCGCCAGCGTGTATCACTTATTACCGTCGGATCTCCAATAATAACGACGTGAGTGGACTAACTGCGGTCCAGGTCCGAAGGTGTCGTGGCACACGTCGATCAACAATGCATTGCTAGGGGGCACCTGAAATTCATCATGAAAACGCGAGGCAGAACAAAGCAGTCGTAGTCCGTATTGTTACATAGCGTCGATTATCGCTTTTAGCCTGACTTCATCGAGAATCTCGAAACCCTTCTCGGGCGTGACCTGACAAGGTTCAGGGAGTCAACACCACAATGCCCCACGATGATACGGGGACAAGAATCTACCGCACCTGCGCAAGTTGTACATTGTGTTGATCCAGCTTCTCTTCCATAACCTGCTTGAGGACCCGCAGCGTGAGTGCCTGTGCTTCTTGTAGCGTCATTCGCTATCAGGAGCGAGTCAGTCAGCATAGCACCCCTGGAATGAACGCTATCATGACGAACACTATGCCACTTGTCTTGGAGTTCACTCTGTGCCGCTTCAGATCCCGAGCCAATGGCCTTCGCTTCATATCGCACGAACGTCCCGGAGGGATCTGTGTGAAATCTGAGAAATCTATTCAATATGGCAAGTACGACATATAGAGAAGTAATGGTCTCACAGCTGTGGCCCAAGCTCATCAATCCCCGCAATGAGCAGGGCGACACCGAATGGTCGACTCATCATGGCGTCCTCGTCATGCACGGACTCTCCGAACCGCAAGGCAAGATCACAAACAGCTTGTGTTACACTCTCCACCTTGATGCGCTCGTCGAACGTGAATGCATGGTTTTGGGAGGTTACGCGTGCGTGGTCGATCATAGTGCGCGCGTCCGCGGTGAGACCCGACATTGCACACCCGAGATGCAAATCAATTTCCATGATCTTCTCAATGGAGGACGATTCAAGGAGCGGTGATTGTACACGCTTCTCAATTCCCAAGACCACGCCCTCCGGCGTCTTGACGCCTACGGTTGTTGACCCTAACTGGGGGCAGGTATTGAGCAGACTCGCAGAGCTACCCAGGACATAAGCTCTTACCTTGATGGCCTCAATGGCATACTCGACTGTTGCATAGTTCCATCGTGCGATTCAATAAATCAGGAGTATGCGCGCACCTTGGAACAAACGACCCTCCGGGGAGAAGGTGTTCACACCGCGATCTGGTGAGGAGAAAACACGCTTCAGCCACCCACGCTATGCTTCCCCTTAGCGGCTGTTAGTTCACCGACCGTACTCTGATCTTGTCAAGAACATGGTGGACTGGAAGAGGGCGTGTATACAGGATAGGCGGTCTAAAGCAGGGTGTATTACGCGTTCTGTCCGAACGCGCGTCGCGATTGGACAGTGACCCTAACCCTACATTCAGTGCTGGTAGCACCTCTTCAATTATAAACCTTAGTACTTAACGCACATGAATTGCAGGTAATCCGCACAGCTCAACTCGAAGCTACATAGGTTATACAACGACCGCGGAAACATGTCCCATCGCATGAATAAACTATCGCCCGTTGAGGAAAGGGGTGGGCGTTTCCTCAACTCTTCCTGCCTGCGTGCTGATGCCAATAGTATTTTGCAGCAAATCTGCCCCCAGCATTCTCAGGTTCTGACCTGCCGATTCTCGTGCTTGCTGTATTTGTAGCCTCTGCGCGGGAGCGACGCCAAAAACTGTTTCCTCTTCCGGATTCTGTGTGTATTGTTGATCGTCGAATGAGTCGTCGTCATCGAAAGAGTCCGCAGCCAGTCCGCGTGCGAATGGATGGACGGGCTCTAGACTGCTTCCCTCTGGAAGGTCGTCGATGACGTCGGAGGCGAATGAGTCGTCATCGTCATCGTTGAATGCCGCGGCGCGCTGAGAGGCAAAGAGGAAAGCAGCGGAGGGATTAGCAGTGTCATTGACCTCGTCAAACGAATCCAGTGAATCAAGCGAGTCTTCCTGCTCCATCTCGAGGACATCACCTTGCAGTTCGTCATCCTGCAGATGTCGCATGTCATATATCGGCTGCACAGGCGTCTGCAGATCTTCGTGAGTTGGAGGCGAAGGTGGAGTTCGGGTTGGGGATCTTGTACGTGGTACAGACGGAATGCTGATAGAAGACGCGGATGACTTTGAGGAAGATGGCTGCATTGAACTGCTGGCGCGCTCAAAACCGGCTGTCTGCGCACTGCTGTTCAAGGGACGAACACTTGAAGATGATCTGCCTGCCCCAGTGGACGCGAAACCTGGAAGTGCAAGCCCCACTCTGCGCATCATGCTCTCCAAGCTCGCATCCGCTACGCTTCCACTCGTCTCAGAACCAAGTGGGTTTGGATGATACCTGGAGAGCGATGGCGGGGTTGGCATCGAGCTCGCAGTCGACTCTGCTCCACTACCTTTGGCACCCCGACCTGCACCTTGCGCCCCCGCGAATATACCTTGCTTCTCAACATCCAGGATGTTCTTCAATATTCGTTCGGCCGCTTCTTTCTTTGGAGTTTTTCCCAAAGCCGGGAGACGCGCAAAGTCCATCGTGACTGGAGGGGACATGCCGAAGTCCATGTCAAAAGAGTCGTCTGCGTTAAAGCGTGGAGTTGTAGACTGCGCTTGCGAGGTGGGTCGCGCACGGGGATCCAACATCGAGGATATATTTCCCTTCCTTGGCGTCGCGACAGACGGGTCTGCGAGGTCAACGACTCCTTTCCAGTCTATAGGCTTGCCGCCCAGGGGAAGGTATGGATTCATGCTCTTCAAATGCGGCGTCCTTGGCTTGACTTTCAATGGCGACACGGCAGGCTTCCGGGGACTAGTAATCGTGCGGTCGACGAAGCTAGCATTACGAAGAAGGACATTCTGCAAGAGCGGCTCGGCACCTCGGGAAGGGGGCGGGTCATTTTGCGTCTCCCGCCCTTTGCCTTTGCCGTTGTCCGGCGCGCGTCGTACGGTAGAAGGCTCCTCCGGTATCGGCGGCGGTATTTGCCGTTGAGAAGCTTCTTGTGTCTCGTCATATCTTGCAGTGCGATGAGAGATCTCGTCCTCCTGCGCTAATCCCTGAATCTCGCGATCTAGCCGAACGAGTGGCGACTCGAGAGATACTGTCCATGATGGCGTGGGATCTGAGCCCTGGCTCGCGAAACTATCGTTGGATTGCATTGTGCGATGACGTGACGTTGTAGCGGGCGTAGAGGAGACGGCCCCTTGAGGTAGGAAGGAGACATCAGATGAGGGTCCTTCGGAATTGAACGTGTGGTGCGACCGAGTGGGAGTCTTTTGTGTGTCCGAAGTCATAGATTCAGATTCAGACGCGTCTCCCTGCGCTGTGTCTGTGTCTGTCTCCGGATTCGTCTCCTGCTCTGGCTGCTCCTGCAGAGAACTATAGTCTTCATAGGTTGGTACGCGTATTTGGGCTGCTTGTTCAAAGAAGGTTGTCCAGAACTTCAGATGTAAGAACATCAGCGCCGCAACACGTATGCACAGTGGGATGTCCAACATACTCTTGCCGCCTCTCGCACGGGCTCAGTCGCGACAGCGTACCGCTTCACCGCCGGCAGAATTCTGTTAGCCATGATATGCTGCATTTTCGAGAAATTCGCGTCGACATTCTACTAGTAGCAAGATATCAGCATATAGCGAGACGAAAACGCGCAGCAGATTGGACGACCTGCAATTTGATGGTAATGAGCTGCTCAATCTGCTCGATCTGGTCATTTACTGGCGCATTGGTGTCAAGTCCTGGAACGATGATGTCGTTAGGATCAGATGTCGGTTCCCACCGTGCCGACTTGGGCTCTATGGGCTTCAGACTGGAAGACATGGAGGGAAGCACGGCGTTGCGGTGGGTGAAGCTGGGATAACGCGATCGAGAGCGCGTCGACCCTCGACGCGCTCCTGGGAATAAAGTGGCTCGACAGTTTCCACTTATGGACGTATGTACCTGAGTCCCTGATCGCAAGATGCCAACATGCATGTACAGCTGCAACTACAAGGTACTAGACGTAGTACTACCTGCAGGTTTTTGCTAGTATTCCGGACACTGCTATCCATCTCAAAACCGCAAGACTCGTGATACGGTACCATGGTGTGTGCTGCCACATGGTTTTACACAGAACCCACAATCTTCAACCACACCACCACAAGGGCGTATATCGTGTTTTGCCAAGTTGGCCTGTTCCAACAAGCAGGGAGAACACACACATTTGGTGACATTGCCCGGAAGGAGGTGGGAGGCAACGGTGCCTGTTTGCATGCATTCGTCCATGTCGCCGAAAGATTATGTGGCCGCAAGCGCCTGACCGCACTTCCATTCTCCAGTAGCCGGTCTACGAGAAACCCTAGAAGCTGCAGCACTCGCTTATCGCGTCCCAGGTGCGATTCCTTTCGCTCTCATCTGGTCTGCCGTGAGTAACATCTCTTTCTGGAAAATTTGGCTACGCGTGGTGGCTGAGCCCGGGACGGCGCCCATGCGCCACTGAGGCAACATGGAAGTGTTCCATAACGAGAGGCGGGGACCGGGTGCTATCCAATGTCCCATACGTCTGACTGCCATGCACTTGACATGATACGAGGTCGTTGTATGCGTGTGGCGTACAAGCCGCACGCTGCGATTCTGCGCTGAAGTCTCTTCTTCTAGGTATCTGCTCGGTGCCTATCATTCTTGTGTGCATAGTTAAGCAATGCAGACCGTCCTGTTCTCATGTCGCACGTCGTCCCTTTGATCTGACACCCGCCCGCTCGATCTTTCGACAAGGATTCTATCTGCAATTTCCGGCGGCCTGCCATTCTCCGTTCCGTCGAGCTGGACAGCTTATATCACATTGGTCGTCTGTCTGACGACACCCTCCACGACAAGCATCGCGCTCCAGTCTCGATGCCGACGGAGGCGGCCGCAATCCAATGCTTGTCAACCTTCACCCGTGCACTTCGCCGTGGACCGAGTACCGGGCAGCTGAAACAGGAGTTGCGCAATAGCATGTGCTGCGACCGCGCGACGATGGTGCAACTGACCAGGCGCTCCACCGGGCGAGGTCCTAAGATGCCGACCACAGCGAATGGCGGCCCTCGGGCTTCCGGCCTTGCGTATGCGTTTTCTGGCTACCCTACAACCAGCCTAAAGCCCAGAATAAGCTAGGCCTGCTCAGCGCTCAGCGCGCGCACCTTCTCACTGGCCCCGGCGCAGCGCGCTTTCAGGGTCGCGACGCTATTCCCACTTTGTGAGTGATTCCCCGTAAGCTCGCCGACTTGGTCCTCCTTGTCGGCGGCTTCCCGGATGCCGGTGCGCTCGGGGTACGCTGCGCCGCCAGCAAAGACAACAGACATGCTACCTTACCTCTTTCGTAACAGGAACCGGTCGGCATCGCAGGCGCGATGGCCCGGTATTTCGTCTTAATATACCTTGATTGGCTTAGCTGTCCGGTGCCGGTGAATGGTGGCGTGCCCAAAGCCGATTTACGGCGATTTGTTATGGTACGCGTCATGGTACGTGTCAAATGGTTTGATTCCCGTGCTGGAGTCGGTGTGGATTGTGGAAGACTCGACTTCGACCACGGGGCTTTTGGAGGAAGCACAAGCATGCAGACCACTCGTGACGACATTGCAGCGGCATTTCTGAACAGCTACGCCGCCCGCCTCGTCAACGCGGGAGACGTCCCTGCGGGCGCGCGCCGCTATTGCATCTTCTGCGCAGGGTCCTGATCAGCGTTACTATGTATCTGTCAGACGCCGCCCTCTGAGTGCCTAGGATGACGTCCTGAGCGGCCTGCCCGCCCGCGGTCCGTCTGATTCAGCCTGTCGTCAACGTGAATCAACTTCGCGCCAAGCCCCGCTCCGTGTACGGCCAATACGATCACTTCGTACTCTTCCACCGCTACGCTCGGAGCACTCATCAGCTGCCCCCGCCCGGACTCGGACACAAGCTCTCTCGAATTCCCGTGGCTCTCGGACTGCGCCTCAGCCGCCGCTCTATACGGCCGGAGATTGCTTCCTGGGCGCTATATCTGCCTCCGCGCTGGTGCACCACACTGAATATCATGCATATCGGGGCTCATAAATCATAGCTCGCGGCGAGGCGCCCTATGGATTTGGTAATACACTGCCAGGGAGGATCCGCGCTACCGCTTTGTTGAAGCCGAGTTGCGCTCTGGACAGTAGCGCATGTAGTCCCTGGCGCCTGTAATGCCCTTGACCCCGCTCTGTTGGCTAGCGGATGACGGCATCTAGCAGATCGGCTTCGACGGGTTGATGCCGTGCCTTGCTCTCAGGTGCAGAAGGAAGTCCATTCACCACGGAGGTTTGATCGAGCGTGTTATATCAATGTATGCGATTTCTTAATCGATAGGATGTTTACATACGTCGGCGTACGGGTGCGGGTTCGCCAGGGGCCCGTGGTGCTCGGACGCTGCGTTACGTTCGTGAGTGTAAGCCGCGGTTCTCGCAGACTAAGCGATGCGCGCGGTAGCCGCGGTTTTGCCGTCAATGCAGCATGCGTACGGCAGGTGGTCGGTCAAAGTGTTCGTTCGTAGAACGTCTGCCTGACGCGCTGCCGACGTCCCAGGAGTGTCTGTCAGACGTGTGACCACGCCGTACGAGAGCCCAGAAGTTGCCCTGCTCGTGTTGCGGGCCGCCGCTAAGTTATCTGCCCTTTACGTCCGGAATGGAATGGGCCGTTGGCGGCAACTCACGGAGTGCCCAGACCAATACCTGATGTAGTGCGGTGGCAGGGCTACTTCTGCTCAGTGCTGCGATGCTGGTATGTCGTGATGACGGATTGGCCCGTTCCTTGTAGATGGGCCAGAGTTCTCCTGCCAATGTCATGGCGACTATTTTCGGGACAAAGCAAGACAGATGTGCTCACGGGACGGGCGCGCACGGGCCCTCGGGCAGGAGTTGCCCTGTTTATCGCGACTGCCAGCGCAAAGAAGCGTGTGGGCCGGAACTCTCCTCGACTTCCTCCCGGGATCGAACTTTGCGGAACGAGTGGGCATGGGCGCAGTTATTGGGAAGAGCTGTCGCGGCAGGTGTTTGTGCCCATATAGAAGGCCGGAGCTCCGCGAGTTGGGAACTAAGGACGGCGGTTGGCGTACTCGTAGCGAGGATGCGGCGAAGGACCCTGCACATATGAATGCATTTGAGCTCACGTTACCTCAGGGATGCCCTCGCGACGACGGTGTTTTTTGTGGTGTGCCGCGAGCTGTATTGTGGGGCGAGCGGAGGATTGATAGTGAGTGAGGTGAAACGGGGAGGAGGTGCCTCGGGAGCGCCAGTGCCGCGTGTGTGCATGTCTGCGGAGGAAAGCCCCTGTCTTCGATTTGTCGCGTCGGCGTTCCCAGTGCGTCAGGAGATTCTATGTGGAAGGGTGCCGTTGGTGGGCTATCGAGGTCGGCGGACTTCTAGCAGTATTGGGTTATCAGATGAGCTCGGACGATGACCAATGTGGAGGCCTGAAGCGAGTAATATTTGAATAGGGGGGGCGACGCGGCCGGGAGGAGGCCGGGGGATGAGCACGGAGAACGCGGGGAATGGTAGCAGGGGATGGAGGGCGGGCGAACGGCGCACTGCCATATAAGGCAGGTGGGCGATCCGAGGCAGTCGCGCGGCCGGATCCCAGGGGAAAGCTTCCAGGAGCGATTCCAAGTGCAGCCCGTCAACGTTCTCAGTCGAATTCGATGTGCAGCCATGGCCGTCGCTTTCCCTGCTCATCTACGCGTCCGCCCTTCTGCCACTCCCTCCCTCGCGGTCCCGCACCGCCTGCACTGCTTCCCCCTCCATCCCCGTCCGGTGCCACAGCCTACCCCGCCCCCGGGGTTATTCTAACCTGTGCAGCTGTGCCATATTCAACCCGTGCACACTCACGCCCGGATCACTGGCCTTGTTCGGTCCACGGCCGTCGTCCTCTGTCCGCCCGTATCCCCGCGTCACAGCACACGGTCTAACGGTCTCTCTCGGTTTCTCTCCGGAGTCCACATTCGCCCAGTGCTTCTCGAAAGGTACATATTCCCCATTCTCACACTATTCTTCCAGCGCCCGCCCCTAACCGCCCGTCGTGGATCCGTCTGCTTTAGCTATAGTTCTATCTCCTCGCGTGTCCGGTCTTTCCTCCTCCCGCCACCCGCTCTCTGCGTACCATGGCAAACCGCCGCCGCCCGCAGGTCGCGTCGGTCACCGGTCGCCGTCGCTCCATCTCAGACCCTCTCGCCGCAGCCCTCCTCCCCCCTCCAAATGAAACTCCAGAGCAACGCGAAAACAGACTCCGCGAGGAGGAGGATGCCAAGAAACGCAGCGATAGGATTGACAAGATGATCAAGGAGAGTGAACGGGAACGGCGCCGGAAGAAGGTGATCAAAGTCCTCCTACTTGGCCAGAGCGAGAGCGGCAAGAGTACTACTTTGAAGCGTGAGTGTGTCTGCACTGTATGTGTGTCCAGGAACTTTGGCAGCATCGGGGCGGTCATATATACCAGAGCGGCATTTTTATTGCTGCCCTGATCTTTTCCCCGCTTTTTGCGTGTAGGGCGTCGCGTGAATTTTTTTTTGCGCAGCCGTAAGTCATTCATGAATTCCTAGGACACGTCCTGGGGTATTGGGGTCGCTTCTCAAGCATCACCGACTGTGTTCGTAACTCTATCTCATTCGTTCCCGCTCGCTACCTCTAAGACGTGCGCTGTTCCAAATGTGATATGCGTGCCTCGCAACCTTGAGCTGTCGACCAGTTCTATGACTTATGTTTCATCAGTCGCTCACAGGAGTTAGTTTCCTGAAACCTCCCTGTGGCCCTCGAGATAATTTATTTTTTCAACAATTATATGCGACGTCGCAATGACGTACCGTATAGCCACTCTGATACTGTCTCTCCCCCCAAGCCATTCCTCTTACTCTGATCGTTGACAAGCGCGTCGGCAGAATTTCAACTACTGCACACTCCCGCCGCCTTCCACCGGGAGCGAATCGCCTGGCGATTTGTCATATACTTAAACCTTGTACGGTCAATCCGCCGGTGAGTCGTTTACGGTCTTTTTAACCCGAGAAGTAATTCACCCTGCCGCCACAGCATCATAGAGGCCATATCTCCGGAGTCTGACGCACCAGGCGGGTTTGACGATCTCGATGACGTCTACTCGACCGAGGTTGCATCCATCGTCATTAGCTCGCCCATCAGCTCGCACAACCGTCCTGTGTCAGCGAGCGCCGCAGGCCCCGATTACGAGAGCTATCACAGGCGGCTGGCGCCGCTGATGGAGCTGGAGCTGCGCTTGATTCAGCTGCTGTCTGACCCAGAAGACAACGACACGCGCGAAGCGACGCACCTCCCGCCCGACGCGCTCGCCTATCCTCCTCGTGGCTACGGCTCCACGCCACCGTCTTCCTCCGCATTCGGCCCGAGCACGAGTGCGCCGTCGCGCCCTGCGCCGCGGATCAGCATCCCGCCCACCGCCGCGTCGTCGCCTACGTCACCCACATCCCTGTCTCCTACGACGGAGCTGTCCGTGAGCACGACGTCAACGTGGAAGAGGGTGCTCACGCTGGGCAACCGCAGCCCGAAAAGCGAGCACACGGGCGAGCTGCAGGGCTGGTGGGAGGACCCGCACGACCCAGTGCACATCCTGTACCGCTGCGCGCCTGTCATGACCGAGCTGTGGCGCGACAAGCGTGTGCGGGCACGACTGGGAGAAAAACGCATTCGTCTCGAGGAGAGCAGCGGGTTGTGAGTGGCCTATTTGCACCGAGCATTTAGCGCGAGGAGACTGAGCTGTGGGCTCCGCGCCCGCCATTTATAGCTATCTGGACGAAATCCAGCGGGTCACGGCGAAGATGTACTTCCCCACGGACGGTTTGTCACTCTTCCGTGCTTCTCGCAGTGGGGGCCATCACTCACACATCAGCGGCGTGTTGGTGCTGTACAGAGGACGTTCTCAAGGCACGCCTGAAGACGAACGGCGTGGTCGAGCACTCGTTCAGCCTGCCGAAAAATAGCGAGTTCGGCGGCGTCGAGTGGAAGATCTACGACGTCGGCGGGTCGCGGCCGCAGCGGCGGGCCTGGGAGCCGTATTTTGACGACGGTGGGTCGTCACATCAAGTGGCTGGCCCCCCACATATCACTGATAGCTGTATGTGCGCCCAGTGAATGCGATCATATTCCTCGCCCCCATCAGTGCCTTCGACCAAGTGTTGGCTGAGGTGTGTGCCACGGACGGCCGACGTGACCGCATCACTAACGGCCGACCGGCGATGCAGGACCCTTCTGTGAACCGCCTAGAGGACTCTATGCTGTTGTGGCAGTCCGTAACATCGAGCAAGCTGCTTGCGAATGTCAACATCGTGTTGTTTCTGAACAAGTGCGACCTGCTGAAGGTACGCCCCGCATCTTGCGAAGTTAATGGCCAGACGTGCTCAGCTCGTGGTATATAGCGGAAGCTCGAGAGCGGTGTGCGGCTCAGCCATCACATGCCCTCATATGGCGACCGACTCAATGACTACGAGACGGTATCCAACTGTAAGTGCATTGTCTACAGATCGACGTCGCGATGCTCATTGCCCGTGATATCTACCCAGATTTCCGGTCGAAGTTCATCGCACAACATCACTTGTGTACGCCGAACAAATCAAGGGAATGTTTTGGTGCGCCGTATTTGATCAGTGGCATACACCCATCTTCGGCGCTGACGGGGTGATGCAGTGCACCTGACTTCGGTCACCGATTCCCGCAAGACGCATCTGATCATCAACAACGGTGAGCATAACGGAGCTTCTTGATGTTACGTTGTCCTCACCACAGCGTGCCAGTGCGAGATATAATCTTGACAGGAAATCTAAAGTCTTCTCAATTGATTTGAGGCTGTCATCTTGATTGTCCGTGGCGGGGTACGCGCGCGCCTTTTCCTCCCGCGACGAGCATTCAGCGCTCATCCATTTTTTTGTCAGACTCGGACGCGCGTTTTGATGAAACCCGTACACCGCTATTGTCGTGATCGCTGTGGCTTGTTGACGTCGTGCTTTCTATTGTTATCCAACATCTATCGTGGCATTTACGCCCCTGCTGTTTGCACCTATACTACGCGATAGAGTAATACCCCCGTAATAGCCCGTAGCGATATCCATACAAATGAATGTATAGTAATTGACCGAACACATGGAGAACTAGTCTGCCATCCGTTTATCTTTCCAAGCTCATTGTGAGAATTTGGCGACCCCGGGTGGTGCAGTCGGCACTATTCACAGAATGGACGTAAGTTAGTGATGTGGCTGGGGTAGCCTATGTAGTCAGCGCCACAGACGCGTCGCGGTCGCGATCGACACGCGTGTCACGTGGAGCGCGATAACGATCGAGAAGATCGCGCCAGGATCGCGAACGCGACTGGTTCGATCGAGGACTGAGATCGACGATGCAGTCTGCCCTCCGCTCTGCTTTTCGCACAAGTCTTTCTGCTCTGCGAGCAAGCCGCCCCTCTCTGTCGCTCTTCCATAAGCCCGCGAAATCAGCCTATTTTGTGGCCACACGTAAAATGTCCCTCTCCTTCGTGTCTACTTCTGGTGAGTAAGCATCGACATTCGACTACCGCAAACCAATCAATTCGGGCTCTCCGTTGTCGTGGATCAGATGCCCCGGCAGCTGTGGGGCCCTACAACCAGGCTGTCAAGGTCGGCGACCTGCTGTTCCTGTCAGGGTCACTCGGGATAGACCCTGCTACTGGCAAGCTGGTCCGTCACCCACGGTTCCTGCGTAGCACTTGCAGCGAATGACTGGACGTTAGGTTGAAGGCGGCATCGAGGCACAGACCAAGCAAGCGCTCAAGAACATGAAGATCATCCTCGAGGCGGGTGGGGGCAGCGTCGCCAAGGTGGTGAAGACGACGGTGCGTCCGCGCTCCAATCTGAGATCGGCCCGAGCTGGGCTTGATGGACATCATCATGCTCATTGATCGTCCCGTCCTTCTGGCGTCATGCAGGTCTTCTTGCAGTCAATGGACGATTTTGTGGTCGTGAACGGCATCTACGCAGAGTTCTTTGAGGGACACAGGCCCGCGCGCTCTGCCGTGCAGGTCGCACGCCTCCCCCTGGGGGGTCTGTTCGAGATCGAGTGCATCGTGAGGTACGCGTTCCATCTTCGGTCTGCTGCATGGACGTGACGCATGAATCTTACAGCCTTGCATGAGAAGCATTGCCCCAAGGCGCTCCAAGATATAGGCGAGGACCTGTCAGTAGTACTCGAGCGAACCCGCTTGTTGTTGGTTTCTGGTGGCGAAGAATGACCACTGCAAATAAACTGCCTCTTCACCCTATAGACTGCAACCTCTGATGTCGCCACCCCTGCTACTAGTCACGACTCGTCACATTTGTTTGATACTCCAGTGGTAGTAAGCATCGAATACTCAGCCAGGATCTTGCCGAACAGAAGAGTACCTCTTGATTACACCTGTCAGCACGCTTCTCACACCAACTGGCCTATGACATTCCCGTACACCTGCTCTGTTCGTTTGCATTTCAGCATGACTGCGATCTGTGTTGACCTCCCCAGTCCCACTTTCCCTTTCAGTTAATAGATCGAGTCTGCCGTCATCGTCCCTAATATTCCTGTCATTAGTGTGTTCAATCACTACAGTATTAGTCAAAGCAGAGCCTGCTGATGTCCCGAACCAGGAAGCATGCGCCGCAGGTGAGGTCCGGCACTGTCGATGGTCCCCGCCTGTGGATCAGGTGAGTGACATCATTTCCACGTATGCTGTACATGATCTCTCTGCGCTGTGTTACTCGTGTAGGGCTGATATTGAAAGGCCTGGTATTGCCTGTGTAGTCGAACAGTACAATGCTGGTGCCGAAAAGCTATGCTTGCCTATCAACAAGATGCACACGGTATGTGTAGATCCACAGGTGTTGTGACTTGGGGTCAAGTGACAGAGGACAAACAAATGCAAAGGCTGGAGGTGTTCGACTGGGTCTCACTGAAGCGATGGTGAGCAATGCTCAAACCTAAGGCTAGGGACAAGATAGTGTATTGGTTAATGAAGTAAGGAAAAGATACAAAGGGGGCTTATTGACCTAGGGACAAGAGGTCGAAACTGAGGTCCCTAGGGCAGCAGAGGCCGGCTTATATACAGGGGAAGATAAGGGCAGGCTGTGTGCATTGGTCCATGCACAGCTGGTCCGTGCACAGCATGCTGACGCAGCCCCGGAGGCCGGTGAGTCAGAGCGGCTGTGTCAGCAGAGCCCGAGCTGTGCCGCACACTGCCGCCCATCTAATCTGATCGTACAGTAGATAAGGAAATGTCCATTTCAGGCATATAGTACAGAGGTCGCGGGTTCAAGCCCGCGAAAAGGAAAAATTAAAAAACGGCTAGGTGCCGTGTCAACTCGTGACAACAGGTGAAACATTTGTCTTTCCATTCTATTCCTTGTACTACTAGCGCCCATACTGGCGCCTGTCTTAGCGCTCACCCGCAGGTTGAACATTATGTAGCTTACATAATGGGGTCCGTGCGCACTTCGTACTCGGCATTGTACCACTACGTTTCTTTCTTCACTAACACGACCACATAGACACGATGGCCCGTGCACAGTCGGTACTTGTATAAGTAGTTGTACCATTAGTCGGTCGAACCCTAAGTTCGACCTGGTTATTCATTCAAGTCTCTGCTCCTCTTCGCTTGGGGTAGTGGTCATTCTCGACTTCCTCGCTCGATCTTTAGGACGACGTACTGTCCATAAGTCCTCGCTCGTCGTCTACGAGTCAGGCATCGATATAGGAGTATAGACCATTGTATCAAAAGGTCGAACTTTCTAAGCTATGTTCCTAGTCTTACCTAGTTGAACATCTCATCCACCATCACGTCGAACAACGCAGTCAACCCAGTTCCTTTGGGACTACCAGCCCTCGCAGGATCACCGCTCCTCCTGTACGACCGAGCAGATCGCTGCTTTGTCACCTCCACAAAAAGAGCTCCCATCTACCCTCGAGGCGGCACCTGGTGTCGTGCAACCGGTCCAAACCCGCAGGTCGTCGCCCATCAAGAACTCGTTAGCTACTACCAGAGACACCCACCCGCTCACCCAGAAGATGTATTCACCACCCTACGGATCGACGTCGAACCTACACAAACAGCAGAAAGCGTGCAGTCACCCATCAACGAACAACCACTCGAACTCCCTGAAGTTCAGTACGTTCCCATCGAAATCCCAGACATCGAACTACCACCAGCCCCACCCGCACCAACCAACGCACCGGTTGAAGTCCCTATGGCAACATTCACTCAAGCAGACATCGATCAGCGCATCGCTGTCGCCCTCGCAGCATACCAATCCCAGCAGTCAACGGCCAACCGACCCCTTTGCCTCGACATCCCTGCTCCTGAACTCTTCAGCAGAAAGGCAGAGGACCTCAGATGCTTCATCCAATGCGTCCTCTCCTACTTTGTCACCACCAACAACACCCGACTCAGCGATGAAGCAAAGATCGCCTTCACTGTAGCGCTGATGAGGAAGGATCTGGGGAAAACATGGGCGGACGCGTATTACGAAAAGTCAGCAGGGGGAGTCCAGGTCTATTCCACTTGGGCAGACTTCGTTGCCGCTCTAGAAGAGGCGTTCCCTGAGCACGGAACGCGAATCAAGGCACATCAAATCCTGATGAAACTGCCTGAACGACAGAAGGATAGGAAGACGGCGCTCTCCCTCGGTAACTATGTCACCCGCTTCGAGCAGCTAGCATCAAAGGCTCAGCTCAAGGACACCGAGGTCAATGGCACCAACCGTGTCGAGAACGACTACCACACTCTCCATGCCAACTTCGTCAAAGGACTCCCGAAGGAGCTGTATTTTGCGCTCGCAACAAGGGTCGCTAGGGATCGACCCAACACCATGAAGGCCTGGTACGACGAAGTCCGAAACGCCGACGCAGCCAAGCAGGGGGCTCTCATCGTCACAGACACCAGGGACTATGGCGAACCAATGGATATCGACGCCGCTGCCGTCACATCAACCTTCGCCTCCACATCAGGAGGAAGGAAATGGGAACTAGGAGCCATTCTCAACGAGGCCGATCGGAAGCTCCACAGGGATGGGAACCTGTGCTTCTACTGCCACATCAAGGGCCACAGTGCCAAGGATTGCCACAAGAAAGTGGCCGCACGACAAGGGGGTGGGAGGCCGAACCAGGGAGGATCGGGGAAGGACGACTTCCACGCCAGAATCAAGACACTCTCAGCTGACGAGAAGCAGGAGCTGTACGAAGAACTTACGATGGAGGATTTTTGAAGGGGCAGGGTGAGCCGACGCAACCACTGCCCGTATCCGTTTCACTGTCCCATGTAATTCTAGTAGTCCAAAATGAACGCGCTCTGCACATTCCGATTACTGTGGGACAAAAAGACGTCGAGGCGCGCGCTTTCATCGATAGCGGCGCAACAGGAATCTTCATCAGCCCGAGATTCGTCCGAGAGCATCGACTTCGGACAGAGCCCCTTCCCCGACCCATCCCCGTCTTCAACGTGGATGGAACTCCGAACAAGGAAGCACTCATCACGCGAAGAGCCCTCTTATCTTACAAGATAAGCGGAGAACCCCGATTTGTCAAAGCCTACGTCGCCAGCATCGGCAAAGAAGACATCATCTTCGGCCATACCTGGCTCAAGCTCGAAAACCCCAAGATAGACTGGAAGACCGGACAAGTTGAGCTAAACCACCGGTGGACGAAAGACGAGACCAGGGCCTGGAAGATGGACCTGTACCAAAGGCGAGTGGCTCGGCTAGAACTGAAGAAGGCCGTAACTACCCCACTCCCAGAACCAACGGAGGACGAATTCGTCG